GTCGCCTTTAAGCAAAATACACGGGCAGGGTATAGCGTCCGAAATTTCTCGAACTTTGGAGATTTTGGGAGCCTTCCGAAAATATCCCGAAAGAGGTCGAACCACGCAGCCGCCTTGACTTGAGCGCCCAACCATCCCCGAGGGGGGGGGGGAGAGCTGCGGGCGCCTGCCGTCGTTTCAATTCTCCGCATTAGGTGGGAAAGCACTCCAGGGCGATTTTCTGCCTGGGAGTTCAACGCCGGCAAAATCCATCCGCTTCATCGTGAAAATATTGGGGCCCATCACGAAAAGCCACCCCCTCGCCAATTAGTCCGGTATGGAGATCATATCGCCGGGGGGCGCCGTTGTTTATTTGGAGCGGCTGCGTAAGTGTGTGACAAGAAAGCAAAAAGCTAAGCTGATGACATGAGCACCCACAGCTTAACGAATAAGAATCATCTTAGGCGACTACGTGAGGAATGGATAGAAGACGACACGCGCGACCGCCGTCACCCGGCCACTCTCGAAGCTAGCGGCGGACGCGAAAAAACGGGCGAGGCCTCTCACTCTGTCCCTCACGTGAAACAACAGCGCGCAGACGATAGACGAGACTAAGAGCGGGCGAGAGAAGCGCGGGCGCTACCGTTCAAGCCCCGACACGGCGGGGATGTGGGGAAAAGGCCTAGTGCTACGACTCTAAGAAAGGGGAGGGCACTACCAACGAACGAGAAGCGCCAAGACAGAAACGCCTGCCAATACCGACGGGAAAGACATCAGCCGAGAAGACAAAAAAAAAACAGCTTAGCGAAACCACCTCCACGAAAGAGAGAGAGAGAGCGAGGCACCCCCCCGACCTGGGGAGGGCGCTCGCCTGGCCCCGACCTGCTGGCGCTTCGGGTGCAGAGGGTTCCCCCCCGAGCACCACGCGGCCAGCCCCTGGCCCTGAGGCCTCTCTCTCTCTCTCTCTCTCTCACTCTCTCCGAAGGGAAACTCGAACGACGCAAGGACTTTGGGATACTCTGACGGACGCGGGGGCCCCAAGTCACGAAGACCCGCCACGCCCGGACAAAGTCAACGAAGCACCCAAGACAGCAAGGCGCCGAGAGTGGGCGGGCCCGTGAAGAGCCCGGCAGAAACCCAAACAACACCCAGACAAACCGAACCAACCAACCAAGACAGCAAAGAGCCGCCACGCGGTCCGTGAAGAGCCCGGCAGAAACCCAAACAACACCCAGACAAAGCCAGCGAAGCCTCCAAGACAACAAAGAGCCGCAGGTGGGTCCGTGAGGAGCCCAGCAGAAACCCAAACAACACCCGAACAAAGTCAACGAGCCACCCAAGACAACAAAGAGCCGAGAGCAAGCCCGTGAAGAGCCCGGCAGAAACCCAAACAACACCCAGACAAAGCCAGCAAATCATCCAAGAAAGCAAAGAGCCGAAGGCAGGCCCGTTAGGAGCCCAGCAGAAGCCCAAACCACACCCGGGCAAAGTCAACCAAGCACCCAAGACAGCAAAGAGCCGAAAGCGGGCCCGTGAAGAGCCCAGCAGAAGCCCAAACAACACCCGGACAACACAAAGCCAACCAAGCACCCGAGACCGCAAAGAGCCGAGGGCGGGCCCGTGGAGAGCCCTGCAGAAACCCAAACAACGCCCGGAAAAAGCGGGCCAAGCAGTCAGGACAGCAAAGCGCCGACAGCGGGGCCGCGAGGAGTCCTACCGAAACCCAAACAACACCCGGAAAAGTGGGCCAAGCAATCAGGACAGCAAAGAGCCGACAGCGGGCCCGCGAAGAGCCCCGCCGAAACCCAAACAACACCCGGTAAGAGTGGGCCTTGTGCTTATTAACTAAGTGGAATATTGATGATGAGACGACTAGACTGTAGTCCGTTTAGGGTAGCTAAGTAGAATAGTTACAACAATTTATAGGGGTGCCGTGCCCGGTTCAGGATGGGATGGATCGGGTGGGTGGTCCATCCGGTCCATTCAAGTCCATCCTACGCCCGTTCTATAAATCAATCTGGAACTTCTACTTACATCAATACGGAAGATTTTTAGAGGAACACGACCCTTAAGTTCGATCCTCGATTAGATCCGCGCCCCTTTCCAATTGAGATTCTAGAGGTAGCTCTAGTATTTCCTTGAAATGGTTCCTGACATGAAGAAGTGTTGTGATCATCTTCTGTACAGCCAGTGGATGTAGTTGTCGCGCAGCCAGTAGTCGTAGTCCTTCTTGTACTAGTTCTTAAAGGTGCTAACGCTATGCTAGTGCGAACCGCCGCTGCACCAACAAGAGTATTTGAGGACGCTCGACTTTCCTGAGTAGAAGAAGTTCTTCCCTCTACGACTTCTACGCAAATTAGTGTGCTTTTCCGAATTGCCAGACTTCTCTTCTGCATTACGGCGGTAGTAAGATCTCGCGGAAGAGCGCTAGCTCGGAAGGTCGTTGTCGAACCCTTCGAGGCGGCGCATTTCGTAGCTAGGATAGAATCACGCTTAAGAAACCTGCTTCGGGCTCCTGTTGGAAAAGCGGAAATTCTCGCTGTCGCACCATAGGAAGACGCCGCGGAAGCTCGATGCAACAGCATTTCACTCGTTCCAGCCGCGTCTGTTGCTCCTTGAGAATTTTGTTCTACTGGGTCCTGCTGTTGTGCTGCCGCAGCACGAGCGCGACACCTTCGTTTTGCGCCAACTCTCACGCAACTGCGACCATCGGAGTGGTGTGGACTTCCACGATGTGGCGAACTGGGAGCACATGAATTAGATGTCTCGTAGCCCTCTTAGAATCTAAGAATAACGCAGGAAAATGTTATTCTATAAAAAAACGAGCTCTTGTTCATCTGTGGGGAAGATGAATCCTCGTGAAGAAGGCGAGCCTTAATCTGAGTGATGCGATCGGGTAATGTCGTTCTTGCAGGAGGTGACGTTCCGGGACACACCCCAGATGAGCCAGTAGTCGGGCAAGTGGCGGTGGCCGCCGACTCCGACGTTAGCGCCGTACTTCTAAGCTTGTTCCCACCTGACGTTACAGCTACATTGTCTCTGCTCGTCAACATCTTCCCACCTCCTGTAGCTGTGCGATAATAATTCCCACCTGTCGTCAAGAACATTGAGGTGGTGCTCTCAGTCCTTCTCATGCTGTGGAGGAGGTGCTCGCATTGTTGTGCCGGAGTACTTCCACGACCCAGACCATGTTGATGAGGACTCCTTCCACCAACTGAGCCTGCTGTTTCTTCTAACTGTTCCCTTCCGTCATCTTGTTGTTCAGTTATTGACTGCTCTAACTGTTCCCTTCCGTCTGCACTCGTGCTACGAGAAGTCCTCACGACCGTCATGATTCTCTTCCTCGTGTCGCGTTTCGTCCTACCAAAGGCTGGCGCGCTACCAACGGATGGCGCAGAGGCAGAACAGGAGGCGTCTCTGTCTGTTGTACTACTATGATCCGTGGTCCTATACCTATTAGTATTAGAGGATCTGGCTCCGCCATCTACGATTTTGACTACCTGTGACGATTTTTTCTTCCGTTTTGATATGGTGCTAGTTCCTGGCCTAGAAGAAGAAGAACCGTCGCTACCCGAAAAAGACGGCGCGGAGTAACAGCTACAGCTACTCCCAGTAGAACCCGTACTATTCTGCGACGTGCTTCGTTCTACCCTGTCAATGTTGTAGTTGTCCTCATCTGGCAGTAGCACAGGCTCTCCAACTATCCTCGGCTGATCAACCTGTGTCATGCTAGGATTAGAGGGGTAGAAAATGCATCTTCCCAGAGTGAGTGATCCTCAGCCGGAGAGAAGCGGAAGTCTAGTACGTAGTATCCTTTAAAAGAGCTCCAAACTACCCACTTTTTAACGACCCTGATATTCGTGCATAAGGAAGAAGTTGAGGCAACAGGGGTAAGAACATAGGACGTTAATCTTTATCCACGGGGGTAATAACAAGTAGCAGTAAGCATTAGCCATAAATGCAAATAAACAAGTTTTTATGCCACGTAATCATTCTTGTTAGAGAAAAAAACTGAAGTGCCAGCATATAATCACTAAATGGACTTACCTAGGAGCGATCAACCATAGTCCTCATAGATACAAAAGAAGTTAAACCACGTAAGTAATCACTTTTAGATGGACTTCTAGGAGACATCAGACCATAATATGCAGATCATCGCCACCTGCGAGAAACCTTGATGAGCTGGTTAGTTTCATGGAGGATGGTCGGAGAAAGAGACACTTTCTCACAGGAGAAAGAGACACATCCTCGTTCTCACGTCGCCGTCGTGTGTGCGCCGCACCCATGGTTCTTCTTGGTCATCAACTAAGAATTGTAGAATTATGAACAAGATTACTTCTTAGTAAGACTTGTAGAGGACCTAGGTCTAGATAAGATTGATAACAAATTCTAATTCAGATTATGAATTGCAAAAATTGGAATTCGAAATCAAATTGAACGTAAATGTTGAGAAGTTCAAGTTGAGGAACATAGTTTCATACGCACTCGAGTGTGTCCATGCCAAGTCCATGTTTGTACTAACTAAGAATGTGCGTCTCTTTCAAAATAGAATGGTGGCGCTGTGGTCGTAGCCTGTGCAATGATGTTGTAGTATATTTGTGCAATACATAAAATTATGAATATCTATGGGGATGGACGAATTCGCTTCCTCAGTTGGAAAATAATCACTTCGGAACAAGTCCAATAAAGCAACTACATGGTCTTAAGCGTAACAACTTTAGCCCTTTTTTGACAGTTTTACGTGAGGCTGAAAAATCGAAAGCTTTCCGGAGAAAAACAGCTAGAACCATCTGTCGTGCGAGTGGAGTATTTGGGAAACAAGATGTATTTGACAAGTGATGTTGTTAGCTCACCTCAGACTCGTCTTGTCTGGACAGATACAAGCAAGGCATCAGGAGACCACACTCTCAGAGGACAACAGATGTCTATCACTGACTTAGTCTGAGGAGCGTTCGCTTCTGCTTTTTCATACTGAGAACCGCGCAGGCGTTCGAGGCTTAGTGATTAGCCTGCTCACTGTAGTTAGATCACCGAGCACCATTGCCCAACAGGGAGGTCAATCTATATCGCAAGTAGTATCGACTTGATTTTTTCGCGTGTAGCTTTACATTTACGAACGTCATCAAACCCAGCAAAATTTCACGTGTTGCCGCATGTGGTTGCACCAATTAAGTTTGTCAATCAGAGGTGGGGGCACGAGCTCGATGCACAGCGTCGCTTTTTTTCTACAATCGACAAGGCTGGCGCCGCTTCTCTGTTCCTCATTTCCTACTGCTTTTTCCCTCTTTCCACTGAGCTTGACGAGCTCGCGGCGCCAGTGTTTTTCTGGTCGAGGCTTGGACCCAATTCCGCCCGGGGATTCATGCAAATGATTAGAGCGGAAAGCCCAGCGCCCCACCTCTTCCCCCCATTTCTTAAGAATCCCAAAGAGGGAAAGAAGCTGCGAGAGCTGACCAAGAAAGAAGCGGAGAACGCTGAGCCATAAGATAAAGAACTGCTCCGCTCCGCCGTCGCTTCCTTCGGACGACCCAGCTGGCGGAAGGAAGTAAACACCCTGCCCAACGATGCGAAACCACGCACCACCCTGGGCATCTGCCCGCTCGGCGATGTCCGCCCGCCACTCGACGAAGGCGACACGATCACGCTGGCGCTCCAGCATCTTGCACGGCTTTGTACTGCGCGAAGTTCGAACGCTCGCGGGTAAGACTTTCCGCAGATAACACGCGACGGCCGAGTGCGTTTCTTTTTCGACCACCTCCAGCCCAAAGGGCTCACGCACAACCTCCGGCGGGAAAAAGAGGACAGCCAGCGGCAGCATCCCAGTCGCAATTTTGAGCGGCAGAGTGTCCGCAGAGAAAGAGCCACACCGCGCCGATTTTTTCGGGCTCACTGTTGCTGGAAAGAGTGACGGCGGCTGGAATTTGCTGAGCGCTGCGATTGTAGTTGCCGGCTGCTTCCAATGCATCAGCTTCGCTATTGCGGCCTTGTAATGGGCAAAGCGTCGGCCCCCGCGGAAAGGCTTGCTCCCTATCTCAGGCAGCGCGTCGCGGTTGGTTCTTAGAGCAGTACACCTGGCGCTGTCTTTACTTCATGGCGCTGGTCTATCTAAGTGGCGGCCCTGCACAAGACGGGGAAGCCCCGTGAGGTGACAGAGCTAAACTAACTACAAGCTAGCCGGCCTTCTTCGCAGAAGAATTGGCAAGCGTTAAGAAATGGCGAAGGTTGATGGGATAGCGACTAACTTCTTCGATGGTCGCAGCATCTAGCTGTTAGTAGGTTCTTCGATGGTAGCACTTCCGTTAAGGGAACACTGATGGATCTATGCGTATATGGGCAAGGTGAGGCTAGGGCTACTCCTATCTAGGTAGGCTGCGTACATACGGTGCTCGTATCTATATGATGAATGTGCATACGTAAAGCCTAGGCCTTCTGATGGGTGTGCATCTGTAATGGTAATGCCTAGACTTTCTGATGGGTGCGGATGTGTAGCATGCTTAATATTTAGCGATAGTCCCTGTGCTCTGAGTAGTCCTCTCTTATGCTAATCTAAATAGCTCTCGTGTGCCTCCGTCCTTTGCCTTAACATCCGCACCAGCGTGAGAGGGGCTCGGCCGGCTTTCAGCAGTTGGAATTTTTTGGCTACTCCTCTGACGATCTCAAGCAGCGACCTGGCTTCTTCACTGCGATCACTTGGTTGCCACGATTTGAAGGGGCCAACTTTCTGCGATGTTGTCGGCTTTGACGAGAATTAGAGTGAGGCCCCAGTAAAAATATAACGGCTTAATTGCTTCCCTTCGTGATTTCTTGATCAGATGGAGGAAGAGCAGTAGATGAGCGAATTAATGTACTCTGATTAGCCTAATAAGAGGGTCTTCGCGTTTCACTCTCGCCAGCGGCAGAGTTGTCAGTGCGACGCGCACTATGCAGCGCAAAAAGCGCTCGCCCGAAAAAGTAAGCCGCCGAGGATCCCCGCCTGCGGCGCCTTGCTTTGTCACATATCCCCGAGCCCGAACACGACCGGCGGCGCGCCTTCTCACATTGCTCACCCATTGCTCCCCACCTGCGCAGAACACAACATCCGCAACACAAACGCCACACCAATCGCCGCCCGCAATTATCCGGCGACGGGGCGGGCGGGCTGCTGCAGTTGCGCCACCTTGCTTCCCCTACTTACAGCCCCCGCTAGGGGCGCGAACAATGAGAGACCACAGCCACTCGCAACGAATCAATTTAGCACGGCCCCCCCGCGCACCTTGCTGCCACGACAAAGACCAGGCTGCCAGAATAACCGTAAGACCCCGCGGACGCATCCGCTACCCGGCAAAGAAGCGCCATCCACTACCGGCCGCCCCAGTACGCAGCTGCACGCAAGACAGAGCGGAAAGACAGAGGGTCCGGCTGGTCCCTCTCTCACGCCATTGCTTGAGCCAGCCATCACTTACCACGCACAGCACCCGCACGCACGGCGGGGAGGCTGCGCTGGTCCCCCGCACTGTTGCCGCAATAGCTCCGCCCCCCCCCCGCGTCCGCACGCCGAGACGCCACGCCGCCACCTGCCACAAAGCAAAACAATGCCAAACAGCCACACACAAGACACCGAGGACGGCCCGCGCCTAAAGAAGAGCCGGCGCCGCCGCTTCCCTAGTCCCCCGACCGAAATGACAAAAAGCGGCCCCCCCGTCAGTCGGTCTCTCTCTCTTCCTTATCCGAACGAGACAGAGCGCCGACACCTATAGACAGACAGGAAAAGCCTGCCAGGCAGTGCATAGACACAGAGAAACGAGTGGAGCAAAAGCTGCCAAGCCCGACGCGAAACAACCCATGCCACAGCGAACCGACTCAGCCTCGCACGCTACGCACCCACGGGCACCCGAGCGAGCGAGTCTCACTTTCAATTTAGTCGACGGGCGCGGGGGGCCGCCGCAGCCAGCCGACAAACAAATAACAAAGGACGAAAGGCCCACAAAAAAGGACGAAGAGACCAAACAGCAGACACGAGTAGAAGAAAGAGCAGCCGGGGCCCCCAGGAGTCATTCACAAACCCAACACAGCGACAAAGATAGGCGGCTCCAAGGTGCACAAGCCTGCCCGCCAAACCCCCGAAGCAAAAAAGGAGAAGGCACCACCGTCGAACCCTACGAGAACTCACACACTGCCCGCCCGCCCACGCACGCGGCCACCGGTGCAGCGCACCGAAGAGCATAATCGCGGGACCACCTCCACCCCACTTAGAACTAGATAGACGAAGCCAGCGAAAGCAAAAGCAGCCAGAGGCCGGAAATAGCTCACCCAGCCACCCCAGCGACCGATGGGGCTTCAAGGTCAGCCTACAAAGCTGCATAACTGAACGAACACTCACGCACGCAGTTAACATTGGCACCCGCCCCGTTTGAAACGAGGGCGCCGGCAGTGCTGACGGCCCGCAAGGCTCCAGACATAACAACCAAGGCGACCCACTTATCATCGGCGACAAAAATCACCCAGCCAAACATCCCAAGCCAGAAGAAAAGGCACAGCGGCGAAGCCCTCGACCCAAGCGCCGGCCCAGTGCCCGCCACGCGCCCTCCCCCCTTCACCCACACAACACAACCCTGCGCGGGGACCCCTTCACAAGTTGCAACGCGAAACAAAGCGAGGCCCCCCACCCAACAGCGAGCGGCAGCGAAGACGACCTGCACACAGCACAGAAAACAGACACCACCTAACAGCAAAATCGAGCCGGGAGCGAAATTAATAATATAACTGAAGAACGACCGAGCCAGCAAGCCAACACGCATGGCGCGAAGCTCCTCCGCGAAACAAATAGAGAAGGAACGAAGACCACACCTCCCAAAGACACACCCACCCACACACACCGCCGCCCCCAGCTTCATCGAGCTAAAAAGCACTCCCCAAGGGCTGGCCACTCACTCACACGAACAAACAGCGAGAAACGCACTGGCAATCACCTGACGACACAGAGAAGAGGGGGCCCCACCCCATGGGCAGGCAACCTCACTTACTTAGATTAAAACAAGAAGCACCCCTACCCTGCGCCAGATTTTCACGCCCCGACATGAATGTACAGAGAAAAGCGCCCAGCGCTTACTTTGCTGGCTCCGGTGTGTCATGGCTAGGCAGGTACGCCCAAGCTGCACAGGTGCGAGCCATAACTAATACGAGACAAACAGCGCCCGCCATTAACTACTTCCCACGCACCCGAAGCAAAAAGCAAGCACCTGCGGCAGCCCTAGACCTGCAGCGACGTGCTGCAGCCCCGGGCCTCGTATTTAATCTCAGTAGCCAGTGCCGTGAGCGGCCCAAGCTGCGGCACGCCTTCCTCGTTCGCTCCTATGTCACTGCCTTAGCAAGATGAAAGCCACGACAGCGAGGGGCCGGCGCCAGGTCCTTCGGCTCATGTGTTTCTGTTTGCTTTTTTCTTTGCAGAAGCAAGCACGGCGCGCGCCATCCGCTTCAGCGCGTGGAACTGATACCAACACCGGCCACAAACAAGCCACACCCCTGCCCCCTGCCTAATTTTTTTCCTCAAGCACCGAAATGACCACACCCGCGGCCCCAGCTGCCAGCTTGTGCCAGGGGCCTGCTGCAAAAGTTGCGCAGCGTTTACTTTTAAAGACAGAAGCGGGCAAAGACATGCTCTGCATACTATATTAGACACCAAAAGAAAAAAAGAACCACACACACCACCCCCGCCTGCTTGGTCATTTCGACACCAAGCCGCGCGCGCGCAGCGCGCGCTTCTGTTTTTCCGCGCGCTTTTTTTGCGGGCTCCGTTTTACATGCAGAAAAAAACCAAGCGCACGCAGCGCGCCCCTTTAGTTTTTTTTTTTTGTTTTTGCCAAGTGAGAACCCTGACGCGCGAAAGCCTTCCCCCTCTGAATTCTTGGCGCTACTACCCTCCGCCCTTGAAATTGCTTGGGTGTTCGGGGGGTCAAACTGCCCCCATATCGCAGGGGGGGTTTTCAGTGAAAACCCCCCCCGCGATATTGTGCGAAAGTAGCCCCGGAACGCAGTTCCTTGAAGAGAACGCGTTCCGGGGCTACTTTCGCACAATATCGCAGGGGGGGTTTTCACTGAAAACCCCCCCCGCGATATGGGGGCAGTTTGACCCCCCGAACACCCAAGCAATTTCCAATGGGGAGGGTAGTCGCCCCAAGAATCTAGAGGGGGACAGCTTTCACCAGTTATCTTTGTAACTTAAAAAAAAGCCAAAAAAAGTAGAAGAGCGCGCTGCGCGCGCCCCTTTTTTTCTTGCACAGAAAAGCCTGCAAAAACAAGGCGGAAAAACAAGAGCACACGCGCAGTGCGCGCGCCTATAGAACGAAGGCAGAAACCCAGGCGAGCTGCCTGGCCCCCCGTTCCTTTCCCGTCGCTCTGCATACTGCCAGAGAGGCAGACACACAAGAAAAAGAGCGACCCCACCCACGCAAACCGAGGACACCCACAGACAGAACCAACAAAGCAAGCGCGTGGCCCCATCTTTGCGCGCCTGTTGCCTGTTGCGCTGGTTCACTTTGCTGCACCCTACCCGGAGGAGGGCAGCCAAGGCCTGAGAATGAACCTGGGCAAGCAGCTGCCAACTACCTGCACCCGACCACCAAGCAAGCCGCCAGCATAACCAGCGCGCTCAAGGGGAGCACGTTGCTCACAAAAGTAGAATGGCCGACAGCCTGCCACAAGTCAGAACACACACCACGCACCCAAGCCAGCGCGCCGCGCCGTGTGTTTCGCAATCGTTTCAATCAGCAGCACCTTCTGGGTGCCTCCATCTCCATGGTGATGCCAATACCATAGCCAACAAGCCCCGAAAAGAGAAGAGACCCCCCGCACATGGCGCCCCTGTCTAACTCCAATGATGCAACACAGAAGACGAAAGCACTGGGCCGCGCCAAAGGTGGAAGGCAGTGAGTGCCACTCGCCTCCCATTTTGAGCCGCAGAACACTACACAGCGCACCCCCCACCTCCGAAAGAAAGCCCAGCCAAGCCCCGACACAAGTTGCCCCACCCCGCTGCAGAACCTGCGATACCAGGCAGCCGCACGCCGCAGCGCAAACCTGACAGACCACGCGCCACCTGTGCCCTTCCCTGGGCACACCCACGAGCGATCGACGGAGCAGCGGCTCTCAAATGCGAACGAGCCGACAAGCCCCACAAAAGTGAAGGCGCGGCGCCCTCCTAGGGGCGGCGCCGGGGTTCAAGCTGTGCCCCCCGCTTGGCTTCTCCCTCGTTCTCCATAAGTTGCCCAACCAACACCAGAGAGCAGCGAGGGGTATAAGCGCTAAAACAAACACCAAAAAGCAAAACGAACCACGACGCGAGGCCAGAACCCCTTGCCCTGCCCATGGGCGCTTCTGCGTTTTGATGGTCTCACGCTGGCCTGCGTCTGCCCCCCCGCTGAGCTGCTTGCGGATGAAAGACATGACACCGACGACGCCCGAAAGAAGACCAAAAAAAAAGACAACAGCTACAATCTATCAGCACACACCCCAGAGGCCCCCGCCTGCTTGGGCTCACTTTCTCCCCTTTTAGGAGCAATATTATAAGCATCACCAGCGCCAGCAAGTTCCCTCGGCTTCGACGAAGCCCCCAAGGAACAAGAAGGCGACACCACCTCACGCCGCTCAAAGCAGTCACCCCCCCAAATCACAAAGAAGCCGCAAAGCGCCGCGCGCTCTCATGGCTTTAGAAGGAATCAACTCCGCAGGCAGGTCCACCACCGAAGAAGGCAGCTGCCCTAGCCAGGGGAAGAGAGTTCACCCACGACCCAGGGCCAACAACGAACGACGGCGCAAACAAGGCGCTACCCTGCGAGAAGCAAACGACCCACACCAACCAAAAGCACAGCGGCGCCATTACCTAAGACACACAACAGCAGCCGAAGAGCACCCGAGACAGAGATCACCGGGCAAAGCCTTCCGATCCGTGTTTCCGATGTTTACAACTATAACCCCCCAACAGCCCGCCACCCCTTAGCACGCACACCAGCCCGCTCACCCAGGGGCACCCCCTAGCTTTTCAAGAAACGCTACACCGCAGCAAGCTTTGGCGGGTCCCCTGGTGCACTGCGTTGCCCCGTAGGCAAAATGCGCGCGCCCTCCACGAAAAAGCATAAGCGAAGCCAACCGAACTCGACCAAACGAGCAACGACAAAGAAAAAGCACAACAAGCGAGAGAGGCTGGCCCCCCACCCCAGAGCCGCCTCCAGGTAGTTCCAACCAAGGTGCCCACGTTCTCCCTCGATGTATTACCCCGAGCCTGCAAAACCCGGCAGCACCCGCTTCGGGTTCCGCTCTCCTTCAAACAATCCAACGGAAGCCACACCCCCACAGACACCCGAGACACAACTACACACAAGCCCAGCCAGGTGGCGCTCGAGTTTCATTAAGACAAGGCGCCCGCCCTGCCCGCAGAAACAAAGAGCCACACAGCTACACCATGCACCGTCCCCACGGCACCGCAGCGGCAGCCCCTCGCGTAGCCCCGCTCAGTTACCTCCCCGAAAGAGTGAGCCAGCGAAGCTATTAGCATAGGGCCCCCCCGCTGCTTCACGCGTTTCACATGCCCCGCACAGCAGAACCCGACAAAAGCAGCGGAGGCGCGCCACCTATGCACGCCGTCGCCCGCTCTGTTTGCTACCATCGACCGACACCCACGGGGGCGGCGCCGTGGCGGCTTTGTGAGTGCGCTCTGACTGGGCGGCCCCATGCCGCTGCGACGGAGTGGGCGAGCCCATGACCACAAAACGAAGGACCCCGTCACCCACGGAAGCTTTGAAAGGCTTGCCCCTGAAATAATACGCGCGGCGGTGTTTGTACCAGGAGAGGGGCCGGCGCCCGTGTCAGCTCTCATTTCTGCGAGAGTGGTCGCGGGGAGTCACACCACAGCGGGGCGGCGTGGTGCATTCAGTCTGGACGCAGTGAAGGAACAGCCCACGGGTGTGCGTTCTTCATTTCTACACGGAAGGGCGAGCGCACTCCGCGGGAGCGCTGAATTTTGCAGCCAGCCGAGGCGGCTTTGGTTGGGCACTATTCGCAAGCACCACGCAAGCAGGCGCGAGGCTGGCCAGAGTGCTTTTCCCCGGCTGTTCTGCACAGGAGGCGCGTGTCACTGTTAAGAACTCTGCCCACGAGATTCGAAGACCCTACTATTAGGAGTTTAAGAGTACATCAGTACTAACTAGCCCTGTCCCTGGGCAAGTAAATGTAGATGCAGAACAGCGTGGAAAAGCACCATCGGGAAAAAAATGAATTGTACACAGCAGCCATAAGACGAGGAGCCGGCATTTGACGACAGCGCTGCCGATGTCAGACATGAGCTACTCGCTGATTGCGGTGCCTGCTTGAGCGATTGGAAGGGCAACTTGGAGCCGCCTGGTCTCGTCAGGCCGCCTTTCTTTTTCATCGCCTCCGTCTTCTTCGTTTCCGCGACTTTCTTCATGATTTCGTTTTGACCGGTGTAACAGTGGCGTTAAAGAGTTGCGGTAGTATTCTTTTCGGCCAGTGTTCGTTGACACAGTTGCGCTGGAGAGTATGCGGCTACTGCTAGTCTATGCAGATGTCTCTTTCCTCATACTTCTCAGCAGATGTGGAGGTCTCCCTAAGTATAAAGGTCACGTCTCCTTTCAAGTTCGTTGATTATGAAGTTTCTTTTTTTGTAGGCTAAGACCGCTGGAAGGGTGATCCTAGTGATATCCGGCGCGCCTGCCGGCGAAGGGTGGAGTCCGTTAACCTCCTTATTGTCTCCTTTCAAGTTCAAGTTCCTTGATTATGAAGATGTCTCCTTGTGAAGGCGCTCCCCCTGCAGTCGTCGTGGTGGTCCTCTTTATAACAACGCCCTCGCCTTGTTTGGTTAGAGCCTGTCGTCTTCTCAGTTGTGCATGGAGGTTTGACACCATCGTCCGTAGTACGAGATCGTTGTTGCTGTAGACCATGACCGTCTCTTTTTCTTCAAAAGTAAATTCGTTGTATCGTCAAGCAGTTGTAGATAGTACAATATATGATTTCGTCATGATGAAATGAATCTATTCGGCGAGCTGCCTAAGATTTCCCAGACGTCATAAGTGAATTCTTGTCGATCGCCAAGGGGTCGTTGTAGATAGTACAGTGTTGATATCGATTTCGTCATAAGTGAATTCCTATCGTCAAATAGATAGTAAAATGTTGATAACGCGACAACTTATGCATAAACTTTTTCGACCAGTATCAAGATGTGTGTATCAATCATGAGACCGGTGGACTTTGGGTATCAATCATGAGAATGTGTGCGTATCAAACATAGTCCATTGCACAGATTTAACAGACTGCTGTGAAGTAGATGTTTGCGCACTTAAATCACTTAGATGAGAGTAGTTAGTGGAAAAATGCGAATAAGATGCATGATAGTGGAGTATGAGTTACTAGACTGTAGTTCATTTAACTTCACCAAATCAAGGTTTTTTTTTTTTTTTGGTGTCCTCCAAATTTAGGTTGTTGTAAGGATGCACCTCTCAAGAGCTCAAGAATTCGTCTTCGCTTTTCAACGTCTCGGGTACGGGTTACTAGCTATTATTAAAGCTCAGCCTTCAATGGTCACTGACTCTGAACGGAAGGGACCCCCTTCAACGCTCTCCCCTTTGCCTTCGTTTTCCCCTGTTCTCTCAAGGGGTCGCCAGTGACCAACCCCAATGACCATTGAAAGCTGAGCCTTAATATTAGATACTTATTAGAGATGAAGACACACTCTCTGCAATGACCAGGTAGATCGGGCCACATCTTGTTATGAGACACTTTGGATGAAAAAACCAGGTAGACTTTCTTGGATGAAAAAAATACAAGAGTCGTTCGGTCATGGATAGGAGACTCTCGTGTGCACTGCAAAGGAGAAGAGCATTTTTTTATGAGATGGAAGGCTCTCATCTGCATGGAACACCTGTTTTCAAGACATCCCAAGTTTCTTTTTTGAAATCGTGCTTCTGCCACCCGTGATGGCGAGTTAATCCTGTGATGATCGCAACAACAATGGCGTTATTGTCATGCGTCTCCAACATCCGCATCTTCAAGGTCTGAACATTCATATGTCTCACAATTGCGTATTGAAAACGTCTATTCTGGAGGTAATTACTGGAGTTTTTCGAATAGAATTTTCTTGAGTTTCTTTTGTTCAGCAAACTACGTACTTCTGAGGAATGAACGTGAACCGTAGCACAGCTACCTGATGTATCAGAGTAAGTACCAGTAAATGACGGGATGTAGCTCCGCACTACCTGGTTGGTATCTATTTATAAGTACAGTAAATACTGGAAAGTACAATTATTACTTCTCGTCTTGTTTCAAGTCTTATTATAGTAAAAAAACACGAGGACTATATCTCTTGTGACCAGGTAAATTTTGTTTGTATCACTTCTTCTCATGTCTTCAGATCGAGCCGCTACTTATGAATACAATTACAACTTAGTTACTATGTTGTATAGTTTACAGGGATTATCCCGTGGATGTCGAAACCTTTGGAAGCAATATGGAAGAATTCTACAACTAAAAGAGCAGAAAAAGAGCTAGGTCAATCATGAGTAGAGGAAGATGAATTATTGCATCCACGAATTTTGGTAAGGAAAAACTACTCTTGCGAGCCTTCTTAGAAATACACAAGTATTTTTTTTTGGCTTACTGAAAAAAAAACTTCGACACTGATTTACCTTTACGTACGTAGTTCAGAATCAATTAAATGTTGAGTAAGTTATCTTCTATTTCTAATACTGCTTAGGAGCATGTACCTTTGCTTAGTGGTCGATGATAAAAAGAGTCGTAAACAACAAATGGTCTAATAAATATCTTCTTCTGCAGCACTCTGTATTTACGATTACGCACGATAATTGACGCGTATTTAGGATGATGATGTTCCCAGCATGCCTCCTATTGCCTAGAATGGTGAGCTACATCCCTGCGTCAGAGTCCTGCTCAGGGGCATCGTCTCCTGCACCAAAAAAGCAAAAATCGTATCCCTTGCGCAGCAAGCAAGAACCTCTGTGGCAGTCATTTGGGACCCACACGACCTCCTCTTCTTCCGTTGCTTCTGCGATATTGCAGTTATTAGAGCTGTCCGTAATTCATTTTCCAAGTGCATCCTTGGCAAGTACTTCTATGGGGGAGTATCATTCCCTTAGGTGGATACTCCTCCATACGTAGTTCCAAGGATATTACGTCAAAAGATGTTGTACTATTAGGTACTACAGCGTTTCGAGCATACGTCAACAGATGTATTAGGTACGGCCTTAAAGTTACTTGGGACCCTATTGCAGTTTCGGAGTAAAGAACGCTCGAAATTCGTCCCAATCGACCTCGCCGTCCCCGTTTGTTAGAGACGACGCCTACTAGGACACACGAGTAGGACAATGCATTAGTATTACAGGAGACACTTGATGACCTTCTCGTCCTCTACGACAACTTATACGAGTAGGACAATGTTGTATAATTACAGACACTTGATGACCTTCTCGTCCTCTACGAGAATTTATTATCAAAGACAGTAACTATGAATCTTTGCTCTAGCGAAGTTTGTTCTTGATGTTGGGGGCGAGGTATCCTTATTCTATATATTTATAATTGCTGACTCCCTATATACTTATATACGCTGACTCTTGGACATCATAAATTCTTGTCCAATTTCGCAACCATCGCTTTTACCTGAGAGGTGTCCGGTGAAAGCGTGCCCAGCCCCATCTCTGAACCTCTCGACAAGAGCTCTGAAATTTCGTCCACGGATAAGGAGCCTGTGCATTTTTGGGTGGATGGATCCATTTTGTGATTTCGTCCACGGATAAGGAGCCTGTGCATTGTTGGGTGGATGGATCCATTTTGTGATTCTTGCTTGTTGTCGTACCCACTTCATTCATTCATTCATTCATTCATTCATTCATTCATTCATTCATTCATTCATTCATTCATTCATTCATTCATTCATTCATTCATTCATTCATTTACCTAGCAAGAGGTAGTGTCTCAAAACCTTAATTAGGATGCAAAGGAACGGCTTCTTGTTCTAAAGTGTCACAAGGTAACAAAGTCAAGACTTGAGCCACTGAACTTGAAAACCTGAAGAAAAGCGCCTATTGAAGAGTTATATGCGTTGTGGTAGAACAGGGCTACAGAGATTAACGATGTCACGAGGAATCCATCTCACATCCAAAAAACCATAGAAGTTCTTTAATTCGAGGTCTAGGCTTTTGGTGTTCGTTTATCCCGCTTCTTGTTATGGCTGTCCCCCTTAGGAGAGCCATAACAAACGGTAACAAAAGCACCTTCAACCTACCCTTAATAAAGGTGTTCTTGGAGTTACTCCTAGAACGAGATGAGTTCGTGTTTTCAATACCACAATGTGGCATTACCCTTAATTCAATAGTTCTTTAACTGGAAACTATAATACTAATTTGAGTATTATACGGCACATATCTATGAAAAAAAAATCTGTTATCATTATCGTACTCTTCTACTTAAGAAACTTGATAATGATAACAGATTTTCGTTTCATAATATCTACTATGCTTTGATGTGAAGTATTATAGTATAATACTTCACAGAGCCTGGATATTATGATAATATATGTGGTGGAGCCGACCTAACTAGAAAAAAGACAGACCAGAGGAAGATATAGAAACAAAGCAACATAGATATTATGATAATATAAATTAATATCAATGCTTTGATGTGAAGTATTATAGTATAATATCCGGTATATACAAAAATACCTGAGTTGTCCACATCGAATTTTTGGAATGCTTGCCACAGCATATTGTCCAGGTTGTCATCGAAGAAGTTGAGGCAGCCAGCCACAAACTCGGTGTATTCGACTTCACCACTGTTATCCACGTTGCGATTAGAGCATAATTTTTTAGGAGTCGTGTGTCGTGCAGGTGTGTAATCCGTTCTTACTTATACTTCGTGGGGCAAGTAGACGTAGAAGTCGTGTATAATCCGTTCTTACTTCGTGGGGCAAGTAGACGTAGAAGTCGAGCTCGGTCTGTAGTAGGTAGTCCTTCTACTCGTTTACAACTCATCAGAAAACGTCGTTAGTAGTCCCTAGCTGCTAGGCAGAAGAACTGTCGTTCTTCAGGATGTATGTAAGTACTATATGAAAATAGATAAGATGAAGATGAAGTTTAAGGTAAGAACATATTGCGGTTTACTTCTAGTAACTTCATCTGAGAGTAGTTGACTCATAACAAGAGCTTCCGCGGCTTTGCGGCAGACGCTGCGCTCAACACCTAGCTCTTCTAAAGCGGCAGCTAACTCGGTCATCGTCAAGGTGCCACTATTATCCACGTCGTACTGAGAAAATTTTGTTCATAAAGATAAGCATTGGTCTTTCTCTAATACTGTCACGACATTACATGGGTGTGCAGAAAATGTTGAAGGGCTCGACGTGGAGGTCAACTCACCTTTGTTTTATACCCGCCACTACAGTGTATCACTGAGTACGAGAAAAATTATAATGACAGGAATATATAGCAAACAATAGCGATAGTCTAAGAAAGTACTTACTTTCTTAAAGAAGATGTCATCTTGAGAAGATGTGGTGGAAACTAGTAAATAATGCTGTTGTATGAAATAGATTGTAGGTTGTTCAATTTTACTAACCTTGCTAATAGATGAACTAACCAAACTCGCACACACTGAAAGTTAAGGGAGGGGTAAATATACTTTCTTGAATATGCCGTTGAGATGTGGAAGCTTATTGGCGGAGAGTTGGCTCGCCACTTGCATCCGGACAACTTTCTCGAGGTCGGATCGCTCATGGTAGGCACAAAGGCTCTGCATCACCTTATCACCCATTGCGTTGTCTTTCTGCGCAGAACCGTCGCGAAGCCTTGAATTTGAGGAGAGTTGAAGGAGTTCTAGGGTTTAGGGTTCTTGTTTAGGGTGGTTTAGGGTTTAGGGTTAGGGTTCTTGTTTAAGTAGGGTGGTTTAGGGTTTAGGGTTAGGGTTCTTGTTTCTGTTTGATGAGGTTAATAAGGTTCGCTTAAGGTGAAGTTCTTTTGGATTGGAACGGATTGATGGACCACGCTTCGATGGATGGGGTCAGATTGCTCAAGGTTTAGCTATAAACAAATGTAGCAGATGAGATTGACTAGTAAACAAAGAAAGAGTCAAAATGTGGGAAGGAATGCACGTAAAGGATTATGAGGACAACGCGCGGGAAAAGAAGCAGTTGTAAAATAAGTTTCCTATCAACAGATGTTACAAACATCAGAAAAAAAACTTCTCGCCCTTGTTACCAAAGAAAGTTTAGGCATTCCGCTGCGGAAGGCCGTCGATGTTCGTCAAATGTCAGCATCGCTTTTCTTAGAGTGAGAAGCGATTTTTTAGGAGGAAAAAACTCAACACCGTTATTTTGACAGTCAGCCTACCCAGATATATTCGACTGCTTCTTCCCTAGGATAAGAGTTGGCTCACCTATGAGGGGGTGAGCGTTCGAGGTCATTGAGGTGCTATAATAGAATGAACTTTTCTAAACCGGAACATGCTCGAACCGCACGTGGGGACCGACGTATCTATCCGATAACCTGTGATATGCAGCTTCTCTACGTCATTAGGGAGAAGATGTAAAAGATCTAAAAATCTAAGAATGCCAATAACTCCTAGGATATAAGGAAAAGAACCCATCAGGCCGCTGGCCGAGTCTTGTCAGCCTGGCATTTTATCATCAAACACGCACAGTTTCTATTTCATTTAAGCCAAAAAGAAAAAGCCTCGCGCTCATAGATGCAAGAGCCTGGCCATTTTGTTAGCCTGGGGTCGCCGTCGCGTGATCACCAAGACCAAAATAATACAACAAAAATGCGCGGAATCGACTGGCTGCGGACGAGCAACGCGCTGACGCTGGCGGTTTGCGTTCCCGTCTGTCACGCTTTCTCTCTAAGTATTATTTTTCGCGCCCTCGGTGGCTGCCTACGTCCTTGAAGTGGCAGAATCTGCAAAGGCCCTCGCATGGATGGTAGCCAGATGTCTGTAGTTCTTCAATGCGCGAGGGGGTCGGCTGTTTCATGCTGCGACTGTTTTCATAGTGCATGGCGCTGCGAAATCGTCGCCGTGCGTGTGGGTGCACTATGTTCGTCTATGGCACGGCGTCAACTAATAGCAGTCACCATTTCTTTGCGCCTCAACTGCCTAGAAGTAGCCCTAGCCACGCTTTTGCGTGAAGCTATTACAAACGCCGGCATGTTTGTGGAATAGTTTCCACCTGGGTCCAGATCTCACCTGCGCGCCATATTTGAAAAGCAGCCACGCCAAGAGCACCCGCACGACGCTAGCCCTAGCACCATCAACACGCTGGGCATTTTTTTGCAGCAGCTTTCGTGCTTCTTTGGACCTTGATGAAAGAAATGGGTCGCAAGCACTAGCGCCAAGACTTGCAAAAAAGGAAGCCAGCGAAAGAGACTACACAACGGCAGCGAAATGGGGACCGCGCTAGCCATCTAGCGCGGGCGCTTCGCCGCGTCCTCGCCCACGCCAAAGCCCCCAGCAGCCCCCCCGGCGGCGGGTACAATATCCACGCCACAAGGGGCACCCGCTTGGTATGTGTCGACGAGAACGCGAGCCCACGCGCCTTGATCAGTCACGAGGCTGGTTACTTAAGAACGGCAGACAGCCGCCCGCGGTTCACGCGATAAACAGACACCAGCTGCGCGGCCGATCGGCCTCGGCGACTTCGTCCGCATTCTGCACACCATCCGGGCCCATCCGCTTGACGCGGAACGCTGAGCAAACCGCCCCGCGAATACCGTCAGCCGAGCTCTCCCCGCTTTAAGTGTCAGCGCTCGGCCTTTTTCAGAAGGGCGGCGTCGGTCTTCCGCAGAAGCCTGCCAACGAACACGCCCCCCCAAAAAAATGGCCCAGGGGAGGCGCCGCGCTTCTTGGCGGCAAAGATGCACAACCAAGACCAACCCGAGCCCCACTCCTCGCCGAGCTGGGGCGCCAGCTGGGGCCTTGTCCTGTCGCGCTCTTCCAAAGGCTCAACCTCAGCCCCAGCGAAGACAGCGGAACCAAGCGCGTCAGCGAGCCCACGGGTCGCCTTTTTGCATTATCCTGCGGCCGCTGTTCTGAGTGAGTGCGAGGAGCGTCACGCGGATGCGGGCGGGAAGAGTGAAGGCGTCACCGCTGTCGCTTTCCTCGTCGCTGTTTCCGCTGCTGCTGCTCTCACTCGGTTCGCTGCTGCTTCCGCCATCGCCCTCGCTTGCGCTTTCGCGGTCGCTCTCGCTGCTACTCGAGAAGCAAAGCGAGCACCAGCTGCGTGACAGGCGGCGCTGCGGTCGTTGGCCCACTCGATGGCGGCGTCGCTCGTCTGTCTTGCGAGTCCACGAGCTGCGACAGACGGAGGGGGACGGCCGTCCAGCCGTGGCTCGCCAGGTCCGCAGCGGTATCAGCTCCGGCTGAGGCTACATCGTCAGGCGTAAGGAGGTCCATGGTTTTTCTCACTCCTAGAAAAAACAGGAAACAAGCGGTCTACCCGGCGACGTGGGGTAAAGGAGACCGCCGCACGGCCTTCGTCAATGTGAGCGATGTGGTCAAAGACGTCACATAGAGAACGACCGTCGATACCAAGATCAAGCTAGTCGATGCGAAGGCGACGCGACTGACGAACATCCGACCAGTGAGACACGCCGCGTCGACCGTGGTATTACGAAGTGTCTACTTCTAGCATGCTAAGAGTGTGGAAAGTCTGGCCTTCGCGTGGCTCCCTCCCTCTCCTACTTTGCCCGCCAGCCCAGCTTGATGCGCTCACGACTGGGAGCGCGGGAGTGACACAAGGGTCCTTTGCATTTGTGCGATTCGACTTCACCAAACGGGTGTGAGCAAATTCGGCACCGCATGCAGTGTATGAGCTTGGCTTCTTGGCTCCACTCTGCGATCAGCCCAGGCCTGACTTCATAGCCGTCTGTTCGCGCCTGAGAATTCCCCCGCAGTTCCGCTATAAAATACAAGCGCGGCTCGTCTTCTTTCATACACTGTGCCCACCTGAGCTCAATGCGCTCGATCACCCCATCGCGGAAGACCGAAGCCCCGTGATTGAGGATATCCGAATCGCCTTCGCCTTTGTCGATTATTTGACGGGTGTGCTTTTCTCCTGAGACAGCAGGGAAAAAGCTGAGTGCGTGCAACTGGATGGCCAGCGCCGGACCTTCGTAGGCTTTGAACCGTTCCGCCGGCGTTGGCGGGCCCCTACGGGGACAGTGTAAGGCACTCGGCCGACAGCCCATCTCTCAGCGAGTGCATGCGAAAAAAAAACTAGGGGCATTTCTTTTCGAAAGTCAATCGCGGGCATGGCGGCGCCTGCGATGAGACGCGACGCGATTTGGCCCTCTCGCAAACTGCTATAAGAAAACGACGACTCGAGGGGCGTATGGCGAACGACGATCCGAGAGCAGTAGCTCCGGACTGTCGCTAATTGCTATGAAAGAACGACGACGCGAAAGGCCCATCGCGAACGACGATCCGAGAGCAGTAGCTCCAGACTATCGCTAACTGCTATAAGAGCACGATAGCCAGCCGACTTGGTTTAGCCCTGTCACGAACTGCTATAAGAGCACGACGACTCGCGGGGCCTATGGCGAACGACGATCCGAGAGCAGTAGCTCCACACTGTCGCTAATTGCTACGAGAGAACGACGACTCGAGGGGCCTATGGCGAACGACGATCCGAGAGCAGTAGCTCCAAACTATCGCTAATTGCTATAAGAGAACGACGACGGGAGAGCGCTGGCTTATGGCGAGCCAACAGGGGACCGCTTTCGAAGTTAGCAAGCTTATGGCGAGCCAACGGCTCTTCATCTGTTTGCAAAGTTCGAGCGTCGAGGTGTTATCTGTTGTTTTGATCACGCCACGTCGTCAAGTTTTGGAGGCAAATAGCTCAGCGCGCTGCGCTGGAGAGTCACGCACTGAGTTCAAACCGTGCTGACTTCATCATAGAGAAAGAACCTGCGACGCGTTTCCATCTGGAGTAAGATCAGCCGTGATAGTTCAGCAAGCTGTAGAAAGTAAGCAGCTCAGCCAGTAGGACGCCGCCGCCTGTGATGAAAGGTATCGTTTGGATGGTGAACAGTCGCCAGGTGTTGTCCTCCTTGAGGCCTCGCGCGTCTAGTTGGTTGCTGAAGTTCGCTGCCCTTTTTTGCTTCAGAAGTAGCGCGCCTGCTCGTACCTTGGGGAGGCAGCAGTGGCCATTGCCTCGCCTTCTGCCTCGTCTTTTGCAAGCCGGAAGGCGATGCCGACGGCGTAGCATTCTTCTGCCGAAGCGAATCCTTCGAAGTGCGTCTCCTCCTCGGTACTATCCACTTTGAGCTGTGAGGCCTGGACCCCCTTGTCTCGGCAGTGGAGGCGCCGCGCATAGCCCACCGCGTGGCTGTCACCAAGAACCAACTGCGCAGCCTGTTCGCCTTCCTGCAAATAATTCTGAAGGGTCGCCGCCTCACCTAGCTGCTGTCTGACGTCATCCAGACCCGTCATACCAAGGCCGGGGCTTTTCATCTGCTTCAGGTAGCCACAGCAAACGACGGCAAAATCAAGGCTGGCGATGTGTTTCACGTCAAGGGGCTTGGCTTTGAAAGGTTGCCCTAGAACCGGCTTCGCGACGTCGTCGCCCGCGACGTGAGATGGCGTCCGCACTATGCGTCCGCCAGGTCGGTAGCTCAGTGCCTGGGAGTGTGTAGGAGGCGGCCATCGTAAGGCCGTTAGGAATATGGTCAACGGGGACGGAAGTCGGTAAGGATATGGACAGCGAGGATTGGATATGGACAACGAGGACGAAGGAGCAATGGAGCGAAGGCATCCGAAAAGGAAGGCTATACCTGTACGCCAGGAATGCTCTCAAGCTCTTCCATCTTGGCCGCCGTGATGCGCCGTTTTTTGTTCGCCCATATAGTTGGCCGCCGTGGTCACGTTTTTCGCCTGCGCATCCGTGGCGCAACAGCTGTAGAGGCGAGCGCCTGTTTTTGCGCACTCCTGGAGACCATGGCCGACGTCCGCTCTCAGCTTGATAACGTGGGCGCCGCCTCGTGCGTTTTCGTGTAGTTTTTCGGGTTCCGCTTCGGCACTTTGATAGGGTGCGGCGAGAGCTTGGCACCCTTCCAGACCAGCTTCGTGAAGAAGCACTTGGCAGCGGCCTCAACGAAGACGGTACCGACACGGTCTGGGCGGGCGTCCTCGTTCACGTCAAAGCGGCCGGCCTCCTCCGCGGCGGGAGTATCCGCACGACATGCGGCACCGCTTTGGTATGCGTCGACGAGGAAGCGCGCCCAGGCGTCTTTACCGGCGACGAAACTGCCCAAGAACGGCAGACGGCCACCCGCGGTTCGCGCGATTATCGCTTACCAGCTGCGCGACTGATCGACCTCGACAACCTCGCCCGCATCCTTCACGCCGTCCGGGCCCAGCCGCTTCGCATAGGCGTGGCCAAGGGCCGCGCGCGGGACGTTGAGCAAGCCGTCCTGCGAATACCGTCGGCCGAACTCTCCCCGCTTTAAGTACTGGCGCCCGGTCTTTTTCATACGGACGGCGTCGGTTTTCAGCGGAAGCCTCTCCGCCGACTGGTCTACTGGGCCTCCCAAGTAGTTCAAGGCGCAGTGCTTGGTAGCGGAAAAGATGCGTAATCCGCCGGAACTCCACTGTTCGTCGAGCTGGAAGTCCGGTTGAAGCGCCGCCCTGTTGCGCTTTTCCAATGGCTCAGCCTTAGCACCAGCGAAAACAGCGTAACCAAGCGCGTCGGTGATAGAGTCCAAGGCGGGCAGCCCACGGCTTCGTGCTAGGCGCATGATGTCAGGCAGCCGAGGGCTGTACAGCATGAGCGGGGTCTCTCCGCCGAGCTGTCCGAGCTCATGCAAGCAGCGGGGACGCTTCTCGAGCAACTCCACAGCCTCATCAAAGCGCTTTTTTTTGGGTTTCTCCGTTGTTGCTCTGGCACGCGCTCCCCTTCAGGAGGCGGAAGGTGTAGGGCCAGTCTTGGTTGGCGCTACCGTCGTTTCTGCTAGCGTGACTGCAGTAGCCGGCGACCTTTGCCAGCCAGTCGCCCGCGGAGGCAAAGCCAGAACCAGGCGCCGACTTCGCTTTCTCGAAGACAGCCGCCAGGTGCGCGACCTCCTGCGCGAAGAGGATCATCGCGTCCATCATGAGGGGCGCGCCGATCTCCGCCGGGACCAGGTCGGTTCGGGACATGACTTCGCTTCGTAGAAGGACGCTTGCCGGGTCCTTGCGCTTCGCGAGCAGCTTTGAGCGCGCAAACTCCTCCCGGGATTCGGCGTCAGTCCCGACGACGGCGCCGCGGCCGCACCACCTGTTCTTCTCCTCGTTTTTTTAGAGGTCACCCCTGTTCACCCTGAGCTGCGTCTTGCGCTCCCCTTAAAAACCTGGGCAAGATGCATTCGATGACGGAATGGCGGGAGCCTTAATTTTTCTTGGGCGGCTTGTCGATAAGCGGGCAGACCCATCCTTCACTCTCGTAAAGTGAGGAAGGCGTGAAGATGTCTGCGCGCTTTCGCCAAGCGGCTTTCGCGCCGAGGTTTACTCTGTTCATCTCTGCAAGACAGTAGCACCCCGGCGCGGCGGCCATGTCGGGGCCCAGATCGAGCGGGGTCTGCTCCGCTTCTGACTCAGCCGCCCACTCGCTAGAGGCGTCCTCCAACGCCAAGGCCTTAGCATGCGCAAGCATAAGGTAGCGCGCGCGCTGCATCTTTTCCGCGACGAGGCGACGAGCCCCCGCGTTAGCCTCCTTCCGTTGACTCCAGTCCGCTACAGCGGACTTCAGCAGCTCCGCAGCCCCTCGGGAAAGGGTCACGCGGTCGACTTCGCCATCTTCGTCGCGCACTGCGTAGTGCCCGGCAAGCCGGATGGCCCCCTCGGCTTGAAGCGCGCGGAGTTGCTGCAGCGTGCCGGTTACTGGGATCGGGTCGCTGTCATACGGCGCTTTTGCGGCCCGCCTGGGACCGTAGTGCACCACGCGGCAGCGCCAGGCCATGCCGCTACTGTTCAGCAACCGCGCGTAGGCCCCCGTCCGTTACAAACATCCAAAACAACAAAGACCACGACGAAGAAAATCCCCAAAGAGTCCCCCTAGAAAATCCCAAATCCATCCCGCCGAGCACTGTGCCCCCGTGGTTCAAACCCATCCCCTGAGAGGCGTGCAAAAATGTCGCAGCATCTGCGCCAGGCTTATCCGCTGAGAGGCGCGCAAACCTGTCGCGGCATCTGCGTCATGGTGTGGGAGAAATCTCGCACAACCTGCCCGAAATCGAGCGGCCCCCTGCATGCGATGCGCCCCCGCGCTATGCTGGTGCGCAGTGAGTGCGGCGCCGCTCCTGCCTGACGAGAGTGGGCGAGAAAGCTGCACAAATTCACAGCGGCGGAGCCTGCGCTTTTGCATAATGAATTCCCACGCCTTTCAGCGAGATGAATGATCGCAGCCACGACAGGAGTGCCGGCGCGTTTTACTTAACACGCAAACAAAGAGAGCCAGCCCAGCAGCCCGCGTAGTTTCGAGAAACACACACGCCAGCGCCACTCCCTCCGCCGTTTTAAAGAGGGGGACGAACTGCAGCACGACCATAATTATAAACCCCAAAGCAACGACGGCGAAGCCGCTCCGCCGCCGAGCCTCTTGGCAGTAAGTACGTGAACAAAGCCAACCCACCACCACACATCCAAGGCAAAAGAGGGGGGCGCAAGCTGGTGCAGGCAGGCGCTGTCTCAAGTTGGTTGGCTCTGTCAGTCTTGCTCTAATCACTAGGCACGCACAACCTAAAACAACGCCCGCAAGCAGCTTCACAACGAGCCGGCCCAGCCATGGCAGTGCCTGCACCTGCAGGCGCTAACGATGATAAAGCGCCGACGCGTCAGCCTGCGCAGCGACGACAACCAGCGGCGCAGTGCGTCCTCCTTGCTGTTGTTGGTGTTGTAGCTAGCGTCGACACTCTCCGTCTCCAGATTTTGACCGGATGCCGATAAGAAGGCAACGGCACACCTGCAGCAGCATGCGTGGTAGCAGAAAAAAGCACGCCGCCGAGCGGTGCATCTGAGGCACTTCTTCACAAGCATCCACCAGGCAGGGAACCCCCCGCCACGGCAACAGCCGCGCCAGAGCAGATCCACCCCAGAAAGAGAAGGGGCCAAAGCGTCTTGCGCGGGCCGCTCTTACTAATGACCTCGCAACGACATGCGCCAGCGTCTAACCCTTGCCACCAACAAGAAGCAAAGCAAAGAGACACACCCCAGCAGTTGCCAGCCGAAAGGACTTAAATCCTGAAGAAAAAGCCGCGAAAATTCTCGCAGGCGAGGCCTGCGCCCTGTGTCACGTGACACACACCGGCACGACCTGCCGCCATGTTTTGGAAGGAGTTCCGCAAGCAACAGCCCGCCGCCGCGCCTTGCGGCCCCCATCTGGTGCGCTGCAGCTGCTTGCGCGTCTTTGTACACGTCTGCGCGCTGCCTGTGAGCCACGCACAGCACACGCGGCCCCGCTTCCCGCATCCCCGCCCCCCCTTGTTTGTTTCGCGGCTCTTACTTATCCCCCGCAAGCCACTTCTGCTCTCCACACCCACGCGGCTGAACGAAGCAACACACGCAGCGCCGTGAGACTGCGCGCAGCTCATCTACAAAGGGCAACGCTTCAGCCAAGTCAAAGCCAAACAGCTGCCACACTTACCCGCAACACCGAACGAAAGCGCCCCACCGTTCTGGCTGCAGGGGCCAGACGCTGCGTCTGACTGTCTTGCCACCTGGCGCCTGTTGAACTATCGGCGGACACAATCAACCCAAAACAACTGAAAGCGACAGAAAACCTTAGAAGAAAGAGAGCCGCCCTGTGTCACGTGACACAAGCCGGCACTATTTTCCCCACACTTTGCGGGCATGTCCTCGCCCCCCGTCTTCCGATGTCACAGAACGCGCCCTCCCTCACCAGCTTGCTCGATTTGTCCAAGAGAAGAGCCAGCAGACCAGCCAAAGAGAAAAACACGAACCGAGACAACGCAGGCAAGCCCTGCGACGGTGAAGCCAGTGGGCGTCACGTCTGTCTCTGTTCTGCCCCTCTTGTGTCCTAAGCTAAGTAATGCACCTAGACAGCCACACACCCCAGCCCGCCTCTCCGTGTCAAGCTTCCTGCCCCAGGAGTCTCGGCAGAACATGCCGCCAAGCTGTTCGCTAGTCATTCCTCCAGCGACAAAGCAAGGCGCCCAAGCACCACGCCGGCCGCCAGGGCTCAAGCTAGTCCACGCCGCGCCCCCCGGGCTGCCGCTGGCTCGCGTCCGTTTTCTATCACTTGGCGGCGGCGCCGTAGCTGTGTGCTATGAGAGAAGGCTGCCCCCTCCTTCATCCCTTAACTAGTGGCAGAAAGCTGCCACCAGCCACGACCGGCGCCGCGGGTGGTGTGGAAGCTGACACAGAAGAGCCTCGACCAAAGGCGAAACCCAAGCCCAACCGTGTCGCCGCCAGGGCACACTCGCCGACAGCCTCCTCTCTCCGACAAGAAAAAGACTACAACAGCAGACCGAGGCAGAGCCACTGCGCCACTCATTAGCCCGCGCGCCCCTTGTTTGACAGTGGCGCGATAGCGTCGCCCGGTCGCTTCTCTTGAAGTAGGCAAGCAGAGGAAAAACATAAGCAGCACCCACTACAAAGCCAGCCAAGAAGAGACGAGCAAGCCAAACGCAGGCCACCATGGACAGCAGCGCAGCGGGCTGGCTGGCTGCTCCGAGTGGTTCACGCGGAGTGGCTTGGTGCCATTTGTTCGCCTAGCTGCCTGCGCCGGTCCTCGCGGTCTGTAGCATACACACAAGACAAGAGCAGCCGCGCCCATTCTGTAACACACAGCACGCAGGGCAAGACCAGCCACGCAGGCTGGCTCCGTAGCACACGCACAAGAGGAAACCAGCCGCGCCGGCTGGTTCTGTCTGTTTCTGTAGCATACACGCAAGACGGAGACAGCGCGACAGACTCCGAAGGCAGAAAGCCAGAAAGACACACGAAGACCCAGCAAAGGGCACAGATACACGCACGAGGGGCCGAAAAGTGAGAAAAGTGGAGAGGCCTCGGGGATTTTATAGCCATATGGAGAGAGGTCGCGGGGACGCTTCAAAATTTTGCACCGAATCAATCTGAAGCACTTCCGGACGCATCTCGCGGACACACAAACGGGGCAACACCTGAGAGCGAGACACGATGAAGAAACAACGAAAGAGCCGCCCAAACCTGTCCCGCGGTCGGGATGGCTTGGAGATTTTCTGGGGATTTTATGGGATTTTATAGCTATATGAAGCGAAGGACTTCGCCTTTTTTTGAACTGACGAAACTGCATGAAGGTCCAAAAAGTGAGACACCTCCTGAACCTCTTGGAGAGGATTCGCATATGAAGAACGAACCAGACACAAAAAGCAGCCAGAAGAAGACAGAAAACATAGCCAGAATTTTCCCAAATTCTTCACACTTTCTTGCTCCCTCTTGAAGCTTCCACAAGAAGGGCAGAAAGGTGGCAAGAACATGCTGCATTTTTGTGCGCCAAAAACCGCGCCTCTTCATATGGATATCCGTCAAAAAAGTGCGCCAGTTTTCCTCCTCACTCTAAAGAGGAAAAGTGGGGAAGGTTTGGGGATTTTTTCAAGGCTCTCGCTCGCTGGGCCTGTCTTGCGTGTATGCTACAGAAGAGGCGCATCAGCATCAAGCTGGCCGCTCTTGCATGTATGCTACAGACAGAGCAAGCCCGCAGCGGCGTGACATGTGGCGCCTGGCTGCCGTTGGTCTTGCGTGTATGCTTGCGACAGAACAGAGAAGAGCGGACAGCGCCGAGACGCGGCATGGGGCTGCTCATAGAATGGATGGCCTCACCCAAGAAGCCTCGCCCAGTCACCACCAACCAAACGCACAACAACGCAGAAAGGGCCCCATCTTGCTGCGGCGGGTGGGCCTTGTTGTGTCTGTGCTGCGCGTCCTCTCCTGGGTTCACCTTTGTGGTCCACTCACATCGCAGAGGGGGCGCTGCGCTGAAGCTGATCGCCTTGCGCCCGCTGTGCTTGGTTAATGTGGAAAATGCGCCACACCAGCTGGCGCGCCCGTGTATCTTCTCACCCTGAGCCGACGCCACTGCCCCTCTCTGCTGAAGGCGGGCAGTCTGCCACAGAAGGCGCCCGCCTTGCTTTCTTTTTTGAATTCAGTGCCCACCGCTTCGCGCACTCCGTGACAAACCATGCGACCCAAAAGCTGCGCACTGCTGGGGCGTCCATCTTTGCAGGCTTCTCATCCTCTACACCTAAGGAAGACCATTGCCAACGCAATAACCCAACCACGCGCACGCGACACACAGGCGAGGAGCTGCGCCCCAGCTCTGCGCGCAAGGTCTATGTCTAATGCCTCACCCACACACCCCTCACCACCTGGGGGGGGCACGGACATAGAAAAAGCAAGAACGAAGCCTGCCAGCCCCTCACTAATTCATGGGCACGCGGGGGCGCAGCATGCAGCTGCGTGGTGGGTTTCGTTTGCACATGACTGAGGGGAAAGACACACACGCCGCTGCCGCAAGCGCCGCGGGGCCTGTCGCTGCTTCTCCCGTACTTTACTGGAGCGAGACGAGCCAAGCACGCACCAGCTGAAGAAGAAAGGTGGCCGCTCCACGTCTGTTAAAAAAAGAGAAGGGCCACCATGTGAAAGCCAGGCGCCATCTATCTCCAAACTTCAGCGCCCCACTTTCTACAGCTTCCAGCATTGCAGAACGCTGGGCTCGCTACGCATACCAAAAAGAGAAAAAACCACCCCACGAGGAAAGGCCCGCCCCAATCGTCAAGGGCAGCGCCCCCGCCGAGTCAAAGCCTTGCAGCTTTGTCGAGTCGGTGGCCCCCCTTGCTTCTCTTCCTTCACCTTGGGACAACGATTGACAAAGACCAGCCGACTGAAGGAGAGCGAGGCGCACCGGCAGAACTACCTAGCCACCTCGCACCGCCTCCGCCTGCCCTCGCCTTCTGCTCATGATAGATCTAACACAGCCAAGCAAGCCCCGCGCTGGAGTGAGCCCCCAGAGATAGCGCGCAACTTATTTGCCCTGGCGCCCATTTCCTCACGCGTGACCCCCGGCCAGGGCGGGCGCTCGCAATAAGATGAAGAAGCACGCCACGCACTGGCAGCCCTGCCCAAAATGGACAGAAAGGCGCAGCAGCTGTCTGCCCAACTCCTTTAATGAGAGCTACGCGAAGCACCCACGCAACGAGCGCCGCGGCCACGAACGAAGGGAGAAAAAGCGAAAGCCGCCAGCAAGCAGCGGCAGCGGAGGACACTTTCGAGCAAAATGAAGACCAACCCCGAGGCGACTCAGATAAGAAGACGGGCGGCAGAAGTTCCCTTGCTTACTTCTCAGCGTCTCCCCTTGAAGCCACGGCTACGAACTTCGAGAAACAACCAGCGGCACACCCCGGAGGTACTTTCTCGCCCTTTTTGCCAGATTTCGAGGACTTCCCACCACTCCTTCGCTGACAGACAAGACAAGCCGCACAGCTTGAAAGTAGGTAGCGAGATGCAAGCGCAAGCCCTGGCAGCGGCATGCGGCGCGTGGCCAGCTTGCCTGTGCCTCTGTCTTGGTCATCTATGCCTCAAGCTGGCCGCGCGCTGCACATAAGCGCAGCGGCCAAAAACCGCGCCCCAGCTGGCGCTCTTGTTACCAAATGCCCACCCTTCAGCCCTGCCTCCTCGCCTGCCAGCTGAGTCAGCGCCCCTGAGTGATATCTATCTAAATAGCAGCAAGCGCCGCGGCCCGGGGTCGCTGAATGATAGAAGAACCACAGCCACAGCCTGCGGCGATGGCCTGACGCTGCAGCCCCCTCTCTCCACGGCGTCAGGCAGCCGGGGGCGGGGGCTGGCAGTGGCGTCAGCCATCGGAATGACTACAGTGCCACGCACAACAAGCGTGGCAGCGAGCCTTCCAAGCCACCGCGACCACGATGCACACCAACCAAAAAGAGACAAACCAAGCACGCAACAAGCAACAGCCACCCGCAAAAAAGACACCAACCACGACCCACAAACGCAAGCGCCAACGAAACCAGCAAGCACCAACGCAAGCCCTTGCGCGTGGAACAATACCAAACAAGCACCAAGAGAGCGCGGGCGACCGCTCTGACGGTATGCCTGGCGCGCAGCCTAGAAGCTCCCGGCGGCCCGCGCATAGAATATCACCCAAACGAAGCAAGCAAACCACGCAGAGAAGCGGCGCGCCACGCCTTGGCCGTGCTGCAGCACCGCCCAGCAGTATCGACAGCAAGCCCTTGGCCCTGGCGCGTCTTCTTCATTTTGCGACCCCGCTCAGCCTGCCGCCGCCTCATGCGCCTGGGCCTGCACCTCAAGCAAAGGCAAAAGCAAAGCCGAAAGCAATGCGCGCCTATTTATGGCGGAAGCCCCGCGCCAGAAGCAGAACAATCAACAAGCGACAAGAGACGAAGCGAAAACCCACGACATTCAAGCAACAACGGGGGAAAGCAGCCACCCCCCCTGCCGCAGTCCCTTCCCCGTCTCTCGTTTGCTCCCTCCTGTACCCCTGCAAGTGTGAAACTACTCACACACAGGAGGCGCCCCCAGCTCGATACAGTTGCACCTCATCCCGCCACCCGTTGCTAGTGCCAACTACAACACAGCGCGCAGCCTCTGCAGCGCTTGCCGTGGCGGCGACATTTGTTAGCCAAGCTCGAAGACTACGGGCCAAGGCCTTAGCTTCTTAGCTAGCTATCTGAGAACACTCACACGAAGGAGCCGAAGCGACAAACCCCGAAAACAACTCCCAGCGAAATGCCATCAGAAACAAACAAGACACACACGACACGCAAAGAAGAAGAGGCGACAAGTATCCACACTGACTTCCAACACAAACAACACAGCGCACGGGGATGGCCTTGCGTACAATATGACACCACCCACAGGGATGCGCTTGCCACCGCTCCACTACTCACCCCAGGGGATGCCTTTGGGATTTCCTCAGGATTTTCCCGGGATTTTCTACACGCGCCAGGTTGTTGTTTCTGGTGTTTGTAAGTCCGCTCCGCTTCGACTTCCTGCGTGAAGGCGGCCCTGCTTAGACGTGGACGCCCCGAAGACGAGTCGCGGCGGAAGGTAGCCGCCTGTCGTTGTCCTTCGTCAAGCTCCCCGCCCATCCAACCCCGGAGGCGGATTTCCTGCGTCGGGCCCTTGCTTTCCTCGTTGTTCAGGAAGAGGCCGCCCGCCTCGTCGTTGAAATCGAAAAGAAGCGCCGCTTTCGCCATTACCTCACTCCATGCCGACTTGCTGCTCGTGGTTACTCGGCGCAAGTTCGCACACCCGGGGGCTGCTTGCTCCGCCTTCGCCATGGCGCCGCCCTGGACCTTCTTCGCCAGCGACTTCCCGACGCCGGAGTTGGCAATCCCCGTCGTGTGTGACCTGGTGACTACGCCGTCGACCGTGCTTGCCGGATGCTGGCAGTAGTCCACGAAGGTCCGCCGCGAATCTTCTTCGAGGTCTGCAGGCAGACCCGTTTTTTCCAGGACGTCGCACACGAGCGCCCCAACGCGCAACCGCCGGACGTTCGCGGAGCCTATGCGCCGCCGCTTTTCTTCCTCGTCACACTGCTCCAGAAGGCCGCCAAGGAGCTGCGTGTACTCGGCGCCCAGCGGGGAGACCCCCTGACTGTCGTCCCGTTCCTCGCTGCTGTCGTACTCGTCGAGCGGAACATAGGCGCCGCCGCGCCCACTGTTTTTTGCTGTCCACTCTTCCAGCTCCTGTGCCGAATAGTGTCGGCTTTCCTGGTCTCGTTCATGAGGAAGGAGGAGTAGCAGAGCAGCTACCGTTCGAAGGCACTCGCCGGCCTGGGCCGTGCGGTTCGTTGCGCTCCGTCAGCTTCAGGAGACTAGGGTCTGTCGTATTTCGGACCTGATGCCCTTGCAGCAAGAGACGCGCCACCCTCTGGCATACCGCGACGCGCCTCGCACTGGCCTCCTTGCTTAGTAGGCGGGCACGCTGGTTTGGCGGTATGGCTTCCCGCCTTTCATCTTGCCGCACCGCTTCCCCCTCAGCGCTGGAGGACAGGACGGCCGCAACCTCTTCGGCGCTTGAGGACAAGACCACGGCGCCGCCCGCGGTCGATGTCCCAGCGGAAGCGCGAGTCCCGGCAAGGCGAGTCGGAGCCCGCTCTACCTCTTCTGCCTCCGCACGCACGGGAGCCGGATCCCCTTCGAGCTTGACGCGCTTCGGCGCCCGCGCCCCTTCCTCGTCCGAGTCTGGTATGGCGATCATATCGTCGGCATACTCTTCATCGCACGCAGAGCACCGCACACGCGGCAGGTCGTCCCGGTCGCGCAAGTCGGGGGCGCGACTCTGGGCAGAGGTGGGCGCCCGTTTTCGACTCAGGCCGGCGGCTGCGGGGTCGCCGTCTCCGAATCGGTCGCCCTCTTGGCTACCGATGTGAGGCGCTTCGCTCGTTACAATTGACGGCGGGGCAGCCCTCTTCGAGGCTCCTTCTCCAACGGCGTCGGGCTGGTCTACTCCACTGCGCTGGCCTGTCGTTCCGCAGCCATGGCAGAAATCGCCGCGCTGCGTAAAGCCATGCCCCTCGCGCGTGTGACGCCGGCGAAGGTCTTCGCTGGTGTTAGGCATGCGGCGCGCCTTCCACACTCGAAACAGCAAACGCAGACTGGGCTGTTTGCCCAAGCTAATGCCTCAGCCCTCTCGCCGAGGCATTGAAGAACACCAGGCCCCGCTGTTGCAGATTGAGTGGGATAGATACTAATCAAACAAGGGACGCGGACGCAATCAGTATCAATGTGGCCCATGGAAAAAGCACCGCGAACAGTTGAGGGCTTACCAATGACACCAATCAGCTTCATCGAATACAACAGCACAAAGCCGAAACTGCGAAAGTGGGGCGGATGGATCATGCGCAGTCTATGAGTGCCGACCTTTGGCATTATCGTCGTGCCAGTGTATTGTGGGCCAAATCAAATACGACGATGAAAAAGTAGGCAACTACACTGGCGCAATCTTGAGCCAAAGTGGCTGCGTAGTCAGTAAAAGTCAGCGCGTCAACAACGTAACTCAACAAATACAAGCTCAGAACTCTTTGGTAGTGAGTTAGAATTTCAGTGCTGTACGCTATAGTATACCGTGGCCGCCAGGACCTGACAAGAATCGGCTGTCGCATAATATCAACCCAAATGCACCTACTAGAAGATGGCTAAGAAGTAAGTTAAATATTTTAGATTAGTTAGGTTATAAATATGCACTCTGCAGCACACCGATGTCAAGCTATAGCTATAGACTGATTAGAAGGTGTCTGAGTTGTCCCATGCATGTACTGGAGCCATAACTTACAGAGCATGGTCGCGCCGTGCGAACAATGATCCAAAGCGCTCCAGTCTGGAGGCCGAGACAAAACTGCAACCCAGTCCTTCTTTTTCGTCGTCTTCGCAAGAAATGGCAACTTCCCGGCTAACAACTGGAAAAACACTACCCCCAAGCTCCATACCTTTGTATGTTTTAGAATGTAAAGCAACCTCCGACCTTATGGATTGCATTGCATGGATGGCATGCGTGGCATGGATGGACCACCCCAAAAGCAATAAACTTTTCGCGGCGCCCTTCGAGTGCCATACTTCCTCCGCAGTACCAGGCTGCTCCGCCGAAGAATTGCTTTACGATACACCAACACAACCCACAGCCCCACTGTGACCCCGCCCCAGACACAAGCAAGAAGCAGCGCAAACGCCGTGGCCTGTGTGCACCAGGGAACAATGAGCAAGACGGCCGAGATCCCAAGCAAGCTAGCCTAGTCGAGCTACTTACAGTAGCTAATACCTGGCAAGAGCACTACCCAGGTACCCCCACAACGAGCGCGGACAGGCGCCAGGCGCTCCGCATGCTCCGACCGCGCTGAGAAGGGTGTGGCTGAAGATGAGGAAGGCGGGCCGCGCAAAGACAAACGCAAGAAGCAAAACAGACAGCAACGCGGTGGCCCCCCTATGTCACACCCTGAGCCTTCGCCCCCGTGTCCCTCCCTTAAGGAGGTCGCATTCTGACCCCCTCGGCCCATGCAATGCATGCCATGCCATCCATGCCATCCAGCATCCCTCTTGCGAAATGTTCTATAATATTCAAAGAAGAAAAAGAAAAAAGCGGAGGGAGCTAGGACGCCGGTGGCGGGGAAGGTATGAGTGCCACAGGCGCGGCTTCTCTCCAAACACGCCGAGCCCGAGCCCGAGAGAGCTAAGCAAGGCAAGCGGAGCAGTCCGCTTCGCCTGCGTTGCGATGGCTTGCATGCGCTGGATACACCGCCCCGCCGGGCCTCACGCTGAGAAAAGTCCAACGAGTGCCCCCCTGCTGTCCTTGCAGCAGGTGCGCCGCAGCCTCGCCCCTCGCGCCCGTCTCCCTCTGTCTAGGTGAAGAGCCACATCTATCGACAGAAGAAAGCCGCGGCTACTCCGGCGCCGTGTGCGTCTTCAGTCTCCGGAAAAGTGACGCGGCCCGAGTTGCAAAGAACCAAGGCGGCCGAGCCCGAGCACTCTAGCGGCCATACCGCAACAAACGCGCCCGCGATGCTTCGCGCCTCCTGTCCTCCCATCTTCTCCCGGGGGTGTTGTACTGTTTGCAGAAAGCGCGACAAGGTTGAACACTGAAAGCCTTGCCGCTTTTACCGGGGCCAGCTTGCTGGGGTGTGGCACTGCCTGGCGCGCCCCTTGCGGAAATGAATCGAGACGCCCCGCGCTGCTGGTGCTTTTCCGCCATAAGTCGCAAGCCTCTGGGTGCTGCGCAATCTTTTGCCGGCGAGTGGCCTAGCTAGCCCCATCCCGCTCGCCTACGTTCCACGTCGGCAATGGGTCTGGCGATGTTTTGCGAGGCAGCGCGTGCCATGAGATAAAGGCACGCTTTCCCGTTGTTGGGCTCCGCTGTCTTCTGTGCCTCCCCGAGTCAGCCACAGCCTCGCTCGCTCTACGTCCGATTAAACGGCTTCGGGTTTGGGGTTCAGTGCTGCGCGCAGCTTTGTAGTGCTGTCATCTTCGAGCGACGTACTTTAACTGCACAAAGAGCGCCCGTCTCCTCCCTTCGTTCTACATGGAGAACGCAACAGCGACGCGCCCAAGGAGCTCCCGAACCGCGCCAGGCGTCACGCGTCTTCAAAAACTCACCCCGCCCGGACTCAGGCCTTCGACTGCGATGGCACCAGAAAGGGAGCCAAGGCTCTAGACCGTTACCCCGTCGCGGCCTCCTTAGCGATTGGCGTTCCACTATGCCCGCTCTTGGTCAGTAGCAGGCCTACAGAAGCCTTGAAGCGGCGCCTAGGATATGCTAGGGCAATGCGGTAAGCGTTTGACCAGATCAACCGCGGGACGAAATCCCAGCCCAACCTGTACCGGAGAGCTGTGCTTTGAGCGTGCTGAAACGGGGGCCCTCGGGCCCTTCCATCGAAACCCCCGAGGAGATAGTGGCCCGCGGCGTCCCACGCGGGAGCGTCTCACGGCGCGGCGCTACATTTAACCCCCCCGCAGCCTTCTGCCGTCAGCCGCGTCGCTGACGCTGCGGAGGCGACGCCGGGAAGCTGGAGATAGGAAAATCCGAGGTCCATGAAAATGCTAACTAAAAGGAGCAAGAGTTTTTATGTAAGTAGTACGTCGCACTTTGGTCCGAAATGTTGATTCCAAACTTCTGGCGCCATGCAGACCGGCGTGCCAGCAATGGCGGAGCTCTTTCCTGTTTGCTTATCAAACATTTCCGCCAGACCCAAATCGATAATGACAGCATGCGGCTTCGTTGCGGAATCTTTGGATGGAGAGAATGTGTACTCGTGGAGATTGATGCACTCTACTTAGCCATTACAATAGAAAGTAGTAGTAGGGCCATAACATTAGAGGTAGACCAATCGAAAAAGCTAGTGCCGATTGAAAGAGGACGTGAGCCTAGGTTCTTCTTGATAGTGAGCACTTCTGTCGTCATCCAATACATAGAATACCAAAATAGATCAACATGAGAAAGAGTACTGCCATCATCCAGAAGCATGACGTTTTCGGCTTTCAGGTCTTTATGCATAATTCCACGCCCATGGACGTACGCTATGGCATTCAGCTTAGAAGGGGTTCTAGACGTGCTACTTTAAGAGAGAAACAAACTTGATACTAGATACTCATCCGGAGGCTGTGCTTTGTTGGACTTATAATAATCTAATCAGTCCTCGTCGAGACGACCTACTAGAATCGTGGTCGTTCATGTGGCCATAATCAATATTTGCTCCATGACAATGGATATCCATTTCTCGTTGAGGCGGTAGCCAGAACGATAATTACTTTCGATCACGTCCATCAACTCGCCCCCGTTTGCGCTTTCCATCAAAATGTAGATGTTGTTGTAATCTGGTTGTTGGGGTAGTAGTTGAGGAAATTGGATTTTTTTCGGTGTGACTGAGCAGCTAGACTAGTATCGAGCAGTAATCTTGACTCAAAAATCAGTACCTTCGAATGAAAGAAATGTTTTTCCTAGAGAGCCATAAAGTCAAAAAATACAAATAGCCAAATTATCTGGAATATAACTGGTATAGTGCAGTAGTCTGATGTTGATGCGAATCTACTCGGCAGTCTGCCTACGATTTCCCAGACGAGTCTACTCTCATCTAAAAAGAGGACAGATACTGTCTTAGTAACTAATGCAGTCCACCTCCTCCTCCTCCTCCACAGGTAACTAATGCAGTCCTCGTCCTCCTCCACATGTTGAAACTACAAACTGCAGACAATTGTATTACAGATTCTATTACTTCTACCTAATAATACAGATTCTATTGCTTCTACCTTCGAAATATTCGTAGAGCCGAATGATGTGTGGGTGATCGAGTGTCTTCAATGTGTCGATCTCCAACTGCAACTCTTCAGGTGGCATCGCGGATTTCGCTTTATTGATAACCTTCAACACCCTCTCTTGCTTCGATGAGAGGTCCTCCACCAGGTACACGAGACCGAATGTCCCTTCGCCTTTAGCTTAGATGAAAAGATGATCGATTGATTGATTGATTGATTGATGAGCTTAGTCTACTTGAGCTTGAGCTTATCTTAGCTTAGATGAAAAGATCCGTCTTGAGAAAGATGAGATCCGTCTACTTGAGCTTGAGCTTAAATCTAAAAAAGAAATTGAGATCTTGAGCAGCTTTACGGTAGAAAACAAGATGGAGCTTTTGTGTAGAAGAAGAAGATCGTGAGCTTATCTTATCATGATGTCGTATGCTTATGAATAGATGTTGGACGGATGAATATTAGATGGCATATTATTTAGATGCATTTTTGATTCATCAAGATCTTTTTGCACACCAAAAGCTCGGCTATGGACGCATGCTACCTCCATATTGAATGTGATTTGTGATGTTGAGTCTGCGCATGAAGTCCATGTGAGGATCATGCGAGGTTCATTTGAGAAGGAATTCCTGACAGCAGGTATCCATAAATTGTGGTGGAGCCGACCAAACTAGATGAAAAAAGACGACAGACTAGAGCAGGTATCCATAAAGTTTTTTCAGTGTCTTGTAGAAATCCTCAGGTCGTCCACTCTTGTTTTTGTCGATGAAGAAGTCTCGCCGAATCCCTGCCTTGATATAGCGGTCTCGGACCCTCCTCAAAATAGCCGCGTAGAGATTCAGAAACTCGTTAAACTCCAAAACTCCGAGATATGAAGAAGGTGTCAGTGTGAGAAGGACTTAGAATTCAAGAAACTATTTATTACTTAAAAGAAAGAAACTGAATGCTACAGAAAAAATTATACTGTTACTGCTACAGAAAGAGACAAGTCTATCAGACGGTCGCTATAGTCCTCCTGCTACGGAAGATACTCAATACTCTACTTACCCCCCTCAATGTAAGTATGGATAGAGAGCTTCAAAGCCACAACTAGAAACTTTTGATCATTGAGCACAGAGAGGATCTAGAACTAGAAGGGGTGCTTATAAGTAGGGTCATAACTACAATCAATGAGCATCATGTGCGGTACTCATAAATTCTTATTCGTATCGAATTTGGTGAAAAGCGCCTCTAATAATCGATCGTCGTTAAGTGGCGGAAGGCCCACCTCTCGATTGAGATCCTCGATCAATTTCCGGAGCTCGTCCAAGGACAGCATACCCGGACTCCCCGTGTTGTACCTCTTAAACCACGCTTTTCCGGCGCGGGTGGTCCCTTCCGCAGTGCTAAGCACTTGTTGGACCTGGTTTTATTTTTGCAAGTAGACAAAGTGTAAGTGAAAAACTAGGTGGAGTGAAAAACTAGTACGCTTATGAATCATCTCAAGATTCTTAATTTGCAGAGCAGAGTGACTGAAGAGGCATCAAACGATGGATCATGGTGCTTTCGCTTTGTAAGACAAATAATTTTTCGTTCTCCTTAGCGGATCTATTAGAGTACTTATTTTCAAATGGTCCTCACTCCTCAGACTCAGAGTATGCATCTACCCTATAATTTGTAGTACCTGCTTAAGCTGCTCCGGTGATGGTGTAAAAACATGGTCGAATTTCGATGGTCTCGCTCCTCCTAATCGAAAGGCAGTATGAACACATAGACTGTACTGCTACGCACAATAAGAAACACGCTGACTACACATTTATAGAAAGAATGCACGATTGCTACAACGCACAACGAGATGAAACACGCTGACACCTGGGTAGAAGGCTCCGCTGAGTCTAGCCCAAAGAAGTACTTAGGTGCGTACGTCAGTTAACGTACGTAGTTGTCCGAAAAAACTTTTCTAGAACAAGAGGTGCTTGCATATTTTCAAAAAATGTCAAAAGTATAATGCAGTCTATGTAGTTTTCCACCTTCATAATTTTGTGCACTGGCAGCAGGCGCAGCCCCTTTCTCTGCATTGTAGATATCCCATGTTTGCTGCAGCGTCATGTACTTCTTACTCGTTGCTTTGTGCAAGTAACTGACTTTGCCTGGTCGAGAGGCAGAAGGTACCACCACAAAACCCGGAGGTAGCTTTACGTCGTTTGGATTCACTTCCGCCATCCTCTTGTGGTCGGGTTGTAGTACTGTACTACTTAGTGTCGACTGCGGAAGGAAGTGGAGGTGGTCGACTGTGGAAGGAAGTGGAGGTGGTCGACTGTGGAAGGAAGGAACTAGACGTACTTAGAAATGCTTTGACCTTGTCGGAGGAGGGTCAAGCGTGGACGAAAAAAAACTAGTTGTAGTACTGTACTACTTAGAAGGATGTTGATCCCCTCTAGTACAGTAGCCAAGTTGTGCTGGACGTGGTCTACGTCTAGTAGGAGCAGCAGTGGAAATGATCCTCGTAGTACTGAAGATTTGATCTGATGTTGACGCTATTAGTGGAAGTGGTCTGGTAGGAGCGGGGGAAAAAATGATCCTCGTAGTACTGAAGATTTGATCTGATGTTGACGCTATTTTTAGTGCTATAGTTAGTGGAATATTGCCTCGGACGGGACCGTGAGTGCTTCTTTCAAGTGACGTCGATGCTACTGCTTTGTGTGGCGATGTCGGATGTCTTGTCTATCGAAGGCTTAGGAGAGCCATGACAAACGGCAACGAAAGCACCTCTAACCTACCCAAAGCACCTCTAACCTACCCTGAAGTTTTACTCCGTTGTCGTTGGTCCAAGCGCGAAGCTGGACTTGTACTGGACTACCATACAGTGGTCTTCGTAGTCGGACTACATTAGGTGGAATTCCGACTACGAAGACCACACGTTACTTTCGAAGTTAGTCTTGCTTTAGCTAGAAGATTGACTTGGCTTTAGCAAGAATTCGTTTCGCAGCTAGAATACGTTGTGTGGCTGCAGTGAACCTATTCAACACATGTGTGTCAACACGACTTTCCCTGACTTGCCCAGACTGGCCATTCCTACAAAAAATGAAGAATTTGATGAGAGACTTCGCGGTATTATGACGCTGTCTGTGAATGATGTTGACTAGTACTCTTTGATATCATACTACTTCTACTCAGCACCTGATGTTGACGACTACTCTTTGATTATATACTACTCTTTGATGCTGAGTACTATGATGCTGAGTACTATGATGCTGAGTACTATGATGCTGATGTAGTATTGTACTTCTCAGTATTTCTCTGGATCTCTTCACGAGACCAATTGAACGGCGTTAGGTCCACACTTGCCGTGAAGAGTCACGCGCGGTACACAGACAGAAGATTGCCGCGCGGCTACTACCGTGAAGAGTCACGCGCGGTACACAGACAGATAGAAGGGAGTCACTACTCTACCTATACAACGCTCGCGAGTGGTGCCTTCTCGTCTCCTGGTCTTCATTTTCAGTACGTCTAGGTGTCAGAGTTTCTTTGGATTGGACAAAGCTGACAGACAGTTGACATCAGACAAACATCTTCATCAAGTTAGGAAGTAGTTATGCTTATGGCACCACATCGAGAATTTATATTAACAAGTCACTACTTGATGTAATTGAGATTTGTGGATCAATCAATCAATCAGAATGCCTCCACAGGGCACCGACCTCCCTGCAGAATCATAAATGAAATAGATACGCAAAGATCTACTTGATTCCCGCTTCCTGGTTGCTGCAGGTCCCTGGAGGAAGCATCAAAGCCTTCAAAGCGGTCAGATTCTTCTTGATCATAGAAAGCATCTTCTTCATGTCAAGAATTTAGAAGTCGGGACTCTTTTCCTAGCCTCTCTCATCTGCGTGGAATTTTTTCAAGCGTAGTTTCAGCACCGATTTTTCGTACTACACAAGAACTTGAAAAAGCGGCGTTCGTGTCTGCAGATTTTGTTGCACGACGCAATATGTCAGTCAACGCAGGACAGTCAAACGTTGAGAACTGTCGTTGCTAAGGGTTGAGAACAGGCAAACTGATATGCGACGCATGCACAATCTCCTGTTATAGCGTAATTTAAATTTATGGCGTAAATTATATCCCTGCATGTTCTTGTGTCTTGCCTTTCTTGTGTCCAGTAAGCGCGTGTCTACTCAGCGATGACCAGTAGATTGCGAGCGGCGAAGGATGATCAGTTAAATAACATCAAATGCAAATATTTTGAGGGGTTTCAAGAACAGTGAAATGCGGTTGTGCGTCTTCGGGGTTAGATTCTAGTTACCTCTAGAAGTGTTCGTTAGGTGTGAGGATTATGATACCAAGACATCGTTATGCAATTTGAACATTGTATGTAGCGCAGATGAATGTAATAAAAATAGTTCACTATTTGTTGGTCTGAAGAAGATCCTATCGGTCATGTTCATGCATTTTCCAAGATTTTCTAGACGTTTCACATCCACGTGTACAACAGCTCAAGCGAGTTCATTTCATCTTCCCTGCGTGGTCCATGATAGCGATAGTATGCTGATGATAGCGATATTAGTATGCTGACCTACCTCTTTGAATGTCGTCTATGTTTACCATGATACTTCTCTTTCTCCAGCACCTCCTCTGCGTCAACAACAACAACAACCTACGATCTACGTGGTCTTTGTTGACTATTTTCCCCTAGTTCCGACACTCTCCTCCACCTCCTCTGCGTCAACAACAACAACAACCTACGATCTACGTGGTCTTTGTTGACTATTTTCCCCTAGTTCCGACACTCTCCTCCACCTCCTCTGCGTCAACAACAACAAAAGCTCCATTAAGTGAGGTTCTACAACTTCAAATCTAAATAGTAAGTCTTGCTTCCTGCAAATCCTAAGATTGATTCATCTATTTTTCATTCAAGTAGTCTAGCTTCCTCTTACTCCTTCTAGGATTCATGATGAATCATTCAGCTTCATCTATTCTTACGGTTCCTAGGATCCATGCCTCAGGGTTCCATGTCCGGATCCTTCTGTTTCCATGTGAGACGGGTGCCGTCTTCCAGTGCGTTGATCTCCTCCATAGCCTCTTGCGGAAGGCTGAAATCAAACACTTTGGTGTTCTCTTCGATACGGGAAGGGCTGTTAGAAGGGCTCAAATTGTATGTGCATCAATGTGAGGATGCTATGTATAATGACAATGCGTTAGTCGTGGCTAAAAAAATGACTAAAGTAGGAAGAAGACTACATTACTTCTAAGTTGCTTTACGACAATGATGGCTGTAGTACAACTACATAAGTTGCTCTAGTACAATGAACCGGTTGTTCTACTACATAAGTTGCTGTACTACGAAATTGCTGGCTGTTGCTGTACTACGAAATTGATGGCTGTACTACAATGATGGCTTTACAAAAATGATGTTGTTCCAACTCATAGGCTAAAAAAGACTACATCTACATAATACTTTGCTCTTCTATTAAACTGATGGCTGTACAACTACATAGGTTGCTCTACAACGATGATGTTCCAACTCATAACCTTTTCGCTTTTCGGAATGATAGCCACGTTACTCTGGAGAGCCCAACGGAGTAAAACTTGTGCCGGAGTGCGTCCTACTTCCTTAGCAACCTGAGTAGAAGATGATAGACGTCGCAGAGGGTTATGCTGGTTGGGGGGTTGATTGTTCTGCTGCTAGTAGTTTGCTTCCTTGCTTTGGAAAAGAGTTCTCCCATCTTGAAAAAAAATGTGAAATCGAGTAGAGGATCATGAGACAATAGAAAGTTGCAGTGGAGCAGATACGATACAACGCGAGAAGAAGAACCTTGACGATCGTTGGGTTCGTGGTCAACGTGAAGCCGCTCTTGGACTTTGGTTCGCTTCCGCCGGAAGTTAGAGATGTTGATGTTTTAGGAAATATGTGAGACTGATGGAGGACTCATGGCACAGTAGTTTCTTAGTAGGAATGGACTGGATGTAGTATAGGATAGGAGGCGGTCCGCCGCCCACAGTGTGATCTGCATCATCGAGCGAACATGTGCAGCCACAAAAGGACTACCAACTTAAATTTATTTTTCAACTACCATTGTCTCTGATCTTATATAATATAACGCCCCCTCTACCGCCCCTTTCTATTCTTTTGGAGGTATTCGACAAAGCATTACGTCGTCCCCCACAACATTACTCTAGTTCTACTAGAACTCCTCTGTGTGCTGGCAAAAGAGATCATGATAGAAATGAACACCTTTTGGCGAAAGAGGTCATGATGGAAAATATTTTCTAGATCGAGGATGTACATTATACTGCTGTTCACGAGGCCTAAAGACCTCCTAAGGGTTGAACTACTCACAAAATAATAAGGGTAGTCATGATCATCGTATTTGTGACGTGTAAACAATGTATCGAGTTAGTCACCATCTACATACAAAATCGAGTTAGTCACCACACTACTTACTCACTATTATGGGGGTAGGGAATTCATCTCCAAAGTCATCTGGAAGAGAAAGGGAGCCAGATGATCCGTGAGACGAATTCCCGAACCCGATACCTCAAATACACAAAATGATTATAAAAAAGGTCCTCGACACAACAATTAAGTACAACATTCATGCATAAGAGAGAAGCGTAGCCTTGCACCAAAATGCCCTGTTTTCCGCAGTACTTGCGAAGTTCTTTTTGCTGCAGCAACGGGTGAAACTCGATCTGCAAGATCATGGGCTGGATGCGACAGTTCTCCACAATGTGCCTCAGTTGGCGCAGCGAATAGTTGCATAAGCCGATGATCTGTTCAGATTGGTTGGGGTGTGATAAAAACCTACGAAGTCCTTAAAAATATGCACTCGTGTGCACTTCCTTGACCCTTCCATCTAGATCTACTTGATGACGATGCTAGTCGATTCAGATTGGACCTACGACCCTCCCGCACCTCTTTTGGGTTCTGCGAATTGGCTGGGGTCATGTACGATAGTCTTGCGAGTGTATCAATTGTCTCACAGTCTGAGCGCGTAGTTTTCACGGGGGAGAGGGCACCGAAGCGCTTAGTTTTCACCGAAGGGGTAACAAAGCGGCTACTTTTCGACGAAGGGGCGACGAAGCGGGGGGCTCGCTCACTAGTTCAGCCTTCTACGAAACAGACCCCAAGAGCGCGAAAGCAATCGCGACGCGGCGGAGTCCCGCGGCAGCCGCGACGCCGGTCCCGCGGCGGTGGAGGTAGTTCGCTTTTCGCGTCACCCACGCCGCAGCGCCGTGGTCTAGTGAGTCCCACTCAGGACCGCAAAAGGGGGCTGAAGGTTCGAACCCCACCGAAGGGGGCCGAAGGTTCGAACCCCACCGAAGGGGGCCGAAGGTTCGAACCCAGCTGAGCGAGGGGTAGCCTGGGCGGGGATGTAGGCCAACCCTCGGCAACGGCCTAAGCCCTCAACAAGGAGGGCCACCAAAGGGGGCCGAAGGTTCGAACCCCATTAAAGAGCCGAGACGCGGCCGCACAAAGAGCCCGGCAGAAACCCAAACAACACCCGGCCAAAGTGGACCAAGCAACCAAGACGGCAAAGAACCGAGACGCGGTCGCGTGAAGAGCCCGGCAGAAACCCAAACAACACCCGGCCAAAGTGAACCGAGCAACCAAGACAGCAAAGAGCCGAGGCGCGGTCGCGTGAAGAGCCCGGCAGAAGCCCAAACAACACCCGGCCAAAGTGAACCGAGCAACCAAGGCAAGCTACGTGGCTTCGCCCGGTGATCTGTTCACCTCACGATGTCATTTTGGTCACAAGTCACAGAGGTCCAGAATGGGTCACAGGTTAATGGAGTTCTATTCGGTCTTAGGTGATTAGGTTTAGATTAGTAGAGTTCGACTCAATGTCACGCAAATAAGTCAGGAAGTAGCTAGCTGTTGCTATCAACAAAAAAGGACGAAGAACTATTCGAAAAACTGAAATTGAAATAAGTGAGTAACTACATAAATAAGGGAGACACTAAAAGAAGAGGAATGTAGTCAAGACTTTTGCATTTCAGTCAGGAACTCGCTTATTTTGAGTTTTCGATATAAGTCATATACTACCTTGACTCTTCCATCCATGAACAATTCCTCCATCACGGTCCAGGTTTCGAGTCGCGTATCAGCCCCATTCCAATCCGCAGGCATGATGCCTGGAGTTCCGTCTTCATCTGTTGTTTGTTGGTCATTGAATCCAAAAAAAAGAACAAGTCCGTCGCACATCATAAAGTCGACACCGTGACCAGCTGTTCACCACATCTCTAACCTATAATTGTGAAAGTGAAGTTCTTCACAATCACATATAATTAGAGTAAGTAGGTACTATTCTTAAGCGGCCATCCGCGTTTGGGTCCTGGCCAGTGAACGAGATAGGAGTCCAACGGCTGCGTTTGGACGACGTGTGGCACCTTCTTGGTGGGCATCTGCAATAGGCCTGCTTGTTGGCAGGTCTTATTAAACGCTTTCATCGTTCCCTGATAGAGTGAGAATTTGGTAGAGCTAGAGTGAGAATTTGACAGAGTGAGAGTGGCCATTTTAGCTGCAATCAGTACTAGGCTACAAATAAAATAAAGCCGTGTTCGGTCTGCATCTGACAACAGCGTCTACAAGTGAGATCCACTACTTGTACTATACACGTAATTCGCATTACAAATAAGCCATGTTCGGTCTACATCTCCCAAAAACATCTGTAAGTACCATTCGGCCGTGTCCAGTCTGCCACAGCTTGGATTGAATGATAGGCCCACTCATTGCGCCCGCCTCTGTAGCCAGGTGCAGAAACTTCAAATTAGAAGATTTTGTGATAAGTTTATGTTGTGAATAATACTTCTTACCCTCACACTAATAGGGGTCCTTCTTTCCCTTGCTGCAGTAATATCCTCGGTATCCTGTGCACTAATAAATTAAATGTAATGTCCTAATGATCCTGTGAGTTTGTTTAACAAGATGAAGTCTCCGAAGTATCTTTGTAATGTATGAATAAGAGTTGTAAGAAAATCTAGAAATGTAAATCATGGAACATCAACCCCTAAGAGGTTGAAGTTTGAGTATGCACCTACAAAAGAAGTACCTAGTACAAATACGCACCTACAACCATAACAACGTTGCACAATCTGAATTCACCCTTGTCTGGGTTCAGCGTCACAACCTGATACTTGGCTTCCTTCAAGGCCTTGTCATCCTTCGGATCGGGTGAGGTTAGAATAGTAGTAGTAGTAGTAGTGTACCCATTCGTGGGGTATGGTTGAGTACCCATGCACAGGTAGTGCTAGTAGTTGACAAATTTAGCACAACTCCACATGTTGTCTGTCTAATCTTGAACAACTAGCCATCAACAGTCAAAACTGTTCACTCAAATTCATTCCTTTACCAGGTCTTGAGGTGTCTTTTGACGCTTAAGCGACATCGAACTTAATTATTGCATGCATCCTTCTTTCATCTTAGCACTTTGAAGAATAGTTGTAGTAGAGGTGAGGTATCTTTTGACCTAGATCAGAGGCCCTAAATATCGGTTGAACGGTGCAGTGACCTTGTCCGGATATCCGTGTTTCTTGACAGGGTCCGGATGTTCTGGTAGGTGGGTCCTTTCCGGTGTTGGGAGCTTGATCTTTCGTAGACCCATCTCGTTTTCGTAGACTGCAGCTGAGTCCACCAACCGGTACCCGAAATCGAAAGCGGACCACTTTTCACCTGAAGTGTGTATAAGTATGCGAGTAAACCTTAGATAGTCAAAAAAATCCCCCCTGAGATGAACCAATCCCGAACGCGGGACATATGATATATATATGTATTTGGATCTCTATTTTTGGGTGAATGAAGTTAGGACAACTTCGCGTATATGCTGCATCACTATAATATGCATTCTATGTATTAGGTGAATGAAGTTAGGACTTTGCGTATATGTATTCTATGTATTAGGTGAGTGACGAGTTACAATTGGAGCCTTGTAAGTTACAATTGGAGTCCATGAAATTGAAAACCAGAAACAATATTTTTCCAAAGTACGCAGTACTATTCAACTTGAAGCCCTAACTACAAAGGTCTTGCAGCCCTAACTACTTACTAATGGCGCAATGATAGGGGTTGTAGTACCATTGGCGCCCATAATAACTTCGAGGCCAGCGCGATCGATCTTGAATGTCCCGAAGCCAATTATTGGATACATAATATGTTAGAGTGTAGTAGTGCTTGTATTCATCTCTGATGCAGCATCATCTCTTTCTGGTGGGGTATGCTTTTGTTGCTCCCGTACTAGGGGTCCTTGTCTTTGGAGGTAAGTAGGGTATACTTTTATTGCTCCCACTGTTAGGATCCCCCTCTACTCGGTAGTAAACTTTTGTTGCTCCAGCGCTGATGACGCTTGTCAATAGTTGTTTAAAGCATCGCACTCTGCTCCTATTCAAGAGTCGTTTTTTACAAACAGCGTATTCTTCAAACAATGCTGTGTTGCATCCAGATGCAACAGAGATTAGTATACTACCAAAGAGATGATGCTACGAGCTGAGACAGAACCAGTTGGAACTACATTTTCCACCAGTTGGAACTACACTGTAGGATAGGACAGGATAGGACAACCCGGCATAAACAAATCTGTTGTCGAAAGGATACCGCAGGCATTCTATCGTTTTAGCACATGCATTCGGGCCCTTGAGGATCATGAGTGGAAATTTAGAGGAGAAGATTTTTGTAAACATAGGGTATCTTAGAGAAAGACCACGCGTTGGCCTGTTCACTTATCAAAAAGGATATAGATTTAGAAGAAGTGAGTATGTTTCATTGCTCACTTTCTGCGTTGCGAGACAGATAGAAGAAGTGCTTTAGGGTCTTTCCACTCCATGCCCACTTAAAGTAATTATAGTATTCTGAATATTATATCAGAAGCATAGCTCCTATCATTACCGAGGACTTTCTTATTCCACCAAAAATGAACAGCGTCGAAAGGTGCTATTGCATATTCCACCAAAAATGAACAGCGTCTATTAAAGGTGCTTCTATCTAAAGGTGCTATTGGGATTCTTTTGTTGACGTCTATTTCATGATCGCCTTAAGAACCCACGCTTCCGCTATGCCTTTCGCATATTTCACCACGACCTCAAAATACGTCGGGATGTGCATCACCGTCTTCGTCAAACGAGAACTGATTTGCTGTTTGTTTTATAAGGTAGAAGTGTGTGACGAGTGAACTGACTTGCTGTTTGTTTTAACGTAGAAGAAGTGTTCTAGAAGCAGCAGAAGAGTTGTCGTGGCAGTTAGTTGTTCTAGAAGCAGTTGCTCTAGAAGCAGCAGAAGAGTTGTCGTGGCAGTTAGTTGTTCTAGAAGCAGTTGCTCTAGAAGCAGCAGAAGAGTTGTCGTAGCAGTTAGTTGTTCTAGAAGCAGTTGTGTTCTAGAAGCAGTTGTGTTCTAGAAGCAGTTGTTCTAGAAGCAGTTGTTCTAGAAGCAGTTGTTCTAGAAGCAGTTGTTCTAGAAGCAGTTGTAGCTTTTCCTATGCAACACAGTACTATGTTGATCTTTGTTTTTCACGGTAAAATACATACTACTCATTAAGTAATAGATGTGGCTACTGCATTCCTGTTTCAGCTACATTACTCTATCTAAAGGAACGCCAAATTATCAATTCAAATTCTAGTAAAACTAACAAGTAACAGTTAAAAGTAACATTCCTATGTAACAAATTCTAGTAAAACAAGTAAGAGTTTAAAGGGTACAGAAGTAATTCCTCTAGTACCCTGTCAAATGCCATGGTCCTCACAAGTAACAATTCTATTAAAAGTGACAAATTCTATTAAAAGTCAGTTACAAACTCTATTAAAAGGAACGCCAAACTATTAATTCTATGTAACAAATTCTAATTTGTTAAAACTTGTCAAACTCTATTAACAGGTAACAGTTTAAAGGGTACAGAAGTAATTCCTCTAGTACCCTGTCAAATGCCATGGTCCTCACAAGTATGGGGCCACCCCCGCTGGGCTTCATTTCTTCCGCATAGGAGACTTTGTCCGAAAAGGAGACCTTTTTCTTCTTCTTCGGCGGCCCTTCGTTGCCACCGTCCTCGGGAGAGATTAGAGATTAGACCGTCGGTGAGGAGCTGTCTGGCTGTGACTACAGTTGATTATGATTCTCTTATTTAATATAACAAGCAATAACTATATAAGTATAACAAGCAATAACTATATAAGTATAACAAGCAATAACTACAGTTGATTGTATGGTTCTGGTATTTTTGGTATAGCCTGAATTTGATCCTAAGGGTTCCCTTATAGGATCAAACTCAGGTTACCAAATACCAGAACCATTCATGACTACATTTGATTCATCTCTTAATCTTATAACAAGCAATAACTATAAAGTAAAAAGTCTGGTATTTTTGGTATAGCCTGAATTTGATCCTAAGGGTTCTCTTCTTGTTTTCCCTGAGGATCAAATTCAGGCTATACCAAAAATACCAGAACCATTCATGACTACATTTGATTCATCTCTTATAACAAGCAATAACTATAAAGTAAAAAGTCGCTTGTTAAGCGTCAAAAAATAAGTATCTCCAGAACAGGTAAATGAGTGAATGAATTATAAGAGCCAAGATAAGAAACGTTGTCGGTCGTAGAAATGCTACCTTGTCTAGGAGGTCTTCCGCAACACATGTGATAAGATACGTAGTACACTAAATGGAGTCCTTTAGGTTTAATAGTCAGAATAGAAGGATAGGAGGTGATTCGCCGTCCACAGTTTGACCTGTATCCTCGAGCGGATATGTGCAGCCCCAGCCGCAGAGGGGCTACCAAGAATCATTATTTTTTAGCCTTAAATGACGCTTTTTCATGGCGCTTTCCAGCATCCTCTCTGCTTTTTTGGGAGGCTCTTTCCTACCCGCCAAGGGTGTACTCAAGTCATTCATCTCTTGTGAGCGAAGTCAAGATATTGAAGAGAGGCTAGAACGAGAAAGAACTCTGTATGTTGAATGTATTTAGATGCGGCACTTCAGCATCTACTTCGAGTAGTATGCACCTGGCAATGAATCAAGACTAGCTGGACGCTTGCGAACCTAACGGAGAAAATATAACTGACGCTCACCTGCTATTTTGTCGAAGATCAGCTTTTTTGATGTTGTTCGCAGTTACTATTATTTCTGTAGTCACCTAGGTAGCTGACCTATTTGTTTTGGGAACAACGCAATTATACACGAGGACACCGACACCGAACAACAGCAATCATCTACGACTAAAGCTAGAGGACTGTAAAAATGAGACTCGTCTTCTTTCGTCTACCCAACTCGGCTTCCACATACATTACCCGCACATTGAAGACAATAGAAAGAAAAAAGTACTATAGGATCGCGTAGCAATTGGACCACATCGACTGCGCCAGGCGATCTAAGTACAACTGGACCAACGCTGTACTACTAAAGAACCCAAAAGATCATGATCTGTGTATCTCGACATAGAAGAGGAAACTTCTTTGGTCAATTTTTTTTGACATGAGTCATAGGATCACCCCTACGATAGGATCAAACCGCCATCCTTGTTTTGGGGATCATCCTTTTCCAGCACACAGATTTGTCCCCCATGGGAAGAACAGCAAGTAGGCGAAAGCGCTCCTGTTTCTTGAAGCACATGTAGGATGTACTTTTGTCTATCCTTCCTCGTCCCTGCACTGACTTATAATCGATTTGGCATTATTTGCATGCCACGTTCTTAATAGGATAACAGCAGGAAGAGCAGTCTTTACATGGTTTCTCCACTTCTCGATAAAATGGTTTCTCTAGGAAGGGCCGTATAATGGTTTCTCTACTTCTCGATATGATAACCTGTTCACCTGTAACAAGCGTGATCAATGTACTTAAGTCGAATTGAAGTATTCTAATCACATCAAGCAACATTCACAAAAGCCTCAAGTTTTTCGGCGATCATTTTCCAGTCCACAGGCCCAAACCGGTGTCCGGCAGCAGCCTCTTTATGAAAGGAAGGAGAATGATCATCTTCATATTCAAGGATAAGCTATGATAGATTAGATCGATCGATTATAGAAATGTAGTGGAAGGTGTCCCGGATGTCCTTAGTATATGTGATATTTGACCTCACAGTTGATGGAGGGATCAAAACCCGGCAGAAAGCAAGGAAGAAACGCAGAAGTTAACATAGTCCAACTAAAGAAACAGATAAAGGCCCACAGTTGACGCGTCAGCCCCTGGCGCCCCACCCCCCCGGCACTCTGGTGGAATCGACTACATGGGTGCGGCTCACAGTGAGCCAGTTAAGGAGGAGGCGAGGGAGGTCAGTGACCTAATCATTGGGAATAAATAGCGATCGACCTACGGACGAGGGGACTGCCTGCGCGTCGGGGTCCTTCTGAAGCTCCTCCACCTTGGCGCCCGTGGCAAGCCATTCCACTCCGCCACTCTGGTCTGCCGCTTCCGTCACGTTTTTCGCCTTTGCGTCCGCAGCGCAAGACTGGCGCAGCGCTTCAGCCTTGGCCTGGCACTCTTTCAGCCCGCGACTAATGTCAGCCCTTAGCTTGATCACGTGGGGCGAGGCCTCACGCATATGCTGGCAGCGTTTTTCATCTTTCACTCTGCGCCACTTTGATCCGATGCCGCGAGAGTTTGGAACTTTCCCAGGCCAGTTTTATGAAGAAACTGAAACGCCCCGCAGCGGGGGGGTCATTATCCGCGTCAAAATCGGCGCCGTCTTTGTGTGCCTCGACGAGAAAGCGCAGCCAGCCGCTGCCGCTCTTCTTCGCGGCGACGCTCTCCAAGAACGGCAGACCGCCGCGCGCCCGCTTCTCGCATGATGACCGGGCACCAGCTGCAAAGCTGACCAACCCCCTCAGCGTCGGCCAGCACATCGAGGGGGCGCGCCATCCAAACGCGTCCGCCCTGCATAAGCATAACCAAGAGCCACGCGCAGAATGTTGGGCAAGCCGGACGATGCGCACACCCTACCGCGGCAGCCACGCGCTGAGTACTCTGCTGCGGTCGTCGTCTTCTCCAAAAGGCGGCCCACCGACTGGCCGGCAGGCGTTCTCTTACTGTTGCCGCCGCAGTGCTTCGCCAAGGCGAAGACGCGCAGCCCGCCAGAGCCCCACTGCTTGCCCAGATTCGGCGCGCGGTCATCTTCTCGCTGCTCCTCCCCGCGTCCCAGTCGCGGGAAACGCCAGCGAGCGCCCGCCTGGTAGAGGTAAAAGCGGCGCGGCCTTTCTGACTTGAGACACTTACCGACGCCGCTGCGGTTGCTGCAATAAGCAGCGGCCTGCTGCAGCCATTCGCCAGCGGAGTCGCAACGCAGCGCAGCGCTCGCGTGCTTGTGCTCCAGTGCGATAGATAGGCGCGCGGCCTCCGCTGCAAGTATGGGCATCGCGTCCATCGTGAGGGCCGCGCCGATAACCCGCGAAGCCAGGCCCCCCCTGGTGCTCGTCATTTGGCGCCGCTTCTGGATATCCTTTCTCGTGTCTCCCGCAGCTGCCCCAGCCAAGGCGTGGCCCTCTTTCAGTTCCCAGCGAGCCAGCCCCGACGGATGACAGTGCCGCAGTGCGAGCCGTTGCAGCCTTTCGCGGCGAGCGATGTGCTTGCAAGCGTATCCCACGCGCAGGCAAAGCGACGACAGCGCGAGGCTTCCCGCTCGCTTTTGCCAGGTCGGTGGACCTTCGTCGAGCGGTCGACTTAGACAGGCGCAATTTCTTCGCTACAGTTGCGGCAGCGGGGGACGGAATCCGCGCCGGCCGCTATAATAGTGAGGCCCAGTCACCGTCTTACGCCTGTCCCCTCGCGTGAGGGCCCACCCGCTAGCGGCGCGCCCAAGGGCCAAGGCCAGCCTTCGCGATGCCGGGCGCCACTTTTGGCGCATGCTGCGCCTTCTCTGCGATAAGGCGACAGATTCCAGCACTGAACTCGCGGCGCCGATTCCAGTCCGCCGCGGCCGGGTCCAAGAGCTCGACAGCAAGCGCAAAGAGGCGCACGCGGTCCACTTCCAGGCTTCCGCGTTCGTCTTCGCGTTTGGCGTAATGTCCGGCAAGCCGTGGGGCCGCCTCTGCCTGCAGTGCACGAAGCTGCGGCCGCGACCCCATAAGCGGGGCCCTTTCGCTAAGTAGTTCCGTCCTCCCTTTGTGGCTCCGCGTAGTGGACGGCGCAGCACCGCCTGGCCATGCTATTACTTTTTTCCCGAGGCTGGCGCAGGCCCCCGCTGTCTTCGCATTAGTGTCCTGCGTGAGGACACAGCCAGGCTAATCTTAAACAGGCGCAAGAGCTATGGATTTAGCTTATAGGTTATGGGTGGGGAAGATGGCTACGCCTTCTACTAGAAGTTCTTCGGGTAAACGCGACTTCTTTCTAACTGGGGAACCCCATTCTCATAAAGCACATGTAGCTCCACCTTCTTCGTTGTTGAATATTTTGTAGCGCAATCGTGAGCACCCTGTATGTCAATGACTCGATCCCCGTCACCGTGAAACACAATCGCTGCAGCCACAACCGAAGATGCTGAAGCCTTCTCGAAAGCCTGCATCAGCAAGCCTTTCTCATGTTGACGCATCGCCAATAGATGTGGGCATCGTGTGTGGGAAATGAAGAAGGACATTTTACGTGGTCAGAATATACTTAGACTTAGTCATATCACCAGCAAGAACATCATGACTGACTGTTTCTCCGTGTATTCGGTGACTAGCTTGGTCACAACTACAACATAAGCAACATAAAGAGGATGATTGAGAAGTTCTGATTTAATATTCATAATGTACAATATTGAAGATCGCAGCTTTGAAGCTAACAACGGTGGATCACGTCGAATTACTGCAAAATGTTATATCTTCACACGAGTACATCATGAACATATTGATGATGGTGATGTTTAGTATTGTCAGTCGGGATCATAATAACACCCCCACGTCGTATTGCGCGGTCTAGTCGTTCGGCGAATTCTGCTTCGCTAAAAGGATACCCCGATCCGTGAAAGAGACGTAGCAGTTTCCCTTGCACTACCTGCATTTCCTTGAAGGCTGCGCCCCCTCCCCAATATCGGTCTGCTTCCTTCCCCAGTTGTTCCAGTTGTGTCCGCAAATCACGCACTTCTTTGTCCTTGAAATAGCGAGCGTCTATGGCGGCTTCGTCGTTACTATTTTCCACGACTGTTGCTGGGTAAGGAGTGGTTGCTAAAAGGGCCAACCGAATTCGAACGTTACTCTTAGCGCTCTCCGCAATTCATCTTCCAGCGGCATCCTTGAAGAGTATGCCAGAGTATCGCACTGGGATACTCCCCCGTTTCAGGAATGCAGTCAAAGATGCATTAGCTACGGCCTTAATACTAGGAAATGTTGCTGATGTAGAGAGCTGACCACCAACAGCTTGCGCAATCATTCCACCCATGCTATGGCCGCAGATGAGAAGCTCTTCGGTGTTCTCTGGAAAGCCTGGAAGGCGTTGCCGTAGGACCGAAATCGCATCTCGCGCTCTGCTTAGATCATGTTCAAGTAGTGTAGTTACAGTGGCTAGCTACAAAAAGGGAACTCAAATGACTTTGGGAAACGCATGCACTTTCAGCTAGAAACGCAAGTCATGAGAATTTCCTACGTGGCTCTCAAAAAGCAAAAGCTAAAGATAGGTAAAAGTTGATTGATTGATTGATTGACGTGCCTGGCAAGAGGTCAACGTTGTTGGAAGATTTTCAACGTCATAGCATATCCTGAATGCCAAAGGGTTGTCGTTCAAAATCGCGACACCAGCTGCTGCGTCCGAAGCCACGATTATCGATGCGTACGACACAATAGGACAAGGCCACCAAGCGGTCTATGAACTCGTCAGGCCAGAACATACATGATTCGTTGCTTCCGGGTAACAGCAAGGCGATCTTGCAATGTGGTGCTCTAGTTTTTCTTATTGCGCGCGCGTCGTCAGCTACTGCGGAGGTACTCGATGAAGACGAAGAACCCTGCTGGTTCCCAACATTTGTATTTTCAGTCCCTTGGCGGGCTTCAAAAACCTCAGACCAAATTGATATGCCTGGATCGGTCTCGACTGTGCTGGGCGACCCTCGATAGACGGTGGGATCACTGCTCAGTCTCCCTGTTAGCCACAGCTTGCGAACACCGAGATAGCACTGCGCAACGTCCTGCATTTTCGTCTAGTGGTCAGTGGATCCTGAAGAACTAGAATCTCCTAAGTACTTCTATCTCCAATGTAGTTGAGTTACTGCGTTGTCATGCCATGGTAGTTCTTTTTTATGGTAGTTGTAGTTCTTTTTTGGAGTCGTACTCCATGTGTGAACCCAGTAGTCAATGTAGTAGTACCTTCATAATATTGATCGGATCCTGTTGACAAGAAGTTAGTAAACAGGCCTTGGACCACCTCCACGTCGAAATGAATTGTGGTGACAGACTCGTCTGAAAGTAGAGAAAAAGATGACAAGCTTGAAGATTGAAGAGGTTTCCACACCAGCTTGAGACCTCAAGAAGGCTTCCACCAAGAACGATCTAGCAAAATCGTGCTCAAAGTACAGTGCAGACTGCCTTAAGGGCGGGAAACTTTTTGGGAGGCAACTTTATGAAGATCATTTGTGGCGCCTTTTCTACGCGAATCTGCTGGACCAATAGGCAAACTCCTCTAGCCTCTTCGAACACCATATATAATGGAAAATCATCTTCATGACGCAGCAGCATCTTCGACATTTTCTTACAACCGAAGTTTCACCTTCAATGGGATCCTATGCTATCGGATCCTATGCTATGCTTGGATTTTATGTGCTTTTCACATATGTGCTAGTTATGTGAAGGTCATAGACATACTCTTGACAGGGTGTGCTACTTATGTGAAGGTCATAGGCATACTCTTGGATGTTGCACAGGATATGTTGTGACTAGTGGACGGGATATTTTGTGTCTATGTTAGGGTACTGCTTTCTAGGAGTGCGCTTGCAATGCTGTATTGCGTGTGACTAGGGTACTGCTTTCTAGGAGTGCGCTTGCAGTGCTGTATTGCGTGTGACTAGGGTACTGCTTTCTAGGAGTGCGCTTGCAGTGCTGTATTGCGTGTGACTAGGGTACTGCTTTCTAGGAGTGCGCTTGCAATGCTGTAATTGTTCTTGTTGTACTATTAGTAGTGTGATGAAGAAGAACATATCAATATCTACTTTGTGTCATTTCATAAGCTAAGCATTTTATTGTAATAGCATAATGTAGTAAGAACATCATTAACGTATGATTGTGAACAAAAAAAGGCATTATATTTCTTCTGATGTCGAACAATTTGGGTATGCGGAATAATGCAGAAACTCACGATAGTTATGATGTCATACGTGTCAGCGTGGTTATGAGTCAAGAACGTGAAATAAATGCATCTTTAGATTCATGGAATTTTTCATGGGGTGTTGTAGCAGCTCTCTACGGACGATGACAAAATCCATTTTCCAAATAACACTGAAGATGAATTCTCTATCATGTTCATGTATCTTCTTCTCTTCGCTTCTCAGTCCTCAGACGAGAGAAGTCGTGACTGTGCCGTAGTTTGTTTTGTCCGCTGTGGTACCAGGACCAAAAGCAGAGGTATCGGTAGGAGTAGTACTGACTCCTGCACCAGATGGACCGCCTTCGACGACCGGGCTGCCGTCAAGATTAGAAGATGATACTTAGGATAGGGTAGGATTTGATTCACCGTCCACAGTTTGACCTGCATCCTCGGGTGAATATGTGCAGCCACGTGCTGCTGATAGAAGATATAGCTAAAAACATAGGATACTAGGATTGGATAAGACGATCTATCAGATCGGGTAGGACATAATAGGATAGCAATCCCACTCTGCTGAAGAGGTGGATTGAAGCCTGTCACCAGCTTCACAAGGGAAGCGTGTCACCTACAAGTAGCACGACTCTTGAGAAGATCACTTAGTCACTTAACCAATCTTTAGAACTGGTTAGATTAACTGCCTACTATTCCTTGGTTGGAATAGTTAAATTAACTGCGTGCGGCCGTCTGACGAGCGACGGCGCTGGGCTACAGAGTCGAACTAAACTCAGACCCAAGACCTACTCACTTAATCACCCTTACGACGCGCGATCACTTAGTTACTCGACCATGGGATCACATTTAGTCACTCTTAGGATCACTTGGGATTCTGGGATTCTATGTATCCTGGTCCATAATAACATCCGCAACCATGATTCCAGATTCCGCTTCTTGAATCGCTTGGTAGAGATAGCGCAGATTTCTTAGAGCTAGAAGTTTCTCTGATGATGATGATAATGATGCTCATGGTACCTAATCTAGAGGCGTACTTCACGACCTAGGCTTATGATCTCACGACTTAGGCTTATGGCCTCACGACGTAGAGAGCCTTGCTACAACGTGGAAAATCTAGGACGCGTCATCATGAGCCGATCATTGTGAATTGGACACTGAGTCAGTCAATCAGTGCGTGAAGATTCTTTTTCAACAGTGAGTGAATGACAAGATGAGGAGATATCCTCAGAGAGATCAACATCCGCAGACGAAGATACTTCTAGACTGGACAGATGAGAAAAGAACCCTTCTACACGTAACGTTGTGGCCCGGAGCAGCAGATGCACCACCTTGAGCTTAGAAGTTGGGTCCAAGATTCAAGGTTCAGGGGGTCCCGATCGTTTTTTTTTGGATGCCAAGACCGTCGGAAGGGTGAGCCTAGTGACATCGCTCCGATCGGGCCAGGTTGCGATGTCCATGTCGGGGTATTCAAGTAGTCGTAGTGATTGTTCTTACATACAAGTTGTGGGAGACAAGTTGTGGGAGAGTGTAACTTGCAAGTCTTGTAGTTGCTTGTAGCAGATATGTCGTGTAAAGGCAAGCGCCCAAACCACTGCTCCTGTAAAGTTACTGCTTCAAGCATTTTGTGAAACTATACAATAATACAAAACAAAAAAAAGCCGACTGTATCCCAAACCCAAAGGCAAAGCGCGGGCACAGAACGCCTGACCCTTGGCGGCCGCCGTCGAGCATATGAAGAAGATGGAACAAAGACCGAAGCGGCCCACGCTATCCAGACCCTGGCGTTGCCGCTTCCGATCTGGCGAGGGGGTTTCATAGGGGTTCGCAAGGGCTTGCAAAGGGATTGGCCTCCCTAACCCCCTTCTTCACGCGATAATCCCTCCAAAAACCTTTTCAAAAATTTTTAGCCATTATAGCTCTTTTAATAGATGGAAGATGGGACGAGACCAGGCAGAACATGTAGTGACCCTATACTCACATCGCTTAGAAGTAAACTCTTCTTCTTCGAGTAGTAGTAGCAGTAGTAGTAGGGGTAACCGTATACCCATTCGTAGGGCCTAGAAAGTGCTTTACTAGTTAAAAATAATATTTTTAACTAGTAAAGCACTTTCTAGACCTAAAATTAATATTCTTCTTCTTCTTCAAGTGCTTAGCCCATAAGGATGATGGTGAGCTGTATTCGGATATCGGGAAGAGGAGGCTGCGCGCCGATCTCGAAACCACTCTTCACGAGAGAAATCCACCAAAGTTTCTTAGAAGACGCAGCGCCTCCAACTGAGGGAAGCTTCAACTTTGAGTCACTTGAAGAGGATTCTGGCTGTCCGAGTACTCTCGGATTCCTCTGATTCCATTGAGCCTATCACTAGCCAGCATGCCAGCACCTAGATTATGTGACGCACCAGGGCCAGGGGGATTCTAACTGTACTAGTACTCGCTGTCTCAAGGGGAACTGTACTTATCTAGCTATCCGCTCAGATTCACATTCTAGATGGGCTCCCGCCTCATTTTGTTTTTTTGTATCCTGAGGCGGCTAGAAGAGTGGCCGCAGTTTTATCCAGTTCGCAAACTGGCAGCAGGTGGAGTAAATTAGCCTCCTTGCGTCACGGGTGCACTAATTGCATACGAGCCTGCTGATTTATATATAATCAAATTTAGGAGCAAGGAAGAGGGGCGACTAAGTACGCTATACCTTCGCCCTGCGCCTGAAGTAGCACGGGATCGGCAGAAATTACAGTTGGTGCTGAACTATATTATAATATATTACACACACGCAAGTCATTTTTTTCACGAAATGTCGCAAGAGTGTTAAAATATATAACACCCTTGTGTGTCTGTGTCAACCTTCTTGTCAATTAATCACAAAGAAACTAGTACAGCTGCACAGATGAAATGATGTACGCACCACGAAAAAAAGCACTCTTCGGACTGTTCTTAACCATGAGGGCAACCGCGAGACCGAAGCACACTCTTAACTTCACCGGATGTTCCACGTAGGGCCTCGGCTTGATACAGCTGCAATTACTTAAAGTTTGAAGCCATTCATTTTTGACTCTGTTAGTTTGCACGTAGGATCTAATATCTTATAAAAATTATATAATTCAAAAAGTAGTTCAAGTTGTTCCCCTGAAGATGTCCCAGATAATATGAGAATGTCGTTGAAACAATGCTTGTCAGAAGTGAGGCATAAGTTCTAGTTGGGCATGCGCAAGTATCTTCGAAAAAACAACGTGCGTGCCGTGAACAAAAAATAAATATTGAGTTGTTCACTGCAGACGCAGCCGCTACTCCATTCTGTGCTAGATGATCAAGTCAAGAATAAACAATCATGTACCCAATAACCCTACCTAGAATAAAAAAGAATGCTTCAACCCGCCTTAAGCATTGGCAAAAGCATCCAGCGACGTAAAGCTGGAGGCAGCCTTGGAGGATCGTAAAAAATTTCTCGACAATCAAGCAGTCCCGGAAATACATGATTAGAAATTTCAAGGATCCTAAAATCCCAATGTTGGATGGAGTATAGCTATGTAGGCTTTTTTTCAGACTCTTCTATTGTATTATCCCACAGGAGCAGCTACGGTAGACGGGGAGAGGCCTTCTTTTTGGAGAATGGCCGAAGGCTGACGAACGAATAAAAAATATAGGTTGTATAGCATTTATAGGAGAGATGTTGTCCGTCGTTGTCCCTGATCTTTGAGCAAGTACAGCACCAGGAGGTTGCGGGCGACAGCTGTAGTGTAAATAGCAAATAAATAGAAGACCGAACTACACTTCTAGTAAATAGAATACTTTTAGTAAAAAAATCATCTAATTATCGGGCGTAAAAGACCTTGTAACTGTAGTTGTTCTTCATGATCATGCATCTGTTTGGTACAACCTACTACCTGGAACAATTCCCAGTTGTACCTAGAATTAATACAACTAGTGTCGTTCCTTGTTGTATTAATTCTAGCTAGTTGTATTGAACCCTAACTCCCAGTCGGGTTAATACAAGAAACCCTAGTAGAGTTAATACAGGAAATGCTAGTTGTATTGAAGTTCGTTGCTACTAGAAAGCAAGTAGTTAGCTACGTATAATTGAGCATACTTATGTATTCTCTTCTAAGAAGTGGTAGCTCCACCTCACTTATGGATTTTATAAAATGTTAAACTGCTCCTAGTAGTTGTCTTGTGCTTGTTGTACTACATTATGGGATGGAACCTCTGGAGCACTGTATGGTTCTGGTATTTGGTATAGCCTGAATTTGATCCTAAGGGTTCTCTTCTTGTTTTCCCTTAGGATCAAACTCAGGTTACCAAATACCGGAACCATTCATACTTACAGTTATTAATTTCTTTTTCAACTATAGAAAAAGAAGATCCAAGGACCATTATTGTTTTTTAATAAGTATTACTTGAGTACAACATGTAAATTACAGAAAAATGAAAGAAAAATAAGTGGTAGCTTTCTACTAAAATAAATGGAGCTTCATAAGTGCACACCGTCACTGTCACTTTGAAGGTACTGAGTGGTCGCGCCTCCGAACCACAGAACGATCGGCAAGGCACCCATAGTCGGGGTGAGAATTTAGACCTCGTTATTACATTCAACTCAGATTGACTACTAGGAGAACAACAAACATCTTACTTTTAGTGAAGAAGTAAACCTGACTAGTTGTCCATGATCAATCATTGATTACTAAGTCAAAAATGATGCTTCATCTCTCTCCACCAAAAGAATCTCCTTCGATAGAGGTCTCAAGCCTTAAATGAAAATGTCAAAAATGGTGAAAATTGTCGCGGTTAGCGACAACCCCGTACGAGTCGAATTCCAGTCCTCTGTGACCGGATCGCGATCGTTATTATATCATTAGAGCGGCGATGAACATGATCTAAAAAAATTCAAGTCTAGTGAAATCCACTAAATAGATACCAATTCAATTGATTCATTCATAAATTCAAGCCTGCTGAACAACAGTTTAGAACTTCCCGAAAAAGAAATATATTTAAGTACCTCTCTGACTTATTTCAGTGATTTACAAGTAGGGGGCGAACAAAGAAATATGAAGCTGCTCGATATGGACTGAAGTGAGCAAGTGCCACCCACTACTCGATAAAGTGAAGCGAGAATAACCGAGATACTCGAGGAAGAGCTGTCTTTCAAATCTACGTCCCGTATTTCGCAGGCAGTTACTCGGTCATAATTTCTACAATTCGATTAGTACTAACTTCAACAGAGTCTAAGATGATGAGCGCGAGCACTGACCAGGCTAGTACAGCATGAATAAGTTGTGTTTGAGTTCTTGTTCATAAGCTCCTGCGACAGAAATCGATGGTGCAGATCCTCTTTCGCTCGTAGCTGCCGTCGTGGCTCGTTCGCTTTTTTCTGCCGTCATATCCGACATTTTGGACGTGTGCTAACTTAAAAGGAGTAGAGAAAAGAAGAAAGTTAGGATAGGATAGGACTAATATGATATTTTTTTTCAAGGGAAAAATTCAAAAAACGGGATATGGAAATACGAAGACTGTAACGTAGAAGATGAGAGTACTAGGACCTACAAGAATCGTAGAGGACGAACCATAAGCACTACCGTACTAGAAGAGGATGTTAAATAATCACAACGAACTCTACTAGACTGTAATGAGACTCTAGACAGACGATAAAAAGAGTTGTAGCTACTTATCAATTCTAGTGATGAGCGCAGTGCCCAGGCTAAGAGGATAAGTGCATCAATTCTAGTTAGGGGATGAAATTTCTTCTCACATTTTCATCAACTTCTACCGCCTTTTTCATAAGTTGCCAGGCTAAGACCTGTCTCGGGGTTTTGCTGAGGGTTGTGATTGTCCTGGGTTCAAGGGTACATTCATTCACTCAAGCCAAACCGATATTTTGTCAACATCTACTTCCGTACCGAAGTATCCGAACCAGTTACTTACCAACATCTACTTCCGTACCGAAGTATTCTTTCACTTACGACCGATGACGTCATCAGAACCTCTATACTTCATTCCTTAGAAGTGATTTCAGTGTCCTTCAGTCGCTACGATTAGTCCTTTCTCTGCTGCAGCACGCCATTGTGCGCATTCCACACCCACATAGACGGGAGATCCACCCTCCAGTTCTCTGCTCAGACAGATACAGACCGTGGCTAACGTTATACAGTACGCTCAGCTTCATCACTAACAAACAAGCATCTTCCTATACAGTACGGTAATCTTAGTGTTGTAATATTGTACCCGAGGAGGTTACGGGACTACATTCCTCATAACATCTCTGGCTTCTTTTCCACTGGAGCAGCACCGGAGACCCGTAAGAGGCTACTCTAACAGAGCGAGGGTTCTAAATGTGAGTGAGTCATGAACATAATGAATCATCATGATCTTAGTCCATTTTTTCTTTTCATATTACTATTAGGACGAGGACGATGTACATAGGTCTCTCTACTAAGTTATGTGAATTCCAAAGTGAGTTTGAGTACGAAGAAGAATGTGTGGTCTACTTTGTTTCTAGTACAACTCTACAACAACGAACAACTTGTGCGAACTACAATTAAAGCCTCAGCATTCAATGGTCACTGATGCTGAACGGAAGAGACCCCCTTCAGAGGTCTCTCCTTTCCCTTCCTTTTCCCCTGTTCTCCAAAGGGGTCGCTTCTTCGATCTCAGTGACCAACCCCAATGACCATTGAAAGCTGAGCCTTAATACAAGGATAGATATCAATGCGTTTCCTTCAGAAAGATCGGCATTTCTACTACAAGAAATATGGAAACTTATCTACGTGTGTAAGAACAGCGTTCATCTTTGAGTTTTCCTAAATCAATACTTGAACTTTCTCAATACGGACACATGTCAGTTTGCTAGTCATAATTACAAGTGAATTTGCTAATCATAATTTGATGAAGAGCCATGCTCATGCTATGTATATCTCTAATAGATTCTAAGAAGGACGGAGTATGAGTATCATGATCATGTAATCAATAAATCATGTGTGTCTACTGTGTGTGGCTGGCTGTGCAAATGCACGCATCGTGAACGACAATGATGCACTTTGTATCTCTCTTGTTGCTTCGCATCGATCCATCAACATGCTGTACGTGATTCTTGTTATTATAGTTGGTTCTCGAAGTAGTTCTTACAAGAATCAATTTGTAGTTAACTATATTTCTTCCATAGTCGTGCTTAGACTCGTCTATAACAGTTACATTTCCGACGTTCTAAATATGCTATCTAGTGTTCGTGGTGCTTATATCGAAGCAAATGACTATACTTTTTAGTAGGTGCCGTTACATCCGATACTTGCTACGCAGTCTATCGTGGGAGCCGATGCCTCCAATTTCGGTGATCGGAAATCGCAAATTCTTAGTCCCTCCGCCATACATTCCGCTGGCATACACCTGACTTGCACGCGCGTGACCAGAGTTAGAGCCCAAAACATAATTCATTTTTCCTTTCGTTTCTCAAAAGTGATTGTGGTTGTGAAAGGAGAGAAGTGGTTGTGACAGTGATAAGGTGGACCGAGGAAGACTACAGTACTGCTATTCTTTTTACAGCAGATCATGAAAAGCTCAGAACTCAGAGCCTAGAACTCAGAGCTACCAGCCACAAGATGATTGCCCCACAAGTGTTTGATTGAAAGAAGGTAATGGTAAGGTCTTAATAACTATTTATTTGAAATACATATAGGAGTTCTAATGCGCGGCACTAGAATAATTCATAGGGGTGGCAGATCCGGGATGGGATGGATCGGATGGATCGGATGGACTCCCCACCATTTCAAGTAGGATCGGAAGATTTAGGGGGTTCCATCCGATCCATCCAAGTCCATCCTACATCCGTTCTATAAAAAATTATTCTATTATAATATTTGAAAGAAATCAGTTCTAATACGCGTCACTAGATGGTTCCTTCGCAACCACTTCTCCCGCGTCCTTCAAAGAAGTATATTGAGCCTTGAGCCTTAAGAGAGGACGTAGTATGTTGAAAAGCTCGCGCTCGCGCTAGCTTGCTTTCCATCTCCATACTCTGGAAGAGGTCCCTCGATCTTCGATACGGAAAAGAATCTCCAGTCGTCCCTGGCCTACTCGTTCTCCGAGATTGTGTTTTAGAGCTCGCCCTAGTCCATCTTCTCGAGACGCATTCTGGGTGTAGTAGTCTAGCACGATGTAGTCTCTTTTTTGATGTAGTAAGTACTTAGTCTCTTTTTTTTTAGGTTTAGACGAACAAGCCTTAAGTGTTTCATGGACGAGGTTTCCACCATGGTAATCCAGATCCAGCTCCATGGACTTGGTAATTGGAGGGAGCAGCACGTGATCCTGTCTCGATCTATGTCGTCTAGTCGAGGAAGAGGAAGCTGAGAGGAAACCAGTAGTGGAGCCCTCCACCTTGCCGTCTGGAAGCAACAATGCGAGGAGGTCTTAGAAGTGTTATAATGTTAATGTTATCTTTATCGTGATATAATGATGTCATCTCAGTGCAGCTATCATCAATGTTGAAAATGATGCACTGCGGCTTCGCTCAGTCACTGAAAAGACTCGAAATCAACTATATGCATTTAACGCAAGTCCAGCACCTCCTTAGTGATCTTCGACCAATCATGATGAGATCGATAATGAGGTGAGCCTAGGACTGTTCAGAGTCAGTATTTCTCAGGAGTAAAATTGTATAGAGGACTTCCATCAAGTGTCCGCAGCTGCGCAAAATTTTCGTACGGCCTTAATTTTCGGACGATGGCTCCCGTCTGGTAGTGGAAACTTGAATAGGAACAACTGCTCCGATTGTTCCCCCAGCACCACCAGGAGACTCGCAGAGCGGCAGGGGAGGTGAAGGTGAAGATAGTGGCAACGCAGAATCAAGACGGCGCTCGAGCTCGACTATTTCAGGTGGTACATCTTCACTCACTTTGGACAATTCGGAACCCACGCCACCTCGCTGTCCACCGGATCCTGAGGAAGCAGCCCTGGATGCGAGGTGAATGGGAGGAACTAATCCAGTCCTTCTTCACGGACACGGAGTTATAAGTACATGAGAGCAGAACAACTCCCTCGATAGGATGGCAACAACATGTGACTTGAGAGCACAGCTACCTCTCTAGGATGGCAACGGAGAAGGTGAAAGGGAGAATGTAAGATTATTATCGTATAAAAAGCAGTATGCACATTATAAGTACACAGAGTAGAAAAAGGTCCTTAGGATCGATTGTGGACCAACTACTCGATTCCAGACCAACTACGGTGTCGATTCCAGACCAACTACGGTGTCGACAGTGTAGATCCACCAACTCTTCAGTAAATTACGAATCCTATCATCTTGTAATACAAGTCCAACTCTTCAGTAAATTACGAATCCTATCATCTTGTAATGCAACAAGTACCGAGTCCTATCATCTTGTAATACAACAAGTACCGAATCCTATCATCTTGTAATGCAACAAGTACCTCTTCGAATCTTCTTTGATGATCGAGGCTCTCAATCGTTTTCTGTGGAGTTCGTCCATGAGGTCGAGTCGATGCTCGCAGTCGGTTGGCGTTGGCACCACACTACTCAAATATTCTGAGTATTAGATGCAACGTGGCACAACACTTCTTTCTACTCGGAGTAGAACATCAATTGAATCGAAGTACAAAAACGCTAACAAACCCGGTATAGTCTTTGAAGTAGATGTAGTCGGGCAAAAATATATTATACTTAGTAGAGCCTTAATCTTCAGTGGGTAACAGTTGTTGGCCGTCGGTCCCGATCACCTTCAATCCGCCTACAGGTGAGCACACGAACGGAACCGGCACCAAAGTTAGAACCACCACAAATCCATCTTGGGACTCATCTTGGTTCCTGTCTAATTATTCCCTGTTGTATAAAAACGGGAGGATCAAAATGCTGGGTAAGATGGACTGTTTGTGGCCTTAACAAAGGCGATGGAGGCGGTGATAGCAACGATGCTTCATTCAGCTGGATTATTGTCGAGGATGTCTGCTGCTGTTTTTCATCAGCTTTTGTGCGACTATTCCCTTGCTCTTGTGCTGGGACCATGGAGGTGGAGGTGCTGTTTTTTTCCCCTTCTTTGTCGTTCTCCACCTGTTGATGATTTTTTTCCACCTGCTCTTGAGAAGCTGCTACGCCATCGGCCCCATCCCGCGACTCTGAGGGTGCAACTTCTACAACTGGATGCGAGGACTCTTCTTCTACTTGTCCCTCGTCTTCTTGGACAAGTGGTGGAGCGCCAGGTTTATCAGCCACAGGGCCTTTCTCGACAACTACAGCTGCACCATCTTGTTCTTTAATCCCCTGTGTGGCACGAGCACTCTCGTCTTGCTCGAGAGCTGTATCCCCAGCCAGCACTACATGATCTGTCGTGCCAGGAATAGACTCACTCTCACGCTCTCGTTGTGCAACTTCTTCTCGCGGTTGGACAAGACCTTGTTCTCGCGAAGTAGAGCGATTATCCGCCTCGTTCTTAGAGTTTGTTACGACGGCGCTAGCATGATCTTCCCCTTACTAACTTTGAGAATAAAAATATCGATATATATCCAAGGCTTGGGAGGTGCTTCTTTTTCATACGTCGAAAAAGCAGTTCCAACGACATCTATGGTGTTCTAAGGAGATGCTAGAGCGGTAGCCTTAACGTTCCCGACTTCTATCTCCTTGCTCAACTGCCTATCTGCTCCTTCGGGCTCCAGTGCCGCCAAAGATTTGGATCTCTTATTTCCCTTTTTTGCGGATCCCTTGCGCTTTCCCGTTTTCGTGCCCTTCTTTTTCTTCGAACCTTGTTTGGGTCCGCTAGGATGTGCTGGAGAACCGATGTTACTATCATCTTGCTCAGGAGATATAACCCTCTTGGCAAAAAGATTAGAGGTCGTCGTGGTGGGGGTGGAGGATCAATCTACCACCATTTATAAGAATTATTTACATTGCTTTCGAAAGTGGGGTAGTCGTGGTTTAGTAGGAGGACTCTGGCGAATGTCTTAAGAACAGAAGCTGCCCACTGCGCGTCGACGTCGTCTCGGAGAGAGACAGATGGATCGGGATCCTCGATCCTCGTATCCATGTTGTGGTGAAGATCCTCGTCTTCTCTTGCAGAAGAAGCACCTCCTTCAGCAGCACCTAGATTGTCCCGTTCCTCCTCACAAAGGGTGGGGTCTCGCTCACAAATAGCATCCCAGCATTCTATTAGAGCTCAAAACAATTCATTTCTTGCCTACTTACATTTCTCCCAATGAGTGCCTACTTACATTTCTCCCAATGAATCCCATTTATTATACCAATGAATGCCTACTTACATTTCTCAGAATGAATCCCATTTATCCCAATGAATGCGTACTTACATTTCTCCCAATGAATCCCATTTATCCCAGGAATGAATCCTCCTTACATTTCTCCCAAGGAAATAGGGAGAATTTTGACTTGTTGTAGTAGAAATGAAATATATTCATATTGCGCCTTAATTCTAGCCTCAGGCGTTCTTCCTCCTGCCAGATTTCCATCCTCTCCTTCCCCGTTAGTCGCCGTTCGTGTCTCGTAGGAGGCTTCCACGCCTGTCGCTTCGGGATATCTTCAACCTGCTGAATTCGATTCCACAGGGTGTTTTCCATGCTCTTCTTCCACAACAGGTGCGCTGGAGATGGACTGAGGACTTCTATGCGCTCATCTCGAAAACGGTACACCTCCTGCAGATTCTTGTTCCGCTGTTGCCGCTTGCTCTCCCAGTGTTGACGCAGTAGATCCGTACTTTTATTGTGAAGTAAGGCGCCGTTGTTTCTCTTGTCCTCCTCGATTGATGTAGTAGAAAGAACGCGGCTCCTGGTTGAAGAAGCTGTGGCGGCTCTTGTTGAGGAATAAGACGCCAGGTTGTCAACTCCACCGTATCTCAATTTAGAACTAGCCGTAATCCATCTTGAGACTCATCTCGGCTCTGTCTTTCCCTTTTGGGACAGCTTCGAGATGCTTCTGGAGATGGACTAGCGGAAGCCTTAATCAACGAAATAGATCCAGTAGTCATTATCTCACTGCTGCGATTCGACCCTCGTGTGCCTGGTGCAAGAAACGAGGACCCTCTCGACGGACCTCTTGTCGACGAGCCAGTGTGGATGCCTGTGCCAGCTTGTGTCGACAAATTACTCCTGCTAATATTATAAGCCGATCCTGCGGATGTTAATGGAGGTGCTCCTGCTGCCGGTTTACTTGCTCCTCCAATAATGGTGGACGATGATCCGCCCAGCCCTAAAGGACTACTTGCGCGACTTGTCAACGGACTGCAAATGTGACTAGGTTCTTCAAACAGGGACCGATCGAAGGGAGCCGTGGTCGGTGAGCAATTATGAAGCTTGTTTCTATTCGAGCGAGCGAGCACGAGTGGTGAACTGGCCGTCGACGTTGTGGCTGGCGCTCCGCTAAAATCTTGCTCGGCTGAAAGCGATCTCTGTTCATATTAGAGCTTAAGCACCTCAATTCATCTTGGGGGCCATCTTTGACACCTTTCTCCCTTCAAAACAGAGCCAAAGATGCCTCGCAAGATGAATTACGGTGGGCCTTAATCATAGGACTGGTGATGCTGTTGTGACCGAGAAAGCGACTCCCCACCGGTAGCAGTGCTGATAGAAAACATGTTGTTGTTGCAATCTTCGCCATTAGCTGCGCTGAAGATGCTTCTTGTTAGCGCTAGTAAGTTTTTCACTATGTATCCCTTGATGTTTGTTGAGTGAGTTCATCCCCATTTTACCCCTTGGTGGGCGCCGCTCAGCGTAGTTCACATACTTAGGATAGTGAAAAACTAGTCTTAATCTTGAAGGCGAATCTATGCGACGGGAACCACCTGAACCTCCTCCAACATGTAAAAGTTGTTGAGACCTGCTCCGTGAAGATGAACCTGCAAATAAGAGCTGAGACCCACCTCCTGCCTCGAGAGGCTCTGCAGGTGCAGAACGGTGCTGCAGAACCGCTTCCACCGAAGACTCCATTGCACCAGCCGCACGTTCGAACGGTGGGCGTGACATGAATTTTCGCCGGTCGGATATGTTCGGAATCATGTCATGGAGATCAAAGGACGCGGAGTCGACGCGCACTTTCAGCAAGGCCGCTACTTCCCGTTTGAAGTCTCGCTCTACCGGCATAGGCCGTTTCAGGTACCGCGCGCGCACATTCTGTGCTTCTGCAAGATAGTGTCCTTCGATCACGTGAGAAAACTCTTCTTCATCATCTTTGTCTTTGTCCTTGTCGCCGCCATTCCCACTGCCGCCATTACAACCACTGCCGCCATTACAACCACTGCCGCCATTACAACCACTGCCGCCATTACAACCACTGCCGCCATTACAACCACTGCCGCCATTACCGCTACCGCCTCGATCACCTCTACTTCTACCACGTGTGCCTTGAGAAGCTCCGCTGCTCTGATGTTGATGTCCGGCAGAAGAGGAGGAGCCCTCCTTGTTGTGAGTCATGTTTTCGGATTTCTTGCTACGTGGCGGACCTCCTCGACCAGCATGTTGTTGAACACTACTAGAACTTGTAGCGCTTTTGTGCTGGTCACTCCTCGTCCCCCGTCCATCTCCTGGTCCTGTCCTGTTAATATCATCATGCTCGTGCGTCCTAAGAAGTTGTCGTAGTTCAGAGTCTGTACTACCTGAAGAGCCGAAACCCAAACGGGACTCGTTATGCCCCTCTTCGAAAATGTTGAACAAATCTCTTCCAGTAAAATTATTCGGTTGCTGAACTGCACGGGAGGTTGGACGACTAGAGGGGCTTCGCGATCTCGAGGATGGTGGACTTCGAGACTCACGTTCGCGCCTTACTTCTGCCTCCAAATCGTCCAGAGGGGAGCTAGAGGACCTCTGATTAGAACTTCCAGATTTATTGTTCATCTTGAGAGTCTGAGTCATCTTGGACGACCTGTTTAATCCGGACACGGAGGTCCAAGACGCTTCTGACGATGGATTTCCTCGTCAAGCCTTAATCTTACGATTGTTCAATTCGTCAAATCGCAAACAAGCATGATCCCGTTCGCTACTCGTACTCAGCTTCATTTTGCTTACTAATAATTCATGTTGATCCACCAATTCCTGCTCATCTTCGAGAGGAAGACCATCATCATACACTAATGGTGGCAATTTATTTTCTTGTTTCGTGCCTGGACGACTGGAGGTGCGGTTTGAGGAGCTAGACGTGGTGGGACGCCACAAGTCAGAACCGGGGTTGTTGGACGCCGAAGCAGATGTATGCGGACGGGTTGAGGAGTCACGTGAATCCGGAGGCCCTCCGCCCCATCCTCCCGGAGAAGGACCCGATCCAGGGCGTTTCGTAGATGCAGCAGCGAAATCATTAGGTACTTCTTCACCTTGTTCGTGGTGTACTTCTTGTTCTAGAAGTTTTTGCCCTTCTTGTTCTGGTTCTATTCCTTGAAGATGTACAACCAGAGAACCGCCACGACTTCTTTGACGCCCACCTCCACCACGACTAGATGTGCGTCTAGTGCTGGTACTAGTCTGATACAAGGCCACCTCTCCTCCATTGAGTTCCTCATGTATCAAAGCTGTTGGAGACGATGGCGCGAGGGGGAAGTGATCTACTGCAGCCGAGACGAATGCATCTCCGACAGAGTCTTCAAACTCGTCATTCTCAGACGTCGGATTAGTTTGTTTCTGCGAAGCGGTCCTAGAAGAAGCCCTTAAGTTCGTTTCTATCGAGAAGGATCTGTTGACTGATCTTGTGGACTTCGTAGTAGACAGAGTCCTTTTTGAACCTGGTCTCGGCACTATTTTGTTGACGATGCTGTAGATATTAGCAGCACGCTGCATCCGGGCTCTACGCCTGGCGTACACAAACTTCGCACTACTACTTTCTACATCTCCTGCTGGCAACAAATCTGGTAGTTGTGGTTGGAGCAGAAGGTCTCCCCTTTGTGCAGCAGTAATTTCTCCCCTTTGTGCAACAGTAATTTCTCCTGTTTCCTGTACTTGTAGTTCCTCATCTAAGACGCCGTTGCTGGTTGTCGAGAACATGTTGGTACTAGAGGGACGTATATTTAGATTTTTACTAGAACAAGACGAAGAGTGAAGATGAATACTAGAAGAGTGTATATTATTAATAGCACGCCGTTCTCGTTCACGACGTTCTCCTAAGACGTCGTAAGAGGACAAGGAAGATGCGCCGTCTTCTAATGGTAGGACTCTCCCTCCGCGAATTCGACCATTGTCACTTAATTCGTAGAACCGGTCGACCATACCCGCAGACGCTGGCAAAACCCGAGCTTTGTTGCTAGAATTAGATACAATACAATTTACAATACAATTAATCTCGCACGAAGTTCAGTGCAGACTGCCTTAAGGGCATTATGGCATCTTCCTCTTGTTTGAGAGTAATAAGTAGGATCCTTGGAGAAAGAGGCTACTTACTGTTACTTCTTTTTCAACTACTTAACCAAGGACCATTATTGTTTTTTAATAAGGACAACATGCGACAACTGGGGTAAAGTCTTAATAGAAGGTTCTGCATCCAGTTTACTCATCTCTCCTGCTTCCTCACCACGACCTATAGTTTTTATTCCTGGTGACGAAGTGCTTGTCTTTGTTCCACCTGGAGATGATGGCACACGCTCAGGCGACGAAACTGTTTGGTCAAGAGCGAGAGTGGAGAGTCTTGAGGCAGCTTGAATTTTTTTCCACAATGGTGCTGCTCTATTATCCTCCAGCCCCAACTGCCTCAACTTCCCAATTTGTAGAACTGCCTCCAGCGCTTCATCTTGAATTATGCTGCGATGAAGAGCTTCGTCTTTGACTTTGTTCACGTTCTTGTTCTTAGAAGATTTTTACGAGAGGAATCCATCTTGAAAGTCATCTAAGCAATTGGGCGTTTTTTTCCACACTGAAAGAGTGAGGTGTCCCCAGATGCTTTTGAAGATGGATTCCCCGATGAAGCCTTAATGTTCATGTTCTTGGTCTTACTAGTTGCAGCAGCTTGTTCTTCCCCTTTCAACATGCTGTCAGTCTTACTAGTTGTAGCGGCAAGAGTGTTTACGGGTTCTAATCGCATGAACTGTAGCCAAGAGATACTGCCGAGAGAGATGTGACCTTTTTTCGCAAAGTCTAGCACGTCAAAAACGCAAATCGAATCCCCTCTCCAACCATTTTCTTTAGACGAGCTTCCCCAAACTCATCTTCGAGATCGAGTGCATCTTTGATGTAGTGTATTTTCCCTTAAGAGAACGCCAAAGATGCCTCCCAAGATGAATTAAGGTACTTATAAGCCATAATCTCTGCTAGCACCTTGCGAAAGGCGTTCATTCCCACATTCACCGTAGGAGCCAAGCGGACGATCTCCGACTGAGGTAAGGCAACGTCTTTGCTCGTTGTGCTGCTATTGAGAATCTGTTGAGCCATGTGCATTTCGAAGGAATGATAGGTGCCGAAAGTTAACTCGCAAAACTCCAAGAATTTCCTCAGCGTACTCGCAGTAATCGGCGCGTAGTCTTGCAGCGTGATAGAGCCAGTAAGCTCTAGATCCAGTCCTGCCCACGCAGCGGGTAGCATTTTCTCCAAGTTGATCGCCTTTTGCAGGCGTTCCTTATCTTCTTCCCTCTGTTCCAAAAAATTTGCTAGAATGTTGAAGTGCTCGTCCACTTGCTTGTTGTGCTGCAGATGCGCATAGGCGCGCGTAGATAGAAGCTTCTTTTTCCAGCTAGTTTTAGAGGACGTTTTTAGTTAATAACAGTATTCATCTTTCTTGAAAGTCTGTCACCTTTGCCCCGTTTTTCCATTCGAAAAGGCGCTAAACGAAGATGCTTCTTGTAAGAGGAATTCCTGTACTAAGCCTTAATTTTTAGCTCTGTTCCGTTTCTTGGAAACAAATGCTGTGCTTCAGCTTGAGCCTGTTCGGAGCGAAGTAATCCCAACGCTTCCTTCTGCGAATGCAATAACGTCTGCAGTTGTGAGTGGCTCATGTGTTTCGGGTTCTTACTTGGAGTGGCCAGTTCTTGGACAGAAACTTCCTTGTGCGGAGTATTGCTCAACATCTTAGCGGCTCCTGATGTGGTAGAAGCTCCAAGTCCTCCTTTCATGCTAGACGTTGTGCTCATTAGTAACGAAGTTGTGCTTGCACCCAAGATATCCGCGTCTTCCTGGGTGCCCAAGTCTTGTTGGCTGGTCTTTCGACTCAGGCCTATATTAGAGCTCTCCCCTATTCATCCCTGTGGAAATCCCTCAAGCATATGCGTCAGTATCTCGTCCCTTGTATCTATTGGGGTGTATAAATATGTTTCTTGAGGGATGTCTACAGCTACAGGGATGGATTAGGGGAAGCCTTAATTTTAGAACCCCCGCCTTTAGCGTTAGGAGAAGATGATGATCCTGCTGCTCCACCTGGAGGCGCAATGACCCTACTAGGAACATTAGAAGAGATCATACCGCGTTCGCGTCTCCCTTAAGAGTCATATCCTTATGATTATTTGGGCTTCATCTTTTCCGAGTAGTACTAGAAAAAGTAGAAGGTCCAAGGATGATGTTGTCAAGGACATGCTTTATAGCGGTACAGCCTTAATGCTCGAAGGAACACCTGCTGCACCCGGTGGAAGGGCTAAGCCTTCTTCGCTAGTGAGCGCGGTACTCAGCTTGCTCATCAAAGTCGTCACAGGATGAAGATGCCCAGGACTGGCGTTTTTCGAGGATCCACCACTAGGGGATGAGGGGAGAGGCCCTCCTGCGGTAGACGTGGCAGACTGCAGTTCTAACTCATTTTTAGCCTCCGCAAGTACTACGGTGCCCTTTCTATCGAGTCCTCTCGCTTTTAGACCTCCGCCTGCTTCTTCCATCAACTCCATCGCTTTTTTAGAGCTCTCCGCACTTCATCTTTCTGCTGCATTCGCACCTAAAATTACAATGGGGGAGCATTTGAGCATTTCCCTGTGATAGATACTCCCCCAGCATACGTCTCGTCAAGGATGCAATCAAAGAGGAATCGGCTACAGCCTTAATATTTGCTATCTGTTCCTCCAGCAGTTGCATCTTCATTGCGATTTCAGTGCCTTTCTCCGATTGTGGAGCAGACTGATTTCCCAAGATTCCGGCAAAAGCAGCAGCTCTTTGCAACGTCGGGGGATCGAAATAGCCAGCAATCGTTCCCCCAGCTTGCTTCAGCATTTTTGTCGTTGCCGCTGAAGTTAGAAAGAGCCCCCCTTGGTCTGTGTTGAACAACTACAATCCATAACAATCTCATTGGCCTTAGAATTCAAGAAACTTACTCTCCCTAAGCGATACCGATAGATAAGTCTAATATTCAATATAATTGTTGAGAAGACTTCTAGACCGAAGTAGTTAGTTCCGTTGTACTACTATTCTCCAGCAAAAAACTACTACGCACACCTTAATAGAGATTTCCTACGAAATTTGAGCAAATTCGCAACCGCTGCCTCCAGTTCTGAGTAGATCACTTTTTGGCTCAAATCCGCATCCAAATTTTTCCAGACCCACATGTCGTTACCCTGATACAAATCGCGCAGCTCTGCTTGCAGTTCGTTGAGGCAATGGCGATCACTTGGCATATTGAGGATTAGAGCATTTACAACGACTAGCAATAGTTCGCATCTTCCTGCCCTTTGAGAGTAGCAGTATTCTTGATAACGCGTTCGCGCCTTCCCTGAGACGAGCATGATCCTCTGAGAGTCTCATACATAGTATCCTGCCTTGGAACAAGGTGCTTCATTTTCAAGTAGAAAAAGAACATTTTTAATAGTATGGGTGGAGCCAAACTAACTAGGAAAAGAAAAAGGAAGGAATGTAGGTAAAGGATAGAGTAGCGCTACAGGAGTGTAGGTAAAGGATAGAACATTTTTAATAGTAGTAAAAGTAGACTAGTAGCTAGTAGGCGAGTATAAGTGGTGGAAAAAGATGATCTTTCAATGTGATAGAGATAGTGTGATAAGGAATAAGATGCGCTTATTAGCTGTATACTAGCCTTAAAAGAAACGGAGCCGGCGTCCAGTATTTCAGAAAGAGGAAGTCACGCGGTCGCAGTCCCCCATCTACTGTACGGCATAGGCATTTCGCCAAGAAGGTAAGAAAAGCCAGGCGTTTGCGTTCGTAGCACCGTAGGAGGTGAGCTTTGATTGCTGGCAGATCAGTCAGCTCCCGCACAACCCGTTCCTGCTCAACGTCCTGTGACGAAGCTGGTTGTTCTGTTGTTGTACTCTGTCCAGTTGTTGTACTAGTGGTTGTGTTTGAAGATGTAGCTGTTGGTCCACCTAGAAGGCCCTCTTCTATGGCCAAGCGTTTTATCTCCGCGACAAGTTGTTCGAAGGGCAGGTAACAATCGGGCTCATCTTAACGCTAGTTTTCCACTATCCGGGATTTTTGAGTGGCCGCACCAAATTCTTCCCCTCAAAATTCCCTTGCAATAAGAGGGATGAACCCACTCAGCATACTCTACATGGGATAGTGATCAACTAGCCTTAATCATCTGGCGACCAATGCGACACTTTCTGGTGATCTACAGCGGCTAGTCTACCTAGTTCCGTGATCTCGGCGCGGCCTCTTTGCCCTTCTCCCCTCATCCATTTGTCTACGGCACTGACCAGTTCATGGGAAGACATACCACCTCCAGCAGAGGTTGATCCGGCCGTCGTGGTGGATTTCGGTACAACTACATGATCTTGGAGAAAAACGCAACACGAATTGCTTCTCCGCATAGCCAGGCTACGCTTGCCGACAGCACGACTGCATTAGAGCTACCGCCTTCGCAGCTTCTTCGAGAGGCATAACTCGTGAGTGCTTCTTTTTCAACAGTAAGTAGTGGAAAAAGAAGAACCAAGGACCGATGCTGCCCGCCTTTTTCAAGTAGAAAAAGAAGAACCAAGGATCGATGCTGCTGACGAAGAGGATGCTCTAGTAGCGGTAGCCTTAACTAGTAGAAGAGGATTTATGTTCTTGGCGGAAATAAGAGTCATCATCTTCATCTTCGACGTAAGTCCTAGTATTGCTGTTGTGACTCGTCCCGGAAGCTGCTCGCGCTCCTTCTTCACTTTTATAACTGTTCCCGATCGTGCTTCTTTGTACGTCATGACTGAAAGTCACTTTCGTTGCTGTCCTTGTTGACTCGATTTTTGCGTTGTTCTTAGAGCTCTTCAAATAAGCAGTTCATTTCACATTTCTTGCCTGCAAGCATTTCTCCGTATCCACCTAAGAGAGGAGTCGTGCTACCCTATTCAATAGGGAGAAACGTTGACAGGTAGACGTGCATTGTATTCATTCTTGAGCCTTAGTGTTTTGCTCCTCCTCAAATATACGCTCGATTGTCTCTAGCTCTAATTGAGCCTGATTCATCTGTTTCCTCATCTTTGCGCGTGATGATGAGCCAGACGCAGTACTATTAAAGGTTGCACAATTACACTCTTCAGAACATCCCTCACCTCTTTCCTACTGGAAAAAGAGTGAGGAATGGTTGTGAGGGATGTAATTGGTTAACCCTTAATACTATGCCCCTCCTCTTCCCCGCTTAATTGTTCCCCCAGCATTTGTTCCTCCTCTATTTCCACTTGGTCACGATGAGGCTCACCTCGAGGAACAATAGCAGTCGGAGGAGAAGTCTCTCCAGGAAGAGTCGATGCCATTTGGTGTTCTGTCCTCCCTGTGTTGGAGCCGTCCTCGTCACTCAGTTCTTTCAGCGATGCTCCAACATTAGAGCTCAGATCAATTCACTTCTTGGGTTCATCGTCTCAGCTTCCTAAGAAGGCAACTAAGCAAGATGACTCTTAGAAATGAAATATTTTGAGCCTTAACTCCACCGTTTTCCTTGGTATCCGTATCATCAAGAATCTCTAATACGTCTTGTTGTACTTCAACGTCTCCAACTCGTGTCGAGTCTAAGATAGAATCTACCGCTTCATCCACGAGAGAGAGAGAAACAACACTTGCGACAGCTTGGTTCAGATGTTCACTGTCGTTGTTGAGGGCGGCTACTTCATCTTGCTCAACATCGACTGTAGCAACTGCGTGGTTCGGATACAAATGCCCATGCTGGCCCTCCACTAGACGCATACCATCCCTTGATGCGTTTCTCCTGGCTATACCAGGACTGGTGGTCCTTTCTCCTTTGTCCACCATATTTGTCATGGTCTTGGAGTTCTGATTTGACGTACTAGTGGTGTTCTTTTGTTCCTTAGAGATGTTGTCGCTTCGACATCGTCCTTCCCACGTACTACTAGTTTCCTTCAGTTCCTCCATTTTCCTCAGAGCTCGTTGAAAGTATGTCCTCACACTGGCCTGTCGGAACGGCGCGAAGGCGGGACCAACTTGGACTAGATTTGTTTCGTTGATAGCCAAGTCCCCAGCTTGCTCTAGTAGCTTTTCGAATTCGTCGCTCATGTCTACTCTAGGCCTAAAATCTAGAGCCAACATCTTATCCACAAAGGCCTTTTGGGTAGCAGTACGAAAAAGAGCACTTTGATGAGCACGGTAAGGGTCGACTATATGGACAACATTTTTACTAGTCGTAGAAGTAGTCGTAGTGCTTTCATTCGTGCTTTTATCTCGTCTAGATTGTGATGATGATGAGGCACCAACACTAGAGGTTGATGATGAGCAGGTTGTGCAACTAGTAGTAGCCGGCCTTGCTGCCAGCACAGAGTTCCTACTAGAAGCTCTTGATGTTGATGTTCTCCGGGTGTTGTTCTTACCATCAGCACTAGTGTTGTTATTCAATAGTGGGCCATTTCCTATGATCGAACCAGGAGCAAAGAGTTTGTCCCAGCGCTTCAATTTGGCTTCTACGGAATCTGAGTTCTTGGACGTCGCAACTCCTGTGGTAGTTGCTGGTCGAAGATCTTCTTGATTGTCGTAAAACACTGTGCATATGTATGAAAGGAAAACAAGTGCACTCATAGTACTTCTCAATAAACTAGCTGGCATTTTTGAAGTACAAGTAGGAAAGCAACTACTAGTTTTCTTCATCAGTATGAGTACACTTTTGCCTTTCATAATATGAATTCTTCGAAGCAGGTGAATTTTTGGTAGTAGAAGTCGAGTAACTGCGCTAGGTGTGTGGCAGAGGAAAGGTGAAATTCGTTCAGCGTAGTGCTTCCTTCTTCATCCTTATCCATGATTTTCCACGTCTCCGCCCTCAAGTTTTTATCGTAGTTTACCCGCTTGCACCACTTGTAGAAGTCTTTCCGCGTTAGCTCCATAGCACATGACACATGCTTAAACGACTCAAACGAAGCAGCTTTATTGTGCTGCTGTTCGGAAGCAGAAGTAGGACCTAGTCCATGTGGTCCACCTGGCGGAGTATTGATTCTTGGTGCTCCTCCCGTAGTATAATTGTAGTTCTTCCTCAATTGAATCCGTCCGCGCATGTTGCCGCAAGAGGCGATGCTGTAGTTTCCGCCTCCGCCGCCGTTTGTATTAGAGACTTCAAACAAGATGCTTCTTCTGAATCTGAAGATAAATCATCTTCTTTATAAATAAATATAATAATGCTGGTGGTTTAGGCGTTGGCTTAGTGGTTTAGGCGTTGGCTTAGTGGTTTAGGCGTTGGCTTGTTCACTTATCATACTTGCCATCTATAATTCTTGTACTTCTTGTAGCCTTAAATCTACCCGCAATCATTCCATCTGTATCCACCATGTCTCGCCATGCGAGCATTGGGCGACCTTTCCCGTACGTCTTCCCCAGGAACTGCCAGAAATATCGCTCTGTCTCAATGGCTTCTAGACTTTTTTTCGTGCGCCATTCTACAGCATGCCGGTAGCCAGCAGCCTTGTCATCAATTTCTGCTGCAATCGAAGTTCTCTCTCGCCTACTTGGAGAAGGTAGAGGAGAAGGTGAAGGGCTAGTTGGAGAAGCATCATCATGTGCTGAAGCAGTGGCCATAGTGCTGCTTCCACTCGGTGTAGTTCTTGCAGATCCATGCCCAGCTTAGACCCTAAGAACGACATTCATCTTGAGGCGCATCTTATTAACCTATGTATTACTCATCACGCCCTTGAAAGCACGTCAAAGTAAGGTATTACTCACTTATTGCCCTTCTTCACAGAAGAACGTCGTCACAGTAAGATACCTCGCAAGATGAATAATAAGACGAACCTAGGACGACTTTCTAAGAGCAGTATTTCTTCTATGGACGAGTGAAATAAGTTGTATATAGTACTTAAGTAAGCCTTAATCAGCGTGAGCGTCGACTTGTTTTGCCTCTTCCTGGGCCGCCTTTCGACTTTCTTCTATTCCCTGTCTGCGAGGTTCTGTCTGAGCAGAGTCTGCCTTCTTCGAAGATTTCTTCACCCTCGCTGCCCCGCCACCAGCTGCGATCAGATCGGAAGAAAGCAGACGCAATTCCCAATACTCCAAAGTCCCGTTTCTGCTGGCATCCAATATGTCAAACAAAGCCATTGCGTCATCAACTTGGGGATAGCCGAAATCGCGGAGGCCAGCTTTAGAAGGTCTTTGGTGTTATACTTCTTTCCTTACCCCACTTCTGTTAGTAGAGGCATAGGTCTTTGGTGTTATATACTTCTTTCCTCATCCCCTTAGAGGCATAGGTCTTTGGTGTTAAATACTTCTTTCCTTACCCCACTTCTGTTGCATTCATAGGTCTTTGGTGTTATACTTCTTTCCTTACCCCACTTCTGTTGCATTCACAGGTCTTTGGTGTTATACTTCTTTCCTCATCCCCTTAGAGGCATAGGTCTTTGGTGTTATACTTCTTTCCTCATCCCACTTCTGTTAGTTATACCTTGTTTGCTCTCGGTTTTCTTAGAAGTGTTATACTTCTTTCCTTACCCCACTTCTGTTAGTTATCCCTTTCTGTTGTATAATTCATACCTTTGCTCTCGGTTTTTATTCTTATAAGAGCTGTAAGAGAGGCAAGGAAACTAATGCCTAACCACGCTAAAAACGGTAGCAGAAACTACACCAGAAAAATAATACCCAGCCTTAGCATCTCTGAAGACCTCTGGAGAGAGAACGAAGAGCGACCCATAGTGTTTCTCCACTCGGGATACCATCTGCGCTGTGTCTGTACTGTGTCCTTGTTGTCCATCTTGGGATGGTGCATCTACCGTGCCTTCCCCATCTGCTAATTTTTCCAACATGACTTCTTTTTTCAGACCCAAGGGCGTGAAGAAAATTAGAGGAGCTCAAAACATGAGATGAAAGTAGTCCCAACTGCAGTAGTGGCTGGTCCTGTAGATTTAAAATGAGATGGAAGGAGTCCTAATTGCAGTAGTGGCTGGTCCTGTAAATTTGGTACTAGTTTCTAAAATTGACATGAAATATTAGAACACTGTTGACTGAAGTAATGACAACAACAACGCTGATCTTGAATCAAGTATAAATACATACAGCCTTAAGATAGAGTCGAACATGTTGTAGAAGATTCGAGTTGTAAAGTCTCGCTCGGCCGGGTGAGGGCGTTCCGAGAAGTTATCCAACAGCCAGTCTACAAAAGAGCTTATGATGCGGAAACCACCAGGCTCCAACTCCGCTAGAGATATCATTTCGCCGACGAAACTATCATGTATGGTGGAGTTTGTTTCTGTTGATGTGGTATGGCAGTTGTCTCACAGTGATATGACACTCACATGATGTTTCTCATCACATGATGTATGCCAGTCGTATCACATGACGTTCGAAGAAGATCAGTAATAAATTGTACCAAGTAGAACTACAGCTCATAGCTGCAATTTGATTCTTTTCTAAGGTAAAAAACAAGAGTCAAGCTATGGAGTGAGTGTTCAAAAATACTCTGCTTCTATTATAAAGTAAAAAGATACCTCCAGTCGTTCGAGATCTTCTAGTACGTCAACTATCACGCGTAGAAGGAAGTGTTCTAGTTCTTTTCATGTTGACAACAAACTTAGTTCGAACTACTGAGTTTCTAGTTCTTTTCATAGTTTCTTTTCATGTAGAAGCAGGAAGTGTTCTAGTTCTCGGCCCCCTCATCTTCGCCCCTTTTACCTTGTATTTCACGAGAATACAAGGGAAAACGGGACACTAAATGTTGCCGAGAATGATGGACAACATAAAAAAGCTGACCATAAAACTTAGTAGTCAACTTAGTTTCGATTTGGAAATACAAAATACCTCGCCGCATGCAGTGCTCCTGGGATGTCAAAGGAAGCTCCCGTATCTGGATCCTGCAGGACCATGTCTTCTGGCACAATCCCCTCGTTGAGCAACATCTGTAGCAGGTCTCGACAAGAAAAACTCTCGTCAATCGGGAAGCCCAGGTTAAAGAGCCACGGTGTCTTAGAGCTGCTCACACGGGTCCATCTCCAGAAGCGCCTTCCCGGAAGCTGTCGTGCCCACTTCTATGTAGAAATGGCACAGCTTAACAACATAGTTGTAATATTATACGGAGAAATCATGTAATGGCACAGCTTAACAACATAGTTGTAATATTATAAGGAGAAAACAAATAGTAGGCACACCTACTTCTATGTAAGATGGATTAGAAAAAAAAGGCTTAACTGTCGTGACGTACTCGACATGGTAGCGAGCACGAATCCGCGTACGAGCCTCCTGGATCACCAACTTGTGGAAACGCATCTTGTTCCTCTTGGGACGTTTATCAAGAACGAAATGGAAATAGTAAGTTGTTGAGACACCAGCTTCCTGAGTAATTCCACTTTTTTTGAGAAACTATAGTTGTAGGCTTGTTGAGACAGATTACTCTACTAATTCATCCATTCGGCAACGTCAAGAAATAGTACTAACCCACCTATCGTTCCGGATAAGTATGTAAATATCGTTATGTAAATTTGTTGTTTGCTACGTGAATTTGTTAAGCAGTTGGTGGGGTGTAGAGAAGGTCTGTCGTATGTTACCTTCATCGACCGATCGCTTCTCCAAGTTGTAGACGGAAAACCGATGAGCTACAGACTCTCGTGAAGTTCAAGAGTAGCCGCAGACCGTCTCTTTCATCTACAGACTCTCGTGAAGTTCAAGAGTAGCCGCAGACCGTCTCTTTCATCTCTACTTTTCAGATCAATACCGATGATTATCGCAGGGTTGGTTTGGTCTCGTTTTAAGTGACGAATGAGATGAACCGAGGGTACTTGTACTGGCGAATCGTACTCAGCATGGACTTCTACTACCTCAGACCCGCGCGGACCTCTAGTCTTCTTCTTGACTAGAGTTCTCGGGGCACTTCAAGAACATCTTCAGTATACTGGCGCATGAAAGACGAACAGTGTCAAGGAAGTGTTTAATTCAACACATGAAGACGAACAGTGTCAAGGAAGTGTTTAATTCGATAGCATTAGAAGTTAATTGATTCCATAGCAATGGCAGCAGCAAGCTGTCGCATTTGTTGCGACGACTACCACTCCTTCACAGCTCGGTTGAGGTGAACAACTCTTATCGACGTAGTAACAGCGGTGTCTACTTAGTACAAACAACTCGTTTATCATACGTATCATCTACAAGAACTTTTATCCGCGTCCTCCTGATTGCTTCGTAGTTGAGTAACATTAACTGCATTACCTGCCTGACTGCGAAGTGACGACAGTATCAGTAAAAGACGGGGTGTACACTGACTACGAAGTGACGACAGTATCAGTAAAAGACGGGGCCCGTTCTGACAACGGCTGTGATGCTGCACCTGAATGTCGCCAGGCTTCAACACCGACGCGCCCATCCGTGTTGAAGTCGTACTTTACTGTGAAAAGCGACACTATTTGATCTGGACGGGCGCGAAAAATGGGCCAGGACGATGGCGATGTCTTTTGTACTTCGTCTGATTGTTTGTCTGAATGGTCCTTCTGCTTGTCTTGTTCTGATTGTTTGTCTGAATTTTCTCCGTGTTTGTCTTGTTCTTCTCCTTCTCCTGTCTCTCCAGATGACTCAGTCGAAGTTGAAGAACTGCTTGTTCCCATTTGGGAACTTGTTGTGCCGTCTGACATGACCCTTAGAATCTCCGCAGGACTATCTTCGAAGGAACTCCTGTAGAGACGGTCGAATTGCTGCGTTCGCTTACACGGGCCAGGGTTCGAGGATGCAGGCATGTTCGAAGTATTCCGATTGTATCGATTGCCGTGAAAAACAAAAGGCTGCGCCGAAGAAGCATGAACAAGGGATGTTCACAAGAAGGAGAAGGGACAATACTATTGACATTATCAATGGATGAGGATGTGCAACGAAAGAGTACTTACTTAATGGATGAGGATGAGGATGTGCAACGAAAGAGCACTTACTTAATGGATGAGGATGAGGATCTAGATCTTGCAACGAAAGAGTACTTACTTAATGGATGAGGAAGAGGATCTTGCAACGAAAGAGTACTTACTTGATCGTTTTATGATCTTTCATCTCGTGGCAGGTGTAGGGACTCGAATTGTTGAAAAATGTCTGACTAACTAAAATGACACTTTGTAGATAGTTGCAGCTACCTAGTACGAACTTTTTTCACGAATGTGCTAGTACTTAATATACGCGACCTCAACATAATTCAGCCCTTCCTGCGCGCGGCAAGTAGTCACAAGATCGAAAGTCTTTGCTGGCGGATCGAGTGGGGTAAGTGAGACACTCCTCACGCTCTTCGATTTCCCAGGAGCCTTCTTCATGCCTACGTCACAACGCACAGACGCTCGCCCCAAGGCAACTACATGTGCATATGACCCTGGACCTTGTTCGGCAGTAATCACTCTTTGCGGGCGTCTATCATTAGCGTCAGCTTTCATTCACTTCGGTCCCCTCGTCATCCGGACCCCTTTACAACTATTTTTGTGCCACTTCATACGAATAATACAGGGCAGATGCTCCTGAGAAAGATAGACACTAAATGTTGACCATAACATCCCCACGCCTCGTCTGTCCGATATTCAAATTCTGCCCAAATGCTAGGCCACTTCGGAATCTAGTGCTTTTCTCAAGTGGCTCCCATACAGAGTCGCTAAACGCGTAGTCCCTACTTGCTAGCGCAACTGCTGAGCCGAAGGGGGATGCTAGACCTGGAAAGGAAGAAGCATATTGTGCAAAAGAATGTTCACATCATGACCACATGCTCTATTTCGCTCTTTCACAATCACAGACTCACTTGTATTTTTACTGTACATAGAAGAAGATCCAGATTAATTCAATACCTGGTGCTAACGTGGGACTCTCCGGAAAGAGGAAGTTGATGGAGTAAGCCACACCCGCGGAGTTGTAGCAGGGGCCCCAGCCTGGAAGTGCGCCTGGATAGCAGAAACCAGTCGCCCATGGGAATTAGCAGCAATTTGAATTTTGTACGAAATTTCACTTTGTAGTGAGAAAAGTTCTCTATCCATTCGGTGCTCGTACTTCTGATCCAACAATTTGTCCATAAATTGCATCGCGCGTCGAAGACTTCCTGTTCGTCCCTGCCTCTAGAAAGCCGAAGCGTATGAATTTCCCTTGTCGTATAAGATCCACACTCCCATCTTCGTTGTGGCAGACGGTATTCGGAGTAACAATATCACTGCAACCACGCGGACGTCCGACTGCCGCAGTGTACTGCATACCTAAGACTTCTTGCTGTCCCACCGCAACCCATATTCGGTCGAAAGGCACGTCTGCGCCCGCGGCTAGACCTCGCAATTCGGGTCTTATGAATAAGGGTGAGGGAGGGAGATCAGGGGGGATAGTTGGCATACTTCAAACTACGGCCAACTTCAAACTAGCTATGGCTAACTTCAAAATAGCTACTGCAACTGCTAGCTTCAAAATAGCTATGGGTATGGCTAACTTCAAACTAGCTAGGGTTAACTTCAAACTAACGATGGCTAACTTCAGACTAGCTATGGCTAACTTCAAAATAGCTGTGGCTAACTTCAAACTAGCTATGGTTAACTTCAGGCTAACGATGGTTAGCTTCAAACTAGCTATGGTTAGCTTCAAACTAGCGCTGGCCAGCGTCAGACTAGTTATGGTTAACTTCAAGCTAGCTATGGTTAACTTCAGACTAGCGCTGGCCAGCGTCAGCCTCGCTATGGTTAACTTCAAACTAACTGTGGTTAACTTCAGGCTAGCTACGGTTAGCTTCAAACTAACGACGGTTAGGTTCAAGCTAGCTATGGTTAGCTTCAGGCTAGCTATGGCTAACTTCAGACTATGGCTAACTTCAGACTAGCTCTGGTTAACTTCAAACCTTGATTCTCATAAAAAAGTATTTCGGATAGCTCGCCTCGTTGAAGTTCCGCAGGTAGCGGGAATACGTTGCCACGTCAGGGTCCGTCTCGACTGCTGACCAAGCTTCCAGATACCAAGGTTCACTGTAGACGAAGGCTTGCACTTGCGTCTTCATTTCGTCTCCGAGTTTCTTCCCGAATGCGTAGTGGCCATCTGTGGTATCCGGAAACCGACCCAAATCTCGAAACTCATGGGGGTCGGGCAGAGGAATATAATCCTTTCCCTGTTCTTTCTGGTGTTGACTTCGACTAGAGCTGCACGACTTGCCTCCACGACCACATTGACCGGCTCCCTTACCAGCACATTTCTTCTTTTGAGACGGAGAGCAATTGGTATTCGATGTGCTAGAGCCTGAGCTTGAAGAAGATCCACCACCACAGCCTACGAGATGGCGCCGGCTGGAGCAATCCTCTCTGCGTTCTTCACAGCGTACTGGTTCGCAACGTCGGAGCAAGCCAGAGACCACACCTCGAACGCGAAAGGACATCTTCTTGATCTATATTAGTTGTATTTTGGTAAAATGAGTAGAGATTTAAGACTCAAAGGATGACGGCGACTTATCAAGTATTTGCATTCTTAGCTGAGAGAGGACATTCTCAGGTATGAGAGAGGATACCTAAGTATTCGGATGACGGCATTCTTAGGTGAGAGAGGACAGAAAGTGAATATTATGTCACCTTCATCCAACAGTATACCTTTTCTACTATCGACAACATGGCGAGCTTTATTTTCACGCACCTGCATTGGAGAAACTACAAGACAGTATCCTATTCATCTCAGTTTCTTTCTTTATACGGAGGTTCTACGGCAGGAGTCTCTCATGAGCATGAAGTTCTGGTTCTCTTATACACAAACACAAAGTGCCTCACTCAACATACGTTTCTAATCTATACTGTACGACTTGTCTCTCGCGTGCTAGTTTCAACAGAAACGTGTGCGCGAACTCACAGTCACAGGGCGCATTCGAATCTGATGGTGAGCCAACATTATTTCATTCTTATCAAGAATTCATCACAGGTGTGGTGATTGTTCATAGTCGTGCGTGTTTATTTCACAGCATTATTGGCCTGTTGCGTGTAATTACAACGTTTTGCCACTCGAGAGGATGCGTTCGCTGATAGCGTTTCCCCAAAATGATTCATGATTTTAATCCTTCATGATTCAACTGGTGATCTTCAAGAGTCGTGTGTCAAAGCGATATAAGAAGGCGATAGAGTAAGTAGAATAAGGGTTGTCCAAAACCAAAACTCAAAGGTGACGAGTAAGCCGCAATAGAATGGAAATGGCTTCTTCCTGCACTGGTAGTTCGAAGCTTACAAGAAGCCGCATCAATTAAGCCTCTGCCTTTTTCCGTTCAGCAAGAGATCGGCTGTGAGAGTGAGAGTGAGTGGTGGAGATAATAGTACATGAAATCAACTTGAAGTTTTTCAAGTTCCAGAGAAGTAGGTAGTTATAAACAAGCTACATGTTTCTTGTTCTAGTTCCCTATCAATCGTGGAGTTGTATTAATTGCAGGACAAGTCATAATGTATAGTCAGTATATCTATGACTAGCTCCCTATGACCAATAATCGAGTTGAAGTTGTTCAGTCATCAAGGACACGTCATAATGTATAGTTGTACCTGCATGACCGCCGTGCGCTGTGATTAGCTCCGCTGCTCTCTCAAATCGCAGCTCGCGTTCACGCCGCTGTCTTGCCAATGGAGTACCTCTCATTTTCGCGAACTGCTGAATGACGTCTTGCTCTTCCTTCATGCCCTGTAACCAAAACGTTAGTTCGCCAAGCTGCACGCCGTAATCGGGGTCCTCTGTTGAGAAGGATGGAAAAGGAAAGGCTGACGTCGATCGAGGAACATACAACTTAAAAGAGGAGAAAACGTGGGAAAAACCGCAAAGCTTACTACTTAAACTTTAGGAAGGGAAGTCCACCACGACGAGTATTGTTCACATCTTGAAAGTACAATTGTTAACTTAAAACGTTTTTTCTCAAGATCGAAATACTATTACCTTCAACAGGTCCCGTCAGATCGAATGTTAATTTTGGATCCACTGGCTTCGTGACATCTCTTGGTTTCGTCTCAGGCCTTGGCTTCGCCACGAAATCTGGTTCGCGTTTGTTTATGAGGTGATCGTATCCATGTTGGGGACTCCGCTTCTTGTTGAAACCACAGAGATTAGAGCACACAAAAATTGTATGGATTCAAAAGTCATCCTAAATAAATCTTGAAAGTGATCCTACAATCTTGAAGAAAGTCACCGTTAACAGTACATCATAGTGGTCATCTTCGGTGTGTGCCGCCGGTTTGTTTATTTGATTAAGCATGAAAGGAAGCCTTAAAGATGAAAAAGCGTAATGCAGAGCTGTCTCTCCCTCGCGACGAAAAGCAATGCGCAAATTCGGAATCCGCATACAACGGTAAGCGGAACTGGTGGGGATAGTAGTAGTAGCAGTAGTTTGGGGAAAGGCGGAACTGGTGGGGATAGTAGTAGCAGTAGTTTGGGGAAAGATAGTTGCACATCTTTGAGATGCTTCAGAGGCTGAGTAGTAGTAGTTTGGGGAAAGATAGTTGCACATCTTTGAGATGCTTCAGAGGCTGAGTAGTAGTAGTTTGGGGAAAGATAGTCTGGCATCACATTGACATGCTCCAGGTTCAGTAGAGGCAGACCAAGAATGTAATAAATACTATTAAGTACTAATATTCTTCGAGACAGGACGAGCAACAACAGTGTACTGACATTGACGTGAATAGATCACCAGGACAATTTCTTGGTTTCCCATAATTCGCCGCACTCATGATGTCCATTCCTTCATCCTATCGTTAAAACTTTTTGTATGCAACATTGTTAGCAGCAACTGACTGGTAACAGCAATGTTCTAGATGCTTGATCTACTTAGTACACAGCACAAGCAAATTAATATACAACTTATTATAATGCTCAAACTCAAAAGTACAATCATAGGCTTTTTTTCCTTGATAAACATGTCCCAAAAAGGCGCAATCTTTCCGGATTTTGATATTCTCTGGAGGAGATCGATACTGCCAAGAATCGCTTCGGACTCCGTAGGAACATGCTTGCAATATACTCGCTGGTTTGGTTTTCCAGAAACGTCATGCTGAACCTGGATTATCATAGAAGGATGACACGCAGAAAGAAAAGAGCTGCTACTTCCACGACGAAGACAGGCGCCCACGCTCACACAAACGACGCACTACCAAAGAGCGCGAAACCCCGAGAACCTCAAGAGCAACACCGACGAGCCCTTTCGAGTGTGCCCCCAGGGCTCCATGCTGAGCCAGCGAGTACCTACCACACACTGCAGGCGCGTCACCATGCGCCCTCATCACATGCGTCCCCGCACACGACCCCATACGCAAAGCCAACCTGGAGCAGAGTCCTCCACGAATCAGAACAAACCCACCCCGAGCGGCGCCCCGCAGCTGCTGGTTGGTCCTACGCAGCTCTCTCCCTGTGACACCTCAGACAGAGCACCGCGAGGCGCGTCACTTCGGTGCACTGGTCTAGCGGTTCGGCTAAGGAGATGACCGCCGAGGGCTCGAGTCCGGGGGTGACCGGTGCGGACTCACAGACACGCCACAGCGGAGGGCCAAAGCCTTCGCCAAGCAACTTGATGCGACAAGCACACACACACGAAGATCAGTCTGTGACGCTGCGCGGCGCTCCTCATGTTGCCGGGGGGGGGAGCCTGTCCCCCTCGACAGAGTGCCAAAAAAAACGGGCCAACGCCAAGGCCCATACCCTGCGGCAGACCTAACGAGAAAGCGACACCCTTCCCACGTTTTGCCAAACGCTCGAAATGTCCCAAGCCGAAGGCGGTCCGGCTCGCTGGCGGCTGCACCGCGTCGGGGACGCGAGCCACCATCCGGATCCGGTCGGCTGCGAAGCGCTCGCCCCACGCAACGAAGGAACCCCTTTGAAAGCAGAACTACCACGCGAGCGGAGAACGAGTAAGACCAAGCAGATGCGTCACTTCTGTCTTGGCGTTTGGGTAGAACCAACAGTGCGCAGCGGTTGAGGAGCTTGGTCGCATAGTTAGCACGTTACACGCGTGCACTCACAGAAACAAGACGCATCTACAGCCATGGCTCAAAGCCGATCAGGCTCACCACCGTACTCGTGTAGTGTCTGCATGGCATTCGTGAAGTATCTGACCCCAGAAGCTTGAAGAGTAGACCAGTGCACTGGTGGAGCTTCGTCAGCCAAGAAAGGACGCCCGTGCGCCATAGTTCGGAACAGCACGGGGCTGGATCTGTCGCCGTCATCTTCTCCAACATCTTCCCGCCCTTTTCTTTCTCTTCATCGTCTTACCCTGCGCATTCGTCTCCGAAACGGGTCCAGACTCCCACCAGAGGGCAGCGTCGGCGACGATGTGGGGCGCCATTTCGTTAGTTTTTGAAGCGAAGCGCGAGCGTGGCGAAAAGTCTCTAAATGGATTTGGGTAAAATGGAAAAGAAACAGAACCAGGCGCGCCGATGCAGCCCCATGAATGACACGCGTCGGACTCGGAGCAGGCGCTTTGATTAGCAACAAAGTGCGGGGCTACGGTAGCGACCATCCTCGACGACACCGACGACAGCGGCGACAGCTCTCCCTTCGTCGCTCTTGAGTAGACAAAGACAAGCGCGCCCAAGCGAGACCAAAAGGGAAGAGACGACGCGACGAAACTGTAGGACAGATAGGACGACACGAGGGAACGACACCAAGGAACGGCAAGGCGAAACGACAGCGCAAAGCGATAAGGCTGAGAGTGTTCCCGCGACCCCCGCCGAAAGGCTAACGAAAAAGGAGGACGAACTTCGTAACAACCCCCGGCCCTCAGCCTTGCGCGGCTTGGTCCGTTTGCTTCTGGTAGTCTCCCCCGGCATCCTCTACTTCTTTGGCGTCGCCCGCCTCCAACTTTTCCATCGCCTTGCTTTGGGCGATGTAGAGGAAGGCCCCTCCGTTGCGCTAGTTTAATCGCAAAACTTGGAGACCCAGCCAGGAGCTATGTTGCTTGAAAACGTAACCGCGCGCCAGCCACTTCGCCCCGGGTGGCCCCTGCCGCCACCTTCTCGACGTCCTGCAGAATTGGACACCCCGCCACAAACATCCCAGAGGGGGAAGCCCCTCCGCCGCCGGTCCGCTCGATGGGGCACGCCCTGCCGGAGAGCCCGCCCAAAAAGGCACTCGGGGGAACGTTCTGGGCGCCATCCGGTAGAGTCGCCAGCCGGTCCTTCCCAGGTGCTGCTATGGTGAGGCGCCATTGGCCAGCCTAGTGCACTCCTCTGCGGGAGGGTTTTGCCCCTGCATCGCGGTCGGCCGAGTGCCGTCATCGGCCTAGCCTGGGCACGTATTCCCCCGCACGCGGCCCGGAGCAGGCCCGGCGCCCCTGAGTTCTCGCGCAGTGCTGTCCCCGAACTCCGCAGGGCCAAGCGCCGCCGAGTCCACCGGTCCAGCGTGCGGCCGCGTGGCGCACAGTGTCGCCAGCAGGCTCGGCATGGACATGTCGCGCAGCCGCCTCAAAGCTAATAGCGCTGTTTCTCAAAACATTAGAACTACCGCTATATGTGCTGTCGAGTGCTCGCCTCTGCCTTTGAAACAAACAGCCCCATCATTTCCACGAATTTCCAACTGCATTGTGTCGTCAAAGCCGTTCGCTTTAAAATCTCCCATAATGCGCAGAAACTCTTTGGAGGTGAACTGCACACGATCCATAGGGCCCATGTGTGGCACGACCCCCGTCTCCGGAATATCGTCGGCTTGTGGAATGCTATGAAAGGGGTCTATCAGATTAACGTCAAACTTTGGAACAAACTACAATAAAGATAATCAAGCGCTTTTATTGCTCGATAAGCACCTGTCTTGGCTCTTTCACTGATTCTATTTTTTCCTGGTGGTTGACTAAGAATCACTTGCGCTTTAGCAATCTTGTAGTTGTCTTAAAATCTTTCTTAGAAGACACTCATCTTCTTATGTTTTTAACAAACTAAAATGTTGGTGTCCATAAATCCAGAATTCCGTTGCCGTTTCTGTAGGCAACCCAGCGTCTACACGGAAAGATATTCCAGAACTTTGAGTCGGATTGTAACGCATGTGCAATCGTAAGGCCTCAACTTTACCCTCCGCATCTCCTTCGATCCTGCAACACCTAATTATGATGTAAATCATGAACGTTCAGACAAGTAGACATCATGAAGAAGTACGAGATTACTTGTAATCAAAAGAATCAGAGGAACTAGAACTACGTACAAGAATCGTACCTCATTAAATAAAGTAGATTGATAGAAGTCTCTTCGTTCCTTCGAAATAAAAAATGCCTGCTCATCTATTTGTCATATGTGTGCTCCTGATCGATGTGGTAACTCTCAACCACCGTAGAGTAGACAATATAGAAGCTCACTGTGCTACCTAACTGTACCACACGACGTCGAAATGCATTGTACCTGAGTGCCTTGTAGACCATTTGAGGTTGGAAAGTGAGACTGAGAGGCTTCGCGCACATGTAATATTCGAAATATTCTTTGCGTAGATTAGAGGTGTAGGATATGCATCCCAGCGATCATCATCTGGGTGAACCCTAAACCCTCTTTTTGTCTGCTTCTTTCAGATGACTTTGCTGATGCATCCTTGACGCCTTTTGCTTTTCAAAGTAGAAAACTAGCCAAGAATGACGATGACTGAGGATGCACTACCTACACCCATAAGTAGAGCAAAATCGCACAACACCGTTTGTCGTTCGTTGATGAACTCCGACTTCCATCCCTCTTCGGTGCAGTTGATGCTAATAATCGGAAAAAGTGCACCCAGGCCATCCATGAATCGCATGAACCACCGGTAGTTGATATTAGACAGCGTACAGTACTACTAGTCATTGGTTCATTTATACATATAATCATTGGTGGAGCACAGACCTAACCAGAACCACAAGAAACAAAACTTGTTGGCTCATTGTCATTATAATATTCATATTTATATATTTATAATGCACTTGAGTGCGACGTTTTCTCCTTTTCGTTAAAGAAAGATCGATGAACAATAGTTCTACTTATACTTACGCGATCCGTGTTGAAGAAGATAAGCTGGGGAGGAGGTGAGTTATCGTATAGGCCTTAACAATAAACGTGCACTCAAACCCAAGAAGGAAGTCCTTTTGCTGAGCAGCCTCAGCTTTTTTTTCTGTTGCCTCCGACATCTTGGTGATCTGACGGACGTGACGAGAAGGACGTGACGGCGCTGAAAGTGATCTCTGTCAACTAGTGGAGTCTTCGCATCAACAGAAGTGGTCCTTGCTTCGCTGTCTTACAGGGGATGCTTCAGCGCTGTCAGTTATGGCTGTGACCGCGTGTTTTCCATCAACGTGAGAGAGCGTTGACGAAATCATGCAGGAGCTTAGAGGGTTTCTATTCCGTTTTAGAAGCGCACTCGACAGACCAGGAGTACAACTAATCCTTCATTCTTTTGTTCGACTATCAAGCTATGCCTTATGTTCTTGTCTGTGTTTTACCTTAGTTCTCCAAACTTTTTTTTTAGTTCTCCAAACACGTCTTCGACAGCTACCTAGGTGTTTATCCATAAAAAAGCAAATTCTTGAGTTCGTACTAAGTAGCCATATTAGATTATCGATCTTCAGTCAAAAATTGTTCAATTTTTTTTTTCAGGTTTCGAACGTCTTTCATCCGCAATATGATGTCTATTTCCGCGGAGCGCGTTTGGACCCCGTTCAACCAACAGTTTCAGATGTTCAAACAACAGTTTCAGAAAAGCCTCTGTTGGCCTCATTCTTTCACTTTTGAACACAAGAAAGCGATGTGTGATGAATGTGTGTACCGCGGGCACCCATCGTGCATTCAGATGCACAGTCGAAGGGGTTTGCCTCGGTTTCGCTTTCGATAAGAACTCATAGAAGTAAGAAATTGCATGATAGATTCTGATTATTTGCTTATACGAATGTCAATGTTACGTAGTTGCATCGAGCCAACACAAGAATAATAGCCAAGAAGTTCCAGCTCGTCGTGAATTTTCACGTGACGGTCAACAACACGAACGGCTAAAATTTAAAAATACAAAGATGCCAAAGCTGTTCTACTCTACTTAGTGTTGTATAATAATGTTGTGATTTTCGCAGTCATGCAGAAGTGAGCTGATTATTCTATTTTCCAATACTCTTATCGGTACCAGCTCCGTTCCGAAAGAACTAATTCTCTCCCGTTCTCGCACTATCCTCCTCTGCCACAACGAAGTGGTCTAAAAGATGTGTGAAGCAGCTTCTGCAGGATTTGCCAATTGGTACAAGAATCTTCCCGCTTCTTCAAATCATCAGAAAAGAGGACGTTGGCGCGCTCGCGACCAGGTGGTCCACGGCCCATTCGACAATATCTTCGATAAGGTCAGGAACTGAGGTCGCGCTCTATTTAGACAGAGGTCGTCGTCGCGGAACTGACGTGTGCTTATGCTCGTCCTATGGCTCTCAGCATTCCATGTTCGCAAGTCTCCTCACCTCCGTGACATGATATTCGTATGCCTCCAATAGCCGAATTCTGTGCAAAAAACGATCACGACGACGCGTACTCCAGTGACGGATACCCTTGTCGTCATTGTTAGCCAGACTAGCTCAACTTAACTTCAACTTGTTTTCAAACGTTCATGAAGATTTATTTCGCTTGATGTGCTTCTGAAGTAGTTAATTGATGCTGATCTACGTACTCTTCAAAATGAAGTACAATGAATGCGGAGAGAACAATGGAGGGTGGTCGCTGCAATTATATATGATTTAGGGCTGCACGTGCACGGTCCCCCCCGTGGTATGTCAACATAAATGAGATGTACCGGATCATATAGAGGATGTGCTGAGAACAACATCAAATCATAGTTATGCCAGGAGTAGGAGAAAAGATAGCACCATAAGTGGTTTCCGGACAGGGATCTCGTTCTCGTTCTTTCCTCCAAGATTGAGGTGAGCTTCAGATCGCTCACTAGTGTGAGTGTCGTTGTGGTAGTAGGTTCTTCTAATTTGCTCATGAGCCTTTGTCGATCGCTCACTAGTGTCGTCGTGGTAGTTAGAACTAAGAGAAATCCATCTTGAGACGCATCCGAGGACCTTTCTCCCCTTGAAAACGGTCTCAGGATGCCTGTGAAGATGGATTTCTTCTAGCCTTAAGGTAGTAACGGAAGAACCTGTTCAGGGTCTCCTCATGGTCCTCGGCTCTGGTGGAAACCATGACAGCACAGCAAGAGTCCCCAACCCCATGATTCATGAAGCACCTTTGTCTACTTGTTTCATCATCTAAATCTACTTCGAGTGCGAATTGATGTCGTTGCTCCTCTCTTCTACTTCCAGCTGTGGTTGCCGCTCGTCCTGCGATTCCGGATTCTCTTGTTCGAGCTGTCCGTAATTCATCTTTCAAGTGCATCAACATTGAAAAGTACTTCTATGGGAGAGTGTCTATTATTCCCTTAGGTGGATACTCCTCCATACGTTTCAAGGATGCGTCCAAAGATACGTTTCAAGGTACAGCCTTAATCTTGAGGCAGTCATGATCCCCGTCGTGGTCATTTTGGTTCCTCCTTTATTTGTGGACAGCAACTTTTCAGGGAAGCAGGTTCTCAACATCATTTGACGTAGTTTTCGGCGCTTATTGTGGATCTTAGGCGGCTGCTCGCCGAGATATGCGTGGCGTAGCGCAGACGTTCCGAAAATTGCAGCTTGCCGCTCTTGCTCTGAAGACGATGGATTCTTCGCTATTTTCAATGCCTTCTCCCACGTGGCGACGCATTTTCTTGTTAGACAAAATACTGCTTATGTTATCGGAGAAATAAACTGTACCTGCCGAAGACCTAAGGAAGTAATACTCATTTCGGACTAAGCTCAAGGATGCTCATCTTGACCGAGGACCAGTATTCATCGCTAGTGAATGAATTCATCTCACAAGTTAATTCACAATCAGGATACTCTACTTCTACACGGATTCATCTGATTTATTATCAAACTCTGCACTGGACCATCGGTCAATGCGTTGCCAACACTATTCGTGAGTCACGATATATTTTTCAAAATTAATAATTAGTTTGATGATTTAACAAACGTAATTTAAATGTTTCAGTCATAAGCGAATATGAGCGTTCTTCGGATAGAGACGCTCACACGTGATTCCACTATATTCGAGGGTCAGCGGTATGCCCTGCGGCTCCTTACTGATGATCACCGCCGGCACCCCCGGCGGCGCGCCATCGAGTCCGAATCTCATCTGCATCACAGACGAGGAGGAGGAGGACGATGAGGAGGATGATGAAGATGACCCGGAGGCTCCTCCTGCGGCTCCTACTGTGCTATGCTTCGCAGCTGCATATTTTTCTTAGCTGTTCGTTGCCAATTGACCTATGTACCTCGCATACCTATGACTTTCCTGTTTGGAGAACTTCCAAGCCTTATCGATGGTAGGGAGGTCAACTTCCTCATAGAGAGGTCAACGTCCTCATCGCAAAAACTTTCCTGATTTATTCACTCACTCATTCTGTGCGCGCAAAAAGATCTGCGTTGACTCCACAGTGTTTTCGAAATTCCAAGCCTTAACTTTCTACTCTTTTCTCCCCGGCCAGCTTTCGGAACCCCTTTGCTTGCAGAGATAATAGCTCACTCAGAACATCATCTACACCGCGTGAAGGAGCCATTCCCCTTTTATGATATTTTCCTTCGTCTTGTGCACCAGCCATTTTTGATACAATGAATTGACGAGTTGCCAATTAATACAGTTGTCTATCTCTTCCAAGATTCACATTGACATTTATGGATAAAATATTTAGTCAAATATGCAAATTTTCTCATTTTCGATGCTAGCTCACATGCCTCCCCTGTTTTTGGGTGTTTCTATCAGTTGTTTTTTCATGGCACTGTCTCGAAGATACAGAAGCATTTTTTCACTCTCGGGTTGTATCCAAACACTCACTTAGTACGAGCCATGAGAAGAAAAGTAAATACGACAGAACCATCTTGTTCTTGATTGACGTTGAACATGATATAGTTAGTAGTCTGCGATTGCAGTTGGACATCAATGACAATAAACCTACTGTGGTGCTCCAACTTTGGGAGCTGGCGCAATTACAATTTTTATCAGCATAATCGTAATCTTGGTGTATTTGAGCCATGAGAAGAAAAGTAAATACGCCAGAGCCATCTTTTCGAAGGATGGAGAAGCGCAAAAAAAGAATTGCAGGTGAGGGTCACCCAGGATCGACTCGAATAAGAAGAATGTAGCCTTGAGTGCGAGATCAACCGAACATTGGTATAAAGGCAAATCAGACGTCCAAGAATGCTTCTCGTATCATTCTGTAAAGAAGAAACCACTAGGATTTTCTTTTGAGAATAACCCGCCACTAGGATTCCCCTTTGAGAACAATAACCACCAACTAGAATTCCCCTTTGAGAACAATAACCACCAACTAGGATAATTTCCCTTTGAGAACAATAACCAACAACTAGGATAATTTCCCTTTGAGAACAATAACCAACAACTAGGATAGTACCTTTTCTCACTTACAATTTTCGATCTCATCTGCGTAGGTAATTTCTAGATCGCCGTAGACTGACCTCAACATCTCCAAGATTCGCTGTTCTAGTTCGCAGGCTACTCGCATCGGTAGGAAGTTATCAGCGCAGGACCGTGCTATTGTAATGGAAGCGGGAGCACCTTGAAACAATGCTTTACTCTTGCTCTCTGTAACGGCGGAAGGGGAGGTAGTCGAGGAAAAGGAGCCAGGAAAGTGCTTTTGTGATGTAGATGAAGAGGCTTCTCTGCTAGAAGAAAGGGCTGAGGATGTGGCTGAGGTGTTCGCTCCTATTCCTGTTGAGTTTGATTAGAGGCTGAAAGTTGGCATCTCTAGCTCGCATATCTATGGCTTTCCTACTTGAGATAGCCATAGAGACGCTTTTTATGACACGAAAAAGTGTACTCATACTCAAGAAAAGAGGCTTCTTCCTACTTAGAAAGTGTCTACTTTCTTGAGGATGAGTACACTTTTTCGCTTCATACTTTTAGATGATAGGTCAACTCCCAAGCCTTAATTTGATGTGAGATGAATTTTCCTCAAAGCTGCCTCAACTTGGGATACTACAGGCTCAACATCACGCGCGAACTCTCCTGCTACCCATTGAGGTAAAGAGAGCATGTCTCCAGCCTCCAGGAGCAATGACATCTCACGCTCCCCAGGTTTAGAGCTGTCCCTGTCCGTAAGTCATCTCTCTGAGTGGCTCTGGTATTTGGCAACCTGATTTTTATCATAAGGAAAACAAGAAGAGAATCCTTGTGATCCAATTCAGGTTACCAAATACGAGGACCATACACTCCCAAGTGCATCCTTGAAAAGTACAACTATGGGAGAGTAATACTCCCTTTTTAGGTGGATACTCCTCGTCCATACATTTCATCAAGGATCTCCTCGCCCATACATTTCATCAAGGATCTCCTCGTCCATACATTTCATCAAGGATCTCTTCCACTCTACGTTTCAAGGATGTGATGTCCAAAGATGATGCATTAGGTACAGCCTTAACAGGTGTGTACCCTTTCAGCAGAAAGTCCTTCCACCAGGGTTGAGAGTGCTTAGGTGCTTTATTTTTTTTTTCACCTTTTTTTTGCGTGTGCGTAGGAGTAGAAGTGGGGTCTTCGGATCTTAGAGACACTCTCTCATTCATGATGAGTTGTTCTTAAGTAAGAGTCTGCATCGTTCTCTTCCTATACGACCGGTGCCATTACGTTTTTACCTAGTAAGATTTAGATTATAATTGGACATGACGATTTGAATCTATGTATGGTTCTGGTATTTGGTAACCTGAAATTGATCCTACGGGTTCTCTTCTTGTTTTCCCTTATGATCAAATTCAGGTTACCAAATACCGGAACCATTCAATCTATTCGGCGAGCTGCCTAAGAGACATAAAGACTAAGATTAAGTACAACATATTTAAAAGGTAAAGTTAGTCTTTCATAACTCATGATACGCAAAGAGAATCTCCAGACAGCGAGGCCAATTTTCTTCCGCGAGAGCGTCCGACCAGAGCGTCTCGTAGGGAAAATCCCGACACTTAGAATGCCATTCCGACTGAGAAACGAAGTACCGATCTGGTCCTTCGTACTCCTCGATTGCGAGCTGGAGTGCTGTGACAAAGCGCAGGTCCATTCCTAGAACGAAGGGGTTTCGAGTCGTGAAATAGTCCAAATCAATGTCCAAAGCCCATGGAGAGGAAGTGGTAGTGGAAGTAACTGTAGGACCGGACGATGATGAAGAACTCTGCAAACAACCATTCACATTTGTCGCATTAAAGGTAGTCTTTCTCTATCCCGAGTCGAGTGGGTTGCCCTCTTTGCCCCTTAGTTTCCCCTCCAAGTCCAGGAGGAGCCCAGTGAGCACCATTGTCCACAACATGGGATAGTGAGAAACTACCCTTAAAAATTGTCCCATTTCGCTTCCCCTGTTCGCCCTCTACAGCCATGATGCTAGGAAGCGTCCCTACATCTTCAACTACAGCTAAGGTCCAGGGTCGCGCATCTGGGTAGTCGATCTGAGCTGGGAATCGTTGGCTTTCTGACGCCGCTGCTTCTTCGAGTTCGAAACGTAGTGCGGACTTCCTCTGACTGATATTCGAGTTTGTGGACGAAGAGCTGGTCGTTGCTCCTGTTGGTCCTCGTGAGCATATCGACATCATGCTACTGTCCTCTTCCAACGACTTTAAACCCTTCTTGTGATTCTTCTGCTCGCGGCAAGATTAGAGCGCACACTCTATTAAGGTCTATCTCTATGCTTGAGGTCTATCTTGGCGCTATTGTTCGAGCGCACCCTATGGGACAGCTTCGAGATGATGCTTCAGACTTATATCTTTAATATTAGAGGTAGGTTTTTGGTGCTCGCGGGTTCCCCCGCTTGTTATGCCTTTCTCCCTTAGGAGAGGCATAAAAAGCGGTAAGGAAAGCACCTTTCACATTAACCTACCCTTATATTATAACATTAGAAGATCAGAGCCATCTCGAAAAGATGGATCAGAAGATGAGCCATAAGTAGAACTGCTCCCTATCGTTGAAGTAGAATCTTCGTCAAAATACGAGAGATTGGCGAAGTCTCCATCGACTTTGAGTGACCCAGTGTTGAGGTCGCGGCCAACACGTCCATGGTATGATCCAGCTGGAATTTGCCTGCTCCAACTTTGCTTCACCCAAACAACAGTCTTGATCAGGCTGCATTAGACGAATACGACGTAGGGTCTTTGTGATACTCATATTGTTCGTATAATCCCATAATCTTCTCGAAAAGATGGATCAGAAGATGAGCCTGCTGCAACCACTCGTATTGTCTTTGATAAACACAACAGTCTTGATCAGGCTGCACTATAGACGAGTACGACTCGTAGGTGGGTCTTTGATGAAGATAAACTACTTTCTTACAGCGTAGCTTTTTTACAAGAATCGACATCAGTTTTATCAGAACATCAGTTTTTACATTCGTATAATCCCATAATCAGAATAAATTGCTGGCAAAATCCAGGATGCAATGCCGCCGTCTGCGGTTCGCAAGCGATCATATAGGTCACGGACGTCGTAGTGAAACTCTGCCTCCTCGTCTTCGCCTTCTTCTTCTATATCATAGTCAAGATCGTCTTCTTCTTCTTCCTCATCTTCGTTATCTCCAGGTTCAGGAAGTTTTCTTTTCCTCCCTTCTCCTATTAGAGCTCAGCACTCAATGGGCAGCATGATGCTGAACGGAAACGACTCCCTTCAAAGCTCTCCCCTTTCCCTTCCTTTTCCCCTGTTCTACTCTCAAGGGATGGTCGCTTCTTCGATCTCAGTGACTCCAATCTAAATGGTGACCATTGAAAGCTGAGCCTTAATCCTAATTCACTTTCACCGCGGTTTTTCAGTGACCAGGATGAGGACCGTTTCCTTGATGGCTCCGTAGGCGGTCTGCAGAGGCTGGCTGGTAAGTCCCCAATGGTCGCTAAATCTGGATGCGCATCAAAGTGCAAGAATGCAACTCCCGGCTCCATTTTCTTTTTTCGGACTGCTAAATGCAAAGCGCGTAAGGCAATGTCATGGTGCTCGCACACCACAACGGGAATTCGAGGATCCTTCATGTTGGTTCTTGGTTTTTACCAGGTAGTTGTAGTAGGTACTAGTTTGAAAGAAATTGTCACAGTGTTTTTAGTGGCATGGGAGAGGAAGCAAATGCTGGAAACTATAGATATGACTCGCAACTAGAACTAGCTGTACTATTATTATTATTATCAACGTCGTGAGAAAGAATATTATAGCAAACGAGCAGCGTCTACTTGTCCGCGCTTGCTGAATCGTTGAAAGCACAAGTAAGTCAACGATTGACGAGTCACTTACCTATCGCGACTGCTCAGAAAAATAAGAAGTCGTGACCTCCAGCAAGGTCTTATCTATTTCCAGGAAATCGGTCGTTCATTCATTCATTCATTTACATTTACCTAGCACGACGTACTAGTGTCATCTGATTCTATAATTCCCTCGTTTTCAGAATGCATAGAGTAAGTTCTACTTTGGTCGTCGATCAGAACAGTTTCTGCACAAATCGTCCTGGTGACCATATTTCCTGCACTCCTTCTGGGACCCGAAGCAGAGGAACGCATGATCCCTACAAATGGAAGGCATAGTGGATCACGTAGTTCATCTGAGTGACAAATCCTAGCCGCGCATAAATTCATATGATTTCTTGGAAAATTTTCGATGGTCGAGAAAGATCGAGCTCTGCAACTTTTTTAATCATCGGAGTGACAGTTTCAGTTTGTTTACATTGGAATGCAATAAACGGATCCTCAGTTCGAAAATGACTGAAAGAAGATAGAGTGACGGTGCCTAGCGAGAGGCGCCTTCTGGCCTATCATCGAATTGTGAAAATTTTACTTAGTTCTGCCTATCTCTCCACGGACCAGTCGTATTGAAATGCTTAGTGGGTGACAGAGTGCTGTGGTCACGAAAAAAAGTAGTTTTGTTGAAGGAACATGAAAAATAACTAGTTCGTTGTATGCTTTACAGTTTCGGTTGAATAGAAATGGGAATGATCGTCCGAGCACTTAATGACAACTACATGATTGAACATTTATTGCATAGATTAGGTAAGTATGTCATTGTAATCAAACGAGAGGGGGAAGGGCATATTAACTTGCATTAACAACATTAACATCTAAAAACTGGTGAGCGTGAGATAAGAGCCGAGAAATACAGGCAATGGGTGAAAGTAGAGGTGCTAATATGTTGATCAGATTGTGCTATACTTCTCAGATACAGCTAACATCAGCTGTAAAATTAGTACTACGAAGGACATATCTTTTACTAGACAAACTCGAAGAAAGTGATAGTGATCTGGGAAGTTGATCGTTATCGCCTCACTCCACGACTAAGAAGATCTTCTTCGCCAAACGTAATTTCTACTACAACTATCCGAAAATAATCTGGGACCGTGTTTTGCCAACGTTCGGTGGATAGTCTGGTAGTACTGGATCGTCATGCAAATGAGACCCTAAAGTATCGCGTGCACCCTGACTCGGCAGCCTAATGCGCTTGGCTGCGTCGATTCGTGGATAGCCGATGATCACCTTTTCGGTAGTTGTAGAGGTGTCGTTGAAATTTCTACACTCTACAAGTTCTACTTGATTTAAGTAATCACCATCAACATGACCTTATTCGTTGAAACAAGCAGTGGTAGGATAACTAAACTAACATTCATTCATTCATTCATTCGAACCACGGAGCAACTCATTCAAAGCTGCCTGGTTCCGTAGAGTTCACACAATAGAAAAAACAACCTACTTACCGACTCACGCTGTGTTTGGAGGAAGCCATCGGATGCTTGGGCTGCTGCTTGGTTTTTCGTAGGAAATGACGGTGGATATCCTGAATACCGTAAATGGCTGTTTCTCTCGCGAATTCTTGTGTCCTTGTCGTGTTCCGCAAAAAGCGCTGCTGTTGTTCTTAGAGGTAGTATCCGATAAGAGAGGTGTGCAAGTCAGTGTGTAAGGTAGTTGGCTAAAGAACTAACACTACAATTTGGTGCATGTACAAGAAACAACATCGAGGGACCACCCGTACTAATCCTCACTTTCTTGTGACTTAAGAAAATCAATTTCCCAACTACATGTCAGTACTTCTACAACATCAGACAACATGTCAGTACTTACAAACAACATCGAGGGACCCGTACTAATCCTCACTTTCTCGCCTTAAACCTCCAGCTGCCGTGATCCGGTGTGTTCTCCTTCCAATATTGGTGAACTCCCCTTCCCGTCCGTTGCCTTCCCCTGTCAGCACGTTGAATGTGTAGTCTCGCTGATACGCGCGCCAACCTTCTTGGACTTTCTCGTCATACCTGATAGTGTTCCGGAATTTCACAACGATAATTGCGATCCCTTGTTGTGCAGGGTAGATGTAGTTGTTACAACTCCTGCCTTCGTCGAGAATCAAGTAGCACTTCATCATTCTTACCACTTGCACTTGCACCTTGCAGTGAGTACAAGAAATTACTGTAAGGAAGAAAATGAAAGCTACATTCTCATTCACCAAAAAAACTTACTTACTTAGAAGTAGAGGTTCTTGCACACCTGCTAGGAACAGATAGTACTCATCTCTTTTCTGTTGAATTTTGGCTTCGCGTTGCAATCTGGAAAAATCCTGTCGAATCTCTGATTGGGGTCTCCGATAAAATCCCCTGTGAAACCGCGTTTCCTGCGAGTTCGGCGTTGGCAAATAGTTTCCAGTGGCACTGTTCGTTCCCGCGGAGAGATTAGAGAGGATTGTTTTTTTTGATGTCTAAAGATTACCACTTGAAGGAAAATTTAGACTCTCGAGAGTCCATCCTAACGAACCCCTACTACAGAGCGAAAGCTACTGTAGGAACAAATGAAGTAGGTAGTTCGTTCTTCTTATCAAATGTTTTGAACCGAAGAAGACCAAGATCTTTCTATCTCTTCAAACAAAAAAATATATCTATACCACTAGAGCCAAGTCACTACCTAGTATATGGATGTTCTTGTGACAACAGCATTCCTTTTCACACATAATTGTCTTTAAATAGTCTCCCTTTACGACGTATGCCGGCTGCGCGCATGGTAGATGCGATAAAATCAGCTTCGATCCGCCTGGCCGCATGACCGCAGATGGAGCCTCAAACCTCGCAGTGAAGGGATAGGACTTAGGCCCATCCAAGCTGGGCGGATGGAGAGCATTGTGCGCCTCTATAGCGTCACGCCTCTCCAAGCCGACCTTCTCCACCTCGATGCCCATTGTTGGTGTAGTTCGAGTTTTCTTGGAAAAACAATGTTGAATATGTCTTGTTGAAATCAGCCTTAGCAAAAATCTAACCGATCGGGGGAGATGGCTATAAGGTTATACTTATACTTGAGTCACTCAATGCACATGATCGATCTAAAACGACATGCATATCAGATGAGTCGGGATATCTTGCGTTTTGTACGAGCTAAACAAGGGTAGGGGAATTAAGCTGAGTCGTGGGGAAGGGGCCAGCTTGGGTGAATATTAGGGATAATAAAGTTATTATATATATTTTTGGGTGAATACTAGGGACGATCTTTCATATGAGTTTGCGAGAAGAACGGACCCTCGGGAAAATCAAAATCTTCTCTTATCAGGATTAAAAAGCAAAGCAAGGTCGTACGAGAAAGGGAGAGAGAGAGACGACTGGGTTGAGGCTCTTCATTCATTCATTCACTCATTCATTCATTCACTCAGCTCTTTACTGTTCTCTCTGATCTCTGACCAAGCCGATGCGAACACAAATAATTGCTGCGCCGGATCTTTGACCCTTCTTATTTGTATTCGTAGCAGCAGCAGCTGCTGCGCAGGAGGAACTGGAACTTATGCACATAGACCATACGTTCGCTGCACGCAGTCAATCGCAACTGACTGCCTTGCTCACGTGGAGCGCTCGCACCTAGCTCTTGCTGGAGTCTGGTGTTGAGCAACAGTGGGGTCGGGCCACGCAGATGCGCGTCCGATCGCCTGTATGAGCATGGGGTGTTGCTCGGAGCATCCGAGCAGGAGCCCTCTCGCCGCTGCGAGAGAACCCGCTTTCCGCGAAGCGTCACCCTGCAGTTTTGTGCAGTTGTGATGTGGCTGGGACTGTCTTTCTGGTCTGATCATGAGGTCGTATGTGCTGACAGTCACTTACTTTAGGGCTAGCGCTTTCACTTGTTCGCGTAAGTCCTTGTGTGCTTGTACAAGAGGGAGAGGGGGATTTTTTATAGTATCTAACCTATCATCTGCCAGTTGTGGCGGCGCACTAAAGATGCTAGCCCAGTCCAGTTATGGGGCCTCCGTGATCAGCTGATCCGGGGCCCAGAAAGCAACACATGCTGCGAGGAGATCCTCGCGTGAGAACCCATCTGCTCCTGGGTTGAACTCTGTGTTGACATATCTGCACCACGCCCGCGTGTTGGTTGCTCTGTTCGTCACTGCGATGTCGGCTGCGAGGCGCTGTGTTATGCGGCTCTTCGCTGACACCTTCGTAAGAGCGAACAGCTGGCCGCTATTATCAACTGCTTGGAGCACCACTGCCCCTCTGTACTCATCCTCGTAAAGGATTTGGGCCACTTTCGCGCTAGCCACCTCGAGATTCTCGATGGTGAGCGTGTCTGCGTTGTAGTGTGGGTGGTTGCACTCGTAGTCCACTGCGAATGCCAGTAGTCGTCCGTCTGCGCAGAAGAGCAGTCCGCCCATGCGAGGAGCTCCTCCATGGCCGCCGTCTGTGGAGGCGTCGATGTACAAGAAGTGGTGGGCGCGTGGTGTGTTGGGCTGTATAACAGCGGGTGGTGACGAGAGGAACAGGCGCTTAGTTGCGCGTGCCAGTGTGGCCAAGTTCTGCCTCTGCTGCCGGTTTCGGTGTAGCCGCTGAAAGCCGTCCTCTGAGGTCCATGGGTACATTCCTCTGATGATTTCTGCTCCCGCTCGGCACGAGTGGATCACCAGGAAGTTGGCCATTCCCAGCAGCTGCTGGATGGTTTTACAGGTAATGGCCTTCGTGTTAATCTGCGCGAGGAGATCCTCGGCGAGTTGTAGGCCCCTGATTAGCTTCTCACTCGGGAGCACGATTAGGCACCTGTTGTGCTCGTGGTCTCTCCAGTACTGGATTCCCAGTGCTCGTACGAAGTGGGTATCCGGATCTGCTGTGGACTGGTTTCCTTCGGGTTTTTCAGAGAGCCGGAGCCCTAGTAGTCTTGACAATTTGTCATAGAGTTCTCTGACCACTTTCATGGACTCAGTGCATGGCGCGTAGAGGAATGAGTCGTCGATGTAGATGTTTCCTACGGCGCCCATTTTTCGTAGGATGGCCGACACGGCTTCGGATACTCTGCAGAACCCGGGCACGGAGTGCCTGTTTCCCATGTTTAGGACTGCTGATTCGAAGAAACGCCAGCTGGCGAGGAGCCTGTCGTAGTAGGCACAAGGATTGAGTTCCGGTTTGTCTACTCCGAAGAGGTAGTAGGCTTGTCGCCAGTCTCTGCTGGTGACGTGGGCTAGCACTCCGGGCTTGTTCTGGAATGCTTTTAGGATGTGTTCGCTCCATTCCGTAGCAGACTCTACAGCCGCAGCTGCGGCTGAGTGTCTCTGTCCCTGTGCTTCTTGTGGCCTTTCATCCTGCGGCTTGTCTTGCTGCCATAACTCGTTCTCGAGTTGTCGGGTTTGCTTTGCGCGCTCACGGGTGAGTTCCATATTTTGCCAGGCCGCCGCTGCTGTGTTTTCTTTCGGTAGGCGCACGTCTTGTCCCTCTGCGCCGAGCGGCACGGCGTAAGCTTGCAGTATTTCTTGAATGACTCTTGTGCCGGGCAGCTGCACTTTTTCAAGCAGCGCCGAGTAGTCGTTGTTGTGGGCTGCATTGACTATTTGTCTCACTTTTGTGAGCTCCTGTTTCGGGAAGACAATTGCCGGTCGTGCCCGCAGGTCCTCTTTCTTTATTTCTCTATAGAAGCCTTGCTGGATCATTTTTTCTGCCTCCTTGATGAGCTCATCAAGGAGGTGATCGCTCCACGCGGCTGGTTTGCATCTGTCGACCCATGCTACTGCGTCGAAGAAGCCCTGGATTTCATGCTCGTCCAGTGGTGTGGCTGTCTTGTCGAGTGGCCATACCCCACTTAGTGTTGAGTTCCCCACACACTTTATTCCTTGCAGGATCTCCTGCGGGAGGTTGCTGTCGACATGCTCTGCCCAGTCGATCAGTTCTTGGAATGCTGTGACGTTTCGCTCGCATTCTGTGTCCATGCCAAGGACGTGTTGTAAGTGTGGTGGGGCGGAGCGCAGTAGCTTCCGCGTGTGTCGTCGTGTTCTTGTCTCCATGTCATCCAGCATGGTGGGGCACTGGCGGAGGTGCTGGAGCCACTGTTGTTTGTTTTCTTTGCTCCACTTTATGTTCTTCAGCGTGACTGGGTGGAGCGTGGTGGTGGCCGTGCGCGCTGCCTCCTCAAGGTGGTGTCGAACCACGTGGACGACCTCGGCGGCGTGTCGTATGAGCTTCTGCTTTTCGGTGTAGCTCGGCGGAGCTCCGCCGGTGTTCAGGTTCGAGTCCGTCATTTTCAAGTTTGCTTTTGAAGGTATACTTGTTAGTGTACGTGCGGTTTTACCTTTCTTGTCCCTTTTAGCCTGTTTGCGGTGTTGGGGGTAGGTGGTGGGCTTTTTAGAAAACAGAAGCAAGCAAGTTCCGCACCAGCTGGATCCATGCATTCATTTCCACCACATTTTATCCACCAGGAACACTACACTAACTTCTTCAGAACAGTTGAGCTGAGTAGGCTTCGCAATCTCAGCTCTTTACTGTTCTCTCTGATCTCTGATCAAGCCGATGCGAACACAAATAATTGCTGCGCCGGATCTTTGACCCTTCTTATTTGTATTCGTAGCAGCAGCAGCTGCTGCGCAGGAGGAGCTGGAACTTATGCACATAGACCATACGTTCGCTGCACGCAGTCAATCGCAACTGACTGCCTTGCTCACGTGGAGCGCTCGCACCTAGCTCTTGCTGGAGTCTGGTGTTGAGCAACAGTGGGGTCGGGCCACGCAGATGCGCGTCCGATCGCCTGTATGAGCATGGGGTGTTGCTCGGAGCATCCGAGCAGGAGCCCTCTCGCCGCTGCGAGAGAACCCGCTTTCCGCCATGTGTGTCTGACGTCGTTCCTGCTGTCCCATCTGTGTTCGACGCATCTAATGCGCGTTCTCAAGCGGTGGCAGTCCACGTTTTTGCCGCTCTGCAGCCACCCTGTGCGCATGCTTCTGTGACAGGCGCACTTTTCCGAGGATGAGGCTTTCGCGGTATAGGTTGGGTAGTTTGTCCCATTCCTTGCCGGTTTTTCCTCCGCTGGCCCCAGGTTGCGCTGCTCCTTTTATCTGCGCCACGGTTTTCTGTTCTCGTTTCGCTACCGTGGCTTTCACGCTGTCCACCGGGAAAAGTTTTCCTGCGGCCAGCTTGTGGACTTTGCCCGGTTTGCCTCTCGATAGCGCTTGTGCTTTGGAAACCGTGGGCACAGCGGCAGCTGCCGCTGTGGTTTTTAGGGCTGTGGTATTAGCCGTGATTTTGGTGGTCGTCTCCACTTGCTGCAGCTGCAGCGGCTTTTTGAAATTGCTTACTGCGGCTTCTTGCCGCAGTTGTAGCTTGCGGCCCCGGAACTTGAAGTTGTGGCTCGTGTTCGGTCCGTCATCGAGCTGAGGTTCCCATATTCCGTATACGTTCGGTAGGCGATGTTGGACTTGGCGGTAGTCTTCCAAGTCTATCGCGTAGTCTTGGAACGTGCTCGGTCGCACCCATCCTCTGTTGTATAAGAAGATGGCTAGGTTCGATCATGCGTCTTGCGGATAGCGCCACTGCTCTGCGTATGCTGTGTTCGGAGATGCATAGCTGGGTGAGGAGCTCCGTCACCGTGTCCTGGTGTGTGACTTGTTCGCGGGTGTAGTCAAAGGGCCCGCCTTTGTTCCCGTGGTGTACGCAGAGCGGGTAGCCTATTTTGGTGCCACAGTTGCAGCTTACCGAAATGACTCGCCCCTGCACTCCATATATCTTGTCTGCTACCACTTGAGCGAACAGCAGCTGCTGTCGCTCATCGCGCCACACATCTTGCTGGCGCATCTTTTTGATGGTAGCTCCCCGCACGCCCATAGCGACCCACAGGGCTAGTAGCGCCTTGGCATTGACCGATAGGAGCTCGGCCTTATCGTCGAGTAAAAAGGGCGTTGCCTTTTGGACCGGATTTTTGCTGAGCGCTCGGCGGACATCCTCCTCCGCGTCGGCGAAGACCTTCGGCGCCATGCCCGTATGGTCGTTGATGAGGAGTTGTTGCTGTTGTCCGGTGTGGTCGAGCGGTGGTGACGTGATATATTTGGAGATGGACTTGAACGCTTCAAGCACAGCTGTGCCGACGCGTTCTGAGTCTGACAGGTAGAGGCAGTAGAGCTTGAGGTGAGTGCACCCTACTTTTTGGCTTATGGGTACTGGTGGTTCGTGTCTTGTTGCCAACCACTCTCGGAAGCGTTCGCACTCTTCTGCGTTCTTTGTGAGCGTGGTGTGCTCCTTTGCCAGCCGTAGCAACTTGCGCTCGTCTGGGTTTGTCTGCCTATCGAAGGCTTGCTTGCGCTGGCCGTTGAAGTCTAGGAATTTTTTGTCCTGGATCAGTGATGTGTCAGGAAGGGCAACCGCAGCTGCTGTTGCCCTCATTGTGCTACCCAGCTGGGCAGTGAGTGACACGGCCGTGCTCTCGGCTCTTGGTTGCGCTTGCGTGGCAAGTGTTGTTGGTCGCGTCGTTGTTTTACCGTATCGCGGTAGGTGCATACTAGCTGCTGCGGAGCGTAGCTGCTGTTGTGCTGCTTCCTCACGTGACTGTGGGCGGAACGTGCCCGCAGCTGCGGCTGATTGTGCGGCAACGGCTGTTGCTCGTGCTGCAGCAAGAGACGCGAACGACGGCATAATTTTTTCTCTCGACTTTTCTCTTCTCTCGTATCGACTTTTTCCTACTGTTTAATTCTAGTTTGTAGCTCGATCGTCCTGCTGCTGCAGACTATGTTGTTTATACTTTCCTTAATTCAGCAGAGCTCCGCTGTGGACTTGCCGCTTTAGGCGCAGCTGCGCCTAGAGCCTGGTCGTGTAGCTCACGAACGCCAGCTGTTGTTGGGCGGCACTGCTTAGCAGCGGCGCAGAAGATGCGCTAGCACCAGTTGGCGCTTAGTGTTTTGCTTCGTCTACCTTGGGGTAGACCATTTTTTAAATTTTTATTTTATGGCTTTTTGCTTTTTAGGTTTTTATGTTTTATTGTCGTGCGTAGTGCTGTCTTTGTGCGGCTTATATAATTTTAGAAAAGTCCTGTTGTACTTTTTTAAGTAATTTTGTGTAGATGGTTTCATCTTCGTTCCTTCTAGTTTTATAAGTCGTTTGTTGCAGGTGCCTAGGTGCAGCTGCACCTGATGTGAGCAGTGCTGTTTTACTCGCAATATTCTACTTTATCTCAAGTTGTTGGAAAATTTCAAAACTGTAAGCCTACTTAGTTCTTCTTTTCTTCTTGTCCACGCGCGCCTTCTTTTTTGGTGGCGTGTTCTTCTTTCCACTACTGCCACCACCGCCGTTACCGTCATCGGAGTCTGCGTCTTCCTCTGTGTCGGCCTCGTCTGGAATTTGTGTCCAGTTCTGTGGGCAATTAACCTGTTGGCCACTAGCTGCACGTAGCTGGAGCTCCAGCACGTGTTGCCATGTAGTTGCACGCTGGTACTGTTTCGGGACCTCGTGCATGAAGTTGCACTTTCTGGCTTTGGCTCCCGTGCATCTGGCGAAAGCGAAGTTTCTGCAGATCCCGCTAGGTAGCATGACGTTGTCCAGGATTGGGCTTTCTGCAATATCGTTGCTCACCGAAAAAGCAACTCCGTTTTTGAATGCGGCCTTCACCCGTGTGATGAAGGGACGCTTCTTTACGCTGTCGGCGGAGTCGTTTTTGATCTGGCGTTTCAGTGCAGCTGCACTGAGACGCAGAGGTGACGGCACACCTTTTGTTTGCTTTTGTCTACCACCGCCATTTCCGCTACTTCCACCTCCTCTGCTGCCACCTTGGCCTCCTGTGCTGGAGCCGGCTAACAGGTCCACGTCCATGCCGTCGCGCGCCGAGTCTGGTCGCATGCTTTCATCGGCGTAGTGGAGCGGCTGGTTGACTGATGGCATTTTTCTTTCACCGCCGTAGGATGTGAAGTTTTCTGCGAAGTACTGCCTTCGTCCGCCAATGAGCGAGAGGAGGAGGCTCCAGCCATATGTCATCACATAAAGCAATGAACGTTGGTCCGAAGACGTTGGCGCGCCTATTGCTAAGCTCGGTGGCGTGGTGTCAAACACCATGTGCAGCGCTGTGGGCAGCAAGTGGAGACAGAAATCGGCCAAGGTCACTGATCCGGTTTTTGGGCGTAAGTTGACCATGGCTTCTTCTGCTGCGTACACAGTGGGGTATTCCTCGATAGCTACCGAGGCCCGCACTAGTGCACCAAACGCATCCCCGTCGCTGTTGGCGTTCACTGGCGATGTGAACAAGACGGCCTCTTTAGAGGGTTCGCACATGCGTACTTTGCAATTTCGCACCAGCATGAAAATGCGCGTCATGTTGTATGACTCGTTTTGACTGATGGGCATGCCCGGCACTAGACGTTCCACTTTTTCCTTGACCAAAGTTCGCACTATGTGCTCGAGACTGTGTTTGTCGGTGATGGAATTTGTCATGGTGAGGGTGGAGATCCACCCAAGGTTTTGGCGCGCGTGCTTGACCGTTGGTCGTGCGACTCCTGCGTTCGCGGCGCAGTCACCCAAAGCCGCTATGCCCTTAGTGCGCCACGAGGCTGCGAACTCGGCCAGGTCGGTTTCCGACATTATGCCGTTTACCAGCATCGTCGCCAAAAGTCTTCGCCATTGTCGCCGCTCGTCTTGTGGTAGCTTTTCGATGGATTTGTAGGCATGCGATTCCGGATGCACGTAGAGGTTGTCGGCGAGGCGTTGTAAATTGCCTTCGATGAGCTTGCCGCTCTCATCAATACCCATTAGACGCATGTTGTTTTTGAAGTCGTCCAATGGCGCCATCAGTGGGTGCTGCGCGGAGCCGCGCCATATCGGTGCAAAGGCGGCTTCTTGTTGAATGTCGTGCCAGTAGTGGTTCCATCCATCTCCCGTGTAGATGCGCACCCAGGCAGTTTGGTCGTCTGGCATCAGCGCCTGGTTGTAGGGGGAGTGGACGATGTTCACCGGGCCACCACCGCCGTAAGGCTGTACTGTTTGGTTGCTCATGGCGTTTGCGGCTTGAGCAATGGTTGCTGCTCTGACTTCTGGTGTCAAGCCCAGCTGGGCGAGCAGTTGTTGTAGTTGGCCAAGTTGTAGTTGTTGTTGTGCTGGTTGTTGTTGCCAAGCAGGTGCAGCGGCGCCTGCGTTGGCTTCTGGTGCTGGTGGTGGTGGTGGGTTCGCCGCTGCCAGATGTTGATTGCTGCCGTCGGTGTACACCACTGCGACATTCGGGGCGAAGTTTGCGTTGAAGTCGAACGTTTGACTTGTATGCGCTAGGGCATGCATATGCTGCTCGATTCTGCCCCACCGGGCCACTTTTGTGCCCTGTCTGTTGACGCCGAGGACGTTGCAGACGTTGTCCATCTGCGCGTTGGAGATCATCACGCCGTATGGTGAGATGTCCGCTTGGTTCTGCGCGGCCAACTTGGCCGTTAGCACCACTGCTGCGATTCGCGCTTGCGAGAACGCTGAGATTGGCCGATTTTGTTCGTCCCTCGCTCCTGCAAGCTGGATGAACATGTGTTCATCTGCAATCTGCTCGAGTTGTTGGATCACGATGTTCATCACCATCGCCCCCAACAGCTGTTGGAGGCCTAATCGTCGGAGGGCTGTCGTGTCGTGGTCGGCAAGTTCAGCTCGCAAGTCCCGTGCCCATTGTTTTGCGTGGTCCGGGATCTCGTTATCCGTGGTATTTTGTACTACGTTCGGCACCGGGTGAGGTGGTCCGAGTGGCGGAAATTGTGGTGGGGCAGCGCCCAGAATAAGCGGTCCTAAAGGTGCTGGCTGTGGTGGAGCTCCACCTAGATGTACTGGCCCTAGTGCTCCTCCCGGGAGTGGTCCTGCTCCTGCTGGTAGTGCTGGCGGCAGCTCTGGCGCCCCACCTGGAGGCGCGGCACCTGGAATTCCTCCTTCCGCTGGTGCTGCTCCGGCTCCATCTCCAGCTGGTTCACCGCCGGCCTGCACCGGACCTCCGCCAGCTTCCGCTTGATCACCTTCTGGTTGCATCGGTGGCGGATCGAACATCGCTGGGTCTCCAACAGGAGGAGGCTCTTCTCCGTTTGCGGCCATCCTTTTCTGGTTTTGTACTGGAAAGGAGTGGCTCTAATCTTTGAATTTTATTGTTTCCTTTGTAAGTTTGTTATTTATATGTTTGTTTATATGCTGTTTACTTGTGATACATGGAAGTAATGCTTTTGAGAAAGTTGAGCTAAGCTTTGAGAGCTCTCAAACCGGCCTGTTCGTTTGTGGGGTGATTGTCTATTATTTGCTAGGCTCGTTAGTTAGAGTCTAACTAAGTAGTGGAGATCCACTACTGTTTTAAGCCTCCTTATGGGCGGCCTCTCAGCTGAGGATTTTGCTAGGCCGTACCACTCGTGAGTGTTTGATCGTGGCAGGTGATCATGTATGCTTGACTAGCGGGACGATTTTTTCCCTTCAGCATACTGGCAGATTTGTCTCACCTGGCGCTCCAGGCAACAGATCTGGGTCCGCTGACCTTTTGACACTATGCTGCCACTATTTTTGCTTGGACGTTTAAAACGCGCCTAGCGCTAATAGACATAGAGGCTCGTCGCGGCGTACCCACGAGCTCTGGCGCCTAGAACAAGCTTGCTTTGACCGAATCTTTTTAGAAAACAGAAGCAAGCAAGTTCCGCACCAGCTGGATCCATGCATTCATTTCCACCACATTTTATCCACCAGGAACACTACACTAACTTCTTCAGAACAGTTGAGCTGAGTAGGCTTCGCAATTTCATTCATTCATTCATTTACCTAGCACGAGGTGGTGCCTCAAAACCTGAATTAGGATGCAAAGGAAAGGCCAACGCGGAGACACGAACGATTCATGAGGACCGAAGCTTCGAGTTGTTCCGATGAATTCCTCGTCTCTCACTCTACTCGTCAAAAGCGTCGAACTTGGCTTTTTGCAGTTCAAACAAATGGAACAAAAACCGACAAATGGAACAAGATCTTCAGTTTCAAGCAAAGACATCATTATTATTATTATTATTAGTTCGCGCGCGACCCGATCGCCTCGCACGTGATACGCCCTCGGGCGCTCGAGGCAGAATAAGTATCTTCTAGCAACCGCGAATTATCCATGTGCTGACCCTCCCACTGATTCTCAAGTTCTTCATCCAAATGAACCATACTTCAGTTCTCTCGTCTTAGTCGTGTGCCAACGAGAGAACTGAAGTATGGTTCATTCGTTCTCTCGCTATAGCGTTCCCATGAGGATTTCACGAAAACAATTACAATTACAAGTTTGTCGATTTTTTTTTTTTTCGACGCACCAGCAGCGGTGGGCGCAGAGAAAGCAAACATTTCACAGATATCGCTGTACTGTCTTACAACTACAGCAGGTAGGAGACAAAGAAGCCGCGGGTGCTCTCCTGCTCAGCCACAAAAGCACGACCCGAAGATTGAAGTGCCTTCGAAGTTTCTCGTGATCCTTTCAGTTTCTTTGCGTTTGCCATATGTATTCTCTTCGCTATCTTCTAAGTACCGTTAGAATTCTCACAAGAAAACACTACTACTAAACCTTATGCCTATTATAGCGTTCTTATCTATGACTATTTCAAAATGTATGCAGAGAGACTTGCGCCAAAAACCCATGATCTTAGTCTTGTCGAGCACGTTGAACAGGGAAGACGTAGCTTCACTACTCTCTCACGCTCGTGGAGTCGCATAAGCCGAGGACGCACAAAGGCGCAAAGGCGCTATTACTATTTCAAAAAAAAAACTACTGCGTGCTAAACCTTATTCCTATATTTTCATAAACTAATATAACGCTCTTGCTCGTTTCTTGTACTGGTCTTCGTCTTTTGATGTTAATTTACTACTGCTCCGCTTGTTCCGAAATGTTTTTAACTCCACCGGTGGATCATGATCAATCGGAGCGACCCGCTAGCAGCTGTCACTCACGAAGAATTTCAAACGACGAGGACGACGACGAGTGAGTCTTTTATATTTACACATTAACACTAAGTCGATATAAAGGTCGACCACCGTTTCCTTTTCGGTTCTAGTTTCTTACAGTTACAATTCAAAATCTGCTTTATCATTTCTCATCGAGAAGAACAAGAATTATCTTCAAGCATTACAAATCAATAGCTGCAGGACTAGAAATGATCACAGACGCTGCCTTTGCATTTTTAGTCCTACACTAGATTTAGAATGATATTTTACTTATTCTAACGACATCCACCCTTCAAATTCACAGGCTGCCCAAGGTTGAAGAAGGTTGAGCGTTCACAGCTCTGAGCCACAAGGCCGCGCGTAAAATCACTGAATTATTTCTTAGGTTCACTGCGTAATATCATAAAAACAAAGGACACGACAGAGCCAGAGGATGACTTTTTTGAATATCTTTTTTTTTAACCATGTTGACGAAGACTTATTTACTCGAAAAACTGGAATAAGCGAGTTGGCAAAAAAACGGATCCCCCGGATATTTTTTCTTAAGCATGTTGAGTAAGACTTATTTACTCAGATCTATCCTCGCCAAGCGAGTCTTGATACTCATAGTCTTCCATTATACTTTACTTCTACCTCCACCTTCTTTATTCCATTCATTCTATAGTCATTATGAAATTCAAATGATTGCAGTGTGTCTGGCGGCGAGTAGACCCACCCACCATGCCATGAGAAGGTCAGTGTCAACCTGCTTAGACGAATCAAAGGTAATACAAATACTGCCTCGCGTTCAGTCTTCCAATAGCGCATGATCTTAAGCAAAGAATCGATCATCTCTTTACAACCACCTTCGAGGGTCTTGTCTTATTTACATTGTCACCATACAATACAATAACGGAGGAAGCGTGAGATAAGTGCCAGTGAAAGTTAGGAAGGAGATAGACAATTTGAGATGAGTCACAGAGAACCTGTTCTCTGCCTAAACACTACAGAGAAGCCGAAGCCCGAAGGCAAACGTAAATCCTAAGGTGGCCTTATTAAGATGTTGTCGCGAGGAGGTGGACTAGCATACAACACAATAAACCTCGCACAAAGTACCGCGCACTGCCTTAGTACAATACAATAAAATCGCCTCAATTGACCGCCAAGAAAAGCGCCTTACCTTCAATTTCGCAGTTGTGAAGAGCCTTCGACGATATGGGTTTACTCCAGAGTTCATGAAGAAGCAGCTACTTACTTACTAACTTAAACACGAAGTCGTGCTAGAATAAACATCAACACTTTAAAAAATACTAATGATAAATTTCATTTAGTTTTTTCGAAATTCTATATTCGATCTCCACTACATGAAGAAGGAAATGATACCTACTGCCCTTCGATCATATCTGCATTGTATTCCTACTTTTTATGTCGGGGGGGCACTCCCTCGAACCCAACTCCCTCCCCTCCATAGTTCTCCGTTTGAGTCAGGAACCCTATCCATAGTTCTACTTAACATCGATCATACACATACTTCGATACTAGCCAAGATCATCTTCTAAGTAAGTACGAGCCACCGCGAAGATCGCGGCTCCAGCAGTAGTACAAGTACTGTACGACCCAAGCGTGAGGCACTATAAGTGCTTCACTATTTTTTTACTTATTAAGTAGTTGATCTAGTGGCATTAGTTGATCTGTAGTTGTTCTCTGACGCGTCGTTTTTTCTCCCTTTGCACACCTAGTCACGGTGTTTAAGTGTGCTCTAGATGATCTTAACCACTCGTAATAAGTGTGCTCGAGATCTTAGCCACCACTTATAAGGTATAATCGTCAGTCCGATCTAGAGGGTTAATCCTTCCACGAGAGGAGCTTGAAAATCGCGCAGTTCCAGGAGACTTGGAAGCAATATCAACATTAGTGGCGGAAAGTTGACGCATCAAAAGGCATCCTTATAAATATTATAATAATTCCCATGGGTGTCAGATCCAGGATGGGATGGAACGGATGGGCTTCCCATCATTTCAAGTAGGATCGGAAGACTAAGGGGGGTCCACGTCCATCCGATCCATCCAAGTTCCATCCTACACCCGTTCTATGAATTATCCTATAAAATATATTTGTCTCGCATTTGTTGATCTACGACATTATATATCAAACGGGCAGCTCGATCGAATAGGTTCTTGTCCGTTTGTAAAAATCACTCATGGAGATGAGGTCAAGGTCATCGATCTCCAATGCATCACAGGAGAAGTAGCACGCGAAGTAACCGCGCTACTTACTCGAAGCTGCTGTCGAGCTCCGAACTGTCGTACTTGCGGACGCGCTTTCCCTTCCTTCCTCCACCTTGCAAATTGGAGATCCAGGCGTGATGTCCTGCCTCTCTCCTGCTGATCGTAAGGGAATCGCTCCTCTGCTCATTGTAGTTGGACGATCCTGACAAGTAGATGTTGGACTATTGTGCTGACAGGTAGATGTTGCCGTCTCACGGGGGCGAGTACTACCTCCAGTACTAGTTGGAGTCTCACGGCGAGTACTACGAGTCCGAGTTGGAGTCTCACGGGGGCGAGTACTACCTCCACTACGAGTTGGACTGTCGTGACGAAGACTCTTACTATCATCGGGACTCATATCCTGACGAGTGCTAATTGTCATCCGCTCTTCCTGTCCAATCGAGGGCTCTTCGTGTTTCTTAGGGATGACTTAGAGCTACCGCGTTGATGGCATCCCTGGGTGCATCCGTGGCCCGTTTCTCAAGTGGAACAAGGGCCCAGGATGATGCTGAGGATGCTGCAGCGGTAGCCTTAATTAACGAGATGATGGGCCGGATCTTGATGCTGCTGCTCACCCTGTCCTCGTGATGCGCTTTGGTGTGCGCTGTGATATGATTCCACTGCATGCGCACGACCTTGCGGCGTAGGAGTTGTACAGGTTCGTCCTACATATTGGTGTCCTGCACGAGTCAATACAGTAGAGGCTGTTGCACCAGAATATCGAGAAGTTGCACGAGCAGAGCTTGATGCGCAGGAACCTAGGAATCAAGGATTACCGTTACATCAGTTCCGTGATGTTATGCGAATAATATTCTAGACATAATGCAATTCTTCTACTATTAGATACTATCATGCTCTACATTGAAGTACCGCTTGCCGACCCAGAACCAGCTGAGGGAAGAGTGTCGTTTCCTCGTCTATGGAGGTTCTCTATACGGGAGCGCATACGCGGTGACAACACGCTTGGGGGGGCGTCTTCGTTTTCGGGATCATCTGACTCCACAGGAAGATCTCTGTGAAGATCTCTCCTGTAAAGAGCAGCCATAGGATCATCGACAGCATGTAGTTGGAGGTATGGGTGGTCACATTGTTTTTCGGCTTCATGCTCATGGTCCCGCAGCCACGCTGAAGAACTACTGGGGTCACCCTCCTGTAGTGGGTCTTCGTCATCCTCTTGTAGTTGGCCGAGGTCCTTGCTAAGCGGAGGTCCTTGCTTCCGTGTCCGACGAGGTTCTTGATCCGGTCGTGTAGCCCCGCAAAAAACTTCTTGTCGCCCCCTTGGGTTGTTTTTTAAAGCTTGCCCGTACTACTATTCATCTTTTTGAACACAAATCATCTTGATCATTTGGAGAAAAGGGGTAGGAGTAAAGGCCAAAGAGTAGGATAAGGATTCCGCTGGAGTTTTTCTACTTACTTAAGCAAGTAACTGATCAGAATAACCGAGATACTGACGAGAAGGAAGAGTAGCCTTGACGTTGAGCTCCTAGCTCCCTTATTTCATTCAGTAACAGTAACTCGGTTATAATTTTGAGTTTTCGAATAGATGAATAATTACGATAACGAGCTGACGAGTGAAGTGAAAGTAGCTACTTCTAGATGAATAACTACGGTAACTACAAGTAGTAGCCTTAAGTAAATGTCACCACTTGGAAATGGCGTTGCGAGCGGAGCTTTGTCATCCTCGCTGTAGTTGACAGGACTATAATGAGGGAACAATAAGCAGCTCTGCTCGCCTCGGTCTTTACAAGCTGCAGTCCTCCTCTCGCCTTCTGGGAGTTCCACCTCTCGATCCGCGATACGTTGTACTACACCTTCTCCCTGACTTGCAAGCTGTTCCATTGCAAGCTGCTGTAGTACAAGATCAAATGGATCCGCAGCTTCTCTGATCTCATCTCCTTGTAGTTGTGGCGCATGGTCAGAAGCAATTGCGAGAAAACCTCGTCGCTGAAGGGGGTCACAAAAAGAGGGGTGGAAATCTTCCTCTTCCATACGACCAGGAAACATGGCATCACGTAGGTGGTGGTCATCTTGACGAGTGTGGAGGCCATCTTGACGAGTGTGGAGGCCATCTTGAGGAATCCGGAGGCCATGCTGACGAGTGTGCAGGACATGTTGACGAGTGTGGAGGTCATCTTGACGAGTGTGGAGGCCGTCTTGAGGAATCCGGAGGTCATCTTGAGGAATCCGGAGGCCATCTTGAGGAATCCGGAAGCCATGCTGACGAGTGCGGAGGTCATCTTGAGGAATCCGGAAGCCATGCTGACGAGTGCGGAGGTCATGTCGAGGAATCCGGAGACCATCTTGACGAGTGTGGAGGTCATCTTGAGGAATCCGGAGGCCATGCTGACGAGTGCGGAGGCCTCGTCCATCATCATCCTCTGCCGGTGGGAGGGCAACAGGAGGCGCCTCGAAAAAATCGAGATCATCACTGTCGGTTTGTTGAGCAATCTCATTTCTTTCCTGCGATTCGCTCGAAGCAGACGATCCATCGATGTACCTATGGCGTCCAGATTCTGAGGTGCGCAGTCGAATGGCATGCCTTCTAGGAGCAAGACCATCGCTCTCTGGGATGACGAGAGTGGCTGCTTCTAAACAATCGTCTGCGACCATGAACGGATGTTGTTCTAGAACTTGACGCTCTAGAACTTGTTCTGGACCTCGTGCTAGACCTTGTTCTAGACCTCGTGCTCGAGCTTGTTCTAGACCTTCTTCCACCTCCGCTGCTAGGTTCATGTGAGGAAGTTGTGGCAGGAGCTCATGCACGTTTCCACCCTGAAGATGAGGCTGCTCAGCAAACAGCAAAGAAGCGTGCAGCGCACTCATTCCAATCGTGGGCCTAACTACATCCTCATCGTCCGAACAGGCGGCTTGGTTGGACCACGCACACGAGGATCCCGACTGCGCGTCTTCGTTCGTCATCGTTCCTCCGCATGTATCAGCAGAAAGAAGCTGCCGTTGTCCTGTTGTGTTTCTCACTACTGGCGTTGTACCTTCAGCAGAAAGAAGCCGTTGCTGTAGGCCTGCGACGTCACTGCTAGTTGTGCCTGGAAATGAAGACTCCGTTTGTACGAGAACATCCTCAGCTGCGTGACCAGCTCCAGTTCTACTTAGCAATCCAAGAACAGGCTTGACGTTCTGAGTAGCACGAACTTGATTATCAGCTCCCTCCTCAGCGGCCTCTCCCAGAGCGTCAGTAACAACAATAAATTTGCGATCAGGGGTCAGAGTCTCAACAACGATACTTTTTTTCGTCGCAGCACCATTTGGAAATTCTTTGTTGATCAGACTTTTAGCAGTTGTTCCCTCACCATCACCCGTTTTTTGAGTGCTGGTTTCCTCAAGAACTTCTGTTGTCTTTTGAGTGCTGGAGGTTTCCTCAAGAACTTCTGTTGTCTTTTGAGTGCTGGAGGTTTCCTCAAGAACTTCTGTGATGTTTGTGTTGTTCTTTTTCGAAGAAGAAGTACCTTGCCCATCTTCCCCTTGTCGTGCTTGACCTTGGGTCGCGCGTATGACCAACTCCAGTACGCGAGTCGTCTCCCAACTTCGTCCGGACTGAGATTAGAGCTGTCGCATACATTCATCGGAAAGAATATTTTTTGTTGTCGACGAAAACGTTGACTAGTATATTCAATATTCTGAGAAAAAATCATTCAGATCTGCATTGGCTCATTTTCTAAAAGGAAGCCAAGGATGATGCTGAGGGTCCTTCAAGGGTAGCCTTAATGAGAAGTATTGACGCTACTCCTTTTTGAGTCTTCCCGTTCCTGAGGCGTGAGACCAGACCCCGCAGAAGTGCTCCCTTCCGACTGCATTCGACAAAAACTATCTCCCCGTTGCATTCGACAAAAACTATCTCCCGATTGCACACAAGAAGCACTAGTACCAGAAGGCATCTTTTCATGTTGCAGCACTCGTGGGGTGGATAGCGGTGTGGTAGAATGGTATGCAAACAAACTCCAGTCTTCTGCGTCGGTCTTGACTAAAACATCATCAAAGTTGCCATCAGAGTTGTCCTCAAAGGAAGGCTGCACTCGGTACTTGTGGCCTCCTCTTACTTCTTTTTTCGGAGAGGCCTGTTTAGGAGATGCTGCATGCGCAGATGCTAGGTGTGCTCTAGCAATATTAGCGGTAGCGCTTTTATGATTAGTAATAGGCGAAGGCAGATCTGGGGTTGCGTGGCTACCCCTGCTAGCCAATTTAGAGAGTGCCTTTATTATCCATCTCAATCCCTTCATCTTCTTGGCCATCTTTCGTCCGTTGTATAATTTCGTGAGAAATAAAGGGAACCGAGATCCTGAGAGATGAGATGAATACGTACTAAATGTAGTTGACCATAACCAAGATAGCAGCATCACGCCTGATATTTCCACATTTGGTGTATTCTTGTTCTTAGACCTTCTGGGATTCTCCCATTTTGACAAGCATCCTGGACGCGTTTGCTTCCCTCTTACAGTGGAGGCCCAAGATTCTTCTCAAAATGGGGGATTTCCAGAAGTCGTCTTAAGGTTGTGTCCGAATCTCCTTGACCGCATTCAGGTTCTGGTTTGTAGCATGAAAAGTGCATAGGTCCATAGGTACTGTAGGTCCATCTGACCACGCAGCAGCGAGAGTAGGCGGGAGTTGCAAGTGGCGGTCGGTTTCGATCTGCTCCTGCTCCATAATTATATTATAGTACTATTTGTATTTTGGGCGATAATTGAGGACGTGATGTTGTTGCGCTGGTGCGGGTCGTGTCCTCCTCCAGCTCCCATCGGATCTTCTGATTTTTTAGTACTGCTGCGCATCTTCAGCTTCGAAAAGAATGCTTGAAGAGTGGGGAGACCACGACTCGTTCTGGTGCGGGGTCTCGTAGATGTCGTCGCAGTCCCAGTCTTGTTTGCTACGCCTTCTAATACAACATCTTCTACTCTACCCACCATTGACGTAGCAGCGTCCTGGTCCTTTGACGGAGAAGAGCACTCCTCTTTCTTGCAGCCACAGAGTTTACTTGGCGTTAGAAGTATATGCAAGAATTCATTTTCTAAAGTGGCCGTCGTCTCGGTTCGAGACAGACTCAGACTCCAAGTTTGCTACGCCTTCTAATACAACATCTTCAAATTTGCAGAAAGTTGCAGTCAGTCTTGATAGACGGCGTTCTAGAATTCCATGCTATGCTTACTGAGTTACTTAACATTCATTCAACATTTATCTGGATCTATTGTGATCCTCCTTAAAACCATCCTCATCGCCTGTCCGCTGTGACGTCCGCTTCCTCGATCTACCACTGCTAGCGATGGGGATGGGCTTGTCAAAGTAAGCAAGAAGAGGAACACCAGGATGATCCATGTTGCGAAGGCGTGTAGTCTTCGTCTTGTCGGCCGTATCATCGTACGCGCAATCTTCGTCTTCGCTGTTGGTCTTTGTTGTGGTCCTTGTACAAGTTGTAGAGGCAGATGAAACGAAAAGGATCTCACTCCTCCATGAAGGCGATCATAAGCAAACGGAGAAGGTTGCTGTAGGACCCCAAGACGAGGTCTCCTCTCGCCTCGGAAGTGAGAAGGCAAAGGGCCGCTGTTGTAACCAATGAAGAGCGACATCTTTTTTGTTTGTAGTTCATCTAGAGAGTGAGAGAAGAGTGTCCTTAAGAAAGCCGACAGAGAGTGAGAGAAGCTAGTCGCTTCGTGTGTTCGCTAAAGTTGGTGTTGAAGATGTTGAAGAAATACCTGGCTAAACAAATAGTTGCTGATGTTGAGCAAGAACCTGGCGTGCGAGCATCTACTCACTTAGTTAAACCACTCTAGTCAGCCAATCAATCAGGTTGCCTCCGCAGGGCACCTTTTTTTTTTTTGTATGCCAAGACCGCCGGAGGGGTGATCCCAGTTTTATCCAGTTCGCAAACCGGCGGCAGGTGGAGTCCGGTTACCTCCTTATATTACTGCGCACTAATTGCCTACGAACCTGCCGATTTTAAACTGATGAACCCTAGGGGCAAAGGAGGCGACTAATTAATTACTATAAACCTCCACCGGCTGCCAACCGTCCCGCTCTTATGCGCCTGCCTACAAGGCACGAGGGCAGGGCCGCCAACCCTGCTTACTCTTGACTAATGCGCAATCATCTGACAAGTGAAAATCAAAGAATATATGACTACTGGCCTAACGCCCTAAGTACAACATGGTCTGCGTTGTTGGGGAAGCACTAACCTAGTTTTTCTTATCTTCACTGCTTCGCGCTCCATGTCCTTGCGCAATCCTTTCGTTCCTGCATCACGCCCTCCTGCCACAAGAATAATATCGCAGCCCGAGTGTATGGCTATACTGACACCACGCACGGAGCGAAAGCTGAGAGCTGAAGCAATAAGAAAAGATGTAGATAACCTCCTACCACCATCTAGTATTTGATCGACTCAACTACCCGCTACCTCGCGCGACTCCCCCGCACGTAATTAAGAATGGTGCATCTTTGATTCATAGGCTATTTTCACTTAACCTGCCACTTTTTTAATACTCACCCCTTGCATGTAGAAGCCGCCTCGTCTCGCCGCTGCAACTTTCAAAAGAGGGCGGCACTCAACCACCTAACGGGTTATAAGTGAAACAGGACAAGGAAGAATAAAAGAATACATAAGAAACAAGAAAGATGGCGAAGTTGTGCTAAGAACATGAAAAGGCAAAGCCTTATGAATGCCAAACAACGAGGGCTACTCTACAAAAACGGGTTTGCTGCGGGAGGTAAGATACAGTATCGGACGCGAGAAAGGAGCTTGGGACTCCTTTCTCGATAATTCTCTCGCCTACGGCGAGAAGGACTCAAACGAGAACAGAGCAAAAATACTCCACAGAACGAGAGAACGAGCTTGATTTGCAACTCTCAGCACAACTCATCATCACACAAGGACAGAATTTAGGGAAATCTCACGCGACCATCTGCGCCCATGCTTTCTCAACCCGAAGGGAAAAAGTTTGAGCTCCGGTCCTCTCACACTCAACAGAAGCACCTTTTTTTTTTGTAAGTCAACAGAGGGCGGTAAGTTTTGTTCTTCACCACATCTAAGACTAAGTGGTATAATTCTACTTGTTCAAGTTCATCAGGCCTACTGACGCTGACCTCAATTTCGCACCATTATTTTTATTTTCTTGTATTCCGAGAACGCCGGAAGGGTGATCCCAGTGTTGTTCGGTGTACCTGCCGGCGACGGGTGGAGTACATTAACCTCCTGGTCCTGATACAGCCACGCACTAATTGCCTACGAACCCGTCGATAATAAAATGAAGAAAGAACTAGGGGCAAAAAAGGAGGTGATAATTAAGTAATATAAACCGCCACCGCCCACCGGCTGCCAACCGTGATTAATTAAGTAATATAAACCGCCCCGCAGCTGCGACTGCCGCAGCTCTACGCTCGGGAGGGATATGTCGCTCCCGCGTGGGCCGGATGAACACGCTTGATGAACACTTCTCGTGACTAAGCTTAGATATCCGACATGCAGATCGGCAGATGGCGAAAAGAAAGCAGTGTCGGAAAAAGATAGCGAAGAAGGGGAGCTGAATACCCAGTAGGTACCCAAATCAAAAAACTCTTCTCCGTTTCTCAACCCTACGCTATGAGTCACCAAAAAGTCCGCGAAAAAGCATTTCAGAAATAATTTCTACGTATTTTCAGATCATAGAAGCACTCCAGTTCGTTCGAACTTCGAATTAATGTTAAACTACTAAGTAATTGGAACAAGTAGAGTACCCCTTAGTGTTAGTTACTTCATCTACCCTGGCTAAATTATTACAGTCTATTTTATCTTTAACGTCCAACAAGGGGCCTTTCCTTCCCAAACTGGTGACTCCTTGCCTTTCCTTCCGAAAGGACTGGAGTTCGAGATCCTCACCAAAAATTTCTGATGATGATGTTACAATACAATACAATACAATTTATCTCGCTTTTTTTTTTTTTGTATCGCGAGCGAGTTCCGTGAAGAACCTGCCTACATATTTTCCGCGTAGCTACCGGCGTAGGGGGGAGTTCTTAATCTCCTTAACAACTACGCTACTGCCCCTACGATTTAAAATGCAGAACCCTAGGAGCAAAGGCAGGGGAAATTACATACCTAATACCTGCCACCCGGGGCGTTGCCCGTCTCCCCATTACGCGCTTTTTGTGGATGCTACGTATGGGCGGCGGAGCGCTGTCCGCTTAATCAAGTTAAATATTTTTTGGCCCTAGGTGGATCTGCGCGGCATCTCATTGCTGAAGTGAACTAGACGGATGTTTTTGACTAAGTAAGAGCATGCACGTTGATTAGATTGGTGAAGGACGACTAATCTCTACTAGTTGCTTAAGGTTTTCCTTCATCTTCATTCATCATTTTCTTCTTGTGGCCGGCTCCTCCCGCTATGCAGCCGATGAGAGAAAAAAACAAAGAGCAAAAAAAATTGGAGGGCTGACTCCGACCAAAGGGGCTACCTTATTCCTGATAGCCACAACCGGGCGGGAGATAAAAAATCGGCGAGGGAGAGCGATGGGACGCTCTCCCCCTTTCACTTGCGTTGCTTAAGTCTACTCATCTCAAAGAACTATAACAGCGCCTGCCTTTGTATATCGAAGCAGTCTCGACCTCCTTACTCACCAAGGAACGGCGCCTCCTCTAGAAATAACGACACTCAAATAAGTATATTATAGCTCTCCCGTATTCATATATCTCGCCGCGAAATGCCTCGTGTAACCGCTCCGGGTATCATTTTAAAAACCCTCGAAGAAACGCTCAACAGAAAATAAAACGCGACGGCCCCAATCGGTTTCCATAAAGGCGACCGGCGGACCATCTGAAAACAAGGAGTGTCTCCTGGTAGGTAGAGACACAGCTTTGAATTCAGATTTCTCTCAAAACAGATTTTTTCGCAGACTGCCTTAAGGGCGTCATAGATGATACACACGATGGATCTCACGCGGATTTCTAATGGTGGACTTTGTTCATTGCTGCAGCCAATGGTTCATCGCATCGATTTCACGTTCGAGACGTCTACTCAAACCCACAGCGGGCACTTTTTGTTTCTTTTTCGTCAAATAGCAAGCAAGGGCATTTTGTTCCAAAGTTCAAAAAATCCTGCCAAGGAGATCCTTATGTGCGTGTGCAATTGTAAATTGATGCGATGAAGAATTTGTTTGCGTGAGATCATACAGCGGTTGTCATCAATTAATGCTTGCTTGTCATGTCAATAGGTTAGGCAAGTTGAATGAATGAATGTACCCAGCACTCTAGGGGTTGAGTCCAATGATCACAGTTAATTTTAATAGGGGGTTGAACATTCACTGTGAGGGGATCCAGTTAATTTTAATAGATTTTTTACACAAGAATGACAAAGAAGTCTTCCCCTCTACTTCACGTCTTCAGATAACAGCAAGACAAAAGACGACATATGCTTTTCCCTTGATGATTTTCTCTCCTTGGAGACAACGACCCCTCTTTCCCTGCTCCTCGCATCCTGCGTCTCGACAAGAAGGAGGTGAAACGACCCCAAGCTTCTTTATCTTTCCTCCCCTGAGCAATATTCACAAGGCTGAAGGAGTGTGGCAGTCGAAGCTTTCCCCGCCCTCGGCAGTCGCCAGATGTCATTTGTCTTCTCCTTCGTATCTTGGCCTGGTGGATTAGAAGAACAGGTAGAACATGCATGAACTGAAATAAGCGAGTATCCCAGAGAGTAATCTCCTCAGATACTCGGTTGAAAAACTGAAATAACCGAGTAAGTATCCCAGAGAGTAATCTCCTCAGATACTCGGTTGAAAAACTGAAATAACCGAGTAAGTATCCCAGAGAGTAATCTCCTCAGATACTCGGTTGAAAAACTGAAATAACCGAGTATCGCAGAGAGTACTAATCTTCTCAGATACTCGGTTATTTCAGCTAGCTACTCGCTTATTTTCAGTTTTCGAGTACTTAGTACTCAAAACGGTGTGGCACGGCATGCTACTCTGGACGAGGTGTGTGCCAACATCTTCAGAGTACAAACCACTACCGGAAGCCTTGAAATATTACAGACTTTCTCTTTGTCATCTATCGAGATGACTTCAAACAGCTTGCCATAACAAAGATAATCAAGCTGTCGTTCGCTTCCTCGTACTCGAGTGTGGGCAGAAAGCGCGCGGACGGCCATGAGACACCTGGAACTGCGCTTTTCGGGACTTCTAATCTCCACTTTCCGGATTGCACGTTTTAAAGGTAGTCGTAGTCAATCACTACAATTCTTGGTTGAGTGGGTTTCCTCTCTACTCAGCATGATCTATTAAATCTACTATATTGATTCCAAACGACGACCATCTACAACGGACTATATTCCACTCAGCGTCGCCCATCCAAATAAAAATACTTACTACATTGTGAAGAATGATTTAGATTTTTGACAATAATATTCCACTCAGCGTCTAAATAGAAAAAATACATTGTGAAGAATGATTTAGATTTTTGACAATAATATTCCACTCAGCGTCTAAATAGAAAAAATACATTGTGAAGAATGATTTAGATTTTTGACAATAATATTCCACTCAGCGTCTAAATAGAAAAAATACATTGTGAAGAATGATTTAGATTTTTGACGACTTTGACTAGTAGAAGCAGTAGCCGTAAACGTTGTAACGGTAGAGATCACTTAAGAGGCCCATGCCGGTGCCGCGATGTTCCGAGCGGCCACCGAAGATCCAGAATTCGCCATGTTCTCGAATGAAAACGCACGCATGGTGGTTTCGTCGAGGGGGAATTGGATCCTCTACTTGAGATATTCCTTGAAGATGTTCTTTGACTTTGATGTGCTCAACCAGTTGTAACGATTGATGTTCTTTGACTTTGATGTGCTCAACCAGTATTAGAGCTGTCCGTAATTCATCTTTCAAGTGCATCCTTGAAAAGTATGGGAGAGTATTCCCTTAGGTGGATACTCCTCCATACGTAGTTCCAGGGATACATCCAAAGATGTATTAGGTACAGCCTTAACAGTAGTTGTAACGATATTCATTAAAGCGCGGCATTCATTCACTGGTCAACATCATGACTCCTTTCACGGAAGAGACCTTCCGTGAAAGGAGTCAAAGCTCTCTCCCCTTTCTTGTTCCCTTCATCTATTTCCGCTGTTCTACTCTCAAGGGGAGGTCGCCTCTTTGATCTCAGTGACCATTCATTGTCAATGGTGACCATTGAAATCATTGTCAATGGTGGCCAACCAACCCCAATGGTGACCATTGAAATCATTGTCAATGGTGACCATTGATCTCAGTTGAGCCTTAAGATATTTTTGTGCTTGTTCTTCTTTCTTCGATGGAAGAGGAAGACGAGGAAGTTTCAGTTTCTTCTCGCCCTTGTTGTTCTCGACCACGGACACGACTGCTGTTTTCTGATTCTGATGTTGAGACAACGTCTCGCGTATTAATCCTCTCAAGTCCTCCTGACTCTGGAGATTCTCGTGTTGAGGGTTGCTCTATCTGAGAATCGCACATGTATTCGCCATTAAGCGGCATCCATCTGTATCGATGCTCGCATTAGAGCCAAGAGTCGTGATTTGCTTTCTTTCCCATTGATTAGCCCTTTGCTTAGCCTTTTGATTAGCCCTTTGATTAGCCCAATGGGGAACGCATTCTCTGAGGATTATCGAAGATAGTGAGCGTTCACCACATATCGAATGGGGAACCCAGAATATCCTAACACAGAAGATAGTGAGCGTGTAGCCTTAATCGCTCGCGTCCTTCTGCCTGGCTACTTCAAGTCGCAACAGTTGGTTCGAATATCGGTCCCCACTTCGACCTCCGTGAAGGTAGAGAACTGGTGTCCACACAGGGAGCTGAGGGACAACAACGGGAGATGTGGAAGCAGCCGTTATCACTGTCGGATTCGTCACTCCTGTACTAGGCGTCGTCACTGTCTGCGCAGGAGGAGGTACAACTCCCACGATGAAGGTTTCGGGTGCACCACCGCACGCACCCTTCACCTCCAGGGGTCTTACACAACTTTCAAACTTTTGTATCGGTTCGACAAAGAGTCGGTCGACCTCGATTCGCCACAGAGTGTTATCCAATTTCCCAAGGCCTGGCCTGCCACCCACGAAATAGAAGACGCGATCAGTCTCATCGTAAGCACAAGCTGGTGCGGAGCGCTCTGGATCTTAGCGAACCATCAAGGTACTTCTGATGAATGGTTCCGGTAATCGGTATAGCCTGAATTTGATCATAAGGGAAAACAAGAAGAGAACCCTTATGATCAAATTCAGGTTACCAAATACCAGAACCATACATCTGATCAGGAAATGAAAAATATTCTAATTTAAAAATATGACAACGAGAATTTTTTACATGATACAGTGATCCATTTATTTCCATCAAACACAAGAAATTCACAAATTCTGTTATAATTTCATTGCCATACACTGAGTAACGTACTGGAACTTCTAGGTCAGTCGTGTTCCTTCTTAGGTGTCCATGCGAGTCGGCAAGAGACGTGAAGTTCCAGGTCAAAGGACCTATCCTCTCCCATTGGGGGTTTTTCTCGCCACTACTTAGAAGAAGTGTTTGTGCAAGTAGTGCTTCTAGGCAGTCTCACTAGAAGAAATGCCTGTGCTAGTAGTGCTTCAACCTAGAATAACTAGAACAAGTACAACCACTGGGGTCAAACTAGAATAACTATCCTGGGGTTAAATCAAATGATTATGATACATAGATACGTCCCAGTATCTCGTTTTCATTTTCTCAAGCTACAGGAGACCACAGTACTACTTCTTCTATGTACTTATATCACCATCTTCTGTGTCCTTTCTGCCAACATAATTTCGCTATGTACTTATTTCACCTTTCTGCCAACATAATTTCGCTATGTAAGTACTTATAAATATCACCTTTCTGCCAACATAATTTCCTTGTCAGGTGCCAGAGTTCGCGACTCATGAAATTCGGATCGGGCACACCAGTCCCATAGAACTTTTCGTCGCCGCCGAAGAAGAAGAGGCCAGCACTAGAAGAAACATGACATCCATTGAAACGACCTGGAGGATACAACTCCTGTTTGTGGAGGTGTTTAATATCATGTTGTGCGAGAAAAGTAGCTTCTTCTGCTGTTTTTGATTCTGGTTCGGCCAATGAAGGAGCATCGTCTTGTGAACGACCTTCAGACTCAGAGCTTCCTGTCCTTCCGCCTGTGGCTGGCCTTGGCACTTGACGTGTTACTACAGACAGCGGGTCAGCAGCTTCTATACCCATTTCTCTCGACGTACGATGATCCGACGTATGGATGATTCGACTGCTAGAAAGTGTTTCACCCTCGCGTTCTCCATGCATCATGTTGCGTTCTCCAGCATTGATATCCACTGCATTAGAGCTGTCCGCGATTCATCTTTCAAGTGCATCCTTGAAAAGTACTATGGGAGAGTATTGCTCACTTAGGTGGATGCTCCTCCATGTCCATACGTTTCACTTTCAAGAATACGTCCAAAGATGTATTAGGTACAGCCTTAACTACAGCTTCCCCAGCCTCTGGAGTATCCACAACATCCTCCATCTTTTTTGCAGGTGGTGGCAACAAGAACCGATCGCCGTTCTTTTCCCTAGCTCTGCCGTGCAAATACGGTACGTACGGATGCTCAAACTGCTGCCACTTTCTAGCCTGAAAATCATAGGCCCAAAGGTCATCGTACACCTCCTTATGCGCACCGCGGCCACTAAAAACGAAAAGCTCACCGTCCATGAACCCTGCTAATCTTAGATGACAGGTAGACGTTCTTTATCTAATTCATCTTGAAACAGCACATTGATCCTCCTTACAAGGTTCACGTCTTTCCCCTTGATAGTTGAAGGCGAAGCCGTGTAGATCTGCTTCATTCAGTTCGTGGGGAAGCAGCATATTTCTGCTGATTTATCCATCTTCGAGTACTACAAGAAGATACTGACATTGTCAAGATGGACCACTAAGTAGGACCACAATGATTCCTTAAAAAGTGTGCTTTTCGTGGAGGCGGAATCTCACTCGGGAAAAGAGGTCTTGGCAGAAGCAGCCAACACGTTCCAAAACAAAAGGCGGCAGCGACGAAGACGGCATATAGCACCTTCCTCCTCTGCAATGGGAAAGCACCTGCGTCTTGGAACGACTGAAAAGGCAACGTGGACTCTCTTTCCATTCTTATTGACTGGTAAGGCAACGTGGACTCTCTTTCCATTCTTATTGTTTTTTCGGAAGATGTTGTGGTCTAAATGATAGAGGTTGACAACCTCAGGTTGTGGTTCTGAATGATAGAAGTCAGAGGTGGTGCCAGGGGATGTATCACTCAATGGAGTTGGAGATGTGATTGTTACAATGTATGTTGATTTTGATTCATCTCAGTAGAACTAGAACTTCAATTTTTTTCTAATTTCTTCATTTTGTACTTCATCATTGTCCTTTGGGTTTCGGGGGACTGCACAGAGGTGACGGGGGGCTCATTTACTGAATGTGGTCTACGTCGTTCTCCTAAATGAGCAGAAGTCTCTATCTGTCTTTTTACAGGTTTTTACCTATAAAAATGCGAAAAGGTGGGCATCTTCAGTGGCCCAAATCTTTTTCTAACTTATATTTCATTACGTTATTCATGCAGCGTGAAGCCTCCTCTCTCAGGCTCTCTCCGGATAAGAACTTGCTTCTTCGTACCGAGCTCCTCAGTTTCACGTATGATCAACGACCTAGGTCAAACAATGAACACACAATCACGAAGATCAAATACTTTTAGGTTCTCTGATTTGTAACTAGGATAATACTTGGCGCGACCCCTCCTCTACAGCTCTTGGCCAACAAAGATAACTTCCTTGTCAAAGAAGTCCTTCTTAAGACTCCTTCACCAACTGTTGAAAGACGACACCCTGATCAGAGGAGAAAAGTGCATAACCATGCTCGTCGTTGCAGTAGAAGGTGGTAGGGAAATCAAAAGAAAATTGTCCTGATTCTCTTCCATGAGAGGCGGTCAGCGGATAGCGTGCTACAACTATCATCTCAGGAACATCAGCTTGGCTTTCTTCCTCGGTCGCAGTCGCGTTTAGCTTTGCTTTCTTCACTCTTTGTTTCGTCGCTCCGTCTGTCTTTTCTGATTTCTCACTCTCTTGTCCCCCAATGCCGATAACAACAGGCGGACAACCTTGACTTAGAGGTAGGTTTTTGGTGCTCGCTTACCCCGCTTGTTATGCCTTTCTCCCGTAGGAGAGGCATAAAAAGCGGCAAGAAAAGCACCTTTAACCTACCCTTAATTGATTTTCGGACACCTTTATTAACAAGGTTTGTCCAGCGCCTCCAGACGATAGAGTCACTTTTTCTGCTCCGACTGCAGTACCATAAGAAGCCAGTTTGTACACCAAGATCTCTCCAGCAAAAGTGAGAACGCAGAGTCGATCAGGATGTCGGATATCTAGGGCAACGATGGAGTCGTCCGTTGTCGCTTGACCTACTTTTTCGAAGTCTTCGGAATCTTCTACCGGAGAGTTTTCAGGTTCAGCGCCTCTAGTATTTTCTTCGTCGATTCTTGGTCATGAAGGATCATGTCCTTGGGCGGGGGTTAAAAGGGAACCATATTATGGTTTGTCATTTTCGAAGACATACGAAAACGAACCACGACGTTAAAAACGTTTCGATAACTAGAACTACATTGGGAGAAGCTTATTGTGCAATACATTTTTTTTTTCTCTTTCTACTTTCTGAATTAGTCACTTCAATACCTCTCCTCGGTTACTTTTTCTACTTTCTGAATTAGTCACCTAGGTGTTCAACTTCGAATAGAGATTCTCACCATACAGCTATCGTCCACACCGCGATCTGGTTAAAATCCACTACTGTGACTAACCGTTCTGGGTATCCAGAACCTGGTGCAAGAGGCCAGCACTTCGCATGCGACAATCTTCCCGTTAACGCGAGACTCGCAGATGTTGTTTTGCTTTTGCTGCCTGGGTGGAACGAGTCTTCATCTTCGCTCAATGTGACAACATAAATTAAAGCGCAGCACTCCTTGGTCATCATGACTCCGAACGGAAGCGACCCCCTTCAAAGCTCTCCCCTTTCCCTTCATTTATTTCCCCTGTTGGTTCTCTCAAGAAGGGGTCGCCTCTTCGATCTCAGTGACTCCAATCTCAATGGTGACCATGACCATTGAAAGTTGAGCCTTAAATGAAGTTTGATGTCTAAAGGTCCGGGTAGAGGCGTCGTCCTTTCGCCGTACTTTTCAATCGGCCCTTTGTCGACGACGAGCTGCACCCCTCCAGCGCACTGTAAAGGAAATCGGCACAAAGGATTCGCCGCGCCCGCCTTATCCGGCGGTGGCACGTAACGTACGCGGGAACCGAAGACTTCGTGAATTAGAGTGGACGGTGGACGATTGAGTTGTTGGGAACAAATGGATGTGGTTTCTCGTAGTTCCCTTAGTGGTTTAGGCGTTGGCCTGTTCACTTATCAGTCTGAATCTACTTCAATCAAGGGTACTGGCTAAAGGTGCTGCTGTTGCCGCTTGTTATGGCTCTCTCCCTCAGGTGGGGACCGCCATAACAAGCGAGAGAACCCACGAACACCAAAAACCTACCTCTAATTCGAGATCATGTCATCATGGAACAATGAATATTTCGGCGCACCATAACTTACTCTCTATGCTACCGGATCCTAGTTTCTGCATGTCCAGGGCGTCAAAGCGAAGGAGACGTGACGTGGACTGCGTCACAGCTTGAAACGATATTAATGCCGACCATTGTCCACGACTTCTGGTTTTGTTCTTGTACTAGTCCTCTACTAGTCCTCTGCCAGTCCACAATGTTGCTTCTTCTATTTCGAAAATAAATCTCGCACAAGAGCAAAAATTATCGCCATCTTCCCTGTCGTGGACAACACGACCACATAGACCATAACAAGATGTTTCCGGTCTGTGGGCAGAAGTGGACAAAGTCATGTTCCCAACCCTTGCCGGAAAGGGTGTTTATCCCTCTCTCTAATATGTCTCCAATGATGGAGTCCGGCTCTCTCGAGAGAAAGTCGCCTTGGCATAAACCGGCATAGGAACTGGATAGCAGCACACCCATTTCGTGCGAGACGCAGGTGCGCTGTGATGCAAGAGAGTAGTTACAGATAAAGTTAGAGCAGTTAGTTCTATGATATAAGTACTCTCTGATGATGTTAATCTAGTCGGGGACTATGAAATACTATCTCACTCTTCTTCAGGCTTTACCTTTACACACTTCAAAAGACTTTTACGCAGCTCCTCTTCAATGTACATATTACAGAGCAACTTATAGGGTTTCACAGCTCGCATGGCATGGAGTGCATGGATCACATGGAGTAGCATGGAGCTAAAGGGGGAGCTTCTTGCGCCCCTTAAAGCTCTGCGACTCCATGCACCGCGCGTGCTATAAACTACTTACTCTGATATTATAATACAGCTTCGTTCAGCAAGTCCCATTGTCGCAGGAGATGGAGACCATTCACGTACTCGTAGAGGCAGTAGAGTCGAATGCGTGCTGGATTTTGTGTGGATATGTGGATTTGACACACTGGGAACCCGCAATAGCCGCTAATCTGTTTCTGGCAACGGATGATGTTGATGGCATGATTCTTGTTTTGGCTGTGAATGTTCTTAATCTCATTAACATCTCCACTGCCGCTGCCCTTACCACCATCGCCTGTGGCGCTACAAGTAGGCGGAACTTGTGGTAGTTCGATCTCGTAGAAATAAGCTCCACCCTGCGCCGTCCCGATTGCGAAAGCGGCATATTGCGACTGCGTAGGGCTGGCCGAGGAAGGTCGGACCTCGTAGGGCTCAGTTGAGCAAATGCAGAGACACGGGTTGCTCACATCATCGTGTAAGATTTCCCCATCACAAAACATGGACATGTTTGGATATCTTTTAGTTGTACTTGCACGTCTTCAATCAATAACAATACATAGACAACATATTGCTCTACAAGTTCATTTTGAAGAATGTAATGTTTTTACCTACAAGGTTTTCATCTTTATTTCGGGTCGTGTACACGTAATAAAGTCTAGCCGTTTTAGGAAGTACAAAAGGGTGGATTTTCTCTAGCACTACGTTCTCTCAACAGCAGGAGTCAGTGCGCGTTTACGGAGCCAGAAAGCAGGCGCAGCTCGGAAATCTGACGTCTGACGCCTTGGCATAAGCAGTTGAAGTCACAAAGTGACGCCTGTCAGTTGTGCCACCTTCAGGGAATATCTCGGAATAGAAGGTTCTGTTCGACTTGTAGCTTGTCTGAAAATGGTTTGTTTTAGTGTTTGCATATCGTTCGTATCACAAAAATTCGAATATATGTATTCTTCTTTTTACTCGATAATTACTTCATGTGTTAGACTTTATGAAGACAACGGCTCTCCTCGTTTTCAGTCTTCTTAATATTGTGCCTGTTGGAACAGTGGCGTGCTACTTTTATATGACCCCATGTTAGATTCTGTCCAATTGTCGGCGTCCGGTCGGAGCTTGATTTCTTGCATCGCTTGCAACCTTTGCTGTCCCATCATGCAGAAAGTTAGAGGTGGCTACCTTCTAGGTAGAAGCGAGGTAGGAACAAGGGTAAACAAGCAGATACAAGGTCACCTCAATGCTCTTCACCTTTGTTCCTACCTCAGTTCTACCTAGAAGTTACCCCCCTCTAACTTTCTGCCTCACTTCTACCTCACGTACCCTTGCTCCTACCTCACTTCTACCTAGAAGTTAGCCAACAAGCCGATACAAGGTCACGAAATTATTTACTTCAAGAACTCTGTCTTCTAGTAGCTGTATCTTGAAATCCTAATGCATGGTCTATGTGTAGTTAGAGAAGAATAATCAAAGGGCAGTACATATCAAAGCTCATCGATTTTTGTATTGTAGCAGCTTGCTAGGTAACGGGTAGTGAATATCAATATGGAGAGTATATTTCTTGCATAAGGCGAGTGCCAGAGAGGTTGCTGCTGCGACGTTGACTGCCCACTTCCACTTCCCTATCCATGAAGGAACCAACAGGTTCTTAATCGCAAATGAAAGAAGATGATGCAAAATAAATCTTCAAGGCGAGGAAACGAGGTTACAACAAGAATCAATGGTGTACTTCAGGTACAGCATGAGTGTGTGTCGATATGGAGTTCGGCGAGGCTATCTCTCCTCTCTGGAGGTAACTCAGTAACATTTCTCTTGATCCCGTCGTACTGGTACTACGCTAAAAGCCAACTGCTCGAATCAAAGAGAAAATTCCAGAGCCATACTGCATACCGGTCAATTTTGAGCGCGAGTAGGTGTCCTGCGATGAGTACGTAGTAGCTTATCCAAGGTCCGGGGAAGTCGCGGCGTTGTAGCTGCTCCTCTGTCAACAAGACTGCAACGGCGGCAAATGAAAACATGAGGGCTCCAAGCTTTGTGCGGGTGAAGGAAGCCGCTAATGCTACCGGCGGTCCACTTGTCGAACCTGGTTTGCGGATGGGAATCTAATGGCGCATGGCCCAACATGCTATTTATTGCATCAAGCCGGTAGCTCGGTACTAATGAAAACGAGGGCGCGGCGGCCGCCTCTGGGGTTTTAGGTGTTTCTTTCTATTTACAGAAAGAGACACAAACCGAACAGAGAAACGAGAGGCAAGATCATGCCTGCAGCAGTTTCAAGATGGAAATGGCTGAGAAGATGAGCCCCACGCCTTTAACGAACAGAGAGGACCCGAGAAGAAGCAAAGGGGCGAGACCGTTTACAAGGTCACACCACCACAAGAGATAAACGCATTCGTCAAGGGCCTCGCCCTGTCTCTGTTTGCTCAATGACTCACCCAACCCCACAACACAGCTGGAGCAGGGGGCAGCAAAGCCGCACACCCCGTCGCCCGCGCCGACTTTGCCATTTTGAGCGGGCAACAAGGGGCCCGCCCTGTTGAAGCCCGCGAGCCAATATAGAAGACACCTCCACGCGACCACTTTGGTGGGTGGCTGGTGTTTGTAACTTGCGCGGCGCGTCGCTTCACAAGCTAACAACATGAAGACACAACTCACGGCCGCAGGCACCTCCGCCCCAAACGAACCAACAACGCAGCGAAGGCCGCACCTGCGTGGCAATCTCTTCGCTGCCTCGTGCTCGCTCAGCGTGGTCCAGCGCAAGAACTGAGAGGCGCGCCACCTCCTGGGCCATCGAAGAGGATGGCCGCGCCCATCATGAGAGGCGCGTCGATGGTCGCCGCTGGGCGCTGCTTGGCTCCATGCCAGCACGACAGCACTGAGCACTGCGCGCCTCTCGCAGCTTCATCAGGGCGAACGCCTCCAAGGCTTTGCGGTCGGTCCCAATAACAGCGCCGCGCCTTTTGTCATCCGGGCTCTTCGCTTTGCCAGCCTTTCACTTTCACATCGATAAGCCTGCAGGCGTATCCACGACGGACTCTGGTAAAGCGAAGACAGCACGAAGACGCCCCCGCGGTCTCGCCAGGGGGGCCATCATGCAGCACCTCGCTCCGAAGCACAGTGGCAGCGGGGGACGGCGTCCGCGTCGACCGTCAGCGCGCGGTGGGCTAGCCTCTTCACCTTCTGCCGCGAGGGCCCACCCGCTCGGGGCGCTTTCCAAAGCCAAAGCCTTGGCGCGCGCGCGGATGAGGTGCTGCGAGTGCTGCATCTTTTCCGTGGCGAGGCGATGGACTCCCGTACTGGCTTCCTCGCGGCAACTCCAGTCCGCGGGCTGCCACAAAGTTCAGTTCAGCAGCTCGAGGGCCTGCGCTGGACTCGAACGGGCCGCGCCCGCGCGGTCTACTTCGGGGCCCCCCTCGGCGTCTACTTGGCGCGCAGAGTACGTAGTGCCCGACAAGCCGGAGGGCGGACCCCTCCACTTGAAGCGCACGGAGCCGCAGCCGAGTGGGTGCCGCCGCGCGGTGTCTGAGTGGCTGGGGCTTTTTCTCCTGCTGGCGCTGAATAATGGACCACGCGGCGCCCCCGGGTCATGCCGCTGCTGTTTTGCGAGCGTTCGCAGCGCCCCGACTGCTCCGCTTTGACGTCCTGCGCGAAGACCGCCCGTCTGTAACGCGGGCGCCCTACAGAACGACCGTGGCGCGCCGTGTTTACCGCGTGCCGCTGCCCTTCCTGTAGCTGGCCACCTATCCACCCCCGCCGCCTAATCTGCTCCGGTGGGCCGCTTCTCTCGTCGCCGTTCTGAAACTGCTTGCCCGCTTCGTCGTTAAACTCGGAGGGGGTTGCCTCCACCGCCATGCGCTGCCTCCACGCCGACAGAGTGCGCGCGGCTACGCGCTGGCCGCAAGTTCGCGCAGCCGGGGGCTGCCCATGCCAGCGCGAAGCCCAACGTCTTGCATTTTCTTCAGCTCCGACTCTCCAAGGCCAGACTTCACAACTCCCACCACGCGCAGCCTGGTCATTTTCCCACTCACCGCGATAGCCGGGTGCTGGGCGTAGCAGTAGCACACGAACACCCGCCAGCGTCGAGACCTGGCGGCAGGCCCGCCTTCTCCATCAGGTTGCACAGGAGCGCGCCGACGCGCGGGCGGCGGACTTTCGCGTCTTCGCTTCTCTTCCTTGTCACACTCTTCCAGAAGGCCGCCAACAAGCCGCGCGAATTCTGCGCGCAAAAGGCAAGCAGGCGCGGCGCGCTCGCTTTCCTCGTTGCTGTCACAATCCTCCGGCGCCACCAAAGCGCAGGCGGGCCTGCGGTTCTCCAATCTCCACCCCTCGAGCTCTCTGCGCGAAAAGTATGCGCTCGCCTCATCACGTTCATGAGGCACCTCGCGAAACATGTCTGAGCACGATACTCCGGAAGCATTCGCCGGGGGCATGTTGCTGGCCAGGCGCCGCCGCAGAAGCGTGGCCATTAGAGTCCTCCTTGCCGCAAGAGAAGAGCCGCCGCCTTGTACTCTACGCGGCTTCCGCGCGCTCGCGTGCGTCCTCTTTTGTCGCGGACGGCGGGCGCAAGGGCTTCCCGTCTCTGCTCTCGCGGCACCGCACCCCCTTCCGCGCTGGAGGACAAGGAGACGGCGTCGCCCGATGTCGTTGCCCCACCGAACGCGCGAGCCAAGGCCAGCCCCTCCTCTTCACGCTTCGCCCAGGCGGGTCCCTGAACTTCTTCGAGCTTTAGCGCGGCACCCATCGGCCTCGCGTTCCCGACACTACGGCCCGCCCATGCGCAGCGCATGTGCGCCCACAGGGGAAGTTCGTCGCAGCTCCTTCCTGAGGCTGTCCCCTGATTCTCCTCGCCAAGCAACCCAGTCCGGCGCCACCTCTCCGCCCGAGTCTCTTCATATGTGAGCCATCTCCGGCCCGCCGAGTCCTTGCGCGCGCGCCTGTCACAACGGTGGAAAAGCCGGGCAGAACGATGCCGCACAGGCTGACCACATGACCAGCAGGCGGATGATGTTCGCCGGCCTTTGTTCGGCTTCGGTGCCAGTCGGGTGGCCATCTCCCCCGAGTGGGAAGCAGATCCGCTGGCGAAGATCGACGGCGCGCGTTTTGGTTTTGCCATCTTGGCAACCGCAGGGGCAGGAGGCCCGCCAGGCAATCCATTCAGCACCACCGTGCTGACTTTCTTCAGGTGTTTGCCTGCTTGCGACTTGCACTTCATCGGCAGGCCTGCTGCGCGCCGCCACTTTTCCTGCTGCACGCCACCAGTATTAGCCCCTCTTGGGCTGCTGCACGCTACCACCGTCGGACCCGACGCCCCGCAGCACCCTCGTCGGTGTCGCAGAGACTCGTTCCGCCCCCAGCGCTCGTTCCCGAAAAAAGGAGCCAAATCAGGTAAGCATCGATACCTGCTGTAAGTGTTCCGGGTGCCTTTGCGAAATCCAAGCCAGCATAGACCGCGGCCCACCACGTAAGAGAAAGGGCCTCCCACATCAGATGCATTTGGCATTCAAACTCGAGAGGATGCGCCAAGCAGCCCAGAGCCAAGAAAGCGAACGCGGTCAATACGAGCACAAATCATATTAGAGCTACACAGAAAATGCATATTCGGATCATAGCTGAATATTCTCAAAGTTCCCTTCTCGGTTACAGACGCCAACTCAAGCTTTTATAAATCATTAGTTACAAACTGGCGCCGGGCTCATATCTCAATTCTCAACAATGCTGATTTCTACAGCCTACTAGAAGGAATACGTGACATTCTTCTTCTAGTTCTATGTTGTTTTTCTCCTCACTCGTCCTCGTGGCGAACATGAACGTCATTATCATGATCCACCATGCCAACCACATTTTGCAACTACATACTGATCTACGTCTATTAAGTTACTAATAAATATTAGGAATACGAAGCGCGAAGGAGATGCGTAAGACATAGCTTGTTAGGATTCATCTACTCGATGTTGAAGTTGAACTTGATATGTTTTCTTGTTATACTAATAAATATTAGTAAGATCTTGCCACTCCCAAGACCATAAAGGCAGAATGGCTGCGCTGTCCATCATCTTAGCATGTCCGCCATCCGATCTTAGGATGTCGCGATTCACGCGAAGAACGTGGAGGCCTTGCTGTAGGACCCGCCGCACGTCGTGTCGAACCTGCGCCGCAGTTGGAATGGTCGCCTCTACCTGAAAAAGTAACTGCGTGTTGTTCAGAAGGTGTTCTAGTTGTACGAGCGAGGTGCTCGTCTCTTTGCAGGTAAAACTACGCTTGAAACTACGACTATTCATCAGTCGTAAAGAAGATCGATCCACCTAGTACTCAAGTACAACGGTTTTTACGATTTTTAAGCAGTTGTAAACATGAAAGCAGTTGTGCAGATCTTCATGTACCAAGAATCACTATAATTTCTTGTAAGAGTCGGAGGACTAGAAGTACAGATGTCTAGTACGTCTTCTACCTCTACTTCAACATGAAGATAAAACGTCGCCTAAATAACTTTAAAGCCAAAGAGTGTAAGGCATTGATTTAACGATCTTGTTTATCGCCTAAATAAAAACGTATCTATGATCTTCATGTTAGTACCGCAGCTATCTGTTGTGCTCTAGCCTCATTTTGCGCGAGGGGCTCTCCGGTCGCATCACGCCACGTGTCGAGATCCTGGCGCTGCTCCAAGGTCAGTGATGACCAGTCTTGTTGATTCCCGCGCCGCCTCAGCAAATCGTCCGATTATGAAGAATCATCAAACTTGCGTGAAATCATGGAACTTGAGTGAAAGAATCATGGAACTTGAGTGAATTTAGTCATGGAACTTGAGTGAAATAGTTTTTGTTTCAGAAATCGACTGAGTGAATTTAGTTCAGACTTGTTTCGAAATAGTTTTTGTTTCAGAAATCGACTTAGTCTACTTGTTAGTTCAGAAGACTTAAGTTATGCCTTAGTTCTTTCAGAAGACATAAGTTATGCCTTAGTTCTACTAGCGGATTCAGTAAGTGATCTAAGAAGTCTACTTTGATCTTCGTGATCTAAGAATGAGTGACAACAGCAACAAATAGCAAACCAGCAGGCACAAAGCAAGTAGTTAATGATTTTCAAATCGCATACATACGTAGACGTCGAGGGCAAGCGCGGATGTCGGTCTATTCACCACCGCTGAGAGCGGTCGCATGATATGTGAAGGCGTCCTTGAGAGCAATTCGTATAAGGCAACTCCGCCGCCAGCAATTAGCGCTCACAGTGATTCATCTACTTAACTCTTCTACCTCCATTTACTCGTCTGGCAGAAAACTCTGAAAAGCTACCGCCAACCTTCACCCTAACCAACCCAAGAGAGCTAAGTTAGTACTTCCTCTGTACAGAACGAGGAGAAGAAAATAGGGAGAGATTTGCAAGAGAAGCAAGGTATTTTTCAACACCCACTCCATGGTTTGGCTTCTGGTTTTTACCTTAAACCAGGTATGCATCTCCATGTTGCCTAATGGAGGAAAGTGATGAATTACATTTTGTCACGAGCCTTAAAGCAACACCTTGCTCTGACATCGACGACCGGTTCACACTGGAAGATGTTGCTGACCCTCCAATACCTGCATCGCCTAAAGGTGATCGTGGAAGAGCACTCGAAGCTTGAGAAGAGAGCCCACGAGTGAGTCGTGCGCGGAGGCGCAAGCAAGAAGGCAATTGGCGAAGTGACAAGGCCATGATGTGTGAGAAAATTGTGGAAGATGTCTGTTGATTCTTAGGAGACGGCTAGGACATATTTTGAATCCCAGACTTAGTAGATAGAAGATGTTCGTAGTCGTGACATGCTAGAACTAGAACTAGTACTAGATAGGTTCAGGCAGTAGACATTCATAGAATCGAACTAACTGCACCATCTAGGCTCACTCAATGTCACCGGCTCATGAATATCCTCCGACGTCGTTGAAAACTAGGTGGTAGGAGAATGATCCACGACGTCGTCGGAAACGAACACCCCACAGGTCTTACGTAGCCACGAGTCTTCCCATAGGTGAGCGAATATGCTCACCTAGTGACTGAATAGGACGTACTGCGTTTCTCAGTAACCATCGCAGATCTCTCAATATTCATTCTGGTTTGTGACCTGGACAAGGTCTTAATGGTGAGTTGCGGCTGTGACCTGTGTGTGTAAAATTCTCCATTCTCCCCAATGAATCCGATAGTCTTTTCATTCCACGCCGTTGGCCTTGACAGTCTCTTATCCCTGAGTACCATGGAAATCAAATGTCTCATAGAACCAAACCGCCACGGTACTAATGCAGTTTTCGAGCAGAGGTAGGCACAAGTCAAAACATCGGCGTTCTGAGCCAAAACTAAAAATGAGGTTGATGAGTGTCAAATCTAAATGAGTGTCAAACCGAGTTTAAGTAAATATTTTTTCGAGCACATTTTCGAAGGAGTCAATTTCAGTTTCTTTCTTAGGATTTTTTTAGTGTAATTCTAACAGTTTTTCCCATCAGTAAGGAGTCAATTTCAATTTCTGGCTTTGCCAACACCCACTATCACTGAACTTGCAGGGCTCTTGATTTTGACGGAGTGCGCATTCCATGAGGTCTATCACTGGCTAGCATACCAGGACCTAGACTATGCGATGCCCTGAGTGCACCTTCTTCTTCACTAAGTATTCATCAAACAACACTTACTTTTAGAGCTCTCCCCTATTCACCCCTGTGGAAATCCCTCAAGCATATGCGTCAGTATCTCCCTTGTATTAAGGCGCATATGTTTGAGGGATGTCTACAGGGATGGATTAAGGGAAGCCTTAATACTTACAGGTATCCAACCTTCTCCCCCTAACAAGTAAGCAGTCACAAGTAGTCACAATAAGAGACTTATTTCACTGTATTGTACTAGTATCCACGACCATCATGTACAACTTCTCAAGGACTGTTTACGCTACGTCGGTACGGACTGTACATAGCAAACGGATTCGCGCCAGGATTGCTAGGTGGTTTCATCGGCCATGAAGTTCGCAGTCTCGGCGTAGTTGTCGTAGGAAATATTTGCTGTGGAGCTGCTGCTGGAGCTTGGTTAGTAGAGGAGAGAAAAAAAGAGAAGAAAGTTTTGACACGCCATTCGCGGGGTATTATAGAAAGAATCAGTTAATTAGCATGTAAATGAAGCTTCTTTGTTGCTGATGATCGTAAGACACAACCAAAGCAAGAGTGTAAAGTAAGAAGAGCCCACAACATGACATAACTTGTCCGTCCAACACTCCTACGCCGTGTCCGGTTTCTGTTCGAAACGGATTCTTCAGGTTGTCAGCAGTCGAAAGTCGCGGCTCGAGAAGAAACGGTGACTGATTTCTGTTGATCTTTGAGATGAATGGAGATGGCCTCTTTTCGGCATATGGATTTCTCCTACTTGCACCTGGTTGCAAGGCTTCGGCTTGTAGGGCAAGTTGTAGTTCAGACCCACGCTGCTCCCACCGAGGTGATAGACCGATCGCTGGCGTGGGGGTTAGAGGACTACTGTAATTATTTGCGGATGAAAACGGCAAGCCATTGAGCGGAGTCGACCTCCCAATTTCTGTAGTTGCGGGGGGCCTGTAGTTGGTATGTAGAAAAATGTCAAATAAACTAAGCATTTTTACGCTATCAGAAAAAGGCAACTGTATTTTTGTACAACTCCGCCAAACAGAAAACGAAACTAGAAGTTCGTGTAGAAGTCCATTTACATCAGTACCAAAGAGGGTGCTGTCCCAATCGAGGCCAGGTGCCTCCTGCTAGACCAGAAGGCGCCGACTGCGCAAACCGGGGTGTCAAAAGCAACGCTGCAACCTGGATTCAGTTCTGTCGATGATTTCAATACTGTGAGGAGAGTGTGAGTAAGGATAGTTCAAGTTCTTTCGATGATTTATTTAGTAGCAGCTGGCTTAGTGGTTTAGGCGTTGACCTGTACACTTATCACGAAGTAGACATCCAAGATACTCTTATCTACTGTAATTATACAGTACTAGTTCTTCTAGTAAGTTCTAGTACTTCTAGTTGTAGTAGTATATTTAGTATGATGTTCTAGTAAGTACTTACTTGAATGACAAAGTAGATGATCATACAACTTTCGACGAAAGAATCGTCCATACCTGTTCTTGATATTTTTGTTGCTGCTGCAGACAGGCCAGGTTCATCTGATATGCGTTTGCAGAGACAAGTTGAAGGGCACGAGAATCGTGTAACGCATTCGCAGAACTAGACTGTGGTAGAAGTAGACCCGCGGATGCGGGTAGCCCGGGTGCTCCTGCTTGCAACAATGGATTGCTCACCCCTGGCGTCTGCCGCAAGGAAGGGTCATCTCCAGAAAACATGCCAAGTTTCGAAGGGCATGCGGGATCATATTCTAGTCGTCGCTGTTGTTGGCCAAGATGTCCGATACTACTTTGATGTTGCTCTGATGTTAGTGGTGTAACAAGGTGCGTCGCGCCAGTTACAACGTTGGCATTCGGTAGCCCTGCAGCACCAAAGGTTGTCGACGCAGTCACAGGCCACGACCCTGGCGCAGTCAATGGACGTGAAGGGAACGCGGACAAACCAATCCCTTGCGGCGGGTTCAGTAGGCCACTGACCGAACTACTATAGTGTCCTTGCAAATGTTGGATTAGAATCTAGTATAGCATATTTTATATATGTATGCAAATTATATTATAGGTAATTAGAGATCTCAACATCTTTCACCGCCTCGTCTACAAGGATAAGTCAATGGAGATTGATTCTGCATAAAAACCGAAGTTTTGCTATTGAATCATCTATAATTGAGTAATTAAGTAACATTATTATAGCATGATCCACATCGATGCGTCAAGAGACATGATAAACCTATAGTCGTGAACAAAGGAACTATTCTCATATGATGCCTGTTGCAGGAACGCTTCGCATAAATCTTGCATGTGCGGTTGGACCGTTAGATTTGGTTGAAGATGACCACTGCCAGGAGAAGTGCTGAAGATGTTGCTCGTCTGTGGTGGGCTTGGGTGGGAATGCGGCTGCAGGTACCCTTGAGCCATTTGGTGGCTTCCAGCACCGTCTCCCGTCGGCAAATTCCCTATCCCTGGTCGCGGCATATTTCCAATTAGTCTAGTACCCACATCGAAGTCGTGACCCCCACTGCCAGCACCGTGTTCCTGCATATAATTCGGATTGGAGTTGCTTTCCCCACTGTTGCCGAGACCAAATCCTGCGTGACCCATCAAAGTGTTGTTGCTAGGTTGCGATCGTTGCGGATAAGCTGGTCCGATTGCTTGCCGAATATGAAAATGGGGATCAAGAAGATCTTCATCTTACTTGTTCTCTTGACACATCCGAAAAAAAACTACGAGGTGACTACATTGGCCGTTCTTTGATGTAGAAGTTCAAGTTGTACTACACCTTCAAACAACATCCGACTACTTTTAGAGAAAGCCTTGACTTCATAATGGTGCCCATGACCCATCGTCGTTTGCGCAGGAAAATTGTTTCCACTTCCTGTTGGAACTCCTCCCTGTTGTGAAACAGGTCGATGCAGCTGCTGCTGTGCAGAAGCATAATTGCTATAGTTCGGCATACTGCGAACAGGAACTTGAACTACTGGAGGCGCAGGGGTTGCACTGTTGAATTGCTGATGCTGCGCCATCTGTGGAGCCTGTTGGATCCCTGGAAAGCCAGATGTCTGTGGGGCAGACCCTCTTGGGGAAGCTCGACGTGGACTGCTACCGGGTGAGGACACGCTGTGGTCCTCAGATCCTTCAGATTCCCCTTCGCTATCACCTAAATGGGGAATGGCGGCATGGTATCTAGTTGAATTGATCGGATAGCTAGGTATTAGAAGTAGGACGTCTGTTTCTACTAATTCACTTCGATCATCAAAACGATGGATAACATGGCAAGGCTTTTTTTGACCCGTATCGGGTCGAGTTTCTCGGGTTGCTCGAGTTGCCCACCCTAAGGCTAAGCTTTATACTATAAATGTGCAAACAAGTAGCAAGTGAATAATCAACATAAAAAATAGCACCTCCTCCTCCTGTCGTCGTAACGAAAGGCGGATCTCCAGATCGCGCTGGATGACTTGTTTTCGATGCGCTATGCTGACCACCCCCATCTCCACCTAGCTCGGCAAAAAATTGATTACAAGCTGCCTCGACGTCGTTGTTTTTAGACCTTATACATATATTCATCTTAGAGAGCTGCATCTGTGGTATACTTATTGTATTCATCTTACTTAGAGAGCCTCCATCAGATGGCGTGCTTTCCACTTGGCAAAAGGCTCCAAGATGCTTCTCAAGATGAATTAAAGGAGGTCATAATATTTGCAGCGCTGAGGAGATTTGCTGCTTTTTCGTGTGTACAAGCGCAAATCTGCGCTACTCGAGTGACCCGCTGTCGATGCTCCTCCGCGGATGGGCCAGTACATATTAGTGCTGGAACTTCAAGAAAATGGCCATGGCAATGATCTCTCCGTAGAGGGCACAAAGGATAAAGGAGTCCCCTCTTGGTGGTCCTAAATGAGCATGGTTTGGCATTTGCCTAGACGCTATTAATCCCTGCTCAAACAAATGGCAGTCCCTCCACCTCGAACTAGACGAACGTCTAGTTCTAAGCCCTAAGCCCTACCAGCCCTGAGGGAAACCCTAGCCCTAACCCTAAGAGGATAAGTACTTAGTCTCCATCATACACTTAAATCCGGTTTGCGTGCCTGTTCTCTTGGCGGTGGGCCTACTGGGTAAGCACCAGCAGAGAAATCAGCTCCGCGTGCGGCATCGCGTTTTCGTTTCTCAGCGTTGTACACGGCAAGCGCAGCGTCTACGTCGTAGTTATGTTGACTTAGAATGTATGTTGACTTGAGAGATAGCTTAGAATGTACTCCACTAATGATCCGCACCATGCTGCTGCGTGCCGGGAGGAGCCATCTTCGGGCTCATCGGGGTTGCCTTTTGATGAAGGTGTTGTTGGTGATGAAGATGGATTTTTTGTAGCCTTAATTGACTCAAGATCCGCTTGGCTTCGAAGTAAGTGCATCCCGTAGTGGTGGAGAAGTGTGTCACTCTCTCCGTCCGCTCTACCAATTGCGACGGCGCCGTCGAAGCTGGGAAAGATGGTGAGCAGGGAAGTTGGGAATACTAGAAGTGCAAGTGTCTAATCATGTAGGTACGTACCAAGATATCTCGATGATAATGTTGCGCACGAAGAAATTATATGTAGATGTGAGTTGTATTAGAATGTGAACTGTCGCATCAAGAGATCTATGTTGGAGTGTATTTAACTAAAAATTCACTGTAAGGTGAAATCTTCAATAGAAAGAAAAAAGTCATGAGATGGTTATTGAAAAACCTATAAAAGGAGGCAGATGCCAGCGAAGAGCAGGGAAAGACGGCCCCGTGACCGCCAGCCAAAGCTGACGCCCGACCCCCGCTTTCGATATTTTTGCACTCTTTTCCAAAAGACTACCCGGCCCCCTTTTCGACTGGTCAGGGCCCTTACCTGGCGAGACACATCCTAACCGGGTGGCTGATGATTGCCACCCGGATTATTAGGATGATGATGATCGCCCCCCCGCGTAAAGAAAAAAAGAAAGAAAGTTTAAAAGGCTAGGGCCCGACCTTTTTCCCGCCTCTGCTATCCTGCTGGCCGCCCTTGCTCCCCTTCTGTCTCTCCGTCCTTGTTCCCCCCAACGTAGGGCACAGGCGTGCGATTTAAAAACTGCAGGCGCCTGGGTATGCTTTACGCCACTACGAAGAAAGGACAAAGGGGCTCCTCCGTGTCAGTAGCTTGCTCTTGCCTATTTACATGGATCGATCAGTTATCCATCAAAAGCGACTACACATGGCCTGGCTGTTCCCGGTGAGATCGCTCGATCCTCCTGGTCCACCTGGCTGGCCGGCAGGATATGCCTGCGTGAGCTTCGCCGCGATCTGTCTCGCCTCTTCCCGCTCTCGTGCGAGATACTCTTGATCCGATACGAGCTCCAAGACGCCACATGAAAGTAATGATCTACCAGTTTTTACATCAGTAGTCTAGTTCTACTTCAGCAGATATTTCAGAAATTTTTGAGCTACATCAACAAGTACAACTAGTTCTCATGTAGTCAGCATCATGCAGTCAACTACTAGATCTACAGCGAGTGCAACTAGTTCTCATCCCTCCAGCAACATGAGCATAACTTCCTTGCTTTTTCTCGAATACCAGCTCCAACGTCTTTGCCCCCTTCTTGATACCTCCAGTCGGAGTACCGCATGACCCTCCATTGTTCACTCCTCATAACTTCGACGAAGTGCAGATCTCCGTGCGTAAATTAGAGCTAACAGAAATTATGTACATCTCCATGCGTAAATTAGAGCTATCAAGCAGAAATGCAGATCGTCGGGCTTGAATTTGAAGAGCTATCACAACGAATTCACTGTTGCTTTGATGGAACTCTCAAGATGAATCAACTATACGGCTCATTCATTCACTCATTTACCTGTTCTGGAGGTATCTTTTGACGCCATGGCGACTATGAAGTTAATTGCTGCACTTCTTGCTCTATATTAAAGCCACTCTAAACCAAGCAGTGGACACCTCTTTTTTCTTCCTTAATTTAGGATCGCTTCGATGAGGTTCAAAGCCTTGAAGACACGGCGCCAGTTGCGATCGCGTTCGGATAAAGCCTGCGAAATTTTTTGATGACGTCCGCCGTACGAAAAAAATGCGAAGAGATGAAAAAATGTCAGCAAGTCATATGATGTGGAGACAAGAGAGGGAACCTCCTTGAAGAACTTTTCATATTCATTACTAACATGTCGTCCCGATAAGGCAACTCTCCCGATAAGGAACGCGAAGATATGGGGGAGTTGCCTTATCTTCCTCTCACGGACCTCTGACTAACATGTCGGCCCGTGAGAAGAAGATAAGGCAACTCCCCCATATCTTCGAGTTCCGAGAAAAGGGCAGCTGCAACCCTAATCCAAGAAAAGGTCGTTAACGAGACACGTCTCTCTCTCTACTTTCAACATCTCCTGTCTAACTAGCGTCTCTAAGTACTTTCATCGATTGTCACGTAGTACTAGGCGGGTAGCAGTATTAGTCTACTAGGCAAACAAAACTTAGTATCCATCTGACCTGTGTGATCGCTTCCATTATCGTGGGTAGCTGGTGATCGCTTTGTGCTGCGATTTCATACAAGACCGAGTTGCTACATCCCCAGTTTTGGTTGCTAGAGTTAGAAGAGGCAAGAAGGTGTGCCTAATTTAGCTGGGTGGGTGCATGTACATCTTAAAGCTTAAAACTTGACTCATTAGTACATTCGATCATGGCTCTGCCTATAATTGTGCCATAATCAATGCTTCTTTCAGCTGCGCCTGCAATCTGGGATCCCCTGAGCGACCGTAAACCCTAGACGACACCATCGAAGACATCCGACCAGCAGCGGCAAACCCGCTCGCCGCCACGCCGGAGGCAGCACGCTTCGCCGAACCCATCTTCATCTTGATCTTGTTAGGACTTCTCTGGAGGTTCGGTATCTGCGACTCCGCTTCAACCAGAGACGATGGCGGACCCTGTGGTCGCCTCGTCTGTGAGGTGTCAGCCGTCTACGACTACGACTTGCGCGACAACCGGAGTGGAACGTGGTAAGTCTTGGCCCTACAACCGGTCGTGCACACGGACAGGCGAAAACGACATAGAGCCTCGTGAGTATACTGCGTATTCGTGCGCGGAAAGAAGGAAGGGACGAAAAGTTACATTGTTACCGGAGGGTAAGGAGTAGGCGCATTTGTTTTTGCTTCTCGTAATCTAATTCCAAGGTTCACAACTTATACTGTAATATAGTGTGCAACTTATTACATGACGATAGAACACCATGAAAATCATGTCTAAATGAAAGAGTTCTACAGAATGTGTATTTCCAGCGGAAAAGCATGTCACAGCGAGCATTTGACTTTCTCCGTCTTTCTTGTCAACTTTTGGACAGATGCGGGAGCGGGACAGTTATCCCGTAGCCATTCATTACTTAGTATTTCTGTCTCATGTCTAGTGTTCCCCCCATCTCTCAAACTCTCAGTCACGGTACGCCAATTGCTTCATCTTTTCTTGCCGAAACATCAACATCACAGTGTATGCGCACCATGTCCTACTTGAGCACATCCGTGGCACTTGGCCTCCACAAGAAAACTTGCCAGAGGAATGTGCAGTATCCAATCAATCACGATGAAAATAATGCTGCCTTCTGCGTATCATGCTAAGACATCTGTCTCAGCGAAAAAGCGGGGACTTGTAGTCTGAATCTCAGACGAAGAACTCCTTCCCTGTCTCTGCGCGTACTGCTCTTGTCCTCTCAGTACCAAATAAGCCGGCGCAATTCTATTTGGGCTCCTGATACCATCATCATCTCCATCATCGTCATCACCCTGTTCCTTGGCTAACTTGTTCAACCCAGTGCCCGCACCAGTGCCAGAACCTACCAATACAACTCTCGCGAGCAAAACTACACTTGCTTCTTCGTCTTCTACCGCTACAATCGCTCTCGCAAGGCCATGAAATGTCGAGCGTCGCCCAGATGTGTTATTGACGGGCTTTTGCGTCTCTAGAGAAATCGGGTCCCCATTACCAAGGCCAAGAATTCGTAGCATGAAGGGGCTGACTTAAGGTGACTACTCAGGTGGTCTAGGAGTACTGTGCTTAGTAGGATTAGGTCTACTAGTACTATCCCTGGTAGGGCTAGGTCTAGAAATACTATGATGTCTAGTAGTGCTGATGACATCAGTGTATTTAGGAACCTGCGTAGCTGTAAAACAGTAGGCCACTAGGCTGAAAATTGAGTTTCAGGTTCTCGTGATTCAATAGATGTCCACTAACTCATGTGGATGTGGCAATGCCTTGATCGAGCTAGTGGCATCTTGATCCTCACCCTCTCATAATAGAGCGCAGACTGGAGAGACGCGCACTCCCCTCTTTCAGCGAGCGAAAAAGTAATGTGAAAGCGATAGTGAACCTCTCTGCACCTCGGAGGAGTACATCATTCGAATCCAAGACTTCTGCACGTACTAAGGCTGTATATGCCGTAGAGTTGCGCTTGTGCTCTTGAAGAGGCCAATCGAGGGATAAGCGTAGCTTTGTAGCTTCTCCTGGCCGTTTTGAGGTCGTCTCCGCAACTATCTTGTTCCCATCTACTTTTGAGTAACCAGTAGCCTTGATCCCAACTACTGCGGAAGAGAGCGGGACCTGTGCCCAATGGGTTAGAAGAGGAAGGAACCATTACTAGCATGTGACACGACGTCTCCAGCAGCGAACTACACTAGGACTCAAAAGGCCATTTTCTCATATACCTGACGTACATCATGCCATTTTCTCATCTGCTAGTAGTTGCTTTAATCATAAGAAACTTTCTTGATATATGAAGAAAGTCATTTAATCTACTTGTATATAAAATCATAATTATTCCAATCGAAAGGACATACTGCTGGCTAGTAAACATCTCTTCCCATCTACTCAACTTAACATGTAAAGCTATAGATCAAGAAACACTTCCGTTTTGTTAGGCTGGCACTTCAAAGATGAAATACAGCGTAAATCGCCTAGTATCGTGCGGGAAGGGAGAGTGGGGCGCCGCTGCCGAAAGGGCCAGAGAAAAGCCACGACCCACCCCCGCTTTTCATCTTTTCGCACTCTTTTCCAAAAGAGTACCGCGGGCCCTTTTGGAAGAGTCTGGGCCCCCAAACCGGTCACATCCTAACCGGGCAGCTGATGACTGGCGTCCGGGTGATTAGGGTGATGCTGGTTCAGGCCAAGGAAGGGCATACCATGAGCAACTGGTGAAGGCCCGGCATAAAGAAAAAAAGAAAGAAAGTCCAACGAAGAAGGTGGACGGGGGGGCCCGCCCTTTTTGCCATTCCTCCGCCCCTGCCTGTTGCCGGCGCCCGCATTCCCTTCCGACCGTGGCGAGGCCTGTGCCAAATTAGACCATCCCCGCAAATGTGTTACGGGGCTAGCAGTCGGCAGGCGAGCAAATTAGACCCGGCCCGGTTGTGCTCGCCTGCCGACTGCCATTCCCTTCCGACTGCTACCCCCGTAAATGTGTGCGCCCCTCCCTCATAAGTACCTGCCAAAGAATTTCTCTAACTTTTCTCTACCCTAATCCATCAGGCATAACTCCAGGTGCTGGCAGCGTGGCGTCAGTTCGAGTACACCCAAATATCAAACATTCTGGAATTTGTAGAAGTCCATCTACTGATGGCCCTTGTCCTCCTGCCTGCGAATCCTCCCACCATGGTGGGACGACAAGATGTAGAACTGTTTCATGCAGTTCTTCATCTGGCAAAGGAAACGAAATTCCCGTAGTTGTACTAGACGATGCAGCTTGTTCCCCAAAAGTAGAAGGTGGCAGAGTGGGTTTCCTGAAGACCGAAGCATGGTAAAATGCGTTATCCTTCGGGAAACCAGTTAAGTCGACGTTACCAAAATGCGAGTTCAAGCTTGGCCACTCCGCATAAGGCGTTGGCTCACCCTTATAGTCGAAACCGGTCCAGAAAAATTGGCCTGCCACGAAAGGGCGCGAGGAAACCGGATATGAAGTAGGGGGGCACGCGACGAAAGGATGAATCTGAAATGATCAGAAGATTAACATGTGCTGCCTCTTGTTGATGAAGATAAACGGTGCGCAAGTATCATATGTCTTGAAATGATGAAAGCGTTAGGCTTTCGCCACAACCGGAAACTCCTTCTTCTCGAGTCTGCAACACCAAATCGGCACAATGTATCTTTTCTAGGAAATGTACTTGAACTTCAAGAAAAACGCAAAAAAACGCTCATCCAAGCTTTTTCATTTCCACTGCGTCATGGCCTATAAACACAATCAAAAGCGCTCAGCTGTTGATGACGCACATATGTTGCACCAGGACTGCTCTGCTGTGCTCCCCCACGAAGGGTACTCGGTGTCGTAGCTCCTGACGTACAATCCACGTGTCATGTACTCGCCTCGGGTACTATTGGGTATGAAGGAGAATAGTCAGTACTACTGACTGGGGTCAAAATGATGTGAAAGATGTGGGGCATAGGTCGTTGACAGAGGGGGAGCACTACCTAGTAGAAGCTGAAGGTATTAGTAGTACAGCAATTAGTCAGACTAAGGTTGTGTTCTCGCCTGCAGTGCAATAATCCCCCCTCTATAATTCAGTACTCAAACCAAACAGGATCATTGTCTTCCATAAAATCACTGCTAGCTTCCGAAACGATGATGGGCTTGTCTGGAAAGAGTGCGCGTGCGTGGTCGTAGCTGGAAAGATGGTAGTTTATCCCAATAAGGTCCAGACTGTCGCTAATTAGCGCTAGTAGATATAGTTAGAGTGCATACATAGTTTGTTTATGCTTACCGGGATATGCTTGAATCTACAAGTACAAAGTCGGCCATAATTGGCGCTTCTAGTACTCACTACGTAGTTTGCGCTTGTGGGCAATACCACAACCGGACATCATCATCGTGTATTAACCTCCAACGACTAATACGTAAAAGTAAAAGTAGGAGCGAGTACTTATCTAGTTACACGACAAAATCAAAAACCAAACCATCTTCTCTCATAAAAGAAAATCTCTCGAGCTTTCCAAGTCGTCAGCGTTACAGGCTGCGGAGGTAACTCGCTGACCATGTGGATCTAGGCGTTTGATTTCGGTGACGAGTTGTTTTGGAGTTAGAGATAAAGACGCCACTGAAAGGAAGGAGTTTAATGACGTCGTAGCTACACTTCCTTCTGAAAGGAAAAGGAAGAGAGCTTCCACAGGGTCTTTACACTCCGGGCCCAGAGTCTAATAATTATACGGACAGTAAACGATCCTACCGAGAACGAAGTTGTGCCTTCTTGCTTACACCAAAATAAGCAGGTTTCGAAACAAGTTCCAAAACTTCATTTTTATTCTAGGTTGATTGGACTTATTTACATGCATATCACGACAAAAAAACCGGAAAAACTATACGCATAATTCCGAGTTCTATTTTATGGGAAAGAATCTTATCACTCTTTCATGCCCTTCTTAATGCCGTCAAAGCTACGTCCACGTCACCGAATGAGCAGGGTCCTTTACCCGGACAGCAGAGTCGTTCGTTGCAGATAGACCAGACGAACACGGAAGGATGGTTGCGGTCCCGTCTGATGAGCTTCTGTAGGTCTTCCAGGTATGGGTGTATGAAGAAAGAAGTTTCAAGTTCCGTCGCTGACCCTTGGATAGTCCAGACTTCGTGTGCTAGGTTGAAACACGAATAAGGGGGCTCTTTGGTGACTCAAACAAAGAGCTCAAAATACTCATTCTCCCTGAGAGACAAAGTGAAGATGCTGGTGTAACGTGGAAACAAAATGAATGAGTATGAGCATTTTGATGTTCATTAATACATTCTGCTCACAACTGCACTGATCATCTCAACTCATCTGTTCTTCTTACACTTTGGTTGCACCTTGTTTCGATGGTTCTCGTTCCACACCAAGAGCCCTTGTCTGTCGCATGCATCCAACAAAGCTCCCGTCACAGGATGGTGGGCGGTCCTCCACGCATTTGCGCCAAGTTGGTCTTTCAACACGTGCACCCTGTAATCTTGCATGTCGTCGGGAACAGCGACACCAACACCCGCGAAATCTTGGTGGTTCGCGAAACCACGAATTTTGGTTGCTCGGTCGGCGATTAGAGAAATCAAGAAAGATCAAAATATATGTTATATAATGTCAACACAGACTAGTTAGATTCCCGTAAGTTCAGGAAGAAGCCCTGTGCCGGTGTCCATGAAAATTTACGGATTCCGATCGAAGCAGTAACTCGGTCTAGACGTCGTCTGTGTCCCTTTTCATCGTCTACAAACAGTTCTACTACAGCTTCGTGAAGCGCCGGATCTATGATGCCGTTCCTGGTATTAGAAGAGACAAGTTGCTCATGAGCTACAACGATGCACATCGTGACAGGAGCATAAGTCTAGCTGTAATATGAAACAAATAAAGGTCTTCGTGCCATAAAGAGTCTCGCCTGCTTGATTTGAAGCGGGGAATCGAATGCGACCTCAGACGACGTCAAAGACGTGCCTTGTTCTTGTATTTCAATACTGAATTCCTGCACGCCGCTAGTTACTTGCTGACCATCTGGGCCGAAAAGCGTGACCTCAATAAGGCCCTGCTGTTTGCTTCCTGGTACTTTACTCGAAGATTCTAGTTCAATACGAGGATGTAAAGTAGCATCAGCGACCAAGATAGAGGATGATCCGCCTTCCGCTTCCCTCGTCTCCATCTGAGTAGGTGTAACCGTAATAGCTCCATCGACCAGCGTGGGCAAGTAAGCTCCGTCGCGAGCAATTCGCAGAGTAGCTGCTTTCTTTTCCAAATAAACATGGCGATAGATGCCACCACCGTCATACCACCAAGAGCCCTCATCTGGGTTTCCCCTGTCGTCGAACCAAGGCGTGCTGTCCACGAAGACTAGAATTGGTATGAAGAGGGCGACGAAAGAGAACTACTAGGCAATCTCAATTGAGGATTTTGACGAAGACATACAGACAATCATGTGCGGGTGTCGTTGTGTTGCGATAATCAAGTGACTTAGACCTTGTTCATGGAAATAAAACACTGAAGGAATTGCATGCTGTGTTCCAGAAATATCAACCTTGGTCCACTATGTATTTCCATATCAACACAACATAATTTCCAATCCTTTTCCTCCTCCAGCTTCCTGCCCTTCCTGTGCCATTTCGGTAGACACATCAAGGGAGAAAGGCGTGTAGCCGCATGTATGCTTCCCTTTTTTGCGTCCGTTCACCCACGTCGTCGAACTCCAGATAACGCCGTCAAAATGGAGAGCAGATGAAGGGAGCCTCTGGGAGTAGCAGGCAACGTCACGGGTAGCTAGAACTATTACGTAAGATAGATCCAGATCGATCGTTGAAAAATAAGGAATCTCGCAAGCCTAATCTCATGTCATGTATCCTCATGTCGTGGCCTATCTACCCAGAGAGCCTCGGGAAACTGCTCTTCATGTTCTAGGTAGATTGTGTGTGTGTGTGAGTACGAAACAACCCGTAAAAAGTACTTAGATCAAGAACGTCAAGGTTTTTCTTGTCATAAAAAAAACGCCGCACCATCAGGCGAGTCGCCTTCGCACAACTGTTGGACCTCCTCTCGCCCAAGCGTTAGCGCATACCATCCGGCTCTGAAAGGTATGAAGCCGTGATTGACACTTCCATTCTCATTTGGTGCCAGTCCACTCAGAAAATCGTGTGGGAGCTGCACAGGCTTCCAGCTAGAGTTGGTGGCTCTCGTCGTATAATTAGTTCCATAATTATTAGAGCTAGAAGAGGTCCATCCTGTGGAGCGTCTTGGTGTCCGTTTCCCCTTAGAAAACGAGCCGAAGATGCTGGCTAAGATGGATTTCTGCTAGCCTTCTCGGCAATCTCCACAGGTTGTTCTATTATAGGTTCCATAACGTTGATGTCCACCAGTGGCTTCTTGGCACTTCCGGTAGCTTCGTCAAAGCTGACACAGGCGCTTCTACCTAGTTCCGTGAATCTGTGATGTGCGTAGCTTTCCTCTTCCAGACAAAATTGCCATGCGAGGTTATCCAGTAAGATTCGACGCGAATGAGGATATGGACCCACAGCACTTCTTAACAATTCCGCATGTACAAGGTGTAAAATCCGGATCGCCAAAAATACAAGGTGAAGCTTCGCCGTGGCCCACAAATGTTGCCGTGAGAGGCGGGTATATTTTCCGACTTCCAACATTACTACAGCCTGAGAAGGGGCTCTGGGAAGAGCCTCCTAAACTGTCATCGATTAACTTTGCCGTCAGCGTCACATTCTTGCAGTGTCAGTATATCAAAAATGTACAACAAAGTTTGTGGAGGTACAAATTAGTTGGTTTTAGGCCTAAAAAAATGGATGCTTTCACTTGCGTTTTAAGCACAGCACCTGTTTCTTCTGGTAGAATAAGGATGAAAAAGTCGGCTCTATTTTCGTCTTTGTCTTTTTCGTATGGACCGACTGATAAAAACGGCATACATTTTCATTCTGCTAGGGCAATGCGCTCCTTTCCTCTCTTGTGGTCTAATTAGTGGCCACATGATCATTCACATCCTCCGGAGCCTATCAGCCACACGGCTCCCGGCTTCGCTATGAATGATGAAATAAATATGACAAAGTAGGAGGCACGAAGGGCACAGGTAGGCACCTGGAAGGGAGCGCAGGCGGTTTAGGGGGCCCCTTTTGCAGCCTTCTACTTACCCCGGAGGTCTCGAGGGAACAGCCAGGCAGCCGGAACGGTGCGGAGGAGGTCCCTTGGCCCCCTTTTGAGGCCTTCCATCCCCGACAGACGCCTGCCAAAGGGTTCCGGGGCCACGGTACCTTCCCCCAACGCTAGGGGGGGTACCGTGGCCCTGAGCCCTGGATCATATATCAGTCACACCTCGTCGCGTGGTCATTGTCCTTGCACTTGCGACTACTCTTAACAAGAGGTGACGTACATGGTGTGTGGATTTTGAGAATTCCAGCGGATGAATTCTTGCCATTTCTAATGTTTCACGATCATCAAGAGACCACCTGACCGAATAAACTGTCAGTCCGTGACAATGACTTGAAAATCAATGTGCATACGCACCCAGCTAAAAAATATTCTCGACTCCTCCATGCAGAACCACAAATAATTATATTTATTGAAAACTTTTACAAAAATGGAGTCTTTTTCACTTCATGTTCATCGCGACTACTATTCGACTATCGATGAAACAAGAGTAACCTCTTACTTGCTCTACTTAACTGTACACCCTGTGCATGCATCACCCACTACGGATTGGTCTATGCAATTAGGTCTCTTCACGACTACCTGTAGTCAGTGTGAACCAAGACGCTATGAATATGAAACTTCTATCAACTACTAATACATGCAAAATATATTTCTCAAGCTGACCAGAACGACGACGAAGACGACTCCTCCTACTACTACAAGATATTCACTTTTACTTACTGGGACAAAATTTTTTGATACACCGTATAACTTACTATGAAGATGATCTCTCATGATGTCGATAAATGCCTTTACTTGTGTCGTGTGCAATCGATATTACAGCACTAGTTAGATAAATATCTATGCATTGATGGGATTCTACTGCCTATCTAGATATTCGTCAAAAATGATGCGTGTGTGATACTCTCGTGGTCACTTTCTCTTGCAATACAATCACATGCTATGCGAATTAGATCCAAGTTCAAGTTCTGCTATGGAATTTTTACGCGTGGCCGTGGTGGTCATAGGTCTACTATAATGAAGTTTCGAGTACTCATGCTGGTCAAAGATGACTCTACCAGATACATATCATGATGAAGTTTCGAGTACTCTATATTTTTCCACCATCTTCTTTATATATCTACAACTACTGATCCTTTTGTCTACTCTGTCGACAATCGACACCATCTCCATCTCCTGATCTTCGTGATGTTGCGTTGACGCCATCCTCCCTTCTCTTAGAGCCCAAAACAATTCATTTCTTGCCTACATTTCTCCCACTCGCTCCTTAGAAGGAAATAGGGAGAACTGACTTGTAGATGCATGCTATTGTCCCTGTTATCGCCGTTCATGGTGACCGTAGAGACGTGGTCTGACAGTATTTCTGTGATACTGACTTGTAGAATTGAAATACAATATTGAGCCTTAATTCTCAATCGACAATCGACACCATCGCACTCTCCATCTCCTGAAGATCCTGGTGATGTTGCATTGACGCCATCGACTGACTTCTCTCTGACTTCTCCCTCTCTTCTACTTCGATTCGTCGGAAGCTTGTGAGGTGGTTGCCGGTTGTTGAGGCGCCGCCTCCTTCACCCAGGCGTCGATGAGTGGCTGGATCGTTTCATATTCGACATTGCTGCTTGGGTTAGAAAGGCTTTGAAGATGTTGTTTTTACAACTAGCTGCGGGTCCTTCTTGATGCGGGTTCGTCTCCTCTACTTGGGCAGCTTGCAGAAAAAGTCTAGTCATATTTATTGACAAGTACAACGCCTCTACCTGAGGGCTGAGAAAGAAGAACTATTCTCAGTACTGTAAAGCAAAACTATTTAGTACGAACAAGGTACAACTCCAAGAACTTCTACCTGAGTTGTAAGCAACTTCAACAACGTGCGTCATAAAAATATCGTGCTCCAAACAGAAGAGCGAGCAAAAAGCTGCACAAAATCGAACTCGTTTCTCAATGCCCAGGTCTTCCATCTGCTGCAAGTGGTGTCGGTAGAAATGGCAATAACAGCGAAAGAAACGTCGCAACACCGGACCGGACTTTAGAGGATGGAGAGAGGAGCTACTAGGCAATGAGGTGCTACCTAGGTCTAATGAGGAGGCTACCTAGGTAATGAGGAGCCTTGGACTCGCAGAGGGGCTACCTAGGTAATGACGAGGCCACCACCTCGGTATTTTCTTACGTAGTACGTAATACATAGATCTCAAAAGAAACATGATTTTGATTATAAATTGACCCAAGAAGGTCGTGTAATCACATCACAGAGACTTAAGACTAGTAAGTTCAAGTTGTCTCTGTTACATTTACTTCTAACTTCCTATGCTCACAGGAGCCAGCCTTACAACAAGTTCCTGGAAGCAAGCTGGGAAATCTTTCCCAGACTGGCCTGGGAAAACACGCGGGTCATTCAGGAATCTCTGTGCGGTGTCAAGTACTCCCTTGATGTACTTCGGTGCCGACAGCTGTTCAGGTTGTTTTTTGGTGGAAATTTCAAGGTCGTCGGGAGAGGCGTCGTCTACTCAGCAGAAAGATCCAGATGACCGCTGTCTATCCCTGGAGCAGTGACTTAGTTTCAAAATCCAGTGACCGCTTGCAGCATGGAAGAATAAGAGTGTTTATGAGAACAGCATGTTGGAAATTAACCAACCATTCTCTAAATGTTTAGAAGTTCTTAACCATACATATTGAATAAATGCTTAACTTAGATTATGAGAATCCACCTGTATTCCACTAGAGACCGTGCCGTCTGCATGGTTGTCCTGCCAGAGGTAGTTATGGGTGCCCGCGCGCATCACTGGGCACGACTTTTCAGTACATAGCCCGTTCATCATGAATGATGACACCATGCTAATCTGGTATGGAAAGTGATCGAGTTAATAAAATGCCTGACGAGAGATAAGGATAATGCCTGATCGAGTTAATGAAACGCCTGATCGAGTTAATGAAACGCCTTAATTGTTACTGTTGGATTCTTATTTGCTAGTTTTTTTGGCCATTACCTCTTTGAATATCTTCACGAAGTTGTTTGCGAGCCACAGGTTACTCGAGACGCCATCCGGTTTTTTTACTGACTGCTGGATTTCGGCAATCACACTCCCTTCATATAGCGTGTGCACTGACTGTCGTTTTCCTGTCGTGGAGTTGGTGATCATATAGTTCTAAATTTACAAGACATGCTGATAGTTCTAAATCTACAAGAAGTATGCTAGAGTGAAGATAGCTGCTTCCTTGTCAAGATTACCTTGAGTTCACAGTCATACTACAAGCTTACTCGATAGTCAACAACGAATAATGTGCTTGTGTGGTACAACCTGTGAGCACGATAGAACCTCCATTGCAGAAGTACTAAGTTAGTACCCAATAGTCCTAACTCAACCTATGCTAGCAACAGCAGAAATTCGATTACCATTTGGTGCCAATGGGTGGACGCCGCCGATTCCTGTGGCCTTATTTTGGAAGCCGAATTCTCGCTGAGTCGAAAGGAAATTCCGATCTACCTGCACTGCTTCTGACCGAAAGGGCACTTGAAATGCACGGTCTCTCTGCTTGGATTAGAGAGTAGTGGGGGAAGAAAAACAAGATTAGTAAGTAGGTTAGAGTAGAAGAAGAATTAGTGGTGCTAGCCTTGTCCAGGCACGACTGTAATCTGTGATACAAGTAGTTGTACGCAGAAAGAAGTACTTACAACAGAGAAAGCAAAGGGCGTTAGAGCATCCGCGGAGCCCGGTTGCAGCCCACCTTCAAATCCTTTAAGTCCCGGTGCTTGGTGGGCACCACCACCTTGAAACCCCTTAGGCTGCAGTGTTGGGTGGCTGCCACAACCTTCAAACCCTTTAAGTTGGGGAGTTTGACAGCTCTGGCAGGACCAAGGGTTGGGGGACCCATTTCAAACCCTTTAGTTTGCGCCCAAGCAGCACCACATGGCGAAATTGAAGAGCTCCATATTTTGAGCTCTCAGAACACCGAGAGTTGGCGGACCCATTTCAAACCCTTTAAATTGCCACGAAAGACCACATAGTTTCTGTATATGTCATGCACAAACCTTAATTGAATGATATCGGCTGTGCAAATTGCTTTCTAAGGTGCAAAAGAGGCGTCTCCATCCTCTCGGTTGCTGCTGTGCTAGGTACACTTGTCGTTTTTGATACCTGAGTGTAGTTAGTACCGTATTTCTATTTGTATCCTACTATGCAGTATATCCTATCTTTTATTACCGTATTTGTATCATTAATTGTGAGGCCAACCTAAAAAAAAAAGCAGAAAAAGGAAAGCATGTATTATTCAAAGTAAAAAGCCTTAGATCAATACCATATCACTCTTATCAGTCACATTTGGAAGGTGTAGCTTTCCCAGTTCAGGAAGTGCGACGCCTCCTGCTCCTCCAGCGGCGACGCCTCCTCCAGCGTTGCCGATAGACATGCGAAAATTGTGCAGAAATTGCGCTACACTTTAGAGGAGGAGGCTCGTCTCTACGTCTACATACATACATACATACATACACTCACTCATTCATTCATTCATTCATTCAGGCAAATTCATTTACCTAGCATGAGGTATGAGTTCAAGACATAATAATTACGATGCACCAGAAAAGATCGTCGAGATTGTGGTGAACATCGTGGAGCAGATAGAAACATCCATGATGATGGAGCATGATGTTATGACAGATCATCCATCTCTAAAAGTATAAGCGAAAGTATCTATCTTGGAGATATTCCTGTGTCACGTCCTGCTCCTGTATTATCGTACAAAGAAATCGGAGCAACACTAACGCAGCACTATCACCCATCTCCAGGGTAATGCCTTCATTCAGCAGACTCATCCAAGATGCCACTGGTGAAAATGCGCCATCTCCCTCTATTTAGCCTTAACCATTTGTTGAGAGTGTCGGTGCGACGCCTGAATCCAGAGACAGTCGTCCTTGAGCCCTCGGAAGGGGCGGTTCCTTAGAACCTTGGTCTCCTCGTCTGTTCCATAGGAAGACCATTTTTTCTCCTAGGAATCAGAAGTCGATAGATGAAAATGCTAAGAAGTGCGAGCTGCTAAAGAACATTTTTACGGCAACATATTAAGTAACTACGTGCCGTGTAACCCAGTCAGTGTATGCTTGTGCTTGTCATTAAAATTAGCTAGGAGTCTCCCCGTTACACACCGCGTGTTGAGATTGTCACCGTTGCGAAACAATGCAGATTGTTCGGGGCAACAAAAACAAAAACCAGAATCGTCTCGTGCGTTTGCATCAGGTCATCTAAAAAGGCACACGCAAGAACTCAATCCAGAGGACAGACTGATCGTTCAAGACGGGGGCACTCAAGATCAGGAAAACTTCTTCTCTCGAAGATCTAGTCGGATCAACAGATTGAAGGGAAGGCACTTGCTACTACCTGGAAGTAGGAAGGACTATTAAGAAAGCTAACAACGCTAGTTCCAGGCCGCAGCTACCGAAAGCAAGACAGAATTATGTAACTCAGGTTTCACCCCAGAATTATGGCACTCGGACAGGCTTTGATTTGGAATTTCTGGCCACTTGCGTTTCACAAACGACAGACAAGATAGGGAATCTACAAACAAATAAAAGATAGTGAATGCTGGCAAATAAAAGATACTGGTACTTCTCTTTCCCCTGATGATATGTTGATCTTGATCGATCCTCTCGAAGAAAATGGATTCCTCTCTCTTGAAAATGTCCTGTAGACCGCTAGTACCTCTTCTCTTCCAGCGAGCTGAGGTCATAGCGTTCTACAGGCCATTGCTCCGGGTCCGGCTTGTCGTATTCCTGCGACAACCGTGTAGTTGCCCTTCATCTTGGTGAAAAAATCTATGAATTTGTCATTTCTTTGGAGCATCAGCTTTAGTAAAGTGTGCTTTCTTTGGGTTGGTGACATTTCACCTAGAAGATTCCGACTAAACATAAACAAATGGAATCTTCTGTGGTTAGGCCACCAGAGTGGCAACAGCGGTCATTGCCTTGCTGTGCCACTGTCATCAGAAGATGGTAGTGATATAGTAGTTTATACACCATAGATGGTATTTTGTAGGAAATGGGCGTACATTTCGATTCACAGTTTTGACATTGACAATGGCAGCAGCTTGTTCGATTGCTATTTGATTCTTCATGACTCAGACTAGAGCTACTTTGACTCTTGTAGTTGCTACTATTTTGTTTGCTAACAAGAAGTAGTTGCTTACCTTTACTTGATAGTGTGATTGATTGACATAAGACGTTGGCTTGTGATTTTGTGACTGAGGACATAGAGTAGATGATTTACGAAGATGGAGAAGAATTAGCCTCCTGCAGCGACTTGCCGCCTCAGTCCTTGCTGAAGTGCGTCTCGCTGTGCTGCTGGTAGTGCGGTTAGCACACTCTTAAACACTGCTGCGTTTGCTCGTGCGATGCCGAGGACACAACCCTCGACTAATGGAACCTCGTTGCACCCCGTTGCACCTTCTTCCGTGCTATTCTTGGTACAAGAACCACATGATTGATGCAAGAGGCAAGTGCTAGCGAGCTGTAATAAGAGTGCTGCGAGCGCCTGCCTTTGCGCCACGATATCGATCGCTTGTGGGACTAGTGTCCAAAACAACACCTGGTCCGACGCATCCTCTGAACCAGCCAGCGCCTCAAAAAGTACAGGAAGCAGTATCGGGCTTAGCTTAGGTTGACGTAAAAGAGCTTGTAAGGCAGGAAGAGCTGCGGGTGTTGATGTTGAAGATGAGGAGGCCGAGGTAGGTGGAAGATCTTCTGCTCTACTGCCGCTTTTCTTGTCACCTCGACGCGAAGTTTGTTCCAATGCAAGTAGCTCGCGGAAAATGCCCATTAATGAGGCAAGAAAGGTACTTTCTGCTGCCATGTCAGGGAATAATTCCTCGTCTTGCAACAACGGTACTAGAAGTAACACGAAGTATACAATGTTTGAGTTGTTGCCGTCGATTTTTCTCCGCACAACATCGAGGATCCCGATAGCCCACTGCTCTACCAGGAAATTGCGACGTAAACTCACACTAGCTGAAGACAATGCCCTCACACTCTGCAAGAACGCTCTCCACCATCGCAAGACGACTGGCGCTGACTCCGCACTGAGAATGTATGTAAGCGTACTGTTGAGGACCTGGCTCACTTTCGTCGTCTTCTTGTTTGGTGAGCCACTAGTTTCAGCTTCAACAACATCAGGCGCATCTCCATCTGCGTCTCCGTCTCCATCTACACCTCCTAGCAGATCTTCCGAAACGAGTACTTGTTGCAATACTGCCAGTGCAATTTCTGCTGCGCTGGTTTTATCATCACTACTCGAAGCTGCTTTGGCTCCTACTCCTAGGGATGCAACATTGCTAGCAGAACTTGAAAACAAGTTGACTAGTTCCATCTGAGCGGCGGCAAAGAATTGCGATTTCAAGGATTTGACATATCTTTCAGTCTCCTTGTTCTCTCCAATACGCTCAGCAATGATCGCTTCATTTATTGCACCAGCTAGTAGCTTACTTGCGAGCTCAAGGGTGTTGTATCTGAGTTGCGGCGAAATAGATGTTGTAGATGTTGAGACGACGGGACTGGTACTTGATGCGTCCTCTTGTCCTGCAAAGATGTGCCTCAAAATGTGTGCAAACATCGCCCAAGCAAGATGTCGCGTTTGCTGGTCCACCTCCTCTTTGCCTCCTGCAGTTTCATTTGCTTCTTCCCCTGCGAGTAGTAACTGAGACAACACAGGCAGCAGAGCTTCCGCTTCAGCAGCAATATTACTAGACCCCTCTTCATGATTCCATCCCCGCAATCGAACAGCTAGGATTCCCGATACTACTCCCTTCAAGTCCTCTTGTGCCTTTGAAGTGTTATCTTTAGTACCGGCAAACAGCCTAGCATCCTTGGAATACGCTAAGCGTAGTAGATCGGCATACACAAATGCGAAGACAGGCTCGAGACACCGAAGATCCTGGACCGGCGCGAGTGGTACTAGAGAAGTCCGAGAAAGTCCTCCAGACTGGTCAGCTGCCTCTGTCATTGCAGCTTCGGGAAGATGAAGGGGAAAGAAAAACTTTGATTCTTGTTTGAAGCAAGATATCGCTCGCTTTTTAATCAATAAGCTGCTGATGTTCTTGTTTATGTCACCTCCTGATAGTGGTAATTACAATTACTGAGTCTCTATAATTAATTTGCGTGTCATCTGAATGAATCGATACACAGGTACTCACTGAACACTCTTCATAATCAGACTTTTTCCCTCCTTTGCCAGGCACGACTTGGCTGAGCCCAGTGCAGCAGTCTTGTAAGGCTGTCAGAAGCACGTCGCTCAGCTTCACCCCATCTCCCGTGCTACTGCTCAGGGAGCGTAGAGCGCTCCCCATCTCTTCCCCCATGTCCAGTACACAAGAAGCGAGAAGGCGAAGTCGCAAGAGATACGACGTCACAGCTACCTTCTCGTAGAGAAGCGCACTCGGCGCAGAGAGCACCCCAGCTGCGAGGTTCTGGAGTGCTTTCTCTGGCGAAGACGTTATTTTCGTTCGCACGATGTCGTGCTGAATCACCGAGATGAGATACAAGTTGCGAGGACAAGAAAGATATTTGGAGGTAGTGCCTCCCTTCGTCTCAGCAGCTAGAGAGCGGAAAACACGACGAACGCAGTTGCCAATCTGTGCCTCGAACTGCAGTAACACTGGTTCCTCATCCTCTGCGTTGACGGGATTAGAAGAAGCAAGGAAGGAACGGCTGTGGATTCTGAATGCTGTCGTTCAAAAGAAAAAGAAGTGACAAACTTTATTTAAGTAAATCCTGAAATGCTGTGTTGGTGAAACTCCTGCTCTTATTTGCATGTAAAACTAACTTGTTGTAAAAAGTTGAGTAAATCCTGAAATGCTGTGTTGGTGAAACTCCTGCTCTACTTTGCATGTAAAACTAAGTAACTTGTTGTAAAAAAAAGTTGTTGTATAAAAAGAAGTGAATCTTCTTCCCTTCATATTTATTAACTATAAATATATCATATATAAGGTCGTAACCCAGATGTTCATAACTAGAATTTCTCCATCGTCTTCTTCCTGGTGAGCCTTTGGAGACAAGGCACAAAGCTTGCTCCGCTCTAGATCCGCATCTGTTGAGCAGCCGAACAAGCGTATGACAGAGAGGAGACACAGCAAGGCCTCGGTCATCAAACTCGGCATACTCTCGGCTTCCGCTATGGACTTGCACACTAAACTCACTAGAGAGTCGCACCGGGTCAGCCAGAGACTAGCGAACTCTTTTAGAAGTCCAGACCCGACTTCGGTTACCGGTCTTGTGATGTTGCGAGAAGTAGAGGTTTCCGAATTGCATTCTTCAGAACATCCTTGACCCATTTCCCCCTTGAAAAGGAGCCAAGGATGGTAGTGAGGGATGTAATTCGGAAACCCTTAATAGAAGTAGTTGTATTGATGCTAGAAGTGGTCTCAAGGAAAGGAACGTACTCAAACATGTAGTAGTTGGATAAAGGAGTGGCAGAGATTGATGAAGTAGAAGTTGTTGCTCCTCCCCGTGAAGAGCTGCTTGCCGCGAGCAGGAAAGAATTGAAGTTGTCATTGAGAATTTTTCGGAAAAATTTGAGAAAAAGACACTTCAATTTCACATCGAAATGCTGGCTTTCCGGTAAAAATGGAGGTGACACGAACGCATCCCCAGTGTCTCTGCCTAGTGCACCTGATTGCTTGACGATACTCTCAGAATCGTTCTCGCCCAGGTCATCGTGGTCCTTCTTGCCAGCGTCTCCTTGACCAGACTGGAGCCCGCTAGGAATTAGAGGACGTCTATTCGATATCTAAGCAGGCATACAACTTACTTACTCTAGTAATCCCCGTCATGACTAAGTACATCCTGTTCTCTTAATTATCTCTAAGTAGGCGTACTACAAAAATGATTCCCTTGTCCCACTACGCAGGGCACAACGCCTTCTCACAAAACCCTTCGAAGATATAGGGGCAGCAAAATACGGTTCATGAGATAAAGATCAGCTTTGGATAAAATCCATCAGTTGGGATTTTCAAGTACTAAAAATAATATGGAAGGAGGTTGATGTCAAACTACAAATGAAGTGACTCCTCATGATGAGCCTACTTACGAAGGAGATGAGATCAACAGGGAAGATGCTTAGCCTTAAATCTGGCTCTCCCGAAATCGGGGTCTTTGATCCTTTGATCCTTTCAACTGGTCTTCGCAGTCTTCGTTTTCGACTTTGCCCAAGCACTACTTGATGCACCCGGTCGATCCACCTGTCTACATGGTCTTCTTTCACTACAAAAGGACTTGAAGATGGTGGTGATGATGAAGAATCGCCTCCGCTGTTAGTTGCAGTACTGCACGTGATGGAAACCAATGAGTCTAGAAGCTCTTCCTCAATTTTTGCGCCTGCTCCTCCGCTGTTTATCTGATAACTTCGCACGAGGGCTCGCACAGTAGCGTCTAGTTCCTCGGACAGATCTGTGAGTGATACTGCATCGGAAGTCCCTCCAACTCCAACAGAAGTAGTTGAAGTCCTCGTCCCCGTTGTACGAGGACTAGTAAAGACCGCGAGTAAGTGTGGCGCAAGCGTCCGTAAGGCTGCTTGTCGTACGGCGCGACCGTAGAGTTGTGAGGTAGAGGCCGCTGTGCCTCCGGATGCCGAAGATAGATCCCCACTTCCTGAAAACAATGACACAAGATTTGCTTCTGTGGTTTTCTGCGGCGCAGCGGCTGCTGAAAGAATGCCTCCTGGTTCCAAAGCAGTTTCGCAAAATAAGCCACTGCAGAGCTGCCATAACGGCCACGAAGTTATTGCAGTTTTGTTCTCAGTAGTAGTGCTGCTGGTCGTAGTTCTTAGCGCCTCAGAAGAGTTGTGCTTTATTGCAGTCTTGTTCTCCGTAGTAGTTGTCGTAGTTCTCATGAGACCAGTAGAGTTGTTGACGTTGTTGTACTCTGTATTGAGTAGTGTGGAACTTTCTAAAACGAGTAGGAGACTAAGCAACGAAACTTCGTAGCCTGTAGACCGGCACAGCAGAAGCCAGGGAGTCGCAGCCTGTGAAACCAGATCTATCCAGATGATACTCACTCGGTGTCCCAAGTCCTTATGTAGTTAGAGCTCACACCATAATTGTAATTCATTTCTTGCCTTCATTTCTTCAGACTCCTAAGAAGGAAACCGAAGAAAGTGACCCTTGGAAATGAATTGTATTGCGCCTTAATTTAGCATGTTCTTGAAGATAGGGGCACTACTAGTGGTAGTTGTAGAGGGAAAGTTAGGCGTAGGCTTTTGGTGTTCGTTGGTTTATCCCGTTTGTTATGCATGTCCCCCTTACAATTATTACAATTACAAATTTTTCGAAGTGTTCGACGCACCATTTTAGGTGGGCGCAGAGAAAGCAAACATAACAAACGGTAACAGGAACACCTTTACTAGCCTACCCTTAATAAAGCTGTTCTTGGAGTTACTCCTAGAACAGGATGAGTTCGCGTTTTCAATACCACAATGTGGATCTACAACCGTTCCGCAAGCAGCCTGGAGTATATGCGCAAGCGCGCAGGCAATCTGAGGGTTGTCAAATGTGTCGGCTAAAAGATGCGCTGCTGAGATACGATTAGAGTGAGCTTACGAGGATCGATGTCAGGTAGTAGAGACATCTCACTTGAGGCCACTTTCTCCCTATTATACAGGAAATCTTTCGGTTTTCAAGATGCCTCTCAAGACAAGGTCGGTCGAGTCCAATAAATTACAACCTTGGACTCCATTCATTGCATGGAGCCCAATGCATGCATTTGATGGATATGAATTACATTATGTAATGAGTCAATAGTAGTTGTGCCTTAAGACGAAGCGTGTCCTTCAGGTGCGGAAAGTAGGACCACCCACAAGCGCACATGGCCACTGCGATGCCGTGAAGCATGTAGCTTCGAATGGGCTCTGATGTTTCTTTAGCGACCTTCAACAAGCAATGCACGAAGGCTTCAACGAGAGTGCCATAAGCAGCGGCTGGAAGGAAGTGCCCCTGCGTGACTGGCGTAGAAGTCGCAGAGGAACCACCTTTAAGTTTTTGTAATAGTAGGAGCTAGGCGGTCTACATACTTGTAGGTAAGAATGGCGCGCTCTAAATATGGAAAGCCAAAATTAAACAAGTTGAAGTTTCTTTTTGCGTGGCAGATTTCAAACGATCACCCCCCACCGAGTAGTAAGCAAGCACACGAAGGCTTCGCCGCTTGTTCATGCTCAAAGGTGTGAGTGGCTCCCTCAGCCTCAATAAAAAAACACACCAGCAAGACCATCGCGCGCACATCTTCGGCATAGTTACCAAGCACAGCCTCCGCCAGTCAAAAATGTGTGTGTGGATGAAACTCATTACAAGAAAAAGAGAGCAATGCGAGGATAGAAAGACTGACAAAGGAAACCAAAAAGCCCAAGCCACACAAGCGCGGCCCTGCATGCAAGAGACCAAAGAACGAGCCCGACCCGCTCAGAATCACCCAGCTGTAACCAGATAACGCCCCCCAGGCTTTTGTGGCTTGCCGACGGCTGTGCCGCTGCCTCGATACTCGTCGAACAGGCTGCCGGCCGTCAACTTCACACCGACCACCCTGGGACAGCATGGCAGAGAGAGCCCCACAAGCTTATCGAAATCACCAACGAAATGAACAAAAGCCCCAAGCTCATGCCCTCAGCGGGCGGCGCCAGTGCCTTGAGCTTCCGGGAGCATGCTAGCAGCGTCAGCGCCAAGCCTACGCAGCTGCCCCCACCCTTCTCCCGCGTTCGAATGAAAGAATAAAAGCGCCAAAGGCGAAACGGCAGGCAGGCGCTGCCCCGATAAAGGGTGAGCACCATAATCACAACAACAAAACACACAAACGCACTCGGGCAGGCTAATGCACTCACAAAAGCAAAGCGGCGCGCCACCATACTCGAGAAGGCTACGTAACGCACTCACAAAAGCAACGCTCGCACCCAGAGCAGGGCGCAGCGCATCACTCACACCCCCAAAAGCGACGCATACGCGAGCGCAAAACCAAGCGCAGGCGCTACCTATCAATCTGGTCCGACTTCAGGCGAAGGGAGTTCGGGGGCCTCTATCCTGGCGCTGGCCCACCTCACCTCCGCGCCAGAGCCCTCGAGGAGGCCACCCACAAGCTGCAGGCAAGCCGACCCCGGTCGGAACCCCTTGCCGCCGTCCTCGCTTTCTTCGTCGGTTTGAAGCTCCTCAATGGGAACGAACCAACCAGCCCCGAGGCCTGCAGAGTCCACTCCCCGAGAGTGAGAGCCGAGAGTGAGAGCCGAGAGCGAAGCGCAAACACTCCCCGCACCGCGTTGCCGTTATTTGTTGCTCCAGATACGGCCGCCCACGCTGACACTACGAAGCAGCAGGCAAAGCCAAGAAAAGACGCAGCCAAGAAAAGCCTTAGGGAAGAGTCCCGCCTGCTCTCTCATACCTTGGGGAAGCAGCGGACAAGACGACGGCGCCGCCCGGTGTCGTTGCCCCACCGAACGCGCGAGCCGGCGCCAGCTCTTCCTCTTTGTCCGACACGCTGACGACTAGCCCACCTCACCCCGCTGCATGTGAGCAGATGGCCGCTCTTTTGTAAGCTACAACCTCGAGGGCCAAGCTCCATAACGCTCCCTATGTTGCAGAATTTGCCTCCTCCGAGATTCGAACCCACACAATAGGCGCGCCCCAAGGTCTCCAGATCGTGGCGACGGTTTTGCATATTTGGCCAGGTGTGGGCGAGAAGGGGAGTTGCGGCGGCTGATCTGGTGCAACGGTTAGGGCACCAGACTAGACTCAAGGCACGCCTTCTACCTCCATCGTGCGCGGCTTCACTCGGTAGCAACACCATGCGAGTTCCATGCGCCGCGCCGCGCGCGACGAAACGGACGGATTTGCGATCTTGGGCGATATCCTCCACGCGGAGTCCGGCCGCGGGGTCCTGGGCGGTATCCTCCACTCGGAGTCCGGCCGCGGGGTCCTGGGCGGTATCCTCCACGCGGAGTCCGGCGGGGTCCTGAAGTCAGACCAGTGCAGCAGCTAACCCACTGAACCGCGAAGCCAAATTGTCTGGCGGTCTACATGCTGGACTTGGAAACGCAATGAGCGACCAACCGCGAATTACTTAGAGGCGAAGCGCCTCACATCGCCGGCCCGAGGGGCCACATGCTGGGCGTCGCGCCTGCGCTTGTTACTCCAGACGCTGGCCCAAAATGTTAGGGGGCTGCAAAGTGATCACGCTGAACAGAGAAGAGAGGCCAGCTCTGTTCCATTGCTATCTCAATGCAGTGCAAATAGCCTACCACAAAGCCCCTCCGGAGCACCCTTGTCGCCTCGAAGCGATCGAATGCGAGCAAAAGCATGCCCGTCAATAGTAAAAAACGCGAGGCCTGAAGGTGTCGACGTAGGTACCCCTGAGGGCGTAGGCAGTGCGCCCAGAGCCAAACGCGTCAGCTGAGCAGCCGACTTCTTGAGGGACACGAGCAGCGTCGGCCTTGTTGGAAAGCCATGAACTTAGTGGGGCGCCGGGGCTCGGCTGCTGCTCCCGGACGCGCTGGCGCGGGACTCGCGCTAGGTTCCGAGCGGCTACAGAGTCCGCACCAGTCCAGTAGCTCGGGGCCTGCCGTGGCTCTATGGCACACGCCCGCAGCTCTCTCCACCTCCCGACCCAGCTCCGACAGCCCGAGGACAAGGCCCCTCGTCATCCAGGCTCGAACATCACGCGGCCTGCCGAGCCCCACCGCCTCCGCGATTTCCGAGACGCGGCCGCGCGCTGGCGGTTGCACCAGTGACGCGGCACCCTTTGCATTTTCACCCAGGCGCGGCATTATAGCGCCTTGGATTTCAGCGTCTGCCTTAAAGGTCGCTCGCGCGCTACTATTGAGCTGATTTCAGTCGAAGGATTGGATAATTACCTGAACAGGCCGACTCCGTGGCCGCAACGGCGCAAAGCTGATGGCGTGACGCCACTAGCCGAAGCGCACTCCCCAGCATTACCGTTACCAGGCACTTAGCACTTGTAACGCCATCGTCCGTCTCCTCTGTGCGTGCCTTCTTTGCTACAGTCTGTTTCGCCCAATAGAGGATGCGCTTTGAAATTGCGTGTTCCAGATTCACTGGGTTGCGCTGCAATGTCGCGTAGTTGAGAGAGACATGCACGCACGCGTAGTAGTAAAAGAGTGTCGAAGCCATCTCAGCTAGCAAGCGTCGATAGCCGCTGTGCGCGCGACGGCTTCCTTCAAATGCCGCTTCTAGTAGCGCGCCCGCTGCATCCGCATCGAACTGCGTGTTGACCTGATGTGAAGACGACCCCACGCCTCCACCAGGAGCAGCTGCAGTTCCATTTATGCCCAACATCGCCGCAGATTCTCCTGCACAACTACTTCTAGCGGGGATCGTAAACAGCGTTCCAGCGTTTTCTGTCATTCCGCTATCTAGGTGCAAGACTTCGGACGATACCCGTCTCTGGAGGACGGCCGTGACAGCCGCAAGCGCAAGAAGCTGCGTCTCCAACAGAGGAGCCGAAGCGCTTTGCTGAATCCTAGCCAAAAAATGTTTCAGTGTGGCAATACGCGCCGCGTCGTCGGTCTTCGGACACAACACAACTTAGAAGATGACCATGGCCATGACATATTTCTACCTCAACTTCATCAAAGAAGTTTATTTAGTATCCTATAATTCATCATTCGAAATTGAAATCATTGGGATCCCGAATAGACTCCTGCTCTTGATGTTTTTTCCTAGTATAGAACAGCAGCTACTGAAGTAAGTACATCAGCATGCCGATAGTACGAGAAGTAGCTACATCAGAATACCCGATATCTGTCCTCCTGAAGATGCACTTGGTTCACCTTCACACCTTTTTATGTAGATCTAGACTTATGCCTTAAAACACTGTGGGAAGGAGGGCAAAAGCCGCAGAGAGCCAGTCCCATTCTGGACTATGCGTAGTAGTATCCCCACAACTCCAAGGTGTCAGCCACGGGCACAGCAATCGTTCCATACCGGAAAGAAGACGCAAAGCTGGGACGGTTGAGAGAACGCTGAGACCAAAGTCACAAGGCGGGACATCAGAAAAATTGGTGCTACAGTTGTTGGTAAGAGTCGCAAAATAGGTCTGCGAAAAACGTCCGCTTGTTGAACTCGAACTCCCCGAATAAGAAGAAGAAGAAGTCGACGACCTACTACCACCTGCGCCTGGTATAGTTGTCCCCAAAAATGTAAATGATCCACGACTACAACCTACACCAGCTGCCGTCGGGGGCCCAGCACCCACTATGTGTTGCAGACCGGCAAGATATGCCTCTGTCATAGGTTCTCGCGCATCTGGATCTTCCGAAGGTCGCAAATTGCATACCTCAAGCGGCCCAGCGTCCTCTGGTTGTAGGCTTTAGACATCATATTAGTATTTATAGTACTATTAGCAATTATCGACCTCATTACCTTGTTATATATACATTTATTCATATGATTAATACTTTCTCCTGCAAGAAACAGTGGCAAAGATGATGATGCTTTGTTCTAGTCATCTAAAAAGGAAGGATCTAGTCGTATGAAAACTACAAAGCATCGTATAGACTGCCTTAAAATAATGTTGATGAACCGAGGAAGACCAAAGACAGGATACTTCATTAAACAGAGGACCTCGCAGAGCCTGAACTTCATCTTGAAGCACAGGACGAACAAAAAGACACCTTAAAGTAAGACAGTGTGCAGGAATCGCTGTGCCGCGACGTGTCCGAGGTAGCTCTGGGACCCTACAAAATGTTGAAGTTCGTCAGGCGACTGCTCTCCCGGAGCAACGACATGCATGCATCCAAACATGTGGTCTCGTCTAGAGAAGTCGTCCGCCAGCATGTGCAACAAGGCGCCCAAACGACTGCTGTGGGAGATGAAGGTGGAAGAGCAGAGGGAGAAAGTATACACGCACCATAGGATTCAACATTATCTATAGTGTTCATGATGGTACTATGACAAGCTTAACGCGTTATTTTAGCAACGCGTTATAGATGCATGGTGCTTGGATTCTGGTACGGCTCTATCAAAATTCTGCTCTATTCGACACTATGACTAACTATCGCAGAACGAGACTGATCCTCTTCCCTTAGAAAAATTCTTAAGTACTTGAGTGTGAATCATGAGTATGTTTCTGTTTTCATAAATTCCGAGGGATCCAGGAGAGCGAAACATTTGTAAATCAAGCTCCGCAGGCCCAAAAGGAGGTCGCAAATAGTACTAGGACATCCGGCAGAAAAGCTCAGTACATCTGCTGAAGCATAACGGCCTCTAAAAAATGTCTCCCTGTAGCTGGAGGAGGATGGAGGCCTTTTAGGATCCGCTGTCGTGGCAGATGATGGGAGTTCTTGTGCTTGCGTTTCTTGGTTAGAGGTGGCAACGACCACAGTCCATCTCTTTTGAGGAACCAACATGAGCATCTTTTAACTGTCTTGATTCAATTCAGGTACTTAGAAAGGAACCAGCTGAAAGATGCTGCTGACGCTACTTGAGGAGATGGGATGACGCGTTAGAGGACCCTTAACTTGCAGCTGCATGCAAGCAAATTCAGGCGAGCATGGATGCGGCAGTGCTGCTACTAGCTGACTGCCGTTCGTGAGGAAAACTAGGACGATTTTGTACAAATGCTCGTTCCCCTCACCCTCTATCAGCGATCGGCCATGTACAAGAAAGCTATGAAGCGATCGCATAGCAGTGTAGAAGGTAGAAAGCTCGTCTAGCACAGTGGCATCAGAGTTTTCTGCTCCACTCGTGGCTGCCGAGTCTTTCCAGTCAGGCATAGAAGAACCGCTCTGCAACAGGCAACGATGAAAAATATACATGTAATTCGAAAAAAAATAGAAAGGTAAGAAAGAGAAACAAACAGTATCTATACTACCTTCAAACAACGTTACGTGAGTACCTTCAAGAATAGCTGGCAGCAAATATCTGATATGATAATACTCCAAAAACGGTTACTCACTTTCACTTCCTCTCCATACGTTTCCTTCGGGAATGCGTTTGCGTGGATGGCGCGGATTCGCTCAACCGTCTTCTTTTCCAGTACGGACTTCCATAGAGAAAACAGAGTCGTCAAACGGCGAGAGAGAAACGGCACACCTAATACTGCGAGGGCTTCGAATAGGAGAAAAGCGACGGCTCTGCGATACAGATCGCAGCGTCGCGAAGACGGGTGATTCTGCAAAAGGGCCTTGCAAGAGCCGAAAACAGTAGAAGCTAGCTCGTGTGGGATCGGTGCGCCGTCGTTACCTAAACCAGCAGCTACAGCACCCAAGAATTCTGCTTCCTGTAACAAGCGAACAGTGGTCGCAAGCGCGATGCCTTGTCCTACGAAGGTTCCTAAGAGGCGAAGCTGAGTCTCTGGTTAGAGTCTGCGACTCGATTGCATCTCGGCCCCCTCATCTTGACCCCTTTTACCTTGTATTTCACGAGAATACATCAAGGGAAAAGGGGACACTAAATGTTGCCGAGAATGATGGAAAAAACTAAATCAATGTTGACCATAATCTGGTGTACAACCTAAAACGTCAGCATTGCACACAGCCAGGCGATTTAATAGCGTATTCACCGTTGGCAGAAGCAAGCCGTCGGTAGAGGTTCTGAGAAAAGTACGCAAAGCCCCCGCCGCCTTCAGCTGCACGGCTGCAGCGTGAGGAGCGCTACAGAAGACGAGCAAAAGCTCCACAAACCACATCTCTGGCCCACGTGCATCTTCAGGTGAAGATCCTTTTGTGCTGGTGTAATATTTAGACGTAGACGAGGTGTGTTCCACGTGTTGAGAAAGAACTTGTTCGACACTGTAGCAGTCAGAACTTCTGTACTTAAGTACTTACTTACTATGTCAACAGGTATGGGTAGTACTATGACAGATGTTGGCTGTTGGTATCTCGTTCGTCATCTACAATCTATTTAAAAACTCTAATAAGTATTGAGTTGTTTACTGCAGACGCAGCCGCTACTCCATTCTGTGCTAGATGATCAAGTCAAGAATGAGCCATCGAGTACCCACTAACCCTTCCTAGCCCTAGTTTGATTGGAGAGAAAGGAAACGGACTCTAATAAATAAAAATATTAAATGCTTGCAGTGTTTACAAAGTTCTTCATAATCGGCGGCAGTGGCGCAGCTGTCGCTACGGCGTCCTGAAGAGCAAACCTCAGGTCCTCGCCCATTGCCTGTGCGCAGTCCTCTACCACAGTGAGGATTGTGTATGCAAGCAAGGTTGTACTAGAGTTTTTCTGTCCACAGCAACTAAGATTATAGGTTGCCGAATTGCATTCTTCAGGACATCCTTGACCTATTTTCCCCTTCAAAATGAGCCAAGGATGGTAGTGAGGGATGTAATTCGGAAACCCTTAATAAGAACAAGCTCTTTGCCCACAAGAAACCGTCCTACGAGTTGCGTCTGGACATTTCGCTGCCTTGCTCCTCGAATCAATGCTGCGATATGCAGAGCTACTTGCTCGGACAGAACGAAACTACCCTGTCTATTCGCATCCGGTCCTCTTGATGTGTTGACGAGAGTTAGAAATACGATCAGCCCATCTTTATCTGGAGCATCTTGGTACCCGTTTTCTCCTAATTCCGAAAAGTGACCGAGATGCTTGGGAAGATGGACTTCTTGTAGCCTTAAGAGCGACAGCAGAGAAGATATACCGAGGGAATATATGTCGAATTCACCACTGGCATTTTGCGGATCGGAGTCATCTACTAGTCCTTGTTGCTGTGCGGCCGCAAAAAGTGTGCAGAAACGGACGACAAGACTTGGCAAAAGTGTGCAGAAACGTTGCTCCCCGAAAGAAGAAGACGTCGCAGAAGAAAAAGCTGACCCTGCATTTGATGTGGCTCCTGTCGTACTGGTAGTCGACGTGGTACTGCTTCTAGGGTTGTTATTCGACGTTCCTGGATCACAAGCTATTCTTGAAGAAAGCCGCTGGATCCACCTGAGGGCTTCGGAAAAGTCGTGGACTAGAGGTCTTCGCTCTAACAAAGCGCGGTCACTATTCTCGGATCCCGCTCCGCCTCTACTTGTGTTAGAAGTCACTGTAGGAAATGGAAAGGTGTGTGTATTCTTTCAGATGACTTTGGAGACGCATATCTTCTATCTTCTTCTTCTTTCAGATGACTTTGGAGAGGACGCATATCTTCCCACGACACACTCAACATAATAATGTTTGCGAACCAGTTGTCCTGCTTTTTCTTCTCAGTGTCTACTCGCACGGCCGCAGCTAATGCGGTTTGGATGCCACGAGTAGCCGCCTCGTTGCAGCAAGCCACTAGAACTATGGCCAGTACTTCCCTGCACCGACTCAGAAGAACTGGCAGGTGCGGCAAAGCTTCAGGAAGTGTCTCTGGGGTGTAGAGTTCAACTGGTGCTGGAGCATGCATTTTTATATTGTTAGAAGAGGTAGGCTTTTGGTGCTCGCTTACCCCGCTTGTTATGCCTTTCTCCCTTAGGCTTAGGAGAGGCATAAAAAGCGGTAAGAAAAGCACCTTTAACCTACTCTTAATATTGCCACTCATTGCAGCACTCGCGTCCTGTGTTGAAGATGCGGCTGTAGAAGCTGCACTAGCAGATTCAGACTGATTATTTTTGCCTCTAATAGGTTCTGGATCCAGATCCTCGAAGAGCCGCACATACAATTCGCTGACATTCTTCACATTCGCTGCTGCCTTTGCACGTTGTTGTCGCGAAGCAATCGCCGACTTGTAGTTGCTGCCGCTCACCCCTGATGACAGCCCGTTGCCACCACATCGCAACGAGGCGAGATCGACTGAGACTAAATTAAAGATTCAGAAGTCACTTACTTGTCACAACTATCTTGTTTGAGGGGATTGTTCCCTCCGTATCCCTTGAAATCGAGTCCCCTTGAGTGACATGCTTCGTCTAACGGTAATTCACCCCCACTCAGGATATCTCAACACAGAAGACGATAGTGACTGCCATTGACAACTATAAGGCCCTAACTAACAGACGACACATGATGGACGCAATTTCGACGCTATGGAGTGCGGCGGTCGCCGGACTGTGTGTGAGAACCAATGTGAGCGCCATCAAGGCCAAGTTCTTGTTCTCGAGACTGGTATCATGGAGAAGCGTCTTGGACAATAGTGACCGCCAGATGTCCTCATAGGCTGCGCGCGACGGCCGGTTGCCGTCCGGGCTACCTCGTGGAACCACTTTTGCGTACAGCAGAGACATTAGAAAATATTGGTCCACACAAGGTGACAGTTCGCTGTGCTAATCTAAAGTAAAACGCCTTTAGTTCCTCAATGTGAAGATAATCTTCGGGTTTTTCGTTGACATCAAATTTTCTATTTCGACCTGATCAGATGTTTGCGTCTGACTCTGAGTCTGCGTCTGTTGTAACAAATAAGCGGGTAAACCTTAGATAGTCAAAAAAGTTCCACATGAGACGAAACAACCCCGAAAACAGGACAGTGCTGCAGTATGCGTCTGGACGTCATTTTTGGTTTGTGTGTGTGTGTGGAGTTGTAACAAATAAATGATAATACACTTAGTCGACGCTCATAGCTTAACAAGCGTCTGCAGGCTGTTGAGTCGCATGAGATGAAAGTCACCTCTTGGGGAGACATCGGCATCGCCACACATGTGATAGTGCTGCGTGACTGCCTCGAGTGCCTGATCAGCGCAATGCGACAAGAACTTCCCTCGAGCAACCATAAGCTCACCCACGACGAAAAGCGCGGCTGTGCGGTACACAGCTTCATCGCCACGCGACCGCCCGGGCCCCATCTGATGTCGGCTGCGTGCTGCGATCCTGTTGTGTAGTCGTTAGGGATGGATAGTAAACAAGCTCCGAGAACAGACAAGCCTCCACCGAGTCCTTTAAAAACTTACGGACTTTTTCCTTTGACCGATTGTATTGACTGCCTTATATACTTACCCCAAGACGGGGCTCAAGGTTTGGGAAAACAGAGCGCGTAGCCACGACAAGCTGACCGATCGATGTATAAAGAGCGAGCAAGAGAGACAAGACAATACCAAAGCCGACGCCTTCCTTGGCGCTGTCACTGCGCGAATAGAACAAAAACAGCAACGCAGCGGCCCCCTCCCCCTCCCGATGGATTCTCAGGCGCATCCACCTGCCAGCTCTCAGCTGACGACCGTCACCCGAGTCCCGACAGACAACCAAGGGAACCCCCGCAAAAAATGCCGGCAAATCTTGGGGGTGAACCGGCCACCAGCTGGCCGCCCCTTCCTTGCCTGCGTCCCGCCTCTTGCCACAGTCCACGGCCACGCAAATCGGCAGAAACAGAAAAATGCAACACATTCAGCTTCGACGGCGCGTCACGCGCATCAAATGCCCCCCCCCCGGCGTGCGAAGGTTCGGCGCCCGCTGTGGCGTCTTGCGTTAGAAAAGCCGGCCCCGCCTCCGAAAGGCCCGCTTCGTAGCTGTCGCCCATTCATTGCGTGCGGAAAGAAACCAAGCGCACGCAAATCGGTATCACACCCGAGCAAGCAAGCAGCGCGCCCGAAGAGCCACCACGCCCCACGCATTCGCGCCGCCTCCCTCGTCCTCCAGCTCCGAAGACACGCTCTTTGGATACATAAGCTCGCCAGCACTCCAGCCAAGCTAGCACCCGCGTGCCAGCTATGACGGCCAAGGCGCTCACTTCAGCGATGCTGTTCCCAGTCACATCGGAGACGCCTGCTGCGCCACCAATAGCTTTGAGGAAACCAGTCAAGCTATGGACGGAAAACACTAACCCACGCGCCTGGTTCATCTGGCAAGCTTCGGCGTTTTTGGCGGAAGCCATCGCGTGTTGTGGGCCATACTCATCGACTAACCCACAGCGCGCGCCCCATTTCCAGATCCTCGCCGCGGCGAATCCTTGCCCGCTGTCACCTTCACTTGTGTCGGCGCTGACGGTTCGATAGCAAGGCCCTTCTAACTGGCAAAATTCTTGGAGAGGGCGGCCCTCGCTCGATAGGCGCACCATTATCGTCCAGGTCCCAATCCGTAGCGTAACATACCGCTCCAGGCTTTCCTTCCGTCTCCAGATGAGATCTGTAGACGCATTCTCCGCCACTGTTGCTGACGCGTTCGCCAATCTTCTGCTTTGCGCCACTCCATAGCGAGTTGATCGCGCGAGCGTTGCCCTTCTCCATACAAAGCGTAAGCCAACCTCCACTCCCACCTCCACTCCCACGCTCAAGTCCCACGCTCAACTCCACCTTCACGCTCAGCTCCACCTTCACGCTCAACTGCGTAGTTCTTAACACCCCAACCATCGCCCATGTCATTGACCCAGATGCGTGGGAGGTCCACCTGCTAACAAACTGCTCCCCTTCGAGAACAGCGCCGAGGACCCGCTGGCACTCAGGGGCACCCTCATCGGCGTGGGCGCGCCGCTGGTATCCTCTGCGGCAGCATATACGCCAACCCGCCGCATTTTCTTGGGGATTTCCTTGACAGATGAAACCCCGGCGCCGTCTTTCGAATATAGCTGCCAATCTTGTCCGCGCTTAGTATCTGACTGCTGGGAGCTGCTGCCGCAAGATGTCAGCTAACGCCTTCGGAGGCGCGCGGCCAACCTCAGCCCCGTTACTGTTTCGAAGTCGCGCACCATCCTCAGCGCTGTACCGGCCTAGAGAATACCCTGCGGCGTCGCTTTCGATGGCGTCCGTGTCCCTTGGCCGACCAGAAGGCGCCGCCGCATTCAAAGCTTTACTACTGGTAGGCGATGCAGCTGGGCGAGGCAGTCTAGAAGGGGGCACCGTTCTCCGCACGCGTGGGGCCCCCCTGCATGTTTTAGATAGCCCGAAGGCTGCAGTCGCTGACGGGGTTCCCTTTAGTGGGTGCGCCCCTGCCTTTCCTCTGACCACTGCCACAACTACGGCACCCCTCAGAAGGAGAACCCCCAGCAGGAGAACTCTTCGAGGACTCAGCCCGCGACCTGGACCTACTCAGGCAAACTCCGCCAACAAAGTACGTACACGCCAGCGCCTGCCTGCGCCTCCGCTTTGGCTGCCGACAACGCTGGCCGCCCCCGCAACGAGTCGGGAGCAAAGTGCCACCGCCGCGGTCTTTCATCGGGCGCGCCGCTTCTCCTCTTGCTTCTTCTACGCACGCCGAGCAGTGCTGTCGTGACATTCGTAGGCGCTGGCAACGGCTGCGCGAATTGGCTCAGGTGGCACCCGGGGGACTCTCCCCGCCTGCTTGTGCTAATGATCCCACCAGCGCGCTCTGGCTCTGGCGGTCTTCATACTCTATACGGCCAAACACGTCGCGGGGGCTGAGCGGGCTGCGTGAGTAGGTCCTGCCTTCACACGATTACAAGAGCAAAATGGCAGAGGCCCGGGTAGATCAGGTTACTTCGGCGGGGATCCTGCACAAAAAAGCGCTAAATCTATGTATACGCGAACTTGCGAAGCTTCGAAGCCGGTTTGTCGTCCTTCGTCGTTCCAAGCGAATCTGATAGGAGCCATTCCGCCTCGTCGTGTAGGTCTGGAAGCCTCTGCTGATCCGAATCCCCGACGCCAAAGAGGCTGCTCAAAACATGCGCACATAGCAATTTGATACTCCCAGTTGGCGTTTGCTCCAAACAATAGTTCACGAGATTTATCTGATAATTTTTTCAAGAAGCACAAGCATCAGTGCAGAATGACTTTGCTAACAGCAAACAAACTAACATTTCAATTGTAGAGTCAATGGCTTCGAATCAAAACTACAAACTGCTGGATGGTCAACATTTCTGTGTATATGTCATAACCATGATTTTGATTACTAAATTCGAGTGCTCGACGTTAGTGCTAGACTTAATACCATCTGATAGGCGTTTTCGGTAGCAACGGGTTCAGGACTTCTTAGTAGTAAATCCCGCAGATCTACCAGCAAATCCATCTTTCGCGCATTCGTTATCATTCCTTTCGACCCACAGTCCACCACTGCTCCCTCAAGGAGGGTCAGCTTTTCGCTGATAGCAAAAGCCGACGACGTCATTTTCGTGTTCATCTCACTAGTGGACGTCGTCAAACTTCAATGAATAAAAAGAATGGACGTGGTAGCTTCTCTGAATAAAAAATAGTAGCATGGTTCTACTTCAGCACGATGACGACGTTGTGATGAACTAGAATTACATCATGAACTCAAACATTAAAAATATTCATTCAGTCATTCACGCTGCCGCTGGCGATCGCCAGAAGCAACAATTTTTCCGACGAAGGGAATTAATATCATGAAGATCATTAGCAAAAAGTCAAAAGAACAGCATGTCACTCCAAAAACTGACGAAAACAATTGCCTGATGAGTGTCCTTCCAGTCCCATAATAATAAGACTTTCAATAATATGAATATGATGGAAAGTATTTAACCCACGTTAGCACTCAGTCGATGATCCAAGCTTTTGATTCCATGAATGACGACGCAACGGCTGACTGCGGTACAGGAGTTGTAAGCGGATCAGGAATGTGATGTTGGAGCATTATTGTGGCAAAACTGGATCGAGAACTTCTCCGCTGACTAAGAAAGCACAGGCAGAAAAACACTTAAGTAAATTCTGCGTCAAACCAGAGCAGAGAAAAACAGCTAGCTGCACCTTTTCTTGGAAGTTGAAAGTGAAAGATGCGTTTCTCAGTTTGAACTAAGCGTCTCAACACTATTATCAACAGTCGCTGTCACATCAATGCTGAGGAAAATGTTCGCGCTACTGAAGAATTGCAGCACTTGCACTCTCCCTGTGAAAGAACCAATGATGCCGCAAAAATGTTTCTGTCTGTTGAAAAAATCTGGACAAGTAAATCTTCAAAAAGTGAATCTAAATGTGACTGAGACCGAAGAAGACCAAAGTCGGACATTCTCTCGAACAAGAAATATGTCAATAGAGCCAAAGCACTAGCTGGGTTCCGTTCAGCTTGGTTCTAATCTAAATGTTTGGAGCGATTGCTGTAGCCGTGAATTCATCACCGGGACTGAGGTTAGAACGAAGTAGACTAGGAACTGAAGTAATCTGCGACCACAAAAATTATTCCGTGCCCCAGAGATCTGAGCCCTCTATCTAAGCGTCTTGTTTTACCTCTTCCGCCGGTTCTTCGTCTAGTGGTGGTAGCTCGCGATGCAGTGCGCGGACAGTTGCGTCTCGGCCGCTCTTCACCGCCATCCACTCCAGCAAGCGCTTCATGGCGTGTCTGCCGAAAGTCGTCGTAGTTTCCCCACTAGCGCGCTCAACCTCGTAGCCTTTCTTCAGTCTGAGTATGAAGGAAGAGGGGTGAGATCAGGAGGAAGTAATTTCTATGACAAGAACACGAGAGTAGAAATAGAAAAGTTATAAGTTCTTACACACGGCAGTAAGACAGCAAGAAAGTTTGAACTGCCAGAATATTCATTTGTTTCTATAGATAACGAGATAGACCGAGGAAGACCAAAGTGCAGTGATTCTTTTTACAGCAAATAAAAAACAGTCTGAGCCTAGAACTCAGAACAAGAGCCCATTATAGTATCCGCACGATCAAAAGAAAGGAAACTAGATCTTTCCGTCTTCATAAGTTCAGCCAACGACAAATATTGAGGATGCTGTTCTTCACCTACGTCCACAGGTTTAAACGGAACAGCACAGGATTCGGTTGTCTCTCCACAACACTCCGTAGCAAATGGCGTCTTACGAAAAAGAAACCTCAAACCATCAGCAACCACAGTAAGGTCTTCGATGAGTATGAAGGGGGTGGAGAAGTAGTAGGTGGAATCGATAGTAAGAATCTATTTTGATCGTAGGAATTTGATACTTGGGCTAGTGTCTAGTGTCACCAGGACATGGCCAGATGCTCACCATCATCTGTGTGTATCTCTCATAGTACCTACGCTGTACTTCTAAAACCTAAATCTTCATCTTGTACCAAAACCTAAGCCTGCCAACTTAAAACCATGTGAGCAGTACCCAACCTCCCCCAATCAAAACGAAAACACCAACAGACATGCATAAAATCCCGAGCTTTCATGCGTCCCCCTCTTGGATCGAACTTTGTGGTCTGTCGGAAATCTCGTCTTCCCTTGTCTGCATCGCTTCGGTAAATCATGTCGCGAAAGTCTCTACCCAGGGTTGAGGACGAGGAACAGCTAGCACTACCAAGCTGCGCGCTCAAATTGCTTCCCCTCGAGTGCCACGCTGCACCACTAGTCCGCAGCTCTATGCCACCACTAGTCCCGGTGTCACTCGACCGCGCAGTATCAGGAGCTTCGACGTGCACTATCTGCTGTCGCCGAGTCCGATTCGGATCTTAGAGCTTACTTCTAGCAGGGAGAGGGACCACGTGGAAGAGGGGCCGCCTTCAGAATTCTATAGTGAGCGACGGATCGATCCCCTCCAAGAGCAAGCAAGTTCCCCCCATCAAGAAAGCCAAAGCCATAAGTTGAAGTAGCTCCTGCAAAAGAGCTACTATTAGTTGTGGACCCTGCGCCACTGTGCGAAGACGTCTTACTGTCCTGCCGCATTGATCCTGTCGGGAAAATCGGACAATTGTCCATCGGTCCACTCAGTTTTGTCAACTCTCGTTGTTAGAACTATCTAAGATGCATGCACAAAAAATTGCTTGCATCTATCTAAAATTCATGCTTGCATCTTGATGAGATGCAGTCAAAAAGTGATGAACTAGAATTAGTTATAGAGCCTTAATGTTGCCGTTGCAAAAGCGTTTCCAACAGTTCTCGCTCCTTCTCCGCACCCGTTACGACAACTTTATTCACAAACTCCGTCTTCTCAGTGCGGTCCCACCAGCGACCGAACTCTTCATTAGAGCTTCTTGAAGAAAGAGTTCAATTATTAACTTTAGAAGAAACGTGGGTGAGTGAGACTTTAGAAACGTGGGTGAGTGACCCTAGAGATGCCATGCAGAAATGTATGTAGTGTTATGAGGAGATGAGTAGAAGTACTTCAATAAGCCACCTTAACTCCAGCAACAGTATCGAGATCCGTTCGCTCCACGCGAACCGTTTTCCACTCTTCTTTTTGCTCAATTTGAGCTTTGACACTCTCTATTTCGCCTTCCACTTCCATCAGAGCACGCTTGACGGCTGCGGTTCCGTCTTGCTTAGAACTGGATTTGAGCTTTTTTTTTTTCTTGAAGCTGTTTTCCAATGAGATTGAGAGATTACAACCTAGAAGACCAGGAACTGTATGAGATTGAGAGACCAAGAACAACCACCCGTAACTTTCCGTATTTTCTGAACGGCAACGTGGGAACAGGACTCAGCAAAGCGTAGGGTTTGGACGCTCTCGAAAGCGTTGCAATGCTCCAAGGAGCAACAACAAACGATGCACGTGCGGCTGTCGCCTAGTGGAAGCAGATCACAACAGTAACGATGGTGTCTGACATTCAACATTGAACATAATAATCACATTGAATCTATACCTCAGCAGAAATTTTGATTTATTTCATCGATTTTAACATCATACCACCAAGAAGAGCTATACATAATTAATGCTAAATACATAATACCTCCCAGACTCTGCCTCAGAATTTTCGTGAGCATGGAATCGTCGTAGGGTACATGCATTGTCGGGTCTTGCAACCTGACACGGTCATTAAGAGCGGCTATGACACGTTTCAATGCGAGCAGACCGCGATTGATCAACAGCGTCTCCTGCACTCTTTTTCGTGCCTCATAGTACTCAGCCCACGTGGCCCTTTGCACCTCTTCGCCGCCTACGACAGTTACAGGCGCCTTCACCGCTTCTGCTGCTTTACTCTTGCTAAGTCTCTCTGCCCCTCCAAGATCCGCAATGAAAAGGCGAGAAGCGTGACGCCCAATCTCTTCTTCGGGAAAGCCGGGCGATGGGAATGAAAAGGTGAAGGGAATGAAAAGGTGAAGGGAATGAAAAGGTGATGGGAAAAATGAAGAGGTGGAAAGCAGATGTGCAATTTGCACTACAAAGCGAAGGAATATCTTGTATCAACAGAAGGAAGCTGGTAGTGGTATGAGCACAACTATCTCAGTAGAGCCCGTTTCTTGTATTAGAGATAGGTTTTCGGTGTTCGTTTATCCCGCTTGTTATGGCTGTCCCCCTTAGGAGAGCCATAACAAACGGTAACAAAAGCACCTTTAACCTACCCTTAATTGTAGTCAAAAGATGGTCGAAATGGTATGAAAAGAGCCCAGATAACAAGTGGAATTGAAATGTCTCTGTTGTCCAAAAGAACTTCAGCCTTGTTTCAATCCATGCATGGCGTCATAAAGAAGATCGCCGTGTGAGCGAGTGCGTAAGTTCCAGCACCAGAATTGTGTGAGCTCGCGTACTACGCTCATTCATCGCCGTAGCGGCGCGTCGTTTCTTAGACGAGCTAGTCGACATTAATTAAGTCTACATACACTAAGCATACTAATTAAGTCTAATCTGATGGATCCACTAAGCATACTTCTCTACTATTACTAAGTCTACATACACACTTCCTATAATACAACCACGACTAATATTACTATTTATTACACCTCCTATAGCTATAATACCACTAAGCACCTATAGTACACCAAGATGCTTGCCTTAAGTTTTGCTTGATCCCCTTCAAGAAGCAGCTTCTCGAGATCATCCATGTTGGCGATTGGCACTGCCACGTTCCCATCCAGGACATATCGATGTCCTACTCGGTCTGTTGCTCTGGTGTCTGCATATCTCCCATCCCGTGACTGCCCTACGATCTGTCCGCTGCTCAGCAAATCATTCACTTCGTTGCCGTAGACCTGTAGATAGTCGCAAAAATGAATCTAAATCAAGTAATAAATAGTGATGGAAATAAAGTAAGAGCTTCTTATTGTTCATTACAGATACGCATACCCTAATTCCTCTTACAGATACGCTTATCCTCATATACAGAAAGTGTCTTGCACCAGTTAGGTCACGTTCATGCTAACACAGTTCACACAGAGACCATCCCACGATCTGGCCGCTGCTCAGCAAATCGGTACTACTAATCCTATGTATAATGAATCTAAATAAAGTCTAGGTAGTACCTCAACGTAGCTGACCAGGAGGCTCATGTTCACGTTGACGCGGTTTCTCTTCGAGTGGCTAGTCTTCTCGCCCGGTTGCTCTGGGATCTTAGAAAGCGCGCTGATCTTGAGGAATCCATTGCAGAGTAGATAAGGAGTGATCGCTTGAATCTCACAGGTTTGAACGGATGCAGCACTGGGGAACAATCTAGTATTTGTGGTGGAGCCGACCTAACTAGAAAAAAGAAAGACCCGAGGAAGATAGAAAACCCCGGGCGTCTGAGCTGCAGGCACAATCTAGTATTCGATAAACTGAAATAAGCGAGTATAACTACTTAAAATAAGCGAGATACCGAACAAGGAAGAGTAGCCTTGATGTTAAGCTGCCTCCCTTATTTCAGTCAGTAACTCGGATATTTTCAGTTTTCGAGTATATAAATTTGACTTCCATAAACGAAGAACTCGTTGTTTGAAACAGGCTGTTCGCATTGCGGTTGAAGGCGTTCTCTTTCTGAACCATACCCGCTAAGACTTCTCGACAGGCTCTTGGCGCCAAACCTTCTAGGGCGCGAGAGTTCACAAAGTGCAGCTCTGGTGGGCCAAATGACGTATACGTTTTCCCTGCCGCAGTCTGGCCATAGCATATGATGCTGGCGTTTTCTCCGTTGAGAAAATCAGCAACGATCTCCCGAATCTGGTGAATTAGAATCTTCAGGGGCGACTAGACGCACGTAGACTTCAGAGAGCAATTAATTGTGTGTTATTGAAGAATCTCAATCTCGTGGACTCCTACTAGCACTACTCCTTCAACAATATGGTCTACTCACAGTTGCTATCAACACTTAGAGAAGAGTCTTTCAAGCCGTAATCCGCCATAGACATCTGCTTGCTGAGCACTTTGATGAAACACCCCGTCAAACGCAAACTCTCTGAGTCCGACACCAGGCACAACGGCTAGGACGTTTTGAGCCGTCGCATGCAAAATTTGCGCTTTCACTTTCACTCGGTCATCTGGAGATGGAGTCTTAGTCTTATAATATTAGTTATCTTTATTTCTGCGATTATGGACTTTCCAAGAATACAGTTGCGCCTGACGGATAGATCATGATCTCTTGATTATAGGTTCCGACTCAACTTCGATTTGCTCTCGAACATGACGGAACAATCTTAATAAACCTAAAGTAAGTACCTGATCTTTCTCCACTGCTGCTACTCCCACCCGACGGCTCTAGATCCCTGTCGCTGTCTTGATTGACACCTGAGGACGATGCAGCAGCCGAACATTCTAAACCGTCTGGATTCGACCCAGCTTCTCCCCCGGTTTCCGTGCTCCCTGTCGCCCCAGGATCTGTAGAACTAGTACTACTAGCTGCATTACCGCACACCTTAGATGGAAATTTTCCCCGTGATCTTCCTCCATCTTGAAGGTTGGGTTCGGTTAGGTTAGGTTAGGTTAGGTTAGGTTAGGTTAGGTTATGGAACAATTCACTCATCTGTCTTCGATGATTTTCTTCCTTTCTGTCTTCGATAGATCATCTAAGATGGATCGATGCCTGTAATAAGGATAAGACCGGATAATATCAAATAAACGGACTTCAGGAGCAGGAGGAGCCATATTAACTCCCCTCGAGTTAGCGCACAAACTCTTCTCGCCGAACGCAGAGCCGTCTGACGTATCCGCGAGTGGAACGCGACCCCGCTCTCGTATAATCGCTTTCAATGCTTCCTCGTGGCGAAGTCCAGGATGCTGCTGTTTCAGCAAAGCAACCTTTTGGTGCAAAGGTAAGGTTCAATTTAGAACTCATTTATTCAGGAGAAAAAGTACTATAACCAACATACACTCGCTGCACTTCTGAGTCGTGAGATCTCTATTAAAAGTCAAAGTCTCCCAAGCAATAATCTTAATCTGAGTCTCTCACCATCACCATAAAACGACATTGTCAGGTGTAGAATCTTGCATGGCAGAAGCCGGGATCGGTCTCATACGTACGTAGACTTCTATCTTTAAAGCTCAGCACTCAATGGTCACTGATGCGGAACGAGAGAGACCCCCGCCAAAGCTCTCCCCTTTCCCTTCCTTTTCCCCTATTCTCTAAAGGGGTCGCTTCTTCGATCTCAGTGACTCCAATCTAAATGATGACCATTGAACAAAGCTGAGCCTTAATATCTTGAACTCCTCCATTCTGTATCCTGTACGTCTGTTCGCCGACGCAGCTGAGCCGCTCGATGCACTGAGTCCCGTGCTCTCCGCTGGTTGCCACTGTTGGAGGGACACTAGTGGATAGGAAGGACCTGATGTGCTGCTACATGTAGTCGGTTGATGTGGAGGGATATTCACCTGCGGAGCTGGAGGAATGCTGGATACCAATGCCGCACTAGTTGTTGTAGTACTCGCATTGTTCACAACTGCGGTCGATGCTGAGGCCAACTCGATGGGTGCAGCAGGACCCGACGAAGAAGCACTAGTTTCTGGCACGCTAGCTACAGCACCAACTCCAGAGACGTTATGCGGAGAGTTGTGCTCCTGATCCCTCGTCGCAGGTGCAAACGGAAAGGCAGAAGATGAGGACGAACTACTTTCACCAACTCCTGAAGCGCCATCCGTTCTTGCACCCGCTTCATGTTGATCAATACTTCTTTGGTCGACCGTAGCAGTACTTGTCGTGGTCTCTGGAGCTACTACATGACTCCTATCATTCCTATCCTCACTAACGGTCCTACTATCCGCAACAAGAGCGTTTGAGAATGCTGTAGCAGCCGCATCGCTGTCCAGTAGAGAAGTAAATCTATGCCGTTGCGCAAAAAGCCGAAAGAAGCGATCTCGCCACCATTCTTCTTCACTTTCTATTAGATTCATTCTACACAAGTACTTATAAATATTCATCTTCCTTGACGATGAAAGGCTACTCTTGAAGGAAAGTGTGACGTGTTAGTTATTATAGTTTCCCCCTTGAAAATATTAAATTGAGTCAAGGTCTGAACATGTTGCTCAAGATGAATCAGAATGTAGCTAACAAGCCTTACTTCTAGACTGCACCACGCAACATTTCGTGCACCACCGCCAGCACCTCCAGACTCGGGTAAATACAAGGCATGCTCTGCCGCAACGCGGATGCACAAAAAACGCCACCACACAACACCAGATGAGGTCGCCTTTCCTAGTTTCCTCGAAAGTAGAGCAGTTGTTAGACCGGAAGGCGTTGACTGTAGAGGTTGAGCAGGTGTAAGAAGCGAGGTAGGTGGAAGAGACGAGGATGTACTCGAGGAGGGACTTGAGGATGGTTCTACCTTTGTATTCTTACTTGAGGACGGTTCTTTTGTATTCTTTCTTGAGGATGGTTCTTTTGTATTCTTGATTGAGGCGCCGCTCTTGTCTGATCCACTCACCCCACTTTTCTGCCGCAGCGCAGCAAATACGCTCAAACTTGCATCCGATTAGAGCGCAAAACCTTTCACTTCATCTTCCCTCTTTATTTCATCCCTGCTACAATACAACTCCAAAGAAGAAAACCGCGAAAGTTGAATGGTAGATTTACAATAATACAATACAATAAAACTCCAAAGAAGAAAACCGCGAAAGATCTGAATGGTAGATTTACAATGCAATACAATACAATTCCATTTTTTTTTTTGTAGTACGAGCGAGTTCCGGGAAGAACCTGCCTACATATTTTCCGCGTAGCTACCGGCGTAGGGAGGAGTTCTTAATCTCCTTAACAAACTACGCTACTGCCCCTACGATTTAAAATGCAGAACCCTAGGAGCAAAGGCAGGGAAAATTACACACCTAGTACCTGCCACCCGGGGCGTTGCCCGTCTCCCCATTACGCGCTTTTTGTGAATCCAGAGAAGAAAACCTTGAAAGATGATACCATGGAAGTACAAAAAAATTTTGAGGGGCCTTAAGATGACGTTCCACCAGGGGTGGTCGTTCCGCTCTTCTCACTGCCGAACGCAGCTTTGCAGACAAGGCGCAAAGAAACACGCGTCTTCCAGTCGCAGAATTCAGCGATGGGATACAAAACCTCGTACAGCTCAGTCGCTGCGGAGAGGTCCGAAGATGCGGCCGCGTTGCAGCCCATTATGTTTTATTTAGCTCGATAAACCTATCATCTTCTGTACTTTAACAAGTGAATTATCCTCAACAGCTATCAAAGCGACTTTAATTCAGGCAGCTAACCTCGTTTTAGCTCGCCCGCCAGGGTGCAGCTGTACTCAGCGACCGCTGCCCGTTGGCGGTTGTCTCCCTAAAAGTAAAAACGAAGTCCTAATCTAGTCGTTTACTTCCGGTTCATCTCTACTTAGCTTTTAGTGGCCATTTTCGCAAGATGAATTTTTTTTTCCAACCAGTTTATTTTTCGTGCTCCAAATTCTAATTCAGTTCATGCGCCGTTAGCACTCACATTTGTCGTCCCTCTCTACCACTCTAACAGGCGGCTTCTGAGCGCAGCAGGTGCTTGACCAGGACGCCTCCCGCACAACATCACAGAGTAAAGACCTACAAGCAGCAAGTAGCTCTAGGTAGTACTTCCCCCACAGATGAAAATTAGGAGTGCGCGCAGCCATAGTCGCCTTGAGTACTGGAAAATGTATGTGACGAAGTAGATTTGCGTGTCTTTATGTAATGCTGTAACATGCTATGTGCTGTAGTTGGATGTGTACGGGCAGTCGCGGAAAATAGAAGTCGCGCCAAAAAAGCTGCAGATAAAGATTGTTGGTATGATAAAGATTGGTGATCGACTAAAAACAAATCTTCACCCTAAACGGTCAGCATATCTATTCTCTTTCTCAAACCGTGCCACGAACTATGTTGATGTATCATTATCATGCTCTGTCCAGCATTCATCGCGCTCAACCACCGCTGCCGTTGCCGCGTTCCGTGTCTGTCTGTCGGAGGCAACTGGAAAGCGTAGCTTCACCGCCGGAAAAAATGAAGATAGATGTTGATGAGGGTGCACGTGGGTCAAGGTCAACAAAATATCTACCAAGATGATCTTCTGTTAAAACCACACTGACTCACTGGCTTTGGTCCTCACGTACTAAGGTCGACATGTAGTAGGACAAGTAGAACCACAACTGATGTAGTAGCGGTACTAATTATAGGTGAGAAGTCTAAAAAACAGGACGACTCATTGTGACCACCTCCAGCTACTACTCCTGTGTACTACAGATCAATCAATCAGGGCGGCTCCACAGGGCACCGACCTCCCCGCAGCTGCCAGATGTAGTAGCGGTACTAATTATAGGTGGGTCTAAAAAACAGGACGATTGTGACCACCAACTACTCGTGTGTACTACAGACACATCTCATATCATCTGTCAGCGGAGTCCCATCTAGCAAACCTTCTCGACGATACAGCGAGGGGTCCGACACAGTCCTTCGTAGTGACGTTGCTGATACAAATGACGCATCCAGGAAGCCGTCTTCCGCGTCTTCGTCTTCCCCTTCGTGGTCCTTTGAAGAGACTTGTTGCAGGTTCAATTTGCTTAGAAGCCAGTAGAAAGCGTGAGGAGTCTTCTTAATCTTTCTCGTATGGATAATTAAATTGTACAACTCCAAACTCGCACTTCCTCTCTGCAATTATCGTGCCTGTATAATAATTGGTTCTTGTATTTTTGACAACGAAACCATGTTGAAACAGACAGGAAGATCAGGAGCGCCCCATTGATAATAGTGTGCTGGAGGGGTGGCACTATGGGTGCCAGCGCAGGCGACACAACACAAGGAAGCGTCGCGAGCACCATTAATCATCCATTCATACCTTCGATCCCGTAGTTCCTACATCTACTGCGCCAAGAACATGGACCGTCCTCTGTTCTGTCGGATCTGTGTCCCTGGCTGAGGCGAAGAGCCTTGACTCCTCGCGAACTAATGCTGCCCTACTTTCGTCACTCAGGAAGATGAACAACTATGGTGTTGGGAGTACTTCGAATATTATTATGAAAAGGAATATAGATCCAAAAATTTTATTGAGAGAATAGTCAAATGGTCGCACTATATGGTGCACTATAAATATGGTGGGAGTAGTTCGAATATGAGAAGGAGGAGAAAGATGATTCTTATGCAATTTCTCGACAACAATAGGTTGGTAGCTTAACGTCTGTAGATCATATTCACTTACGGGGATTCACTTTGGATGGGACAGATACCAAACAAGGGAGACCCCTGCGAATTCAATCTTCTAAGAAATAGGTTTTAGTAGTACTAGTAGTAAGTAGTAAGCGTAAGTAGTAAGTAGTAAGTGGAACAGAAGAAAACGACTCAATGATGAGACACAATGGTGGCCATACGTCCGGCTGCATCAGAGTGAGCCAATGCTGAAGCTCCTCCGACTCTGGTGGTCGTGTTGCCAATCGGAGGCGTGCTCGCTATGCTCGATGAGGTATGAAAGTGGACGTATCGACAAGACCAGACAGCGTCAGATCTTCTGTGGTTGAGTGCTCTCGTTCATAATTATTGGTGTTGTAAAGTCATCCATTCATATTATACATAGTAAGTTTACTTTAATAACGAGATGATGTTTTCAAGAGTCAACCTAAAACAACACTCAACTACATAATGTCCTGTCTCAGAAGCTCTGTAGGCCCGTCTTCGTTCCGGATGATGTTCAAGCTTCAACCAGAGTCATAGACATAGTTGTCAATCTAATATAACACTCGACTACATTTTCATCAATCTAAGTATTTAATCTGGGTGGAGCCAAACTAACTAGGAAAAGAAAAAGAAGGATAGTGGGTAAAGGATAATATCATTTAGCAAATATCATAATTCGATCTAAGTATATCATTATTTTTTTAGCCCAAATATAATTTTAACATAATGTGTATATACTATTATTACGCAAATGTTATTGTACCTATTCATGCAGTATATCATTTAGCAAATATAATTTCAACATAATGTGTTCCCACCTCCGAAGCTGCCGGAACGAAGACTGGCCTACCTGGTGAGGTCGTGGTCGTGTCAAATAACAAGGGGCCCACAGCTCCCGGTGGAGGCTGAGTACTCGGAAAACGCTCATTCAACCGTGCCTCAAATTCTGCGACTCGCAAGAGCAGTTTGTTGATGTCTTCTTTCCTTAGAAGACAGGGCGGAAATCTTGAATGAATAATATTGAGTTGTTTACTGCAGACGCAGCCGCTACTCCATTCTGTGCTAGATGATAAAGGCAAAAATGTGATAGAGAGATAATGAATAATCGAAATCTTGACAGGGTATTCGGGTGCTTTTCTCCCTTGAAAGCATATCCACGACTCGGATGCTTTAGAATATTAAGATGGCTTCTTCAGAAAAGCCGCCATAATTTCAGCTGTAGTTCCTTTCTCCGGTGCCCCTTTGCGAGAGCCCTGCATTGTTTTAGGCTCTCTATCAAAGCATCAGGTGCTTGTTCACCAGCACTAGGTGCGCCATCACCCTGCGCAAAGTCCAGGAAACTCATGGTATCGGTATGCACCAGCTGAGAAAATGGTTCGCTGTGTCGTCTCAGCATGTTGTCTAGGGAGAAGAAGTGGAACAAAAAAGACGTGAAGATCGCAACAGGCACCGTACAGGCAGAGAGCAGGACTAGCTTACAACAAAGACTCCGACAAGGTGCTTTGTTTCTGCGGTGGTGACCATGGTACTGACGGCCAGAAGTGCCACCACCTCCAGCAGCAGTAGGGGTCGTTGACACGACTTTATTGCGGCCGTTGTTCGCCATATTGCTGATGTTCTCTCCTCAATTAAACACGGCTTTATTGCGGCCGTTGTTCGCCATATTGTTGTTGTTCTCTCCTCAATTAAATATCGAGTTCGATTGTACCACACAATTAGCTTCACTCTCCTCAGTCGCTCCCATCTTCTGTTTCTCAGAGATATGTATTGCAGCTTTTGTCTCTCAAGGAGGCTATCATAGTGCTTCCCAATCCACTTTTTTTTAGACGAAGAAGTTGGACAACTTGTAGTTCGAGAGTAAGTATCTATATTGAAGAACTTCTTGGATCGATAACTTCTTGGATGAAACCGATCTCATAGACTTCTTGGAACCCGAGGATAACAGAAGTCGCAGACATAGTGGAGAGGAAGAGTTGAACACTTTTAGTGCGCCTCTGTCCTCTGCTCTACCATAAATGAAGGGATAACGCCAGTAGTCCAAGTTTGTCCCTGATCAAGTAGCAGCATGTAGGTGAAGGGCAGGTCGTATAGTGTTTAGACGAGACGCATTCTCTTCTCTCAGCGCTCGTAGTATCAGTCAGGAGAAAAGCAAAGACTTAATGTTTTCTCGACGAGCAGGAGGGGGACCAGGTGGGGTCGATTCCTAGCATTAGCCTCAGGACCTGATTCCCAGTCATAGACCTGATTCCCATGGAATTGGCAACAGTCTATAACTTTGTACAAACTTTTACCTAAAAGTAGTACAAACTACCTAAAAGAAGTTCACGTAGTGGAACAACTCCTACATCATGATAGACGATGCTTCACTTTGAACGATTTGAATTTCTTGGATTTGCTACATGCGAGCCAGTACGGGAAGATTCTTAGTATTTCCGGACAAGCCTGCTGCATGGAATGTCCTTTTCCAGAAAGCTTCTAGAAATCCTTGTCCGGCTGTAAATTCAACGCGTCTCGTATCACGGCAGCCTCAGCAAAGGGAATGGGAGGATCATTTTTGTAACTGCAGATACAGATAATTTCGTCTGCGCTTTTTTGCATCTTAGTCCATTCTGGCTTGGTGATCGGTCTGGCTTTCCATCAGGCTAAGCTGGTTAGTAGCCGCTTTCGAGGGAGAATAAAGTAGTTCTAGTTTCCACAAAAAATCATTAACAGACTACAAAAGATTCCAATCTGAACAGCTACAACTACTACAACTCCTTGTTCTGATCATAACTCATTCGCACTGCCATTCCCCCTCAGGAGAGGCAAAAGAAACGGCAACATTCTTCTGAAAAAGATGCAACTGATCTCAAGGCAGTTCCGAGTCTTCTGAAGAAGATGCAACTGGTCTCAAGGCAGTTCCAAGTCGCTCTTTCGAGGTGGATTCTTCTGAAAAATAGGCAGGATCGGCCTCCTCGGTGTTGGACAAAGGACTGAGCTTGCCGCGGCACCCGGAACCTTGTGAAAGCCTGCCAGTCGATGCGGCACGCCAGCGAGTTCGCGCCACACAGCACGATGAAAGTGCAGACTACACCCACCATTATCCCGTTCATGGATTTGAGAAGTAACCGCGAAGGTCGATCGCGCTTGAAGCTCCTCGCGAGTCATCAATCGACGGATCATTTCGCAATCAATAGAATCTTGGCCAGCAAAAAGCGAATCAATCCACGGGGGCCCGACTCCGCGGACCTCACCACGGTAGCTTTGATGCAGTTGAACGCGGTGGGGTGCGCCTGACCGAGTAGGACTGCTCGTTGTTGTTGACGCACCTCCTGCCGAACCACGCGCAAGGAAGGATTTTTGTCCCAGCGAAGAAGAAGCAGCACCAGCGGAAGAAGTAGTGGGGAGTTGTACTTGATGCGAGGGTAGTACGTGAACTTGAAGATGCGGGAACAGCGAAGGCCGCGATGCGGCTTCATCTTTAATCCGCAACTTCTTGTCTCCGATTCCGCCTTTTTCTGTGATCTCCTCCAATGCCAGCTGGTCGCCATCACATACCGCGCCCATGCTTGTCGTAGCACTTCTAGAATTAGCGGTAGCTTTTTGGTGTTCGTCTATCCCGTTTCTTATGGTGCCTGTCTCCCTTAGGAGAGCTATAACAAACGGCAACATCAAGAACGCCTGCTTTAACCTCCCCTCTAGGTCGGCCCCCTCATCTTGACCCCTTGTACCTCGTATTTCATGAGAATTTTCAAGGCAAAAGGGGACCAAGATGCCGAGAAAGATGGACACTAAATGTTGACCATAATATCAGAAGTACTTGATGTCCTAGAAGTACTTGTCCAGTGGTGCCCATGATGTCCATGTCTACCCTCAAAAGAAATACTTGTCCAGTGGTGCCCATCTCCATTGATCATGGCATCCAACTCAAGAGCATCGACGATGCGAGGGAGCTGGTCTCCGTCTTCTATTCTTGTATTTGGAATACAAATACTCTGCAGAAGCTCTACTTCTGTAGGAGCGCTACTACTGTAGCAGGAGATACTCTGCAGATACTCCTCACACGATCCAGACTCTGTTTCTGTAGTGGAACAACAAACGCACAGATTACTATTAGTGAGGCGGCACAGTTGAGAATCGCACACAGCAGGAGAACAGCACCACAGACCACGAGAACCCAGAAGTAGGCGAGCTGCATCCAGATCGGGCGGCCACTCCACGGCTTCTGCATTGCCTCCACCACGACCAGTCACAGGACCGCCCAGACCGTCGGACCATGAGGATGTTGCGGAGAAAACTTAGAGGTAGGTTTTTGGTGCTCGCTTACCCCGCTTGTTATGCCTTTCTCATCCTAAGGGAGAGAGGCATAAAAAGCGGTAAGAAAAGCACCTTTAACCTACCCTTAAGAGAAATCAAATCTATTCAAAGTGTCTACTGCCTGGTGATGTTCAGGACCACCCGAGACGGCAGTGGCCGAGGAGTGGGTGACAGCTTCACGTTGCCTCGCATGTTTCCCCGAATGCCGATCCTCTTGACTGATAGTACGACCTAGGTTGCAAAAAGCTAGAAGATCTTGATACTTCCTCTTTTTCATCCTGTCGTCGTTGCAACAAGGAGAAGCTTGATGATCGTCGCGAAGAACCTGAATTAGATGAGGTCAAAACATTTCATTTCTTGCGTTCATTTCTTCAGATTCCCAAAAAGAAAATTGCGAGAAATGACTTATAGAAATGAAATATAATTTTGAGCCTTAACTGAAGATATTTTCTATTTTCCATCCTGTCGTCGAGATCCTTCTCCTCAACAAGCGAAACCACAGGCGAAGCATGTTGAAACTCAACATCTTCAACATCTGCTGTCCGGTCTTCAACGTCTTCATTTTAATAGAGCTCACCCTTGTTATCCATCTTGATACTATCATCCCATTCCCAGAACCCTTTTCTTTGCCCTTGAGAAGCTAGGATGCTTCGTTCCAGGTGAGATGGATTAACGCAAGAGCCTTAATCATTACAGTCATCTTCATGATCCCGATGGTGGCGATCGCCTTCACTTCCTGGCGACGTGCTTGCATCTAAGTCAGAGACTCCTTGTTGTGCATCTCCTGCTGGCGAGATGTTGGCCGTATGTGTACTAGAGGACGCAAGACCACGTTCATAATCTCGTGCCAAAAATAGCGGAGGACAACTGTTGTTCCACTGTGCTGCTCGAGCTGAGAGTGCAAGTAGGGCCGCTAGGAGTGCAAACGCGACTCCTGAGCAGGGCAGCCGAATCGTGGGAGGAGGAAGCGGGACCATGATCTGCTTTCCCTATCATTCAGCGAGAGCTAGCATATGATGAAGAAGATGTTGAGAAAAATGAGCATTTCATTGACGTTGTTGATACGGTCTTGTCATCGACTAGCAGCGGTCATAGAAATAGGTGTCTTGATAATTACGGCGGCTGTACAGGTGGAACAAGATAGTGCCGATTATTAGAGGAGCTCAAGCGATCCATTTGTCGACTCATTTCCTGCAAGCGGCTTATTCCTTGAAGAGTAGCATCAATTCTCATCCTGCTAGTCGATTCCGATTGGATCTACGACTCCCTTGCATCTTATCTTACTAGTAGAGGAATGATATTCCCTTACTAGATAGACTAAGTACTGTATACCTACACTCTTCACTCGCGAAAAAATGGAAGCTTAGAGGAAGAAGCAGCTTCATCTCTGAAATATATCAACATAAGGATCATTTAGGTATTCAGTCTTTTCATCTTGTGGAAATTAGTCATCGAGTCGGGCCATAAGTCGAGTAGGTAGACAGTTGTTGCAATCCTCCAAATGGGGTGCTTGCAATCCTCCAAAAGGGGTGCTTGTAATCCTCCTCGAGACAGGGTAGTTGTAAACTCCCAGGGAGGTGGACGTAGTTGTAAACTGCACAGCTTCCAGAGAGGTGGTGGTGGACGTAGTCGTAAACTGGTGATGCAGAACGGCAGAGTACCAGAAGCATGATTAGCGCCAGCGTTTATCCATCTCGGTCCCCCCATCTTGGCCCCGTTTGCCCCATTGTATTATTCATGAGTAGCAGTAGTTGTCATTTTGCCCTCATCATACCCCATGGCTGGTTACACAACTACTGCTACTCATGAATAATATATATTGAAAGTTGTAAACCCATGGCAAAAGGGTATGAGAATACAGAGTAACAAAAAGGTATCCGAGAGCTTATCCGAGAAAGATAGGTAAAAGCCGAACGTAAAGACAGAAGGATCTCCTCGTCCGCAAGAAGGAGCTTCTCCTCGTCCAAGCAAGAGAGACTCCTGAGACAAGCCGTGTCGCTGTGCGTGTCGTGGTGCGTTTTTTCAATCTGGTGCTGATTTTCAATCTTGTTCATCAACTCGTGCTTAGCGTGTCGTGGTGCGTTTTTTCAATCTGGTGCGTATTTTCAATCTTGTTCATCAACTCGTGCTTAGCGTGTCGTGGTGCGTTTTTTCAATCTGGTGCGTATTTTCAATCTTGTTCATCAACTCGTGCTTAGCGTGTCGTGGTGCGTTTTTTCAATCTGGTGCGTATTTTCAATCTTGTTCATCAACTCGTGCTTAGCGTGTCGTGGTGCGTTTCTTCAATCTTGTTCATCAACCATCAATTATTGTGGTTGTTCATCAACCGCTAATTGTTGGTGTTGTTGTGGTTAATCTTATTCTTTCATGTGCTCCACCCCGGCATTTTTTTTTTGTTACCTGGGTCTACTATTCTCGCTTTTTCTGACAATCTACATGCTTAGCATGTTGTCTATTTATTAACGCTAGGACTGTTTCACTATCCCTGACAAGAACTTAGGATGTGGATCTTTGATGAAGGTGATGTAGATAATTCAATACATAGCAAGAACACAACAAGATCTAGTGACTTCCGGCCAAAAAAAAAAATGAATTTGAGAAAAACAAAAAGTTTGTAGGAGCTCTCCAAATGCATCTTACACTATATAGGAAAATCTAAACCACAACTTCCATTCAAGTCAACATCAGGTTCAGGCTTCTCCTGCAACTACATTTTTAAAGTGGGCGCTCATTAAAGTGGGCGCCTTCTATATCTTCACCGGCACTAGCAGCATGACTCTCCAAATGCATCTAGAGCCTGCCAGCAGTGATATCTTCGTCGAAGCCGACTAAGCAGAAACCAGAAGAGGCTCTTCGTCTGGCATGCTTGGAGGCGCTAGGCAGTGATAAGGGAACAAGCCAACGCCTAAGCCACTGAACCAATTGCGCAGTTAGGTTTCATGCAATAGCATTTTCCCGTGATGGTGCGTAATTTGTTTCACCATGCGAGAGAGATTTGGGATTTGGAACTTGAGCTTGTTTCATCGCTTGATGTTTCCATAGCTAGCGTACTAGAGGACCTTCATCAGTTGTCGGTTTCCTTCATTCTTCTTCTATACATTTATAGTACAAGCAAGCACAAGAAAAGTTCTCGATCGACGCGATACTCTACTTCTTGCTCGCGATACTCGACAAAGCTAGCCCTCCGCCTCCGTTCTTGAGTTACATTTCCATACATTTCTAAACAGGTTCTTGCCGCATGTAATTAGGATGCCTTGGCCACCTCCAATTGGCTCTAATATGCTGATCCTGATCGAAACTACCCAGCACCTAACCTAGTATTTCATATAATGGATGATCAACAGAAGTGGAGATATTCGCATAAGATACTTCAGCTCAACGAGCAGTATTGCACCTGTCCAAGAGTCTACATGCTTATGTCTAAATGTTTGTCCATCGCTTTCTCGTAAGGATGCACACACTGCGAACAATATGGTGTATTAACCTACGTAGGTAGCCATGATGACCTAATGTATGATGCAGAATTCCTATCGATTTTTATGATATGGAACCTCCTAATCTTAATATAACAATACAAGTCTAGTAATAATAAGCATTAGAGTGCTCGAAGATCTACTAAGTGTTCATACTTTATATAATAGAAATAGCATTAGAGTTCTTTCTCCTTCGCAGCAGCAGCTTTCTATTCGCCTGATGGAGCTTACCGACGTCCATTACTCCTCTTCATTTGCAGCATCTTCCTCCTCACAGTATGAAAGAGAGTTGTCAATAAAACGCTACCGAAGACTGTAGCTGGTGTCCCTATCATTAGTTTTACATTTGCCGCCACCGGGGTCCCCCGCGCGATAGTTCCGCCTCTTACCCGGGGCGCACCTCTCGATAATGTCCTGGGGAGTTCCAGTATCTATTTCCTAATCCATTCACTCAGTCATCTACCTACCTGTACAGTGAGGTGGCGTCCAGGACCACGAAGACAAAGAACCAAACCTGCCTGCAAAAAATTCTCATATCAACGGAAAACTTCTTCTCATTCTCAGAAATCAGCATTTTTGAGGATGAGAAGGAGTTTTCCTTTGATACCCTTAGTAAACCCATTCTATATATTTATCGGAACCTAGCCTTTTGATACCCGCCTTACCCACTCTTTCAAATCTATAGGAACCTACCAACCCTTCATAAAACAGTCTCCTCCTCTGCTTCCAGTTGTTCATCTTCCTCCCCATTGAAGCCGAAAATCGCCTTTAAATGGGCAAAGGCGTGATGTCCAGACTCTATATTCCGGATCATGCGCAAGAAAGCGTGAAAATCGATGCCATCCCGTAGGGGGTCGAGTGGGGATTAGAAACTTTCTTTTGTATTTCTGTATAACTCTCCTTGTCGAGGATCCCCAAAGGTGATGCATCACCTTTGGGGATCGAGATCGACACTCCTATTGGTTCAACTAGAAGCGGCCCTAGTAGTACTGAGTAGAGCTAGCGTATTCTGATGGCTAAAGGCTTGTGAAATCTCTGTAGTTGAAAGAACGGTAGAAGTAAGTATGGGATGCACTCACTCATAATCAAGACTGTGAAAGAGTCCCCAAAGTGTTTCACTGGTCAGAAAGCTTTGCGGCGCCGCGATATGGTACAGCTTACCGATCACCTCGCGAACTTCTGCAAGATTAGAACAAGCTAGAAGACCTCGACATTTACACTAGGCCAAGAAATAGAGCATTGTCATGTCATGAGGTTTGATATGAGGCCATTCAGTACACCTCCTTACCACCTTACCAATAATCATGGGTCTACTAGACGACTTTAGAGAGTGATCGTCTAAACCACAACTATACATAGGAGAGTGAAGATCTAAACCACGAGAGCATCCATAAAGAGCAAACGACAACTTTAGACACAACAGCCATCTAACTCTCAAGAACCACAAGAGCGCACTACTTCTACTAGAGAGCATCCTGCATGCACTACCTCTAAAGAGTGAGCAAGAAGTGAGCATCCATAACGCTAAGAAGTGAGCATAAGTATCCACAATGCTAAGAAGTGACCATACTGCTGAGAAGCATTCCACAAGAGAGCAAGAAGTGATCTAAACCATAATGCTATCCAGCTAGTAAGTGATTTAGGGAACTGCTAAAGACCAGCATCCATAATGATATCCAACTTGCCACTGTGATCTGTGTCGATGATATCGAAAATCTCCTTCAGCTCCAACACGTGTTCCTCATCTAGGAAGCCCAGTTCGCGCGCCTCCCGTAGCATCTGTTCGCCTTGAGTGAACTCGTACTCCAAAATAACGCGTGCATATGAAGGTGGATGAGGACATGATAGTTATTTCTACTTTTAAACTTTCATGATTTTGAATTTGACGTCATCAAATTTTGAATTTGATACGAAGATACTAGGTAACTTATAGGAATAAGACACATACTATATGATAAGTGAACAGGCCAACGCCTAAACCACTAAGCCAACTGCGCAGTTGGCTTAGTGGTTTATGCGTTGGCCTGTTCACTTATCAATCAAACTACCTAGGGTCCGAGTCCCGGTAATATCAAAAAAAGTGACAGAGTCCAAAATCACTATAGTTTAGTACTAAACTGGTGATGAATTAGAATTAGTAGAAGTAATCATGATCTCCTAGTTAATTAGTAGTCCTTCCTAGGGCCACCTAGGTTGCATAGTTGTTTCCTAAATCTAATAAATCGTGTGGAATGAGAACTGCAGATAAGTGAACAAGCCAAGAAGCGATGTTCCTACTTTAGTCCCTCTACTAGTGGTTCTATTTTGGCTCCTGCGGGTTCATTTATTGGCTAGGACACAACGAACTATCCATTGTCGGTCGGATTCTCTTTCTCACAGCATGAGCCTCTCCTGGTGTTAGCCTTACATACACAACTACTCACTGTGATGAGCACTAAACAACGGGCCACGGTTATGGTCATGTAGTTCAGGTCTAACCCTCCCTGGTCAAGTTTGAAGCAAATCTTACACAGAGCAACTACGTAGACCGCCTCACGGTAAGCATTTTACCATAAAGCATACAATCCCTGGAATTCATGAAAGTCGATTTCCCCACTTGAGTCGACGTCTGAGTCGTTCAGTATCGCCCGTAGCTGATCCTGTTCTGCTTTCGTTCTAGGTGCCAGCCCTACTTTTAGAGAGTACTAGCTCGCCCTAATCTACTCGCCCCCATGATCTCAAGATTTAGTACATACATATCCTCTTGAGCAGGGTCTCTTTTCCTCTTGAAAAGCAGACTCTTCATTCAAAAACAGACTCTTGAAAAGCAGACTCTTCATTCAAAAACAGACTCTTGAAAAGCAGACTCTTGAAAAACAGACTCTTCACTGAAGTATCTTTCAAAAAGAAGGCCTTAAAATATCCGTCAGCAATCGGCTCACCTCTCCCATACTTAGGAAAGTGGGCACTTTTACCTGGATCATTTTGGACTCTTCCTGTGCTACTACTGGCGCTACTCCTACTTAATACAATAGCATTCCACTTCCACATTATTAATTATAACAAACCTTGATGCAATTGCAATAGACTTAAATCAATCTTAATCTTTATCATTTAGACCTATCACAATGAAGCTAATACAGTCGACGCCGGAAAGAGAGCATAAACCACATGGTTGCCCGCCTCTGCGTGGAAGTCGCCCAGAGGTGCGTACGACTCAAATATATCCATCAGCAACCGCTTGCCAAGCTCCTTCGCTTATGAAGAGAGATCTTCATCTCTAGGGTGCATTATGGTTACTTATGTGTATATTAATTATGGTGTGTGGGCTGCTCGCGGCCAGTATTGCTCAGGCACAGCAGATGCAAGCACCAGTAGTAGTAATGAAAAGCTGTACTAGCACTACGACTTTCTTCAAAGAAAAGGGCCCGACCTAGGTACTATCAAGAATAAGAATTTTTCTTTTCCTTCAACATCGTGTCGGTCCTCTGCGTGAGTCAAAATCTGTGGCTCTCTATTTCTAGCACCTGTAATACGTACACCTGCACTTTCCATAACAGACGTTGAAAGAGCGCCAAAAAGTTCAAGAAGTGAATCGCTGGTCCCGGAAATTTGTCCAGGAGAGGGCCCACTTCAGCCCAAAGAAAACGGTTGTGCCGCTTGCAGATGTTAGAGGAAAAAGGGGGGAGCCAAAAAGACAAGCAAAGACAAGCAACGAAGCCAAAGAGGAATAATTGTGAACCTGGCCGCCATTTCATCTACGTAGAAGAGGATACACGGTCCTCTGCTGTTGAGTAGAAACTGCAGTAGAAAACTCTGTATATGCTACAACCTGCACAGGAGCAGCCATAAATATGCCTAATTCCCGCAAGCAGTGCTGAACGTCGCACTTGAGCAGGATCTTGTCTTTGCTTTCTGCTATCAGTGTCGCCATGGCTAGTGTGCTTGATCCGCCTAGGTGGAATGAGTGCGCACGTTGAGGAAAAGAGGTTGATGAATTAAGAAATCTTTCCGCAATTGTTGATAGGTCGTTGAGTGATCTCAGTTTTTAGGAAGATCGTTTGTTCTTGATACAATTTTCAACACCAAAAATGTCATGCGAAGATGGAGCCTCTTTTATAGCAGTAGGGGTCTATCTGTGAGGCCGATCAGTGTTGCACCCCCGTGATTTTCAACACCAAAAACAAGGTACTTGCAGTTATAGAAGTAGTAGTCGTAGTAGTAGTGTACCCATTCTACGGGTACTTACCTTCTCCGCGACCGCGATTCGCAACCTTTCCGCCTTTCCGCGTTGTACGACGCTTCGGATCGCTCACGGTACTTCTTGGTTGCCCGTTGCTTCCCGCAGCGGATACAAGAACCAAGTTCGTCGCAGCAGGAGAGAGCTTGTTGCTCGTCATGCTTGAAGGATTTGGAGGAGAGTGATTGGGAGACGCTCCACCGTTTGACGCTCCACCGTTTCCGCCAGCAAATACAGCTCTAAGGTACGCGTTCGGCTTCGCTGGGCCCTCGGCTGGGGCAGTAGTCACGGCAGGACCCGATGGAATGTATCTCTGGCCGTGAATACTCACTTCGAGTTTCTGGAGAGTGCGACTAGATCCTTGCGATTTGCTCCCATCATTGGAGTCAGCGTTTTTTCACTATCCCTGGTTCTTGAGTGATTATTATAACCTTAGTTTCGAGCCCCTTAGTTATTTGGGATACATAGTACTAAAAAATGAAGACCTTAACTACATCAGCATCCGGAGTACACACACATACATTTTCAAACAAGACGCTTGCTGCAGTTCCTTCAAAAGTGTCCTCTGCCTGTTCTGGTCGGGCGAAACTAGGACCACTATTTTTCCTCAGGGGCTCCGGGAATAAATGCAGCGGCGATTCATCTGTCACCATGGTCTCTCCTCCTGATGGGTCCGTCATAGTTAGAGTGAATCAATCAAGTCAGACGTGACCACTTGCATCTTCCGTAGTAGCATCCTTTTACTTGGCCTCTTTATCTTCTAGTGAAAAACAAGGAACAACCCAAGAATGTACGATGCTCCGGATCCTTCAAAAATGGTAGCCTTAACATAGACTTCGAAACTGGACTGAGGCCTCCCGTAATGGATTGTGTCTTACGCCGACTTCTCTTGATACTGCCCAGAGGAAGGGAACTCGGTAAAGTGTTAGAAAGGAAACGAGGAGAGAACTTGTTGTCGGCTTGATTCGATATCATTCAGATTCACATCATTAATACCTTCTCAAATATCATAGTGCTTCAGGCTAAGTAGGTCTCTATCCAATACAGCGACAACAGTATTCACGTCTTCTAGTATTAATCTTAGTGTTTCATCATCATCCGGCATTATGTGACAATGCAATACAATACAATTAATCTCGCCCCTTCAGGGGTTTTGTTTTCCTTCGTAAGAACATCCGCGGCGGCGGCGGTGAGAGAGATAGTTCTTTAGTTTTTCTTTTTCTATCTTGTGCACAAACCTACAAACCCGCTGGGTGATGACAACAAAGTTTGAATCCATCGAACTTGTTGATTTGATGTAAAGTTGAGTTCCAATTCAGGTGAGATTGACATGTGTGTAACGTTCATATCGGTGCATCAAGTGCGCACGCCCTTTTTCATGAGGGCCCTCCCGTGCCTTTTCTCACGACGGTTTGGGCTATGCCTTGGCAGAGGCGTATTCCCCTTTTCACGCGTGCCTTTTCTCTTTGTTGTCATCTTGTTATGCCGCTTTCGGTCGCGGACGACCTGAGGTTTCTTGTGCACGGCGGCGTTTTCGTCGTCGGTTGGGGTAAGGCTGAGTCCTTGCCAGTATTTGATCTCTTGCTCGAAGAAGTTCCGCAGCCCACCATGCTCGATGGTGCTGAGGTAGTCCTTGCCCCAAATGCGTTCGCACTTCTCGTGCGGACCGATGATTACCTCGGGCAACGGATGCGTTGCTGATGTTAACAGATTCAAGATATCCGGCGGGACGTCGCGGACGTCCTCGGCCTGCCGGCCCCATAGTGCTGTGGCGTGGTGGATGAGGTCCATCCTCGTAAGCGGGTCGGCCGGGTTACGTGCTGTTTGCACGTAGCGATGCCACATTCTGCAATCCAGATCCACGTTCCTCTTTGCTGCCCAGGTGGCCAAACGGGCCGTGTGCGCGTTCCTAGCGCTAGTTTTGATTAGCGCGTATAGCTCTCCGGTGTTGTCGATGCTACAGATGCAAGTTGCCCCGCGGAGCTGGTGGCGAAAGTGATGTTGGGCCAGGCACACGGCCATGGTTTCGTATTGTTCGATTGTCCAATCCCCCGTAGGGGCCGCTGAAGCGAACGTGTGCGGGCTGCCGTGTGCGTCTAGTAGCAGACCGCCGATCATTGGCTCTCCCTGTAGCCCATCTGTGCTCGCGTCAAGGTAGAGGAAGACGTAATTTGCCGCGGTCCAGGAAAGTGGTTGCGGTGGCAGCTGCGTTGCATGTGCAACCGCCGCTTTGGTTAATCTTGCAAGTGAGGCGCGTTCTTGCTTGTTGCTTTTCAAGAAATCGAAGCTATCGGTTGTCCACGTGTGCATTCCTCTCAGGAATTCTGCGCCGATTCTGGTGGTGTGACAGATGACGAAGTTCAGCATTCCGAGCACTTTTTGAACTTGCTTCTTCTTGATGGACTTGGACTTGATCTGCTGCAGCAGGAGGTTGCCGGCTTTGAGGAGTTTCGCTAGGTTCTTGTAGGAGACGTAGGCGTAGACGGCCGCGTTTGTGCGGTCGTATAGGTACCAGACTCCAAGCACCTTGACGGCGTTGGTAGCTGTGCTGATCTGGTTTCCATCGGCTTTTTCGGCCAGCGCCATGCCGCAGCATGCCGACAATGCATCGTATGTTTGGCGCATGAGTTCTGCGGTCTCGCTGTTCGGACCGAGCAGGAAGGCGTCATCGATGTAAATTAGTGCAGGCATCGTGGTTTTGTCCAAGATGGTCATGAATGCTTCCGAGATTCTGCAGAAATTTGGCACCGACAATGTGTTGCCCATGTTGAGCACTGCGGCGTGGTAGTACTGCCAGTCGCCTCTACTAGGTGCGTAGAAAGCGATGCTGTTATGCTCGGGCCGCGCCACTCCAAACAGGTAGTAGGCCTTTGACCAGTCGCGCACGACTGCTTCCGGCAGCGTTGCTGTTGTTGATGCCGGTGGGGTCTCCTGGTTGAGACTTCTGATTTGCTCAGCCAGTTGCTCTGGGGTTGCGTCTGCTGCTGGGTGCTCTGAGTTGCGATGCAGCTCAGCTTGTCTCCACGCTTCGTTTGCCGTGTGGCTGGACGGCAGTCGCGTTGACGTGGCTTCTAGCCCCAGCGGGGCGAGGTATGCCGCGTACATTTCCTGTATCATGCGAGTGCCATGTAGCCGGACTTTCTCCGGCAATGTTGAGTACTCGTTTTGAGGCCGTGCATCGATGATTTGCCGGATTTTTAGTTCTTCCACCTTTGGGAACGCGTAGGATGGATTAGTGACGAGTTGCTGCTGCGTGGTGCGAATGTAGCTGCCTGCATCAGCCATTTTTTCCGCGTCCTCGAACATGGACTCCAGCACTGCGTCATCGAAACGCGGTGCGGCGCGCTTAACGATGGAGACGTTGTCGAAGAATTCTTGGAGCTGCTTGTCCGTGATTGGAGTTACGTTGGGGTCCGTTTCCCACACGTTTGTTTGGGTCGCGTTGCCCACCGCGGGGAAGCCTGTGACGATTTCCGCGCACAGGTTTGTGTCCTTGTGACCCGCCCACTTCAGGAGCTTCTCAAGTGCGATGACGTTCCGACAGCACGTCGCTCCCACACCTAGCACGGGCCATAGGTGCGCTGGCGCGTGTGTGCGCAAGAATTTGTCGTTCTTCGCTTGCGTTTTTCGTTGTAGATGCTCAAACTTCTTCTTCATCTTCCGTACATTCTTTGCCCATGCGCTTGGGTCGGATTTGGCGTTGTAGATGTTGGCTGCGACCGCGGGTCGCAACGTTGTTGTCGAGGCCAACCTGGCCACTTGGCGAAGTGTTGTGATAGTGTCGAAAATCTCAGCTCGATGAAGTCGCAATTTCTCCTGGTGCAACTCCTCCTCCACGCGGTGGAGGGTTTCCCGAGCGGAGGCATTGGATTGGGGTGGCAATGGGGCTCGGAAAACACCGCGATGGCACTGAGAACGAGCTTACTCATCTTGACCTATACTACACACCAATCTAGTAACACCGAAATCTAGTTACCCGAGTTTCTAGTAGAGGATAAGTTCACTCACCACCATCACGTCACCCCTAGAAGGGGCGAGGTACCCCTTCAGGGGTTTTGTTTTCCTTCGTAAGAACATCCGCGGCGGCGGCGGTGAGAGAGATAGTTCTTTAGTTTTTCTTTTTCTATCTTGTGCACAAACCTACAAACCCGCTGGGTGATGACAACAAAGTTTGAATCCATCGAACTTGTTGATTTGATGTAAAGTTGAGTTCCAATTCAGGTGAGATTGACATGTGTGTAACGTTCATATCGGTGCATCAAGTGCGCACGCCCTTTTTCATGAGGGCCCTCCCGTGCCTTTTCTCGCGACGGTTTGGGCTATGCCTTTTCTCCGACCGTTTTCGACGTCCTTCTGCTATGGTCCGCATGGTAAGGACGCCCGTCGGGCGCTCTAGCCGTCCGCGACGGCTTGACGAAGGAAGGCGCGGAGGGTAACGTTCTTGCTTTTGCGTTGCTCGAAGGTGCGCTTGGTCTCCTGCATTGCGTCCCAGTGTCGTTCTGGGGTTTGCCAGTGGCCCATGAGGTAGTTGTATTTTGCTGGAACTCCCAGCATGCTCCAGTCTGCTACTGGGCCTCTGCTCTTTTTTGGCAAGACCGTTTCTGACGGCTTCGCGCTACTGGCCCCCGCTTTTGGTTGCAATATTTTCGCCGGCTTCCTGACTTTGGTGGCCGGTGTTGACTTTCCGCTTGCTTCACCTTTTGGGAAGGCTCGCCCGGCGACATGCACGCGCACGTAGCCCTTCTTACCCATCGCGAGGTTGTACGCTTTTGATGTGTAGAAGGTGGCGCCCATGTTGCTGGCTGCCACCGGTGGTGCGCTGGATGACGACGCGGTCGTGGCACCCTCGTGGAAACCAGGCGCGGAGGCCGACTGGCTCTGTAGAGTCTGCTTTTCAAGTTCCTTGATTTGCTCGTTTGCCTGGTAGTCGTCGTCGTCTTCTTCATCCCGGGCCATGCGCGCCGCGATGGTAGCCTTGGTCATCTCCGCCTTATCGTAGAATTCCATTGCTTGGGTTGTGAGGACGGTGCTGTCGGTGATACGCGGCCATACGCTTCGTACACGTGGCAGTCTGTGGCGGAGTGCGGCGAAGTCCTTGTAGTCGCACGCGTAGTTGCGTAGCTGGTGCGGTCCGTCCCAACCGCGTTGCTGGAGGAAGACTGGTAGGTCTGCGTGCGTGCCGTCTTGGATGCGTTTGCGCGCCGCAAAAGCCAAAGCCCGTCGGGCTGAATGTTCCGTCCATCCGCGTTTCTCAATGTGGGTTTTGATGTTTTTGTAGTCTAGTGGGAATCTAAATGGAAGTAGCTTGCCGCTCGCTCCGTGTAATAGACATTGCTCTCGTGGATGGTCTAGGTCAGGTTCGCAATTACAGCCTACTTCAATGACTCTGCCCTCAGCTGCTTTAACTTTGTCTTTCCGTACGTGTACAAAAGCTGTTTGTTCGTTAAACTTGTTTACGCCAATCCAAATGCCGTCCTCTCTCAGTTCAGAAAAAGAACCTCCTCTCAGCCCCAACTGTAGATAAAGTAATAACCATGCTCGCGTTTGGAGCTCCACTGCATATAGGTCTTCACGAACAAGGGCGGGGGGTGCTTTGACCGTCTTGTCGCGCTCGGGACCCGCGGCCCGTTTTAGGTCCTGTTCGATGTCGTAGGACGCGCGGAGTGCGAGTCCACTATTGTCGTCCTCCATGATCTTGTTGCGCTTTCCGTCTTTGAGCGGCGGGTTGGCGCAGAACATCAAGACTCTCTTGAATTCGTCTACCGTCTGCTTATAGCCGCAGTGGGCTCGGAAGAGGGAGTAGTTGTGCAGGTGGCGCAGCGTAATTGGTTGCGACACCGGGTGCGGCGGCACATGGTGGCGCGCTAACCAAGACCGAAACCGGTCGTAGTCGTAGAGTTTTTGGTTGAGCGTCGACCGTTCGGTTGCCGCCAGCTGAAGGTCGAGCTGGAACACGTCGAAATACTTTTCTTCAATCTTGGTAAGACCTCCTCGTTGAAGCCGGAGGAGTTTGTCGGCCTCCTTATCCGATATCCGTGGAGGTTGTGTCTGCCTTGCGGCTAGACTGTACCTGTCCGTAGTCGCGTTCTGTGCCGCCGCGGGCGACACATACTTGCCATGAGAGAAGACCGCGTTGGGCATTTTGAGATCTCTCACACGCTCCTCGACGATCGCTCTATTTTTTATTGGTTGAGGTGAAGATGAGGGTACTTGGTGCATGTACCGGCGGCCGCGCCTGCACCTTACCTAAATTTAGGTTGACTGTTCAACGGTGATTGCTTCATATAAGGCCACTTAGCTCACTTATTGTAGTCTCACCCGCGGCACTTATGGTCTCATAGCTCTTGCTGCGCTCAGCGTCTCTCGGTGTCGCGCACATGAGCTCGCGGCTCGTTAAGTAGTCTTGATCTCTTGTCTACATGTGCTGTTGACCACTTCTCAAGCTACCTCACTACGGCGCAATGCCTGAAAGTTACAGCGGCAACACTGGAGCTCTCACACCCAATTGGAATTTGAGTACTACGCTGTAGCGATGTTGTTAAAACGATCCACACGCTAGACGGCCTCATCCGCGGACCAGATTACCGATTCGACTTTACGTCAGTTGGTGAACAGAGATTTGCAGCGCCGCTGCTCTGCCCGCGGCAGATTACTCGCGAACGCGTTGCTACGCGCAAGTACCCCCGACGGGGGTTGTTTGTGTTTTTGGGGTTTTCATCTACACACTCGCTCTTCTTGCATAGATATGTTTTCGCAGGAGCTTTCTCCTTTTAGCTCAAGCTGGTGGGAGCTGGTTTTAGCACAAATTGTTGTGATGCACACATGATGCACCGCGCTATTCCTCCTATTAGAGGCAACTCCACGGGTTATAGCGCCCGCCGCCGCTTTTTTGGTCGGAGGTTCGTGCTTTACGCGTTAAGCGCCTTCTTGTAGCTGTCCTCCTCGGTGCGATCCACCGGCAAACAGATAGCCTTCTTCTTTGCGGAGATGACGAAGCGTTGGCCTTTCGCTTTACAGACCTGGCAGGTTATGATCCAGCGCCATGCGCCATCCGCCGCCATATCTTGACTGGCATCCGGGTCCGACGTGTAGACCCAGCGTTGCGGAGTTTTGTGGTAGTATTTGCACCGTCTGTGGCCGCAGTTTCCGGACTGGTAGAAGCGTTTGCAGACTCCCGCCGGCAGCCCAGCGCCCTGGACGATGGAGTCCTCGATGATGAATTGGCGGTCCACCACCCATGGGATTCCGAATTCATCGAACACGAAGCTCATGTGCTTTCCGAAAGCGCGGCCGATGCACGGGTCGGCGTGCTTATCATTTCTGTTGTTCAGCTCCCGGCTGATGGTGTCCGTGGTGCGCTTCTCCGTGTAGGTGGTTCGGTGAATGCGCTTGTCATCGCCAGCTACCGGCGCGTCGAGCCCGCGATTGTAGTTTCCCGCGATTCGTCCGGAACCGTTGTTGTTGAACTCTGGCGCGTAGTAGAGTGGCTGCTCCTCCTCCTGCCACTTTCCGTAGCCGTCGCCGCCGGTGCCTCCGTAGGCGTTGTTGGACTTTTTGTTGTAGCCGTCGCCCGCGTTCCAGCCGCCGCCATACTTCCAGTTTCCCCCGCCGTATGATCCACCGTTGTACGAGCCGCCACTCCAGCCTCCTCCGCTGTAGGAGCCTTTTCCGCCTGGTGCTCCCGATCCAGAGCCGGATCCTGATCCTCCGCCGCCACCGCCGTTCGGGCGATGGTGCTTGTTTCCGGGGCCGTCGCCATCGTCGTTTCCGCGCTTTTTGGCCTGGTAGTGGCGTTTGCGTGCTTCGATGTTAGCTGTGATGATCTGCCATCCGTGCATGAGCAGATACGGAGTTGCGCGTTCGTCGTTGCTAGCCGGTGAGCCCAGAAAGGTTGACGGCTGTTGTGGCGCGTGTAGCAGAAAGACCAAGGCTGGAATGATGTGGTAGACCAGTTCCCCCATTGTGACGGAGCGCAGCTTGTGCTTATGTGCGTCGGTTAGCCGTTCTGCCTCATGCAAAGTGTCAGTCTCGCCGAGCGCGAGCAGCATGCGGCACATGACTTGCATGCTGTCCGGCTTATGGTCGTCTTTGACGAAGGAGGTGTCGACGATGGCTTCTCCCAGCTTGCGAATCTCACCGTTTCGGCACTTCGCGATGAGTACGAGTAGCGGCTCCATGTTGTATTCACGGTTGTTTGTGGCGGTGACGTAGGTGGGCAGGCATTCCGTGTACTCCTTGATGATGTCCGTGAGGCACGCGCGTACGCGTCCTTGCGTGATGTTGTCTTCCGCCTTGACTCCGTCGTCCATCCAACCCACGTTTTTTGCTGTGGTGGCCGCCTTTTTGGACCAGTTGTTTGTCGGTTCCCAGGTCGCGGCATGTTCTACCAGTTGCTGTTCGGAGGAGATTCCGTTGATCATGGCGAGGACGATGGCCTGTCTCATGACGCCTGCATTAACTCCGCTCTCGGCGATCAACTTGTACGCAAATGTGTCCGGCATGATGAACATGCTGCAGGACACCGCACGAAACTTGTCCGCATCGAGGTATGCATTGTGGCCCAGGCAGATGGAGCGCACGTTTGCGCGCATGGTGGCCTCGTCCGTGAACAGCGCAGTGCTGTGCTTGTTGCGCCAAGCCACCGCGTGTTGCGGGTCGTGCATGTCGACCCAGTTCATGGCGCGGCCCTGCACCCATTGATGTGCATTTCCAAGCACGTTTCCGGGGTCGTACGGTGATGTTTCCGTGTTGACCTGCGCCAAGCCTACTCCGAGGAGTCCTGGCGGTGGCACGACCGGGTTTTGCGGAACCAATGCAATCGCCGCTGCGATTGCCTGCTGCACCTGCTGTTGATTTTGCTGCTGCATGAACAACAACTGTTGGCTCATTTGCTGCTGCATGTTCTGCATCTGATATTGGATGGCCGCTTGGATTTGGCCATGACCTTGTGGTTGCGCCGCCGGCGGCGGTGGTGCCGGTGCCATCGGGTGATGCTGGTCAAAAACTGCCGGCTGTGGTGCCGGATTCTGGTTTGCCGGACCTTCCACCGCTTGTGCGACTTGGTTGTTGCTTCCGTCTGCGTAGATGACGAAGTTATAGCAGCCGATCGTGTAGTCTGCCGGTGGCTGCCCGTTGACGCCGATCTGTTGGACGCGCGCCAAGATGCGTTGCATGATGGCCGGCTTCGTCCCGCCCGTCGGGAGGCCCCACGCCTGGCAGACTGCAATGAGCCGTTGGCGCGTGTTGACCGTTGCGAAGTCCATGTTTGGATTCTGGTTTCCTCCTTGATTCGCGATCAAGGCGTTTCCGAGGATCGCCACAACTGTGACGCGATCCGCCGCCGCTGCGTCGATCGCATGACCGTCTTCATTGGCCGCAACAAGCGCGGCTTGTTTGACGGCGTCGGCCGCGTACCATGGCGCGATGATGTTGACCAACTGCGGGTCTCGTAGGATTGCGATCCAGATGCTCAGCTGGTTTTTTACTGCATCGTTACAGTTTTCCAACGCCGTGGCGCACGGCTTGATGTGGTCGGGCAACTCATTCAGGTTCCAGCGGACGTTGAGTTGCGCCATTTTTTGTTTTACTCGAGGTTATCGACGTTTTCTAACAACGGAGAGGTTATCTACTCGTTATATTTACGGTGTTCGGCGCGTAGTTCAGTATTTTTTAATACAAAAAGTCTTATCACAGCCTTTTTCTTTATATTTACACTTTCGTGTTCCCCGGAGAGAATTTTCCTGCAGCTATTGTTTTTTGAGAGGCGAGGTGATGAGGTTCCTTTTAGCGCTGCGGCGTAATGTTGGATCCTTCCTTTTAAGATGATTTTCAATTTTTTATGCATCGCTTTGGCGAGCCTTTGATCCTCAACACGCGGCGTTGTGGTGGGCTCACCAACCTCACCGGGCACGCTGGTGCCACGCCTTTCGGCAGATCTTAGTTGCTCTCCCTCGATTTCTGGACGGCTGCGTCCTAGGGAGAGCTCTTGCTGCCAACGCGGTCCCGGTTCGGGACCTCGATGTCACCTGAGTTCCCTACGGGACTTCGTGGTGGTGAGACATCGTGTTGGCCCCTGCCGCGGCGTACCCGCAGGGTCTCGCTAATCTCCCAGTGCCAGGCGTTTTCAGCGGAAAACACCGTGATGGCACTGAGAGCGAGCTTATTCATCTTGACCTATACTACACACCAATCTAGTAACGCCGAAATCTAGTTACCCGAGTTTCTAGTAGAGGATAAGTTCATTCACCACCATCACGTCACCCCTAGAAGGGGCGAGGTACACAAAGTTCAGTGCAGACTGCCTTAAGGGCGTCATAGATGGTCGTGCCATAAGAATAAATAGATCATCGATGTCTTCTCCACGTTCATCGATGTCTTCTCCGCGTCTAGAAGAGGACCAGGAGGATGCTCTTCCTGTTATCGTTGTAACACTTCCTCCTGCATTAACTGTAGTCTCCTGATCATCCTGACCTAGTGGTCGCACATCTACCTTTGTGGAGGTGTTTTCATCGTATCGCGTCTTTGCGTTTTCATCGTATCGCGTCTTCTCCCTCTCGTCATTGCCAGAAGATTTCCTTCTCGAAGCCGAGGACCGTCTACTCCCCTCGTCAAAGAGTCGCTTCTTATCTTCAGCAGTCGGTGTATCGAGAAGCAGTAAGCAGGAATCGGTACGGGCAAACTGTCGAGTGCTTTTAGCACTCGACGCTGGTAGTTGTTAGAAGTCCCTGAAGTTTCGTTGGAGTTTCGTTTTTTTTCTGTGCACTACTACTGCAGATTGTTGTCCTAACGTAGATTGTACCAGAGTATTGTCTTGCCACTTGGACTTAGCTCAACAGAAGTATTCAACAGAAGTATTCAACAGAAGTACTCAAGTACTCGAAAAACTGAAATAACCGAGTTGCAGGAAAAATAAAACTAAGAACGGTTCCACGAGGGGAAAAAGATGGGATTTCTAGTGGGGGTTCGAGTCTGAGAAAGGAGGCTTAAAGAACTACAGAAGCCGTTGGTAAGATTGTCAGATAGAGATCGCATTCAAGATCGGCGCAGATAGATCACTTTTAAGTCCTCAAATGAAAGCAAGCGCAACTTGTTGACAAGCATATCCGTCACAAGTCCGCACATATTCTCGGAACAGACTCTCCGAAACCTTCACGGTCGGCGTCCGCGGCGCTTTTTCGTGCAGTGTTCGCACACTTATTGGTCGCACGAAAATCGTGCGCCGCTAGTACCGTGCTACTGCAAAAGACTAAGTGCTTAAGTCTAAAGTTCGGCAATGTATTTTCTCACAGCTCGATGCCTTGAGTTCATTGCTACACACATATGCAAGGCAAAATTCATACTCAAAGGCTTCTGCTATGCTTGCCTTCGTCTGGTGCGCTGTCTCAGTGCCTTTAGATTCTTGCGACACCTCACTACTAGGCCAAGCCCCTGCTTCATCTTGGGTTGAAGTGGTCCATCGATGTTTCTTTTCCCAACCACGACTTTCTCTTTCTCAAGTGAGTAAGTAAATATGTAGTGCACTCCTTCCTATGCTAAACCCTACCCCGTGCTACTCGACGGCCGAGCCGCTGCCTGTCTTCGTACTTCTGACATGAAAGCAAAACTTTACTGAGTGCGTGTAGTGATTGATTGACGGCCAACACTGGGGCAACAAACTGACTCATGTAAATCGACTAAATAGCTATGTGTCTCACGCCTGCTTTAGTTTATTGCCCGGCCCTATTTCCCTCAAGATACTTAGAAGTAAGTAGTACTTTCTTAGATGGAACCTAGTGGAGTGAAAACAATATCCGCGCCTCTTCTATGTTACTGCAAAATCCTCACCCCGAAGGGCCTAAAGTTGTGACTGCTACTGCTTGCGTTGTAACTCTGACTACTATCCCTCACGTTGAAGTTGGCTGGTTACATAGTCACCACGAACTGGAATGAAGTGAGAAGAAGAGCTTTACTATCGAAGCTACTGCCTGACATAAATCGGAATAAGTGCTTCGAAATACTAAGTATATTACCTATGATTGAAATTGAATTTGAAACAACAGCAGAAATACTTCGGAACCAAACTACTACTCACTTTACATCTCTCTACACAGACAGATACTGTCTACTGCTGTACAAAAACGCGCCCAGGTGGACGCCTAGAAGCCACGACTTTATTGATTCTGATCGTGGTCCTAATTAGTTAATACCTAAGTGGAGCGAAAGAAACTATAGTTCATTTATTACACGGCCGCCCCCGCCAATTTTGTGTGACAGAATCGGGTCGAGGAATGCACTTGGCACAGCCATATCTTCAATCATTTGTATCTTCATGGATCTAATGTGGCTAACAGACTGACTCGTTATATTTTCCATCATAGTTCGAAAATCTTGAAACTCCTCCTGATGCTTCTTACTGATCCAAATAGACCAGTACACACCGACTATACCGCAACGAGTCTGTGTAAAAGTAAGTAAATCAGAAGTAACCTGTTAGTAGTGCCTAGATTGATGAGAGACTGATAACTTCCCAGACAAGAACCTCAGCTCAGAGGGATCCACTGTACTTCTTGCTCTTGACGCCTTCGTTGTCGGTTCCGCTGCTGCTCGAAGATGCGCCTCCACCTGGAGCGGCTTTCTCGAACAGGTCATCAACCTCATTCAGCAGGTCAAAGACTTCTTCTTCGCCGGGGGATCCAGCACCCACACGGCGGCGCTTAGCCACGTTCGACTCATGCGATGCAGCGTTTTGTTAGACTAGGGGCAAGGGCGTCTGGGGAACTCGCCCCTTTGAAAGGGAGATGATGGAGCTCAATCCAATAAAAGCCGCGACCTACTTGCTTAGCCTAAGCTGCAGTATCTGCGTGGACAGATCTGCGTCTGCTCTGACTGTCTACTTGACACCAACATGAATCCAAGCCATAATTCTTGCACCCCGACAAGTTCACGCCTGGGGTGTTGCGGCGGACGTCGTAGCTCAAAAAATCCCCCATGATTCTCACGTTGAAAGATTTGCCCTCCTGCTTCGTGTAGTTAATGTATTCCGAACATTAGAAAGAGGATGAGAAAGACAGAAGAGAAAGAAGATCTAAGTGCTAAAGAGTAGAAGCGTAGGTAGCACTAGCCGTTACTAGTGCTGTTCTATGTCAAAGAAGAATCTACCAGCCCAGTTCTGCATCTGTTGTCCTTCAGTTTCAGCTTGAAAGTGAGTAAGCAAGTCCTTAAGAGTAAGCCATAATTATTCCAGCGAAAGATGTCACTCACACCGTCCAAAGGGACGGGGGTGCTCTTAGCCCACCACCACAACTGTTTCACGCTGTGTTTTTTCGCCTCCATATGCGCAGGCGTTAAGGCGCAACCTGGTGTGTTAAAAGAGAAGATGAAGACGCAAGGCAATACGTAGAGTCACACAAGTGGAGAAGAAGTCGCAATAGGTGGAGAAGAAGCCACGACAACGCGAAGAAGAAGGCGCAATAGGTGGAGAATGCCTGACGTTGATCACAAATATCACTTCATAAGCAGCAACAAAAGTAGATACCGATATAATCCATTCTCATCAGCAGGCAATATGTGCACAACAGCTCGTCGAAGCTCCAATCCACCACCACGGGAACCTGCTGCGGCTTTGCGCTTCCTTTCTTATTCTTAGGCTGTTCCATGAGGTGCTGCTTCAAAGATTTTGGGAAACTCCAGTGGCGGTGCTTGGCGAACCAGCACTGGTACGAAATAGGATCAGAAGGATCTTCCGGCCCGATGCTCGAAACGCCACTGCTGCGAAGCCGCATCACGTCTTCCACCTTGCCAGATTCCGGCATTCCCATCTCTTCAACCTGTTCAGAGGGGGAGAGAAGACGTCAGTCCATGATTGACGAGTAAGTAGGTTGACAATGATGAATTCAATACGGTAGAGCACTACGATGCTGAGAGATGAGGAATAGATCTAGCAAAAAGTGAGAGCAAATCCAAAGTCCATAGAAGATGCGACTTCCTTGAGCATCTAAGCCCGAAGATATGAAATAGTAGTACGCTCTGCAAATCCAAAGAACTTCGCTGGAGCAGTTTCAATCGCAAATCCGCCGCCTCAATGCGAAACGTTGCAGGAACAGCATCCACGTTCGTAAAGTACTGCTCAAACAGCTCCGCCATAGGACTTGTTTTGATGACTCCTGCCTTGTATGAGTCGTCACTTGTGATCATCATCCCATGACGCCCTCCGTCACCCATGCCACGAATCGTGTCCATGGCGTTCTTGATTTCATTCGACTTCGCCTCGCCGCATAATCCGATAAAATAACGCGGCGCAGCAGTGGTCTTCTTCATGACGTTGAGGCCGTCAACGAAATGCTGGGCCGCCTTGGCTGTGACCTTGGGCTGCTTTGGCTCAACGGTGTCACGCTCCGTCAAAGCCGAGATCTTAGGGATGTCGCAATAGAAAAACGCTGCACGGCCACGGGTCAGCTTCTTCACTTCTGTAGAGAGATGGAGATGCGAAAGAAATGAAGGTGAAGAAGGTGAATCAATGGGAGGAGGACGCGAAGGACCGACACTCAGCACTGGACTCCAAAGTCTTCTTGATCGCAACCTTCAAGGCGTTTCATTCCTAGCACAAGTCCGCCCGTTCTCCATAGTCAGTAGTTGAAATCTTAGTAGTACCTTCCTCCAAGTCTTGCATCAGAACGATCGACGCAACTGGCTTAGCCTCCCGCGCTTTGCTCTTAGCATAGTACTCGCCCGGGGGCCAGGGAAACGACATCGCCCAGTCATATGGCTTGAGAACAGCATCCTGGAGACAGATTTGCGGTAGACATACTTAGTTAGAGATAGAACCCAGATACATACATAACTTCTTAGCTGTTAACCCAGAACACAAAAAAATCACTTCGAGGGAGTAGTATTGGTAAAAGAGAAGACGACCAGAACACGCCGCAAATAAACAGAAACATACGAAATCACAAAATTCAAAAATGGGAGGTCTCTAGTACTTCGCCGGGCAAATCCCCATCAGCGTCGTCGTCTTCCAGGGAGCGCTTCTTCGAGGCCTCAGGAACCTCAGGCACCGTCAAAGTTGGCGCGTCGAAGATGAGCTTGACAGTGGTCGCATCAAACACCCGCCGCAGCGCCATATTCACGGCTGTCGCGTCCACAACGTCACGCTCCTGCAGCACCTGCGTGTGATCAGAGTAACGTAAGCAAGTACTTAAAAACCACTCCAAGAAAGTTTGTTTTTGTAAAGATAAACTATAAGAACGAAAGTGCTTAGAAGTAGTGCAACTCTGCCAGTTTTGTGACTAAGTAAGTAAGTGCTACTACTTCCTAGTCACTCGATGCTAAGCAGTACCGAGACGAAATTCTGTCGCCGGACCTCGTACATCTTCTCAACGGACTGCCGATAGACCAGGTACGTTGTTAGCGATTCCCGAACGACTCATCTCCTTCTTACATTGACCGCCCGACTCAACGCCCAATCTCTCTACTTACTTCTTGCTACTTACTTATCTTACATAGGAAGCCAAGATAAGCGGGCCAATCAAGTCCGAGATGAGTGCGAGCTCCAGCCATTCTTAATTTTCGGTACGGTTCCGGAGTTAAATGGGCGAGGCGCTCATGGTCGGCGTCGTCGCCTTCCGAAATCAAAACCAGATGAGAACGATCAAAGCAATCCGTGCAACAAGTGTCCAGCTTCGCGATCATCATCACTTGCACTGTAGTGTTAGCCATATGGAATGAGAAAGGATTTGTCTGAGGAGAAGAACGAGGCCACTCCTCGTTTTGATCTCGAAAAAATCTAAATTTTCTAAAACAATGAAACAAGATCTAGGGCTGCCTGTTGTGATTAGTCTAAAAGATCTAAAGAAGTACTCTAAAACAGTAAAACAGGAGCTAGCAGTAGCACGCCTTGTTTTGATTCATCTAAGTAAAACTTCCTCAAGCAATAAATCAGAAACACGAGCGTTTTGTTTGTCTACTTCTAAAAAGTATGCAGGTGTCTCAGATCAATCAGACAAGGGAAGGCTATGCTATAACTATATAGGATAAGTAAGTAAATACAGCGGATGATCTTGAGCTCATGCTTGAGCATCGCCCCAGTCCAGCCAAAATCGGTTCTGGGCCGGTTGTTCGCCGCTTGGCGAGCATAATGCGCTCGCGCAGCTTTTTCTTGAATCTCCTCAAAATTGTCAAAAAACCGAATCAAGACTCGCTTATCTTCACCAGCCACCAGGTCGGCCAGAGTGGTCACCGTATCCAGGGGGCAGTCAGTGCTTGCATTAGAGGAAAGACGAGCTCCTTATATTCTTTGGCCTACTTAGACAAGACACATAGGTAAGCAAGACACATAGGTAAGCAAGTGAGTTGCTCTCATTGAAGCTGAACCCAAGAAGAAACTGGGGCCATAATGATCGGGTACAAGTCGCACACCCTCGAGAACGACTCATACAACGGCAACAAGTCCCCGCTCGTCTTCACGTCGAAGAGGTTGTCGCACAACCTGGAAGGAGGAGAGATTGACAATTTCGATACAGGGTGGATGCTTGGGGGTTAACTGATAGAAGTAAGACTACTGATATGGAGAGGAAAGACAACCGGTCTTATTACCACACACCAGCCAGCGAGTACGCCGCGTAAAAGATATGCACAAGTCTCACAGCGCTACGAGTTGACTCTTTCCTTACTTATATAAGAAAGAAAGTAAGTACTGTCCCCATTTATGCGCGTTCGACTCGGTGATCTTGCGCCCGGGAAGCGCGAACTTGAAATTGTTTTTGACATGTCGGCCAACCTCGCGGTAACTCACTTGGCCGTTCGCCGATTTTGCGGCCAGCTTCTTTCTCTCCTCCATGAACAGCCGCGCGATGTTTTTCACTGTGAGTGTGGGGCGAGTAAGTATTTCCTTAAGGATGAGGATGGGGCGGTTGGTTGAGCTTGCGCTTGAAGTGGAGTATCAAGGTTCTTACTTGGTCAATTCAAGATGAAAGTGGGCAGCTGATGCTGATCGATCATATAGAACAACAAGGAGAACGCATAACAAAGCAGGAAAAAAGGGCGCATGCTTACCAGGTGGAATGAACACGTTGTAATTGCCCACCGCGTCAGTAGCCGCAAGACGTTGACTCCAGTCACCTTTGACCGACTTTTTCGGCACCCAAATCGCCACAATCTTGAGCCCGTCTTCGACCTGATAGAGCGGGAGAGTTGGTCGTAACCAATATCAAAAGGAGACGATGATGATGGAGATAGAAAAAATGCGGCCCGAGTATAGGTAGAGCAAAGACGAGCGCCTTGCTTACTGCACCGCGATAGAGTCAAGAAGTAAGAACTTACTTAACAAGGGGACTCAGAGTCAGACTCAGTAGTACCGCGTTGGCCAGATATGCCCAAACGCCTGTCGTATTTGTGAAGGAGTCCGCCTCTGTGTCGTAGCGCATCTGCGCAACCAGCTCAGCCAAGTTGTTTGCGTCGCGAAGGTGCTTCACCTTGCGCCTAGTGGGGCGAGATCCTACATCATCCAGCTCGTGGCCTTGGTTAGAGATGGAGCCCACGCGTTTCTTGTGGATGCACGTGTAGATGTAAGCACAGCACTCGAGTGAGAATCAGAGAGACTGGCGCTGGACTAAGTGAAAGTGGAAGAGTGCTTACTATAATGCGCCACCTTTGGGAGTCTAGTAGTGAGCCCGCCTGATCAGTCTACTTTCTTAGATCGAAGCCTTAAACGTGGGGATGAAACGCCGCGTGTTGTAGAGGATGTTGTGCCGCTTGTCGTCATCCTTTGGGATCACGGTTCCCTCCGCCATCTGCAACAGCTGCGCCTCGACCTGGTCACAAATGAGCTCCAGGTGACGCCACTTGTTCGCAGGCGTTTCTTTTTCCTCATCGTACGGACCCGGCGACGGCGATCCCAGCATGGCTATCATGAAAGAGGATACTAAGAAAGGCTATGAAGAGCTGACGCTGAGCCAGTGGGTGTTGAGAAACTTAAGGAAACAAGTGCTGCTACTTAGAAGTTAGTGGCAGTGCCTACTGCTGAAGGAACAAATAAAGACATGTGCCACCGATTAAAAGCTTACGAATGCTCGCCATAACTCCGTCATAGTCGGCATCCCACTCCAGATTATCCATGTCGCGAGCCTGACCCGGCGGGGTCGACGGGGCCTCCATCTCCCCATCCAAGTCCATGGGGTCCGGATCGGCTGCAGATGCACCTCCACTGCTTGCCTCACCACCTCCACCAAGGCCGCGCTCAGGCATGGAAACAACACCGCTGCCGGTCATAGAGATTAGAGCTGATAGCTACTTACTTAAATAAAACAACGCCTACCATGCCAGAACACATATCTTAGAAGTTCACGCTGAGATGCGAGAGATACCCTGATCAGTGACAACTTGTTACCCACGACGAGAAGACCTGCACTTAAGTATTCAATTTCAACACCATAAGAAAAGGTATTCGCGCATTTTGTTCGTATTGCTGCTTCTCGCGTCCTTCTACTGTGAAGACGGTCTCCGCTCGGTGGAGTGAGTAGTCGAAAAGAGGGCGCGGCAGTCGAGAAGAGGCTGAAGTCTCACACCACTGGAGAATCCTGGCCGTCGGCGAGCGAGCGGTGGTTTTTGTTGATCTTTGAAAGCAGAGAACTGGTCCTTATTTCACTTCTAAAAAGTAGAGGCGTAGTTGAAGTTGTTGCTGTTGTTGTCGTAGCTAGTTGTTTGATTGCGTTTCTAATGTTTTCTAAGTGCAAGCACTTATAAGTAAGTACTTACCTAGTTGAAGAAAGACGAGTACTGTCGAAGAATAACAAAACGTTACTTATCGAGGAAAGAGACTTGAGGAAACTTGTCGGAGATCTTGCAACAAGGCAAAGACCCTCACTTTCGCTAAGCTGCAGTTGAGGAGGAGGCTCCATAGGAGTGGGAGATGGAGAGGCACTTCTTGATTGATCCACCTTTCTTAAGTACTTAGAAGCTGGGGCTCTATGCTTATCAAATACCTACTTACTTACTTATCCACTTCCATACACATCAGGAGCATGCTGTCGTGTAGATACGTAGCGATAAATAAGCACACTTTGCATGGTGCTGCTACCGTCACACATTCATACATCACGCACGAAAAAAAAAGATCAAGTAAGCTCAGCCGAACGAGACGAAGCGATAAATCATATTCCATGCACTGAAAAAACAACGACACCGAAAGGCCTTTTTGCGTTTTCCGCTATGTCTCAATCGAGGCAAGCAATGAACTCAAAACCACTCTCGTCAACGCTTCAAAACCAAAAAAGCAAACACACTCTACTACAAGCTCCCACGATATTCAGACAAAGACATGCGGCTCTGTTCTCACACTCATCTGAAAAAAGTCGATCCGCACTCAGTCAGTGGGCTGTTCTCACACACTCTCTACGCCTGTTTTTGCATGGAAAAAACTACTGATCAGCCTCAGAGCAAAAAGGCTGCACTCGAAGGCCAAGCCCTTACGATATAAAGCAAACACTAGCAGCCCGGCACACTTCCTAAACTGCATAAGGTGATGAAAAGGGACATTCAAGATGTGGTCTGTTGAAAAGCAAGATATATCCGGGTATCGACCCCGGGTTTGCGCACCTCATCTCGATACCCGGTGCGTGCCGCCACGCACCGGGTATCGACCTGGCCGTCCGCACCGAATAAGGCTTATTCGGTGCGGACGGCCATGTCGATACCCGGTGCGTGGCGGCACGCACCGGGTATCGAGATGGGGTGCGCAAACCCGGGGTCGATACCCGGATAAATCTTGCTTTTCAAACAATTCACAGAGTGCGTTTTTTGTAAGCAAAAAGTAGCGTTTTTGTAGCTTTTGGCAAACAAAAAGGCCACTTTTTGCAGGTCCTCTAATCCTAAGGGCCGCTGTGCTTTCAGAAGGGCTTCCTTTGGAAACCGGCCAACAGGGTGTCCTACAAAATAAATGCCCACAAAAAATGGCCAGGCATAAAGAATGGCTGGCCATAAAAAATGACCGGTCATAAAGGATGACTGGTCCGTGATAAAAGATTGGCCAGGCATAAAGAATCACGCCTGGTCATAAAAAATGGCCAGGCATAAAGAATGACTGGCCATAAAACATGGCCAGGCATAAAGAATGACTGGCCAGACATAAACATAAAAAAATAATGGCTGGCCGTAAACGTAAAGAATGCCTGTTCATAAAAAATGACCAGGCATAGAGAATGGCTGTCCATAAAAAATGACCAGGCATAAAGGATGGCTGGTCGTAGAAAATGGCCAGGCATAGCGAATGCCTGATCATAAAAAATGGCCAGGCATAAAGAGTCGATGATTAGTCATAAAAAATGACTGGTCATAAAAAATGACCGGCCATAAGCAATGCACTCATGGCGGGCCATAAAAAATGGCCAGGCATAAAGAGTGACTGATCATAAAAAATGGCCATGCATAAAGAATGACTGGCCATAGTCCTGCTGAGAGTCAAGATCGCCGGGGGCCGACTTTTTCCTCCGCACTAAGGAAAAAGCTGACCCCCAATAAGCTCTATCTCCAACAAATGCTGAAGAAAAGAGTCCACGTGGCCCTCCCCTCAAAGTTGGCATCTGTTGAAAATCAGTATTCCCAAGAGCCAACTTTATCGAGAGTGCTCTCGATAAAGATGACCTCCGACAAACTTGATAATGAAACCCGACTGGCCGCCCTCCAAAACGATATCCGCACACTGTAGTTAGCCCGACGAACGTCAGGCGCAGACTGTTCAGCAAGAAAGCATCACTCAACCTACTGACCTTACTAGCAGAAACTCGACCTGCATAAGAATGCACAACATGAAAACATTTAGAACTCGAAAAGCACTCCACAGCAACTACTTCGACGCGCCTACTACTAGAAAAAACTCGAATTATAATGCACTTTCACTTTGATCTTTTACCCCGACACTTTTAGTTTCACTCTTCGACTTAAGTACTTACTTACTTAGTTACTTAGAGAAGCACGCACTTACTTACTTTGCATCTAATGGGCGCCCCAGTCCGAGTTCAGCTAATTTTAGCGAATGCTTGACGTTGATCTTGATAGCAGTTAAGTACTTAATGGGTTGCCTATCTTTCTCGCCACGGTTACTTACTGCCAGCTCAGTGAGAAGCTAGCATGGGCTTGGCGATGGACATGGAGCAGATTCTGTATGAAAAAGTAACGAGCTCAATGGAAGCCAAGCTCTAGAGTAGTTACCTGAGAGCAACCCCTTTGGTAACACAGTTAGGAAATGGGTCTGGAAGTGAGACGAGTTGATGTTTACTGTGAAAGCGTATAGTTCAGCTATAGAGTCCGCGCCATTTGGCACCTAAACAGACAAGTCGCACGAGTGTGATATCACTAGATCACTCCGTATTGGAGGCATGTTAAAGATCCAAATAAGTACTTACTTTAAGTTTAAGTAAGCTGCGCTCGATCTCCTGCCTCTACATCTACAAGTACAACCGAATAAGAACAAGAACAAGATATCTAAGTAAGTAAGTAAGCTCTTACTACTTAGCCGACAGAATCCAGCTCCTGAAACTCCCCTAGACACGACAGTCTTCCTCTGCCATCCTCGAGACTGCCCACCAACTACCCCTACTACTACCTAGACGCCGGGCTTGGAGTGCGTCGCTTTCTTCGCGCCCTCCTCCACTCTTTGTTTTTTTGCCGCAGGTTCGGGCAAATCGCATGGACGCCTACTATTACTCGGCGGAACTGCTACTGCCGAGCCGAATGACGCAACTCCTTTGCCCATCCCTTTTGCGCCCATCAGTATCCGGCTGGAGCTGGAAGCGGATGTGCTTGAGCTCGACGCAGCTGCGCGCGCGGGGACTGCTTGTGGCTTTGCTTGTGACTGTTGGATCTGTCGAGGTCGAGACGCCGAAGAAGCTGCAGACACTGTTGGCTTTGACGAAGAAGCCGCCGCCACGTTACCCACGCTTCCGCCACTCTTGAGGAGCGTCACGGGTGCAGCGGGATTGACCTGCTGGCGTTGAGATTGTGCTACCGAGTGCAGCTGCAGACCTATACTACTTACACTTAGTACTACCGTAGAAAGATAAGTAAGCAGGTACTTAATAAATGAGGACGAACTATGCTACTTACTTATTGCCCAATCATAATCAGACTACTTACGCTTCCTTTTAAGTACTTATAAGTAGATCGCCAAAGAGGGGTGAGAATAGCCTTAGTACCGGCTTACGCCCAGGCGCTTTTGTGGTTTCATGTCTCGCAGCAAGCGGATTTACAGGCATAGCTCTGCCGCCCCGCTGGGCATAATTCGCCTGCCACGACAACAGACTCCGGACGATCTTTTCGATAAAGTGAGCACGTTCCAGTGACCCGACTCCCATAGTCCGCAGTTTCCCGTGGAGGGCATTGCAGACATTTGAACAAAACTGCGAGAAGTCCGCTACTTCTATCGGATGTAAATGACGATCCACCAAGAAGCAGTGGTGGGGGAGATTCGTCCCATCCCCGGTTCGCTTCAGCTGTGCCTTTGCTTTCTCACGTTTTACAACGTCGGCCATGTACTGCGCCACCTGCCTGCCAAGTTTACTGCCAGGCCCCATCTGGAGAAGATGCACGAGCGTGTCTTCAAGATTCTGCACGCTCTTGAAGTTGTTTGACGTGAAGACCAGCGCCTTCTTGTTGTTGTCGTCGTCCCGCTTTGACTTGAATCGATTGTAGTATCCTTCGAACCTTACCTGCTCAGCGCGCTCCTCCATGCGCTTTTGGGCGGCATCTCGCACAGCAGTCGAACTTTTTAACGACTCCATGAGGCGCGCATACGCAGTTCCTTTTCCTCTATGCGACTGCGCTCTCTGCTCACCGTCCCCAGCCTCATTCCCACCCTGGTCTTCAGCGTCTAGAGCAAGACCACCTCCGGCCTCACGCGCATCTGCTGCTGCTACTGCAGTTTTTTCAGCCATTCTTGCCTTACGCAAGATCGCATCAGCGTGCCCATGCTCGCCAAGCTCGCGCAGCCTGGCCACCACCACTCCCAGCTTCTCATGTCGCGTAGTAGGCTCGCTGTTCCTGTTTCCATCTGCAATGCTCTGCTCCAGCCAAATACTTCCAGCCGTTGGACACGAGCTCCTTTCCCCCGCGATCGCGAAGGAGTCGAGAACAGGCTTCACTAATGAAGTTGAAGACACCACGCCCGCAGCGTCATCGAAGTCATCGTCATCACTCCCGCTCTGGAAATCCTCACTGGACGACGAGGAGCTCCCGCTTGAGGAGCTAGAAGACAATCCGCCAGGCTGTCCATCTAAATCTAGCTCAGCGCTCGCCCTTCGCGCCAACTTTGCTTGGCGGCGCTCTAAGGCGCGCTGCTTTCGCGCTTCGACCCATCCATCGTAGTGATTTTCGAGTATGCGGTCGATGTCGCAACCGATGTCACCCTCCGGCTTGTACTTCTCATGGTATTCCGCAATACAAACGCGGATGATGTCATCTCTCGACTTGTCTTGCTGTGCAAGTTCGTCTGCCCGTTGTTCAGCCTCAGCGACAATCTTGCTTCTGATCGCGGCGCTTCGGATCCACCACTCTCGAAGGGCGGTTCTAATCTCATCATCACGCGCACCAGGTTCCATCCCATTTTCCCTGAATCCTCGAGCGCGTTGTTAGAGACGAAGCACAAGAGATCAGACGCAGATATGACTCCGATCGCAGATAAGGAGGCCACTTCTAAGCACCCAACGCTTTCAATGTCAATCTTATCATGCCAGCAGAGTACTTAAGTACTTACAATTACTTACTTAGAACTGCCTTCAATATCAATCCTATCATAATACTTCTGATGCACCAAACGCTTCCACACTCGGCAAACGCTCCGCAAGGCGTCCTCCCTAGTAGTTATTGGCGCCCGCGCCTCTCCCACATTTTCTATGCTCAGAAAATGAGCCGCGTCTGAGATCCCCTCCTCTAGTTTGTACTCGCGAGAGAAGTCACCATGTAGATGCGAGTCATTCAGCTCATTAGAAGAAGAGGCGTCAAGGACTGCAACTACATCACAAGAAGGAGGAAGCGCAACTCCATATCTAAGTAGCTGACTGGTGAGCACTCACCTAAGTAAGTGCTACACACTTAATGATCAGGCCAAGCTTGTTGATGTTTCTATTCTTGTGGCCTTTCCAGCTCTCTTCTTATTCTTAATAAGTTCTACTACACACCCACGCAACAGAGCGTAGAAGAAATGAGTCGACTTATACTACTTAACTCAAGAAAGCTTGATAGCTAAGGACTTCTTTCCATAACCTGAAGCAGGTCGGTGATGCCTGCTCCGATGAAGTTGAAGAGTGCTCCCATCGGCACCAGGTCGTCCTGAGAGATTTCATGTCCACGAAAATGATCAAACAACACCAGCGTCACGCACTTCTCACCTTTTGGCGCGGAGTCCACGACTTTCTTCACGGCCGGCAGAAAAGTTGATCGGTCATACGATCCCTTCGGACCTGTGCGCACACCCAAAGAGACGCCAGGTAGCTCTCCATCGTTTACAACTTTCGTCCTCGTGCGTTGCAGCTTCTTCTCAACCGTCTCCCCGCCACGCATAAGCACTTCAATGTATGGTGGGGGCTGCGTTTCGCTCGCCTGGGTTGAGACGTGCGTTAAGACAGTGTACCGACTGCGCGTCTGCCCGTGATTCTCCAGTATGCGCACGTGACGGGCTCCCACCTGGGCAACAACGCCCCCTTCTGACGTCTGGTGCGGGTTAGAGCTCTTCTACTTAAATAGAATAACGGGGGGAGGTAGAAGGTGACTGCTGGTAGTACTTGACTGCGCGCCGATGCTATAAGAGACAGCACTTAGCTAGACGCGCTACCTGATACAACAGCGCGCTACTGTATAGAATCTTGCCGCTACTTAGATCATCGGGTCTGCACTTACTCAAGGGGAGTCTTCTTCATAATCATGAAGACGGGCTTCTCGTCTATGTTGCTGATGGTCACACGATAGCCAAGTCGACGAAGCAACGCCAAGACCCCCCAGGTTGTCTTCCATGTCGCGAGCGTGCTGTTTGTGATTGCAGATAGCGCCCTGCGAGGAAGTTGATCTGCGACAAAAGCAGCTCAGTCGCACAAGTCAGCTAGCAGAAGTATTAAGTAGCTCCAGCACTATAGTAAGCCACCGTGCTACTACTTAAGTAGAAAAGACGAGCAAGAGCATGCTCTAGGTGTAGCGTTTATGGTAGAAAAAGTAAGCAAGTGAGCGTACTTAAGTAGGTACCGCATAACTTGGCTTTCCACGTCCAACTTTGGCCGCGTGTTCGGTATCCTCAAGGATAACTCATACGAAATCATCCACCGAACAACCCAGTCCCTATTGACTGTGGGAACCGGCAAACCGTCCTGCTGTCGCATACTCCTCAACGCGGCGCCGATTCGAATAAGCAACTGCACCACATGTTAGAGGCTGGGAGTCAGAGTCTATAGTCTGTCTCTCTACTTCGGTAGGCCAATAAACATAAAGAACAACTGCCCTCAGTCAAATCCCTTTCCCGGCCCGCAATTTTACTTGCTACGCACTTAAAAGTACTAACTTGAGGCAGAGTCTCGAGTCTAGATGGTATAAGTAAGTAAGTAAGCACGCGCTTCCGTAAGTTGTTTTGGCTCCCATACATCTCAGATGCAAGAATATCTCATAGAGATCTTCATGCATCTCCGGCGCGATAACCTTGCGTCCTCCTGTCACGCAGAAATGGATGCAAGGTTACAAGATGAAAAGTACGTAGGTGTAGGTCAGGAGGGAGTGCTCAAGCTACTTAAATAGTTCGCCGTACTCGACTGCCAGACAGACACGCTTAGAGAAGCTTTACTATAAGTACCGCCAGCCGCTCGCAGCCGCTTCATCTCAGACGCGCCAACTTTAGCCTTGACCGCTTGTTTTATACGTACCGCAGTGAAATCGGAGAACAGGTCTTTTCTCTCCTTCGAAGAAAAATACGACTTGGCCATAGCCATCCCCCGAAGTAAAACTTCGAAGTACCTGCGTTCCAGTTTCGGGTTAGCCCAGATAATTCGCGCAGCGGCCGGTATGAAGAGACGCCCGCGACGCTGATGTTAGGAGGTGAGTGGTAAAGTAAATGACTAAGAAGTCAAGACTTTCCTATCTTAAGATCGACTGCGATTGCCGAGGAACTGAAAAGGTGGACTTCTGACACATCCAGGCACGAGTCAGAACGAGTATGAGCATCACATAAGTAAGTAGTACGCAACTGCGCCCGAGTTAGTAACATGCAAGGGAAGGCACTAAAGTGAGGAGTAGCACCTTTTTCTTGCCTTCTTCTTGCAATTTCTCCCCCAGTAATCCGATGAAGATCCTCTCCCCCATGGGGTACGCATTTTGTCGCTTGATCTTCAAGTCACGCGCAAGTGTTGCTATCGTCGCTTGTCGCTGTCAGTGGGAAGATAGAGGGGTCAAAAGAGATACTTAAGTAAGTAAGTAGAACCTCGCGAAGGCTTCTTTCACTTTCATCCGGGTAGACACTCGAGTACAACTTAAGCACTTGCAAGCTTAAGTAAGAGTCTGCACTACCGAAGTCGTGACCTAGTAGCTGTACTTCTAGCTCTACTGCCTTAAATACTTCGCTCAAAGTCCAAACAAGCAAGATGTAGCCTGATACTCCCCCGGCGTGATCAGCAAGAGCCGTGAAATTTTCGTCGATAATGGCCTCTTCCGCGCCAGGAATAAACTGCTCCCTCCGTTTTTTCCGTGCCCGCCCACGTTTTATAGCTCGCGCCATCTGCTGACCCTCCTCGTCGTCGACCAGTAAGAGGTCGTTCTCAAAACCACTACCGTCCCAAGGATAGTCGGCCTTGTCCTCCTTGCTGAGGCCAAGACCCTTGCGAGGTGGCACTGCATTCGCAAACTCACCTCGAGCGATTTTTGCTGCCTGGAATTTTCCTGCTGCATAGCTGTCGGTGAAGTTTGATGTTGATCCACCAAGCTGCATCCTCGCAACTCCAATGAGTCCACTGCTGCTCGAAGATGAAGCGCTCGACGAAGCGACGTGAGATTGAGAGCTGCCCAAGAAGCCGCCCTTGGATGAGCTAGAGCTTGAAGCTGCACTTCCCGCTCCCAACGGCTTCGAAGTCGATCCCTGTTTTGCCTGGGAAGACGCACCGGGCGGCCGCGTCGACGGCTGGTCCTGATGGCCGAATAGAGCATCACCCAGAGGCAAGAACAAGTTGTGCGCCATTGATTTGGGAGTACTGCAACCTTCAACAGAGTTGCAGCTGCAGAGAGTGGGAAAGTCTAATACAACGCATAACTGCGACGAACGGCACACCTACTAAGAAGCAGTACCTACTTGTTACATACTCAAACACTTTTACTTACTTATTCAATTTCGTCTTACTCACTTCACCTCCTGCAGTTCTTACTACTTACTTACTTACTTACTCGGACCAGATACAGCTCCTAGGAAAGATGTCACGTTTTCAGTTTCAATTCAAGGGAGTCGCCATTTCAGTTTTCCTTTTGCCATTTTTTAGGACTCAAACTTTGACAAAGGGGGACGAAGGGATGAGAGGCTTATTGGGTGAAGGGACGAGAGGCAGCTTCGTTCTTTCCGAGGAGTCAGTGCTAACAACAGATCGACGCGGTCGATGAGTCGGCGTCTTCGCTCTATAGTTACTTACCTAATTCCTGCCGTGTAGGCTTTCTTTGACTGGTCCCGCATCTACTGCCTGCGACTGCAAGCTGTCTCTCTCTCTCAACGAAGGAATACACACCGAGGCTGACCGATATCTAAAAGCCGACGTCTTTCTGGTTCCTTGCTTCGTCACAGCAAACAACCAACAGGAAAAGTAGAGAGCCAGGCTCTACTGCGTCAGCTCAATGCCCAAGATACAGGACACTGACTTCTATTTGCGGACTCAGGCACTCCTTCAACAACGTTCACGAAAAGCGCTCCTGTTTTTCAATGAGTGTCCACCTCTACTAGAGTCCTTCATGTTCGTGTGCCAGTATCCAGCTAATGCATCAGCTCCAACCTAGAAGAAGCTTCTCCTCTTGCCGATGTATTTTCCCTTGTACCTGTCCACCGCCTTCCTTTGCTTGAGAATTCATGTGGGAGAGGAGATTGAATCTCTCATAACCGATTGCCCAGTCTGAAAACTGAGCCCCAGGCCTTGCCTAGGGAAGCTACCGAGAACAAACCGAATCAATCCAACTCGCTGTAACAGGCAACTACAAGGGGAGTAAAAGGAGACTAATTTGGAACCGTCCGTTAGTTATTTTTGGAATCACTCGGTTATTTCAAGTTTTCGAGTACATGCGTAAGTACTAGTCTCAAGAGTACCCAACATTCTTAAGGCGAAGATGCTGTATCGGGATAAGCTCCCCCTGCTCCTGTCGAAGACCTTCGCCTTCTGGCAGACTCACGTGAGTGCCTAGGTGGTGACTGACTGGCCTCAAAGCCACTTTTGGCACTCAAGTCAGTTCCCCCTCGTCGTGCAGCTGGCGCAGTGGTACAAATGCTGTTTCTCCTCGAAAGTGTTCGCCCCTTACATGAAAGTAGGAAAAAGTCTGTACTGCTCAAGATACTGCTCAAGATATCGCTAAATCAAAGTGTGACAAAAATATCAGACCTATTTTTATTCCAACTGAAACCCTTAGAACCCAATATAAGGGATTCGCTATAATTGATTCGCTAGATCCTCGTAAGGGTTCAGTGAACGGAAGGGACCCCATTCAAAGCTCTCCCCTTTCCCTTCGTTTTCCCCTGTCCTCTCAAGGGGAGAGGGGTCGCCTCTTCGATCTCAGTGACCAACCCCAATGACCACCATTGAAAGCTGAGCCTTAATACAACATAGTTAGTTTGTTCTTGAGGACTATGAGTGAGCTTTTCTTCCTGTTCAACATACCTCACCAGGACGTCCACCACTTCTTTCTTTGCTGTTGGACTCCTCGTATAATTGATTCGCGAGATCCTCCTGACTGCCGCGACGACGAGGCCCACCACCCCGCCAATGGCCCACGTGCTGTACTGTGGTGGACGAGAGTCTCCGAGCACGCTTGTTAGAACAGGTGGTCTTCACTATACATGTATACGTATGTTGGTGGTCTTCACTATACATGTAATAGTATTATGTTGCTTTTTGTTTTTTGTGTCCTAAGAGCCTATTTCTAGTTGAGTATACAGGAGTCTCTAAACATCTAAAAATAAAGTAGTCAAAATTAAATATTTCCAGGTGTTTCAAGTCTGCTTGTCTTTAGAGGTGAGATGTCTAACTACGTGCATGTTTTCCGACTGGTCCCAACATCAACTACAACTAACTAAGAATTTTAGTCCTCTCTAAACATCATCCCTTTCTAAACATCATCCATCCAACCCTTCAAACTTAGCTTTCTCACTGCTGAGAAGCGTATCAAGTACGCTAGACCGTCGACGGAGCAGCATCTTCTTGCTATCGCGCTGTGCTGAGCTTCGCCTTCGTCCAGATGAAGTCACTTCCGATCCCTGATCTCGAATCTCGTTTGCTCCTGCGAAAAAGTAGAACCCCTCTTTAGTTAGCGGACTCATCATACTTATTACACTTATTAGTATTACTTCATCATCATCGATATGTCTCAAAAGGATATTCTCAACCTTCCGCATTGCTCCAGAGCTGCTTTTTGTTTGCTCTGCTTCCTACGAAGGAGCTTCTAAGTCAAATCTAGTTAGTACTTCATCTAAGACGACTTTTTATCTTGTTGCCAATCGAATGGCTTCTCTCTTTTAGGGAAAAATCCAAACTCTCTCATTTATCCCATTCGTAAGCCTGTTAATCTCCGCGCATCGCTCGCCTTTCCAAAACCTCCCACTGCCGCATCGCCAGCCTTGCTTGTATCTTGATCTCCGCCATTATCCACAGCTAGCACAGGCGCTCCCGCTTTCGCTCCCGTCTCTTTAGACGACCCCTCTCGAATTCATAGACCTAGTAATGAATCTGTTAAAAGCTTATTGAAATATTTAAAAATACCTAATCTGTTAAAAGCTAATTGAAATACTTAATAGCTAATCTGTTCAAAGCTAGTTCAATTAGCTATAGCCTTAATCTGAGCTCTCGCGGTTCGTTCACGTGGAGGGCGGTTGCGCGTCGGCGGAGCTTCCTCTGGCTGAGCTACAACTAGATCATCGAGCAGGAGTAAGCCGGTATCATCTGAGAAATCTGCAGGATCCAACATACTGGGATCCGGCGGCTCGATCGCGTACTTGTCAAAACTTTCCGGTTTAGAAAGGAGTGAAAAGGTGGAAAAGAAGTGTGAGTGTGAAAAGGTACTGGAAAGGGGATAAAAATGCCTTCGATTGTCTGAAACTGCACGCTGTTTCATTGCAGTTAGACTCCTCCAAAGAACCGGGTAACGGCATGATGATATTGAACCTGATCAACAAAATTACCTGAGAATGCCACCTACATCCCAGCCTCATAATATCGTCGTGAGTCTTACTTAGTATCTTCCGAGGAAGATTAAGTACTTTATCAAGAGGAAGATTAAGTACTCTATTATAAGTGCCGCACCGCATCCGGCAAAGCCATGTACTAAAAAAAAGAATCAATAATGTAAAAGAACCAGGTCACAGCCTCATAATGAAAAGAACAAGCAGCTCCGATTCATGGACGTCCGGGTAATGGACGTAGTGTCCTGAAGACACATTTAAGCTCGCCGCGTTAACGCTCCTCTTGTGTAGGCGCGATGGTGAAGTAGATGACGAAGCATGTTTTGTCCCGGCACTGGACTCTATTGACGTCGTTGGAACGACAGCCACATTCTCTTCTTGTGTAGGACTTGTTGTACTAGGGTGACCACCGCCTATGCTTCGCCCCTGGCCTAGAGGGCTCCTTGCGATCGTACAAGTTGTACTTTGCTCAGGCAGTACAGACGCGGACGATCCGACTGTGATGCTCTGTGTCGTCTCATCGCTGAACTGCAACATTTGCTTGACGATGCGGTTGACCTCAGACCCCGAATCTGCGTCTGAGCTACTGAAAAAAGCACCATCGCGATCAGACAAGATGTCACCGTTTTCTTTAGCCGGCTTAGAAGTAAGTAGTGAGTACAAGTATCTGCGAACCACGTTGTGGCAGCTACAAGTATCTGCCTCGTAGTTAGTACTAGCACAGAAATTTAACACAATCACAAGTTTTCTACGCAATATGAGTGGAAGAAGATTACCACTATCACACATGTCCCAGAGATAGGCTAGTCATGCCAGTGAGATTGTTTTATACTCATTTTAGATCCCATCATCAACAAAACAACGAACTTTCGTCTTAGTAAGAACGACTGGCTGCACGATGATAGCTGTGCTGGCTCTTGGAGGCACTGAAGCGGCAACGGAATTTTTCGAAGTGGCTGCGATACTAGTCCGGTTCTGTGGCTGCTTTGCGAAAGCTAGTGGAGACTGTACGCTAGGTCTAGAGGCAGGACTCGTTGTGAAAGGTTGTTCTTGTTCGGTTTCTCTGTTTTTTTAGACCCTTCCTAGAACTAGAATATAGGACCATGGAGCTTGGCCTTACAATTGCTAAGATGACGGAGAATAGAAGATGAAGAATCTTGAGCCGCCTCATCTTTGACCGTTTCTCGCCTTGGAAACGTGACAAAGATGCCTCTTACAAATAGTGTTAAAAAGTAGTTCCCCAGTTGTAGTCCCCGATCCTATGATGTGGTCGTTGAGGCCTTAACTCTTCGTTGCACTCAGGAGGTCCGAATGCTGTATATTCTGGCTGGGGGCAAGGGAAAATCTACGTCGTGAGACACGGGCAGCGGCGTCGGCTCTACCCAGTGCTACAGACTGTCGCCGAGTCGGACTCCGTCCGCTACTCGAAGATATGGATGAGGCGCCGGCCCCTCTTGCACTAGCAGTAGTCTTGGAGGGTGTCTCCGCTGCTGGACGTGGGGTGCCCGTCGGCTCCCCTGACAGACTAGCCCGCAGACTTGCGCCGTCACCACGCGGGACAGCTGCTATCAACTGTTTCAGAGGGTCTCCCTCCGGCTCTTTGCTATTAGAGCGAGACCGCGTCGAGCCTCTCCTTGCGTCCTGACGACGCGTAGCCATTACTTCTTTAGACAACGACCGCGCAGCGCCGGTCTCTGGCACAACTACAGCGAGGGCGCCTGTGGCGCCTGTGGTGGTGGTCCTGCCTGGTGAGGATCGCAGCGATTGCCTTCCTCTGGTGCGAGCGTCGTCTTGGCATGAAGGCAGGCAATGGAGGGGAGATGGGGCTATGCCAAGTTCCAGCACCTGTCTCTACAGTATTGCAGGACTAATGAGTGAGAAATTTGGCCTTGAAAATCTTGTACTACAACAGTATGAAAAGAATGAATTCTTCCAAAATACCAGCACGTGGTTGCTAAGAATCATGTTACAGATTTCCGAACTCGGTCATAATACCGCGTCGTCTGTCTGAGAGTCATCTGGTGTGCCCTCTGACAATGCTAGTGCAGGAATAGAATCAAAGCACATCGTATCCCGACCATTGCGACGTTTATTAGAGCCAGGCAATCACCATCGCTATCCCCATTTGACGAGTGGAGAAATGCCTCCGCTCCCCTTAGGCTTAGTTCCCCCTTGACTTCTCTTCTACGGAGACTGAACCCATTCCGCATGGCCCGCATGAGATAGTGACTGACTACTAGCCATAATTCTAAATCGAGTTTGCCTGTTCCCTTGTCCTCCCGATCCAGTGCCACTAGTTGTACGCTCTGTACTTCTACTATTGACTGGAGAAGTGCTGGAAGTTGCGCCAAAGGTAACTACGGTTGTAGGGCCTGTAGTTAGCGCTTTAACTGATTCAACTTCTCAGATCATAGCCTGCGAATCCGAGAAGGAAACTGCGGCAATAATCTGTGAAATTGAATCCTTCTAAGCCTTAACTTCGAAGTAGCATCTTTATCTTCATTCATCAATGCTTTGGAGGTAATGCTAGATCTACTCCCAGAGGACCCGACTCCTTGCACAGCAGTACAACTTAGATGAGCTCGCAATAATTCATCTCGCGACATCCTAGGCCCTTTTTTTCCTTTGAGCGGAAGCCTCTGATCCACTTGAGGAAGCCTCCTCGTAAGGATTAGGGTATTATTTTCGTACCTCTCCAGGATCATGTGCGCTCGGATGAAGATGGATTGGATTATTGTGAGCCTTAAACCGGCCGCGTCTTTTAGTTGTGTAGTGCTGTCTTTCGCACTTCCTCTTGCTTGGAAGACAGGCACAAAATGCGGCACGATCTCCAGTTTATAGTCGATCTCTATCTTCTTTCGCATCCAAATGCTTTCGATATTGGCCTTTTCTAACACTTGCACCACAAAGTTCTGGAACCCGATCAAGTCTAGAGAACCGTCTTTCAGAACATCGAACCATCGTACGACATTGTAGACCGTCACATTGCTGGTATAAGTTGCGTGTTGGGTTCGTCCCTGCAACCCCCGCTTTCGCCGCCGCTTCTTTCTAAGCGTCTGCTCAGCGATGTTGCCACCATCAACAGCACTTGTCCCACCTCCTTCTTCTCGCCTTTCTTCGGCCTTGTAATCATCAGCAGCTCCGAAATCATCACTAGATTAGCGCTAGTACTAGACACTAACTAGCATAAGTACTATGGTGCCTCTACTTTGAATGGATTCCATTTGTTCCTTCCCTGAAAGATCCCTTGAGTCAGTTCTAAAGGGAACAACCCAGTCAAGATCTAATGGGAACAACACAGTCAGGATCTAATGGGAACAACCCAGTCAGGATCTAATGGGAGCCCATCAATCAAGAATACCTCACACCAGGGCCAGCAAGAAGTGAGTGCCTACTAGAAGCCTTGTATGTATGTATGTATGTATGTATGTATGTATGTATGTATGTATGTATGTATGTATGTATGTATGTCTGTATGTATGTATCCCTGATGGTGCTGTTCCTACAGAGGTATCCCTGATGGTGCTGTTCCTAGAGTAGGCACACCCGTCTAGAAGCCTTAAAAACTAGAACTTTCTGTCGATAGTTCCTCGTCAGATGTAAAGTTGTCGTCTTCCTCTTCGCTCGTGCTGCTCTCGGTGTCGCGGATGTAGTCCTCCCTCACATGGAGCTTGAGGATGTCCAGCATATCCTTATCCGACAGGAGATGGTACTTGTAGCCCAATGCATCCAGGTTCATCATTCCATGAAAGGAGGAGAACGACGACGAAAGGAGAGAAGCTCTTCTTCATCTGATTCGATAACTAGGGAAAATAAGCGAGTAACTAGGGAAAATAAGGGAGATACTGAAAGAAGAAGAATGTAGTCAAGACTCTCGTCTTATTTCAGTCAGGAACTCGCTCATTTTGAGTTTTCGAATAAGTACTTCGTCGAAGTGAGAAGAAGCCTTGATGTCCAAAGAGCAATCGTAATGGCAAACTTCATCTATTAAGTCAAGTGTAAGTACTTCGTATATAAGTAAAAGACCATCTTCTCAGCACCCGTAGCACTTTTTCCAAGTGAAAAAAGTGCCAAGTCGAAGATGGTCGTGATGATGAAAAAACTAGTCTAAATCTTCCATAAAAATGCAGGACCTCTCTTGCCGGCAGGATTTTTCTATCCTTCAACCTCGAAGCACCATCCCGGAAGAAGAGCTGAATTGCACGTGTCTTGCGAAACTCAGCAAGGGCTTCCCTGGCTCCATTGATGAAATCAGTACCAAACGTCTCCAGGGGTATGCCTTCATGCGGCACTGCGTACTTTCGATGAAAGCTCTCCACAAATTTGCGCTGTCGCACCGTCTCGCTAATGAAGAGTCCGCCGATCCCTAGCTCGACTAAGGAGCGCACTAGAGCTTCAATTTCTCCAGGGCAATCGATCTGATGCTCGTAATAGCTCCGATACATATTGCCCAGTCGCGTTTTCAGTGCCTCCGGTAACGCATTGTATGCAGCCTTCTTCTCCTCGGCTCGCCGCGCTTTTACACGGTCTGTTACACGCTGCATTAGAAGTTCCCAATTGACCAATCTATCTCGCGTATCAATGAATTTCCTAGTTGAGAAAATCATAGATATGCATACAGAGGGATCAAAACTCAACCGTGTAATTGACTGGTAAGCGTGAGATGAGCGCATAGAGGACACGAGCATGTATGATATTATCGTGCCGTGAATTATTACTATGCAGAGCCTTAACTGCAAGCGCACAGCAGCAGCAGACTTCCGATCTCCACGCATCGGTCCAACTTTCCCAGCACCGGAAACCACATCAGTATGCCCTCCGCGACGTTGTAGGCTGTCTCCACCAGATTGGCCAGCTGCGGTACCCTCTTCGCTGTGATTGTATTTGAGTGGCTTCATCAATGGAACTCGCGGCTTACTCTTTGACTTAATCTTTCGTGGTCACGAAGATGTAAATGGACTTATACTGTTCTTGAACTCAGAAGAAGATACTCAAGTACTTCGAATGAACTTACAATGTTTAACTCACAAGAAGATAGTTAAGTACTTCGACTCTTGCACTCCACTCAAGTGATCGGTGAAGTCTAAACTTCCGAAATCGACGTCCGCGGTTGTCATTCGGGCGTTGATCCTGACGCTCGTACGCCTTCCCACAGGTCCTGGCGACATTGTCGCGACTGACGCATTGTCCAAAAACAAGCTTACATCTTCCGACTGGACGCGCCTGTGGCGTGACTCTCTTTGGTTAGACGATGTTTATGATGTATTGTACATGCGAAGAAATAGAAAACCAAAACGCTTCTAGTAGTACCACCGCTACTTTACTTTTGATTTCCATTTTTTTGCTTGCTGGCGATACACTGGTTACGCATGTAGCCAGACGATATATTTTTCGAATTGTCATCATCGTTGGGAGTAGTAGTATTTCACTGTGGAAAATTCAGAGCTTCTCGTAGTACCACTGCTACTTTACTTTTGATTTCCATTGCAACGAACTTTATATTCGCTTCTACCTCCTACTCGTTTCCACCTTAATATACTGCTCTGCCCTTCGCCTGTCGTCTTCTATTCTTTTCCGCCTCGCTCTCCACCTTGATGCTGCATGACGGGTCATTTCTGCTACTTTTCGTGTAGTAGATAATAAAAGCCTAACATCTACTTGGTTTCCTCGTTTTCGTCCTTGAGCGTCGTTACCGTCGTCAGCGCCGCCCATCCCGAAAGCGCCCCCACAGTCCTCATGATCTGCATGGCTACGCAATTCCAGCAGGAGGTCGTCGATAGTTGGAGGAGGAGGCCACTACCTACGTACACTTCCTGAAAACAAACCCGAACAAAATTATACAGGTACTCCTGTTTTAAATTCGATGTGAAAGTGGATCTGGATCATCAAGGTGTCTCTTCCTCTACTAGCTACATAACTATGATCTATAATCTCCACTTCCAACTTTATAACTTAGATCTCTCAACATAACAACAAAATGTCTCCATGGCTCCTCGTGAGTCTCTGCGTACGACGTTTTCTCGCGGAAAACAAGTTCCTAGGAGCACGCTTTTTCCGATCCCGGGTCTCACTTTGCCACTGCAACATCGCCATTCCTATGTCTTTGCGCACAAAAAGTTCAGGCTCCGATAGTGTTAGCCACGCGCCATTGCGTCTTGCCTCCGGCATGTAGTGAAAAAACGACTCCGCTTTGCTTTTTTTTAAAGAGTGTGCAGAAGAAGATGGGTCGTGGGCTTGCTTATTTTTGCCTGGTAATTTTGTCGTGGCGCTAGAATTCTGATTTGATGTCTGAGCAACTGCAGTCGGCGAACTTGTTGCAGCTGGCGGTCTGGGACTTTTTACCAAAACCGACTTCTCACTACGACCAATGTCGGTAGAGCTGTCCTCCACCGCGGTGTGCTGCTTTTTTGGACCGACAAGGCTTTGCAACTCTTCTACTATGTCAGCGTATCGCTTTCTACTTCCTCTGGTGTCTAACTTGGGCATCGTCTGCTCTAGATGCATCTTGGCGTCAAGAACGCCATTATTTGATGGAGCAGTGGTCACGTCTGCGAGACTGCCACTGCCTGCATTATTAACACCGTCGGGAACACCACCTGCCTCCTTAGAAGTTGAAGCTTCTACCTCTTGCGGCGACAGTTTCTCCCCATAATTCTGCTCTTGATGCTCGTGACCGCAGCTGAGTTTATCTTTAAATTAGACAGCTCTGCTCCCCTATTCATCCCTGTTTAGGGATCCCTCAAGCATGATATGCGTCAGTAACTACAGTATCTCTCTTGTATTGGGGCGCATACTGTCTTTGAGGGATCCCTATAGAAGGTTTGAGGGATCCCTAAACAAGGATGAATTAGGGGAAGCCTTAACTAAACGCACTAGCAAACTTACGAGAAGCAGATGAAGCTGTCCTGCAATCCCTTGAAAAGTATTCCTCCACTTCTTGCACGAAATCCGGCTCCAAATCGCTTAGATCATCCAGCAAGCGCTTATACGTATCATAATCTTGTTGTTTCTTCTTTTTAGAACCAAGAGAAATCTCCCATTTTGAGAAGCATCTTGGGCCTCCTTTTCCCTTTAAAAACGGGACCAAGATGCCTCTGAAGATGCATTTATTGTAGCCTTAATCTTTAGACGTTCTTTTTTACGTCGCCTGAAAGAAGAAGTCGTTGTAGTTTTCTGTGAAGTTGAAGTAGTGGTGACTGAAAACAACTCATTCTTCAGCGTTGATGTGAAGTAGGAAAAAGTTGTCGACGTCGCAGTCATGGAAGCAGTTTGCACTGATGCCTGTGGTTGATCGTTCGGTCGCAAGTCAGTTGACGTGTTAGTCGAGGTGCTTATGTTTTTTACCTCATCTTGTTCACGAACAACTATATCAGCTGGTGCTTGCTTCCGCCGCGCATGTTGCTGCAGGAGTTTACTCCTCTCAGTTTCCGCCTGTCGGAATGTGTTCAAAACTGGTTCAAACACACGGGGACAACTTGTAGAAGTAGTTGTACGCGTTTTGTTGCCTGTTAAGGCGTCCTGGCGAATGTCCAAAGAAGCAGTCAACATCGTGTGGTCGAAGAGATGGGCTGGGCCACCTACCGTCGGCAACACTGGCATGGCCCACGATCGGGTGGGCTACTTCGTGTTAAAAAGTGTTACTGTTATGACAAACAGACTTTGTTGAGAATCTTATGCATGACATCTTCGGAACTTCGATTTTATTCAATGTTGTACTTTTGAGGACATAAGTGCTGCCCCATATCAGCAGAACATCGCTTAGTTCTCGTCAATGTACCCTTAAGGGGATGCGTCTGTGACCACCACTATCGATCTCCGATTATTAAGTATAAATTAGACATATTCAAGGAGAGCGATTCTACTCCTGCTGGGGTCATATCTATGACACTTAGTACACGTGATCCACTCCGGGGACAGAAGAGCCGAACAGTCAAAATTGAATGCCTGCGTAGACTCCATGTTGTCAGGTACAGAAGCGGACGTCAACCGAGTCTTTCTACAGGCAAGAGAGACCATGCAAGACCAACATTTAGATACAGAAAAAACTACAACATGATCAACTTTGTCTGGGGCTCTCATCCTGAACTGAGCACCAGTAGAAGATGGCAGATTACAAGAAAAAAACCGAAAGCCCTTACGTGTTTATCATGAAGAATCGCAGCGCTCAGTGACAGAAAGAAGCGTCAATGATGGGGGGAAGCGTCTGCGTCTCATCCGCCGCTGGGTCTCTTACAACCTTCAAGGTGAGAAATGCCTCCACGCCTGCCGGCACCATTATGGTTAATTTCCATGGAATGAAGTCAACTGAGATGCTCCATGGAGTGAAATCAAGTGATGGTCCATGGAATGAAGTCAAGAACTGGAACTGATGTTACTGGAAACGTAAGATTTCTTTTTCTCCTTTGCTGACGTTTGAGGTATGGCAAATCATATGAACATCTATAACTGGTGTGTCGTCGTGTCCGTGTCATGAACAAGACAAACTTGATACTAACTATAATTCTCTTCGTGCTGTTACAGCGATCTGAAGTAAGGCCCGTTGCTGCAATCCCATCAGAATTTGAGGTATGGATCTATTCAATCTTATCAGAAAGACAGCCCTTCCACAGGTATATGCCCAGTGTCTCCAAGTAAACGCGCACTGACGTAGCCATCGTGGTCAATGCTGATCCACACAATGCTTGCGTGCGCGACCGAGAGCCTCAACCATGCGCGTTCGTCAAGCTGCAAAGCTCGCAGTTGGGAATGAACGCAGGAGATGACTACTCTGATTGCGGAGGAGAGTCATGTTCGCAGGAGATGATTGAGTAGGTACGCAGGAGATGAGTCTTCTCTGATTGTAGAGGAGAGATGAGGTTTAATGTTTTCTTCTGATCATTGCGAGGGAGAATCATGAGTCCTCTTGTAGGCAGTCTCCAACCTCCTGTCGACTAGCACTTCGGAGGAGTCTACCTATAATCCCTAGGTTGATCTTCATCTGATGCTCATTCCTCTGATACACATCAGATGTTCTACAACGGCGTCTCAGTTATGTTCTACAACGTATCTTCTTGATACACGTCTCAGTCATGTTCTACAACAGCGTCTCAGTCATGCTCTACAACATATCTTCTTGATACACATCTCATGTTCTATAACAGCGTCTCAGTCATGTTCTACAACAACGACCACCTCTTCCGTCTCAGTCATGTTCTACAACAACGACCACCTCTTATTCCTCTGATACACATCTCAGTTCTTCGCGAGAGCCTTAGAATTCAAGAAGCGATCTTTCTAACAAAAAACAAAAGATATTTTGCATAAAAAAAGTAGCGTATCACATTCGCGTGGCAGACGTAGACCTGAGTTGAGACATGGTCTAGGTTGCTTCCCTGAGGTATCCGGAAGATGTCCTGAAAAACCTCAGCGATGCGCTTGCTTACCGGATGGCGGCGACCTACGCGCTCGTGAATTAGACCCGTTCCAAATTGACGAAACAGAGACTTGTACAGATGTACGTAATATCGCATACCTATGATCCTTTCACTTAATATCTATCCTTTTCCTCGTTGAAAAAGTCCCGATGTCGCTTACTCATCTTCGTCTAACCTTGTTTTCCTCATTGAGAAAGTTCCCACAGATAGTTTAACTTTACTTAGGTCAACGTCAACTTAAAACCCTTAACTGAGGATCCGGATCCGGGATGCAGGGCAATCCTTCGGCTATCCGCGTTTCCGTGCCTAGAGGAATCACCTCAGCTTTGGCTGTTTGATGTTCACTCGCTTCGGCCTCGATGGAGGATGAAGGGATACATAAGTACTTACAATACTGCTTTAACAGAACTATTAGTCTATGTATCCCGTGCTCTAGAAATTTGACTTCCTCTGATGGACGTGAAACTGCTCGTTAAACAAGGCAGATTCGATCAGCAACGCTAGGTTTTTTGCTCTTAGCATATGTCCTACAAATTCAACTAGACTTTTTTTGGAGAAGCTGTAGACGGAATGATGACTATGGTGGATGCAGTTGTGTCCAATCATAAGAGTTCTGGCGTCAGGTCCTCAGTCCATCGGCACTTGGGCCTTTTACTCGTTTCCTGAACCTCCTCTATGCGCGGCTCCTCGTTACTCAGAGGCTTCTTCTTTGCTGTTCCACTACTGCCGAAAGACAACCACCAACGACGTGACTGCCCATCTGGCGTCGCAGAAGTTGTGGATGACGAATTTGCCTGAACATCTTCACTTCCTTTGTCCTGTTTCATTTCTAACTTCGAGCCCCGTTCTGGTGTCACCTCAGGCGCCGCCTTCTGGCTCTCTGGTGGCGAAGCCCCTGCTCCCGAGGCAATTCTGTCAGCGTGATCGCTGTACTCCATGGAAGAGATTAGAAGCCCCGCCGCTGTTCTACCATGCAAATAACCGAGACTGCTCTACCACGCAACTAGATAACTAAGTCTAAGGCAACATCCACGCGGCCGATGCGCCTGCACTATGCACGGCGGGCGCAGCCACCCCCCTCAGCCTGCGGTGGGCGCTGTGGTTCAACCAATGCCAGAGCAAAAGCGAGAGGCCAGAGGCAGAGCGCTGCCCAGCGCCGCGCGCTCTCCTTTTACAGTCTCGCAGTCTGATGCCGGTCCGCCGGCCGGCATTCATTGCCTGCGCATCTGCTTCGAAAGTACCAGCCTCGAGATAGAAAAGGCCGCAGCAATGCGCGCTTTTTTCAATAGTAAGCAAAAAAGAAATTCTTCACCCAGTTCCGCGCACAAGGCACCGCCGTCGCTTGGACTTGCGCCATGTCCCGCGTTTGGTACATGAGGGGACTTTTCCCACTAAGGTACGCCTCACATGATCCTGACCACTCAGGTGCTTCGTTATGTCGGCGAGGCATGTAGGGCCAGTTCTTAACCCCTTTGATTGGGGTATCCAGTGATACGGCCGCCCGTTCTGCAACTTCCATTCGTGTCTGAATAGTGCGCACCCCAAAAGCACCAACGGCCCAGCCGGGTAACTTGGTGACCGCGTCGAGCATCCAACGGCGGCGGAGAAGGTCTCCGCTCCGGGCTGTCCACGCCGAGGCGGCATCACTCCAGGCCCACCTCTCCCAAAAGTGCCACTCTCCGTCTTGGTCGCGGCAGCAATATCCGAGGCCGTGGCGAAATGGTTCCAGCTTCTCACGCGTTTGCTCCGCTAGCGAAAGTAAACCGTAAGAGAGCCGGGTAGGTGCAGCCGGCAAGAAGCGTCGCCGCGCTCAGCGTGACCGGGACCCAAGTCGACCCGCACATACAGCCAAGAGGGGGCGGCGGCGTCGCACCTCCGCGATTGCTGCAGCCTTTCACCTGAGACCGGCCGCGGCACAGCTGCAGTTCCAGCCGCCCAACAAGAAGACGGGACCGCCTTCCAAGATGTCTGCGGGTGCCTGCTCGTAGCTCCGGACTCACCCCAAAACGCGAGGCACGGCATCCCCTTCACTCGAGCCGCCAGTCGCGGCGCGTGATGCGACCGCCATGGCTGCCCATACTCCGTAACGGCATCAGACTCCCAGCAATAGACTGCGGAGTCGGCAACGATGTGCGGCCCCATGTTCTTGGCTTTTGAAGCGTGCGAGCCTGTAGCTTGGACCGCTTGGCCTTTTTAGATCCAATCCGCAAATTTGGCCAGCGCGTCAATTTTCACCCTGGAGCCCCCTCCGGTTTCGTTTCGCTGCGCGTTTAAGAGGCGCCCCCCTCCCGCAAGCACCCGGGCTTGTTATGGCAATCAAATGCGAAAGCGCCTCCCCTACATCGCCAGAAAGGCTCCAGCTGTTGCGATCCACTTCATCCCTTTGGGCCACTCGGTCGCTTTGGGAATAGTTTGCACCAAGACCCCTCGGGCCGCTGCTGTCCGCCGAGGCGCCCGGCCTGCTACATGTACGCGCTACGCGCTGAAGCGCCGAGGGCGATGGATTGGGCTGAGCGCGCCAAGTGGCGCCGCCGCCCGCAACTGCGTTCGCCAGAATGCAGCTAGCAGCCTCGAAACCATAGCCAAAAAGCGCAAGCATCGGCTCCGCATCCCTGCAGACTCGCGCACAAACGCGCCCGGTTTTCCCTCGAGAAACTGAGTGGACTCCGTCTTTATCTAATTTGTGAGACATTTGCTTTCCCAGCCATAAGTAGAGACCAAACATGGTTTCGCGTATAATGTGCGCAGTTTGTCGTGCTCGAGTGAGAGGGCTCTGGACATAGGAAAACGTACAGTTTTCGCGCCTCACCGGAAACAGGCCTTCCGCATTCAATAGCAGTAATTAGAGGTCGGGGATCATCATGAAGCCAGGCACCTGTTATCTTCAGCAGGGCGGCACCACATAAAAAGCGCTTTCTTACCTATCCACGTAAGCGAAGCATCCTCATCCTTACTGGCACTGATATTAAGCAAAACTTCAAAGACTTCGATGGAGAATCAAAACTTATAGATACATAATCTACACAGCAGAGGTATCCTCACGTACCCCAAACTCAAAGCAGAACTTCGATCACCTTAAATAGTGGAGACCTAGACCTACGTGTATAAGCGCTCGCCTGTCAGCCGTGCCTGGTCACGGCCTCGCTGCGTTAACGCTCGTAAGTGGTCCCCTTCTTTGCTCATGTGGTACTGGCCATGCCGAACAAGTATAATCTCACGTCTCCCAATATCCAGAAGGAGCTCTCCATCGTTAGGCTCGACCCACCTTGTTGGATCCCACACTGATTAGCCCCCTTCACCATCTTCATCACAAGAACGATCCTCGAGCTTGGAAGCGATTTTCAAAATCTACCATGTGAAGGTGTGTCACCATCTATGTATTCAGTCGTATTTTCTCCTAACTATCATGTTATCGCCCCACTTGAGATACTACTTTCATTCGTAATCTATTCACCGGAGTCAGAAAATCGTTCGTGTAAGAGACTAGTACGTCCGTTAGGTTGTGGACCCTGCACATCGAGCACCGGTGTAACAAAAACATAAAGCCTGGGCTCATAATGGAAAGAATATTGCGGCCGATCAAAAGCTGCCTTTAGCTTTTCGTAGTTCGATTGCGTTATCCGATCGTACACGAAATAAGCTGTAAGCATCCCTACCCTTAGAAGCTGAGCCCACGAAAACGCAGATATACAACAAAGATATGCATACCCTGAGAAGATGACGCAGATATACAACAAAGACTCTTTCTTGTGTACTATAAGTGCATTCATCTTGTCTAATGTTGTTCCCGTAAGAAACAAGCTGTTCCAAAAAAGGCGAGTCCGCTAGCGTATGGTGGTGCCTGGTCGTTGGGGCGTCCTTGGGCACCAGAGGCGAAAGCTCGAGAAGAGGACGACAAACCACGACTAATGGAAAAGGAAGAAGAGGACTCATGATATTTGAGTAAAAAACTGCTACACCTGGATGATGATGATGATGATGATGATGGACAGGCAGTAAGTGTTGGTACAACGGACCATGATGTCGACGACGAGCTGGCACCTCCATGGGACACAAGATCAAGTGAGCAGCTCCTCGCTTTTCTGCTTGATGCTGGTTCGAAAAATTGATAGTAGCTTTGCTGAGAAGACGCGGCGTTTTGTTGTTCTGATAAGGCAACTACCCATGTCGTCTTCGTTTGAGTGCAAAATCGCTTCCGAGGCAGACGACTTGAGCCAGACGGCAAACGGGACACTGGTTGAAGCACTACAGCACACGACATCCTTTGAGTACTTCTCTTATTTCTGCCTTAACTAAGTACTACAATCATAAGTAGTAAGTAACCACACTCAGGTAAAAAGAAATATATTGAACTTTCTCCACACTGTTAAGGTAAAAAAGAAAATTAAATATTCAAATAGCAAAACTAACCAGACTACTCAGGTAAGAAACATATTCATATTTGGATTTGGATTTGGAGATTTCAGAAATTGTTTCTGTTTATTGAACTTTCTCAAGAAATCCGCTCGACTCATCATCTGTCACTCGTGCTGTATTGAACTTTCTCAAGAAATCCGCTGAAACTGAAAGCACTGCAAATAATTCAAGGAACCAGTCAGACGAAACCTTGTTGCGGTGGTAGAACACAACTCCCTGACGTCGTAGTAGATGTTTTAACACACACACACACCTTAATCTTATTTCTAGAGTAAAGTAGATGAACTTCGTAGTGTGAGTCGGTGGATGACGGATAACTCTTACTGCGCTGGAGGAGTTGGAAAAAACAGTTCAAATAAACGATATGGAAAGTACAGGGATCATGAGGCGCTCGGAAGGTGTTCGGAGAAAAAGCCAGACTATCAATCTTTGTTTTCTAGAAAAAGCCTCCGTAATTCGCTTGAACAGTAACATCTCATCGGCGAGAGGCGAACGTGTGGCTATAAATATCTACCGTCATGACATGAATCACTGTGGGACACCAGCATGACATAAATCATTGCGCGCGAGGCATCAGCAAAAGGACAAAACAAAAGAAGAATTCATTTAGTTCACCCAATATATTCTCTTAGTTCGAGTAGCGAGAAGCTTTGTGGTTCTACCATGATGAAGCGTAAAAACAAGATCCGCGTGAGGGAATCGTAAACAAATACAAACAAGGGGTGATGGAGTTGATGGGGATGTCACTGGGGGAGGGGGGGTGTTAATAAAACAGTTCTGTTGGGGCTCTCTATTTTTTTTCTGTCGCGCAGAAGTTGCCTAGTTCCTATACCACACTATAATTTTTGCAAGGGGAAGCGAGTCACAGTCAATTAGCTCTAGTAATCAGCTCTAGATGGACTCTACTGCAAGAAGCAGGACACCTACAAGAGTAGCATCAAAAAAATTTGAAAAGCTAAGACGTCTCCACCCTAGCCACACCATGATCATTTCTTCATCTACTAATATCTCTACTATTTGATTAGTATAAGTAAAAGTAGCAAGATCTCCAGAAGTTGCAATACAATACAATTAATCTCGCACTTTTTTTTTTGTATCGTGAGCGAGTTCCGATAAGTCAAAACCTACCTGCGTATTTTGCAAGCGAGTTCCGATAAGTCAAAACCTGCCTAAGTCAAAACCTCGCACGAAGTTCAGTGCAGACTGCCTTAAGGGCGTCATAGATGGTATACACGATGGATCTCACGCAAAGATCATACTCTCACATCTTTAGAAGTCCTCCATATTAAGTACTCTTTGTTCACATACTCTTTGTTCACTCCCGTTTCAGCACCTCCCGTTTCTCAACAGTGATATCTTGCAGACAAAGCGGACACTTCCGGTTCTTCAGCAGCCACGTGTCAATACAAGTCTGATGAAACTCGTGTCCACAAGGCAGCGTTCTGCAGAGCTCTCCAGTGTATGAAACGGGACAAAGGCTAAAAAGAGGTGTTAGCAATTGAGAGGGTTAGATTGATTGAAATTGAAATAGATAGGGTTAGCAATGCTATTGAAATAGATAGGCTTACGGAGACAAAGGCTAAAAAGAGGTGTTAGCAATTGAAATAGATTGGGTTGCAATTGAAATTGAAATAGATAGAGTTAGCAATGCTATTGAAATAGATAGGCTTACGGAGACAAAGGCTAAAAAGAGGTGTTAGCAATTGAAATAGATTGGGTTGCAATTGAAATTGAAATAGATAGAGTTAGCAATGCTATTGAAATAGATAGGCTTACGGAGACAAAGGCTAAAAAGAGGTGTTAGCAATTGAAATAGATTGGGTTGCAATTGAAATTGAAATAGATAGGGTTAGCAATTGAAATTGAAATAGATAGGCTTACGGAGAGGAAAAAGACGATTAGAAGTTCATGAGAGTGTATATGTCATCTAGTGAGTGTATGAACAAAGGGGACTGGTCCAGTGAGTGTATGAGATATACTGTCTTTCAAGACAACATAGTGGGAATACTATAATAGGAGGGACATATTATGCAGAAAGTGGCAGCATAGAGGTACAAATTCTGCTAGACAAACGGCACAATTTGGCTCATCCGTGTCGCTGAGAGGGTCGTCTTCCGCAGTTAGTGGAGAGGATGAGACAGCACTTGGCGTTGATGTTACATCTTCTTGGAGATGTATCCGATCGGGAGAAGACGAAGAGCCAGGACCTGTTGACGTTACATCTTGGAGATGTATCCCCTCGTGAGAAAACGAAGAGCCAGCTTTTGCTTCCCGTCTCTCGTGGTGATCTTCCGTCGAGCTTTTCGAAGAGCCTTGCTGTGCCACTCTTCTTTGGTGCAGGCCATCCGCTGAAGCATCGCTAGCAGAAGACACTGGTGTAGAAGGATGGTCTTCACTTTGCGAGTCACTTTCGTCGTTGTCTTTTTCCAACGATGCTAGCTCTATCTTCTTCTCCTCTGCCACGACTCCGGAAGAAGTGGTACTACTCTTATTTCTATCTTCTTCATGGGGAATTGCTCCGTAAGTAGTTGTTGTAGTCCCAACGTGACCTCCATGGGTAACCGCAACATCGCTACCTAGTAAAACTAAGTTTGTCCTCTCTGTCTTTCTCTTCCTGCTATACGTCCACGAACCGAGCCGTGCGAGCTGCTCTCGGGTCGCTCCACGAGGTCCCCAGACTCTTGGCTCCATCAGCTGGAGGAGACGGGGTCTTATCGGAAAGCAGTGGTAGAAGCAGACTAGGGTCACCAGCAGTCGGATGATCGCCAGCAGAATCACTGCGATCACGAGCGAGTATGAAAAGCAGTGGTCCGTGGGAGTAAGGAAGGAGAGGTGATGAAGTGGTCCGTGGGAGTGAGGAAGGAGATGAAAAGCAGTGGTCCGTGGGAGAAAAAGGCTGAGGGAGTAAGGAAGGAGAAATGATGCTCATGAATTGAGGTCACGGCTTACATCATCATTTCTCCTTCAGATCCGTGGGAGTAAGGAAGGAGAAATGATGATGTAAGCCGTGACCTCTATTCATGATGATTGATGTATCCCAGCAAGGGGTTTAGTTGTCACTTGGACTTCTACTACACGCACTTCGAGGTGGTAGTACAGATGGACTTTGGGCTTCTGAATGTATTACGAAATGGTAGTAATAAGGAAAAAATCATGATCTCAATCGAAGATAGAAACAGAAAGGAGGAGAACTTTATAATGTCTACTTCGTTCTTCATCAGCATAGTCCATTTTTTTCTATTTACTACAGACCGAATTATAAACCCTCATGCCATAAGCGATACAAACCGGGACAATCGGCACAGTGCTCGCTGTTAAGGATCCACACGAGGCCTAGGACGAACCAAATATAGACGCAGACTGATATCACCTTGCTAAGTTTAGAGGTTCTTCGGAAGTTGCATTCTTCAGAACATCCTTGACCCTTTTCCTACTGGAAAACGAGTGAAGGATGGTGGACGAACACGAAGAATGCAATGTCGAAACCCTTAATAAGTCTCCAGGCTGGCGCAGAGGTCAAACGCTGAACGACGTTTTCTACCTGCGGTTGCCCACGTCTCTCTTCCCGTACAACACTCCACCAGAAAACCAGACGGACCTGGGTTTTGTTGGTGATAAATATAAATGACATCGTGTGCACGAGCAGCCAAGCAATGAATGTCCACCAAACAATGAATGTCACCAAACAACTGTAAATACGCATGATATGTTGACGAAACTGGTATTTTCCTCCTCACGGCAAAGAATTAAAATACCGGTGTCTGCAAAAGGAGCAAAATCGTGTGCACTAGCAGCCAAGCATGAAGCGGCCGGTTACACCTTCTACATCGATCCCAATGCACCAATAGAAAAAGCGCACAAGGTATGGCCACAAATAGTCCAGCAACCGAACCAAAGACCATCGCCACCTTGATAAACCACACTGCTTGACCTGGAAACTGCCGAAGGACGTCGACCAGAGGGTCTGCTTGTTGACGGACCAGAGGGTCTGCTTGTTGACGGACCTCTTGTCCTCCGGGTGGAGGTGCGGCGACGAGAACAGGTACTCTCGCATTTGTGTCTGAGGAAGAATCGCCGAAAAAAAACCGCCTTACAAGCGACCCACAGTGCCATCTCATGGCGAGCCGTGAGAAAGCGCGACTCGCCACGTTCGGCATGCTGCTCTACTATGCTCTTTTTGAGTAGCGGTTATGTTTTTGAGATGTTCTCTACAATAAAGAGTTTGAGTTTACTTATTTGCTTCGTGTGTTGAAAGTCGCTGTGCGAGGTGTCATGAATTATGTAGAGGAAGCTTCAGTTGTGAAACTAGCTCTGTAGTTCAACTTAGTTTCAAAAAAAACCTTTGATTGCCGGAAACTCTAGTTGTATCTTTTTTGGGGTCATTGTAAGTTCAAAATTCAGATGCGTCGATTGCGAACAACTTACATTCAGCGCACTTCTATGAGTCGTGTATTATAGCGACACTTACTTCACCGACGAAACGACCTTTGCCGACGAAACTTTCGATAGTGGTACACAAGACACACTTCTTAGACCGACGAGACAACAAAGAAAAAGAGCTTCGATATATATAAAAGCATTCACATTGCTTCTCGAAGTTGAAAATCTCCACTCTCCAACAGTCCATAACTATCCATTCTCAAATGACCGTACGTGATCGTCGGCAAGCCGACGCAGTTCCTTGTTTAAGCCTATGCGATTATAACGTTAAACTCATGTTGATGTCCTCGCTTCCGCATTCCGACCACAAAAATTGTTCATTCTTGTTGTATCCTCAGACAGTAATTTAGGTCCCGAAAAAAAATTACTGTTCGTCCCATCTTCCGTCCGAATCCACGAAGATCCATGACACTATCTAGTACAAGTCTAATTGATGTGCACAAGTCTCCTATTCAGAAAGAGTGTGTTCCGATAATATTTGCGTGTGAAGCCCGGCTCGCGATCGTCGCGGATCTGATGGTAGCCAAACCGGAAAAGCAGCTTTCGCAACAACAGGTAGTCTTCATGATGGATGCCTGATAGCATCACCAGGGTGCACTTCTCGAGTGTCATTTCTTAGAAGCGGCTGTAATATGGGCGAATGTGCTGTGTGTGAAGATGGAGCTACAGCGCACTCATTATAACGGAGCAATTTCTAAGGTTTCACAGCTCGCAAGGCATGGAGTAGCATGGATCACATGGAGTAGCATGGAGCTAAAGGGGGAGCTTCTTGCGTCCCTTAAAGCTCTGCGCCCCATGCCCTCCATGCTACTCCATGCACCATGCGTGCTATAAACTACTCTGTTATAATATTATCATCAACACTAGGGTGGATAGTATAATTGAACAATTGTTTTGGCACTGGGGCACATTAGGCGCTTGCACGTGGTTGTAAAGACAAGAGGGAAGAGGAAATGCTTTGCTGATAATTCACGGCACATTGGCGCGACTCGCTGTGAGGCTGGGTGAACGATCTACAGCTTCTAGAGCTAGTGAATACAGTGAGTACTACTGTGTTGGACATGACGTCTGTTGAGCTCCAGCTGCGTACTCGAACACTTAGTAAATTCGTTCAGGCTTAATATTCTAGCGGGGTGTTTATTCCTTGCAACGCTATCATTCACCGGACAGCGCTGGGGAACCGGTCAAGTTTTTTATGCTATTCCTATGCCGTTTATCATGTTAGGCTGGGGCTAGTGAATGCAGTGAGTACTACTGTGTTGGACATGATGTATATAGTCAACGATGCACTCATATAGTCCTAAGGTGTCCTGCCTAGGACATTCATCGCGAGTACTTACAGCTACTTATGTAGTAGTTCTTGGTCATAATTTTTCGCGCCGAGCAATGCTGCAATCTCGTTTCGCGCAAGGCGTGCGTATAAAACGCAGTCGCGTGTTCTTGTTGCTGCGTCAGAGTCTGCTTCCGCAGCGATGTACTGATCGAACTCGTCATCCACCGTGGATATTAGATTCTTTACAAAAACTTTCTTCCATCAACATGCCGGATATGGGCGCTCTTCGTGTTTGCTAAGAGCATCAATATATATCTACAGCGCGCGTGCCAAATTATATCAAAGATAGAAGGCAATGACATACTCACAGAGAAGGGGAAAGCAGTGACAGACCGACACGCCCTGTCTGACAGCCGTCACCCGAAGGCTATCGAAGCAAACCCCGAGAAAGAAGCCACTGAATCTGAAAGAAACTAAAAAAGGCGACGGCTTCCAATTCCGCCCAGTGCTGCACACACCGCAGCCCACCTCCACGCGGCTGCCGCTGGTTCTGGGTGCACTCGATACACACACGACAAACATACACAAAACGAAAGCCAAAGCATTCATTGGCGCAGCGGCATCGATTACAACCCCGGGAAAAGAGCAGCGCCTGAAGCCTTCACAGATCACCACCCGCAGCCAGCCCCTTGGCTATTCAAACTCCTGCCGGCCTGTGGGCATCAGCTGCCGGACTTCCGCCCGGCCGCCTCGCTCCCTCTGTTCTTTCACCTGGTTCCTGCTTCCCCCCTCAGTCCCACCATACCACGGCAAACCTTTCCAAGCTTCTCCCTGGCCTCACCTGCATGTAAGGCCCCCCCCGCATCCGCTCAGCAGCGCAGCCCACGACGCTGCGGGCCTACATACCCCAGGCGCAGCGTAAGGCCGTCCCCCTCAAGAAAGGACGAAAGCCTACGCGAGCGCCGTGGCTTTGCTTGGGCGCCCTTCCTCGCCGCACATCGCCGCCGTGGGCCCTCTGTGCTTTCTTCTTCGTCTGCTACATGTACACCCCTCAGACTTCACAACTTTTGCTGGGCGTCTCAACCTCAAAAGAGCCAAGGTCTGCGACAGCGAGACCCCCAAGGCGTTAGAGGGGGACAAGCGACCAAAAGGCACTACGTACGTAGCAACTCAGCCCGCAGAATCAAGCGAAGGCGCGAGGGCTCCCCCGTCTTTCTGCAAGTCATGGGCCCCGCAAGCTGTTCGGCGTTTGCTTGCGGTACGTTTTGCGCGACCGCCTCGGGTCGCGTTCCACCTGCACGCCGCGGCCAGCCTTCGACCGCCAGCCGGTTTCTGGCGTCTGAGATCTACCGCGAAAGCTCCGGAATTCTTTGCGAATTCTGTGTCTATCTTTCGCCATACCATGCTAGCCCATGCTTTCGTGGCCACTTCATTGCCGTCAGATGTCTGGGCGAGAACGCCGGAGGCCATATCCCCCCGTCTTCATGGTGGCACTTTTGACGTCCGTGGCCCCACTGTTAGAGCCGCGGGAGCTCCTGGCCCGTCGACTGCCAGCCGAGCCGGTTCCCCCGGTGCGGGCTTCTTGCGTCTCATCCAATGCAATTCCAAGCCAGCAACAAGAACGCCAAAGACGCTGCCCCGCGTGAATGGTTGCGCGATGTTGTACAGACGGCATATCGCAGCCCGCGTTAGCTGCGTAGTACTCGGCGTTCAGGAGAGGGAGACCAGCTTCACCAGCCACGTCAGGCTTCACCTGAATCAAGCTGCTGGCACCAATCGGGTCGACTCGGAACCTCTTGGCCGGTGGCGACCTGGTGCTCGGGGAAATGGCTGCAGCGGTGCTAGAGCCTCACACTAGCACCCACCTCCGCACGGCGTTGCTTCTCGGTTTTTCTTAGAGCAGCGGGCCGGGGTAATTGTACTACCCGAGTAAGAGAACGCTGCCGGCCCTGATCTGTAGGAGCAACTACCTCGCCAGTGTTCGTCTCGGCGTCTCCTGTCCGTCACCCATAACGTTCCCAAAGATGACCAGCCGAAGTAAGTGGTGCTCTGCTCAAAGCCTTTCGCCAGAAGGTGCCCGCCCTCCTGGCAGAGCAGCGGCTGAGGTAATGCTTTTCAACTTCTCGCCCTTCAGAAGAGGAGCAAGGCAGGCACCTGGTGGAGATCCGCCACAGGAGGGCGGGGAGCCTCTGGGCCCATTCTACTGGGCAGACCAGCCCCGTCGCTGTCCTCGTGATGGTGGCCCCTGCTTGCTGGGGCTCTCCTTCCAGCCACGCCTTCGTGGACTGCGGCGCGGTAGATCATCGACCGCGCAGCACGATGCCCCCTGACCCCCAGAGGCGGCCAAGCCCGCGCTACGCTGTCACCCCTTCACCGTGATCAGCTGCCGACCTTGAGGGCCTCCCCCATCATTTCGGAGCCGGAAAGCACGTCGCTGCGCCACTTTTTTGCCCCAGCAGTCTCCCCATGCCGAGGCCTGACGCATTTCGACGGGCGGGCGTCTTAGCTATACGGCTCAACAATGGCGACAAGCCCAAGCAACCACAGCGCCACGGGGGCGCTTCCGTCTTTGATTCTTTCTCTCGACCCCTTCGTTCCCCCACGGCTTCCGAGGACCGCACCAAGCTGTTCACCCACTGCGGCGCAGCGTGGGTGACCGACACGCGCACGGCATACGGGCAGCGGGGCCCCCCAGCCAAGCGAAGCGCCGCCCGCTTCTCCTGTGCCCAAACAATCACAAGCAGCCGACCAGGCCCGCCCGCCTCATACACAGGGCGTGCCTGGGTTTTCTCCTTTCAGCAGCGCACGCCCCCTTGCTTTTTCGCCTTTACAGGCATCCCATTAATGGCCCCCCTGCCTCTGCTGCTGGGGGGCGCCCCCGCCACTCGCGCCCCACTGTTTTCAAAGCCCCAGCCGCCGCCGTCTCGCGATCGCTGCCTGGCAAGCCATGCTGCGCTGCCTGGGGTCTCCGCCTTCACCCCCCTCGGCAGCTCATCCAAAAAAGGACGGACGCGAACGCTGCACAGTCATACAAAGGGCGGCCCGGTCTCGACTATTTGCGGCGCGGGAGACCAACCTGCATGACGTCTATTATACTGCCCATCTCTGTCAGCCCCAATCATAAGGAAAACTGAACGCAAGCTGCATCGCTTTCATTACACGAGTCGTCGCGAAGAAAAGCTGCAGTATGGAAAGCATTGATAGACAAGGATGAACCAGCACTGCCAGATTGGAGACGAAAGCGGGGAGACGCCGGAGGCGCTGACGCCGTATCACCATTTTTTTGACCGCCTTCACTGGTGTTCTCAGAGTGGTACTTGTTCTTCTGCTCAAGACTACTAGTAGTTGGCGTCTTCATCGAAAGGAACCTCGACACGGCTTTTATCGGTAGATGTAGGCTTTCGACAGTGCGTTGAAACGCTGCGACCGCTGGTTTATGAGCGTCGATAAACAAGCCTTGCGTAGCACGACCACTGAGGACCCAAGGGAGAACGCAATCGCCCTGATGACCACCGAGCTCGATGAAGGTCAGGTCTTGTTGATGAGTGGTTTCTTCATCTTCTTGAGTCATACTCTGTTCTCTAATCGGAAAATACTTCTCAACCAGGTCCCAATCCGGATGAAAAACACAGCGAGCAGAGTCCTTACTGCGTCTCGAGTCAGACTCTAGGTTGCGGCCCGGCACAACGTGAGAAAAAAAGTAAAAGCCTCGTCCTTCTCGATCGTCGTCGTGCTCTTGCGACGTTTCTACATGTACTACACCATCTTCTCCTCCCGTTGTAGTGGTCATCTTCTCAGCGACACCTTCTTGCTCTTTTCCCGTCGCAGAAGTTGTCTTCGGGCTCACTTCTAGGACTTTGCCGTTGGTAACCCTGTCATCTTGTTCTTTCCCGAGACGTTCTTGTTCATCCTCCCGTCTTCTATCAAAAGAAGATTGGTAACCAGAGTCAAGTGCAGAATCCACGCCAACTACACTGGATAGCAAGAAGTCATCTAGCAACAGCGACAAGGGCGAGAGGAAGAAGCTAGACGTGTGACTCAACAGGAATTCACGACACGGCAATAGGTCGAAAAAAATGTTCCACAAGTCATGTGCAGGAAAGTTGTTGCGTTGATGTTTTTCTTAGACCTAGTCCGAATCCATCTTGAGGCCCATCCTGGGTCACAATCGTTCCCTTTGAAAAGCCTCTCCAGGAAGGATGGCTACAAAGATGGACTAAAGTAAGCCTTAACTGTCTTCCGTACTAGTATTCCTGATACCTCCAGCACCTAATTCGTCCTTTGCCAGTACAAGTCGCCTAGTAATACCTCTTCGTCCTGATGTTGTACTTGTAAACATCTTCGCATTTCTTGTAGCTGCAACATGAAAAGCGGCTGATAGACCAGCGGCTCGGTCAAATTTGTCGAAAAAGCTAGCTCCGGGACCAAGCTTCGGATGCAGCCGCAATTTCAACAAAAACAGTGTGGCAAGCATGCTCGAGTGATGCGCGCTCAGAAATTGACACATGAATCGCTCCTCTGCGTCGTGGTCACGCGCACTTTCAGACTCTTCTACTTCCAGCCTTGACTTCCAGCCTTTCAGACTTGATGACTTCTGAGGCTCTCCTTGACTTCTTCTAGTACCATCTTCTTCGTCCTTGTCCTTCTTCATAAGGGACTCTTCCAAGCTTCTTCGACTGCCATCTTCTTCATCCCTCTCAGCAGCATCTTGTATTGCTCCATCCCCATCTACTAGTAGCTGTAAGCGCTCATCGACCAACCGCATTCCAAAACCTCGCACGATGCATTCGTCGTTGCAGGGAATCGCAACTGTGTTGTTCTTTGAGGCGCTCTGATATTCCTTGTCGGAGCCTTCCAGGCCTTGCAAATGATTTCGTTTTGCAAGAAACGGAAAATGGTAGTCCAAAAACCTTTCTGCGTTCTTGCGGCCATATCGTCCCACTATTTGCCGCCAGATATTCAACGGCATGACTTTAGAACTGTGACCTGTGACCGTGGCAGCAACCTGAGCACGAAAGCCTTCCACGCCAAAATCGTAATGGTTTTGACCGGTTCTTAGAATTGACAGACAACTTCTGAGGTCGAGAATATAATCATAATCTTCTAGTTCTAGCGACGACAGTAAGAGTTCGTAGCACTGACTGACATGTCATGTCATGGCACCTCTTCTGTAGCTATAAGTGTCTACTTATGAGGCCATCCAGTCTGACAGTACCACCAACACTACTTTTTACCCCACACTCAACATACCTTTGTATAGCACGGATGTCACACTCATACCTCTGTATACGGATGTTTTTCTTCATCCCCAACGCTCGCATCGACGTTCGCAGAGGACACAGTCCCAGCACTTCTCGCAGAGGACACGTTAGCGGTTGAAAGTTGGCGTCTCTAGCTCGCATATCTATGGCTTTCCTACTGGGAGAAGCCATAGAGATGCTCTTAGATGATAGGTCAACTTCCAACCCTTAAACACAGTTGTCCCAGTAGTCTGCTTCTTCTCGTCCTCTTCAGCAGACCACACAGTTGTCCCAGTTCCTGCAGTCTGCTTCTTCTCGTCCTCTTCAGCCACGAGACGGACACGCACGAATAGCTGCAAGCGATCGGAAACCTCCCGAACAAGTGCTTGCTCAAAAGCGCTGACATCTGCTTCCGTGTTTGAATGAGCCGCGTTCCACGCCAAGCGATTTAGCCACATCTGATCTGATCTACGACCACAGAGCGTTAGAGGCCGAGGTGGGATCATGTAAGATGATAGTGATGATAGTGATGATAGTGATGATAGTGATGATAGTGATGATAGTGATGATAGTGAAGAGTCTTAAAGGGGTGCAATCATGTAAGAAAGATGATAGTGGTAGTACTTGTTCAGTAAGAAAGATGATAGTGAAGATAGTACCTGTTTTTAAAAAGACGGGTACTCTTTAGCTTTAGGTAGATGATAGTACCTGTTAAAAAGACGGGTACTCTTTAGCTTTAGGTAGATGATAGTACCTGTTAAGAAGACGTACTCTTTAGCTTTAGGTCCTTAGTAGTATACTTATCAGATTCAAATGTCTAGCTTCTTTAGACACAGCTTCTTCAATTGTCAAATTCAAAAAAAAGTTTGAACTCCAGCAATAATGAACTACAACATTTGACAGCACAAGTTACACAAAGTCTAGCTTTAGACACACCTTCTCTTAGCACAATTTACACATATAAACTCTTTAGACACACCTTCTCTTAAACAGGGATTGCCGTGCTGACCGCCAAAAGGATCTGGCTCGTTCTTCGCCGTGTAGGAGGGATCATCATGTTGCCCGGTCGCCATAGACGTTAACAATCCCGCTCCCACAGCTGGTGACTCCACAGCACCCGCAGCTGTTGACTTACTCTTAGAGGTTTCAGCATCGCACTCGCCGAATCATCCCTGACTTCTTTCTTGGTGAGAAAAGAGTCAGGTAGTGCAGGAAGATACGACGTCGTGGAAAACCTTAATACTAGGAGTGCCAGAGTCGAAGTCGTCGACAGCACTAGTATTACGATATTCAAGCGTAGTTTTCTCTTGTTGCCAAGAGAGAGCCGCGGGCTCCACAACAATCAGCTCGAAATCGTCCTTGAGGTCCTTGAGAGACTTCGAACTGGCAGTAGTGCTTACCTGTGTGTCGGTCTTTCTAACAAATGCAAAGGGGGACCCGAGTGTCCTCTCCACTTCCACCAGTTCCAAAATCGTATTGGTCCCGCTGATAGCTTCATTGCGGTATTTTTAGAGCGCGCATTTTGACTTCGAAACAAGCCACGAATAATGCACATTTTTAGACTGTAAAGTCGAGTCTCAGTCATCTATAATATATCAGCTTCCTACGTACTTCTCCCTAGGGGCTGGACTAAAAAACATGAAACTTTTTAATTCAAGCAACTGCTCTAAAGATAAACAGCCCAAAAGGAGAAAGGAACTCAATGCTTGCATGGACATTTACAAGGGGGGCATCTGCTGAGTCTAAAGCTAAGTACTTAAGCACTTAGGCCTGCTGAGTAGACACCGCATCCATAGTTTTCCTTTTCAGTCGCGTCTCGTCCAACAGATTCTTCCGGTCTCTCGTCTTCCTCCTCCAGTCCTAAGAGTAACGGAACGGCGCCGAGCTGTGTTTTCTCTCCGCTTGCGGAGAAGGTTGCTCCCTGCTCCAACAGCGCGCCAACTGGCAAGGGGATTAGAGATGCGGCCACACTAACTCTCTTACTTCTCTTGACAGTCAAAATATACGTCACTGTCGTGGGTGCTCTCTATATGAGAGAGCTGCCACGGAAGCCACTAGCCTGCCACGCCGAGGATGAAAGAAGAAAGACAGGAGACAGCTCCACGAGCAATCCACAGAGCGCGCCGCGCCCTCCCTGTGGCTGTTCGCTGGGGGTTTGTTCGCGGGTGGCCAGCGTTTTGCAGGTGGGCCCGGGGGGGTGCCATATATAACCACGCACCGAATGACAGCAAAGAAGAAAGCAAGCACACACACACACACACACACACCTCACGCCTCCGCATCGCTTTCCACTCTTCAGCCGCTCCGACCTCCGTGGCCCCGTGTCCGCCGCATTTTTGGCCCCTCACTCTACAAAATAGCTGCGGCTTGCTTCACATAACTCCCAAGCAGGCACGTCGTGCTGTGAGTACGTGGGCAGCTTCCAGGTAGGCGCCTTGGTGCTGGTATTCGAGCTAAGGAGAGTGGACGCATCCCGCTCAATTCTTGGGTTCTCAAGGCGACGCCGACGGAGATTACTACTGCTGCCTCCGGTCTCCCGTGGACTCCATGCAGACGGTTGCCCCAGATAGCGAAGCGGCCAAAGCTGTGGACAAGTTGCAGACCCCTAAGAGGGGAGGGCTTCAGCTGCGAAAAACTCTCGGGGATTCCATCCGCTCGCTTTTCCGACTGCCGGCTTGCCACTGCTCGGCCAGTATAGGTGACGACCTGCATGAAGAATCTCAAACGCCTGGAGCATGCGACACTCCTCCAATTTCGCTGGCTGCCATTTTCATGCGCAAACTGGGAGGCATTTGCTTCACCTAACAAAAGAATCTGGACACCCTGACCGGCTCCCGATCTCATCAGCATGAACTCCGGCAGCGTGCTCGCTCGGTTGTGTCTGTCTTAATCCGCGAGGCTTTTCAAAGCGACGCGCGTGGTGCTGTGTCTTTTGGGTGGCATGTCCACAAAGGCGGCGACGCGCCAACTTCGCGGAGGGATCAGCCGCCTGGCAGGTGTGCCCCATGCTTGGCGCAAGTTCCTTACTAGTCTCGGCCCTCTGCTGTTGCGCGGAGCAGGGGAGTTGCTCCGGCACGAACAAAGCGCGGCCCCTGCGGGTACCACGCGACTGGGAGCGCGGCGCCCTTCAGAATCAGCGCCAGCAAGTTCCCCGCCTCTTGCTGTTCAAGCTCCGATAGCTCCGCGACCTCTAGACTTGCTCGGCGCCTGCCAGCTTCGCAGGCCAACGCAAAGGGCCGCGGTTCTCCGTAAGGTTGCACAAACGTCCAACGATGCCATCCGACAAAGATCCCAGACATTCACCCACGCCGACGGCTGTCGCGCGCGGTCATCTAAGGGAAGCGCGAGGGCCCTCAGAGCGATCGATCCGCAGAGGGCGTCTTCTTGGTAGTAATTTACTACCTCACGAATCAGCTACATTTGCGAACAGCTGAAGACGCCACACCCAGGCCCCCGCCTGCAAGTTAAAAGGCCACCGCGGTGAGTCTCAATCTGCCCAACGCGTTGAGACTGGTGCCCAAGGCTGCCGCCTGCGTTTTTTGCATGCCCGCCGGCGCTCTTTTCTTTGGTCCTTTTGCCCGCATAAAGGCGCGACAAATTCCGAGCATCACAAGCAGCGAACACCTTCGGCCGTGAATGAAGCGGCCCGCTGCAGCCCCCACGAGTTTCACACCCGACACGCATCCCCATAAGAAAACAAACGCAAACCATGACCGGCCACCTCGTGCGAAGTTGATAAGTTTGACGAGGGGGCGCCTTTTTCCTGCTGCGGTGAGAGAGGCAGCCACAACTTAATACCAACAGACACCAAACAAAGCCGACGCTGACAAACAAGAAAGAGAAAACAAGCCCCGGGCATGCGGGATGACCGTCTGGCGGGGAGGCTGCGCACGCTCATGCGTGCGCTGGCGGTTCGTTGTGCTCGTCCGCGTCGTCCTGCTTTTCCCAGTACGCGGGTGCCCCCAGCTGACTGCTTTCGTGGCTGCTTCCTCAGGCGCAGGCCGTCCCCGGCGGCACCCGCGCTGGGCCAACTGATGGCAAGGCCCTAGCTCGCGGCGTCACTGGCTTTGCGTCTTGTGCTAGCAAAACAAGACAGCGCGGAGCTCTAGCCAGCTCGCAGATGTGCCGCGGCGTGTCTCCCGTCAACATACCAAAAGAGAGCCGTAGCAGACTCTAAAGGGCTACGCAGCAACGCGCTCGGGCAAGCGTAAGCCCAGCGCGCCACCCTGCTCCCCTGCAATCGATCTGCCGCGCTCGCGGTTGCGGCCTCGTTGGGTAGCTAATACCACAGCCGACGGGCCAGCACACTTAAAAGCAAGTGGACATAGTTACCGCAGGCATGGGCGTAAGAAAGCAGGCGCCCCCCTGCTAATAAATTGGGGGGGGCGGCTCCCAATTACATGCGCTATACGTAAGCGGCGGCATCGGGCACGTCCTAAGTGGCCAACGGTGTGGCTGCAGTATGTCTATTGCGCAGGGAATACCCTGCGCCATAGCAATTAAGCAAGCCGGGGCACCCCGGTGGCGGCTGTGCTTTCTCCCCACTAATCGCCGCGAATGTCACAGCTGCAAAAGCCGACCGCGATAGCGGGCACGGCGGCCCGCCCAGGATACTGTCGCCACGAACGTCCTTCCGCGTTTTTGCCCCCACAAGTCAGTGGGCTACGAGGCCAAGCCCTTCCCTCCGCAAGCAAGTGCTGCGGCGATTACTACTCATAAAAACAAACAGACGAGACTCATCATAAATATTCTCCATCCCGCATGAAATCAGGCGTCTCCGTTTCCCAGCTCGCAAATTTACGCATTTCCTCTATGATCGATCCATCGCCATTGAGCGCGCGTAGTATAGGCAAAGTCGTGCGCAGCACTCGGTTATCCGTCGTCAATGCACTCGCATTATCCTGCTCATTGAAAATCTTTAAAGAAGCTAATCCATGAACAGTTTCAAAATCGGTTCGCTTTGCGTAGTTAGACAAGGACAACAAGGTAAAAGATGTCTGTAGTCTTTGGTTTTCTTCAGATACAGCAAGTTTCTCTAGAAGCTTGACCCTAGAATCCTAATATCTTACAGACAAATTTTTACAGTTACAACTTAGCCTCAGTACAATATAAATACTTATCTTACCGAGCTCCCCATAATGTGCTCGCAGCAAGAACTCTCTGCTCGCCGTTCATATCATGCTTCTCGTTCTCATCCACAACAGGTTCTCCACCATGACAAACCTGGTAGTTTCCCAGTATATTCCCGACGCCCCAGCCCATAGAGATGCGATTCAGGTCGTATGTCTTCAACTTCGCTGGCAGTGTGGCCATCCGACTTAAGCGACGCTGCATTTCGGTTCGGATTTTCTCCTCTGGAAAGTTCTCCTTCAGACAAAAGAGAAAGCAAATGAAGAAAAAGGGTAGGGGACTTCTGGGTCATGCATTCTTTCAAAAGAGTAAAACACAGTAGAAGATACCCTGATCCAACTGATTCAAGCACCAAGAGCAATGTTTTCTAGTAAGCATTTTTATGTCTTGCATGTCTCCTACAGATCTAGGAAAACTTTTTCCTGCAGAACATAAACTCAACATTGCGATGCTCCGTCGCTAGTGTTCGGATAATAGCGAAGAGCAACCGCACAAGGGTGAGCCGAACTTCCTCCCCTTGCCACCAAGCTGCTCGATGCACCCGCACAGAAGCTTCCAGAGTTAGAGGCTGCATGGTCATGCTCGACTTACATACTATACGTTCTTAAGTATTTCAATTCAAACAACCAGACTGGATGAACTGAAGGATCTGCATACGTCGGATCCCTTCACGACTAAGTTCTAGACCCGGGCCAGCTTGTACATATTAACAATCTGTTGTGTGTGACTCAGTATCTTAATTTGGAGGTAGGTTGTTGGTGTTCGTTTACCCCGTTCGTTATGCCTTTCCTCCTTCAGGAAGGCAAAACGAACGGTAACAAGAACACCTTTAAGAACCTACCCATATAATTAATGCTTGCTATTGTTCACCGTAACTGAAACTGAATATCCTGTTTTTTCCCGATTCCTGCAATGCCGCTCACCTTCGGAGGATCTGCGAGAAATTTCAAACTCTCCTCTTCCAATAGCTGACTCCTGTCCAACTTTCGTTCACGCAGCCAACCGGTCTAATTTAGATGTACAGCGAATTTGTGAATTTGTGAATTTCTGAATCTGAAGTCATGGTCCCCGACCTCGTCGGTCTAACTTCTAAGTTGTAAGTAAGTACTCGAAAAACTGAAATAAGCGAGTAAGTGCTGAAAATAAGCGAGATACTGAACAAGGAAGAGTAGCCCTGTCAAAGCTACCTCCCTTATTTCAGTCAGTAACTTGTAGTAGAGCTTGAATAGCTAGGAATCACCTTGTTGTGCTCTTGGGAAGAAGCATGCGTAATAAATCTAAGTATTTATAATGTCAATGTCATCTACTGCTTCCCCGAAAGCCTTAGATAAAGTTCACGCGCTTGTGCGAGCACCTGCGGTAAGAGCATCTCCTCACTCCAGTCTACATCGTGGTTCGCGAACCGTCGTAGGAATAAATCCGAAAGTATACACGTGCTCCAACATCCATGCGGAATTGCGCCTAGCTTGTCCTTCGCGATGACGCCACCAACACATTTGGCCACGAACTTTAGGATCTCTGGATTCTCTAAATTTTGGTAGGCCCTGAGAGGAACGCGTAAAACTCCAGCTGGCTGGATCGCATTAAGCAGGCTTTTCGCCATAGAATGGCAGACAAGTGGCGTGAGTAAGTGCGGCTCTGCTGGACCTTCCTGTTCACCGCCGGTTTCCGACAGATTATGTTCATCGTCTTCCTTTCCGACGGTAGAGCCCGTACTATGTGCATCCGCAGAAAGGTTTCGCGGATTCTGACTATCAGCCTCCACAGCTTCGCTACCTCCATGATATGGATGTCCAAGAACAGCACCACCATCCTCCCCTTCCCGTCCACCATCGCCATCATCACTTACAACGACTACTCCATCCTCCAGGTCCCCTAGGAGGTCCAGTTCTCCCACAGCGTGATCGATTTGCTCCGATGTGAGGTCGTGTCCTGTGGGCCCTGATCCTGAAGAAGTTTCCTCTTCCTGCACAAGAGCTGGCAATGCGGTAGCAAATTCTATCAAGTGAGCCAACAAAGAGACATGCTGGTGGCGTGGCGAAAATGTAGCAGTGAGTCGGTCAAGGTGTTCATCTGGAGTGCTAGTATGTGTAGGCGTTTTATCTCCCGTCACGTTGGAGGCGAAGATGAGCAGAGGCAATAGTACCAGATAGTTGTAAGACCACGCCGCGGCCATCGTTTTCATTATCACTTTTCAAGATCAGTCTTTGTCTCTCATGCTCCCTCATTGTTCTGTAAGCTGCTTCTGTTGCAACGTTAGAACATTTCGCAAGGGCTGATCACCTAATACTTGCTCAACCTGGTGATCATCAGAACTACAATCTAGTACGTGAACTGTGCAGAAGATCCTAGAAACCATGACCTTGAACAAGCGAACCGTCGTAGAACAACCCTTCTCCCTGAATCCAGCAAGCACTCTGATTCTTCATAATTGCAAGCTCTTGAAAATAGGACCCTGACTTGATGGTACGTCCTTGTTCATTTGTGTTCAAATATTCGTCACAAAAATCGTACAAGCAGACTTGCTAGCATTTTGGTCCTTACACCAAACACAAAACAATAGAAGTGCTAGTGTAACTACACTTCTTCAGAGTTACAATGCTGAATGACATAAAGTTGTGGATTTCCTCACATATTTCTAAGTAGACTAAGCAGACCAAAAAAATTTTCATGACAGCTAGATTGTTCGCAGCCAGCTCTGGACAAGTAAACGTAATGGTACATGTGTTGTTGATAAGATTTAAGCAATAGATGTTGTTTCCCTTCTATCATTAGCGTGTTAGACTTAGACGGAAATAGATAAACATTATAAGAAATAGAGTTCTCAAAACCATACCATGCTAGATATTGAGGTCCTTTCTCGAGATATTGAGGACCGTTCTCGGTACAATGCTAGATATTGAGGACCGTCTACTCTCCATGTTTAATGGTAGTTGAATTTCTCACCCGCATCACTCTGTTTGCGCCTCATGCCACCATTGTTGCCGCCTAAGAACGTCTGCGCAGCATAGGCACCAGGTCCAGGAACCAGGAGAGAGGTTGGGTATCGCGATAGTTTCTGTCGAGGAGAAGTTTTGGGTTATAAGATGGGTGAAACAAGAATCTTCAAGTCCTTACTTTTACTTTGCTACCAAACTAACCATGGGAGAACGAGACATCAAAAAGAAAATGTTAATGTTTTTAATGCTACTCAGTAGTTGAGGTGGAGTGCACTGTGGTAAAAGTAGTCATCTCTTCAACATCAAAAAGATAATAATTGCGTGCGTCATTACTATCCCTGTTCTTGAAGTGGATGTACAGGTTGAGCGGCGTAAAACGGAGAAAGGAGAGGTCCTCCTATATCTTCAATATTATTATTATTATTATTATTATTGCGCGCGCGACCCGATCGTCTCACGCGTTCAATAATGTACCACAATAAGTTAACATGAAGTAGTTGAAGCGACAATTAATATTACCACAGTGCACTCGAATCTTTCCGACTTGATCTTGGGCCAAGTGAAATTCGGCACGCTCTCCTTCGTGCATCTATTCGCATCCACATCGTCTTTTCTTAGAGAAAATCAAAAATCTAGTCTAAAAACGGAAATAAGCGAGTAACAGACGAAAATAACCGAGATACTGATGAGAAGGAAGAGTAGCCTTGATGCTATAAGCTAGTGCCTCCCTTATTTCATTATCAGTAACGCGGTTATTCTCAGTTTTCGAATCTATCACTATGCCTCTCTATCACTTTCACCCCGACCATAACTTCTTGTTAAAAACAGGAAACTCCCGTCCAGTTCTATGTGTTCCGGCACCTGGGACCCACGTTGTCTGCCTAATCTGTTGGTCTATGTAGGTATCCCTAAAAGCCGGCACCGGCTTCCATACACCTCGTTGCGCGTAACGAGCTGTTGAGAAAAGCATAAATGAAGACTATTAACTCGACGAGGACTTCTAAGGTGACTCTGAGTTGAGAAAAGCATAAATGACTATCAACTCGACGAGGACTCTTCAGATGTTGAAAATATTTATTAAAACTATTTTTATGTATTCCACCTAGTACATCTAACAACGGACCCATTTTTCCAATACTAGATACCATGTAGTACGAAGAAACAGAAACTAGTCGGGACATTTAACAATAAAACTGTAATTAGTCGTGTTTAGGTTTACCTTGCCAAGCTGCGGTCGTCTTTGAATTTCCTGATTTGGACAGGCCATATTGTGGTGCTGTGTGCTGCGACCGGTTGAAGACCCAGCCATCTGTCTCCTTAGCCCCTCTTGGCTTGTTATGGTATGCGGTCTCATTCAGAGGCATCTTGTCCACGATGACAATTACTTCTATGATCTACGACCAGTTGTGTAAAGATATCAATTCATGCTGAGCAGGAGCAAATGAGGAATGCCCCCTATACATAGAAACCGAAGGCCCGAATACAGTGTTCTTGTGAGTGAAGGAGTGATCCCAAAAATAGTTACAAGGGCGGCACCTTACTGTAGAGAAAGAGTCGGTCCCTTGATGATGTTAGTCGATTCGAATGGGACCTACGAATCCATTAAATGAAACGAGGACTATGGGAAAAGTAGGGAGGGCTCATCGGGTTTCCGCTTTCCATCCTCAACATCTCCACAGATCATGTACTAATCATTAATCAACATTCCCTAGTCATTAATCAACATTTCCACAGATGTACTTCTAAACAGATGTCTACACCGATTCTTTGATCTTGAGATACCGACCGTGGTAGATCCCCACTCCGAGAAGATCGACGACCGATACAAGTGAATTGCGCAAGGATCTCGTCCGATGCAGGTCAACCAAGCGAATCGAACACCACGCATTCGACAACAAGAGCTTTCAGCAAGATGCTCCCTAAGTACTAATTTTTCTTGCGGTGTGGGTGCTTCTCTTGCACAATAAAGGATAAGTACTGGAGAGAAGATGAGAAAACGAGAAAACGAGTCAGATATCTGAGCGTAATTCCTACCCAGCCTAGGAGGATTACAATCGACAAGTTGTAGATCCTAGAAGCGTGAGTACACGTACTATGATTTCATCAAACTGCAATCTTCATAGCGGCACACGTCTCTGGTGCGCACGAGATGCCGCAGCGTCGGTCTTCCATGTGGGCAATTCCAAGGCTGCGCCAGGGCTGCAAGTTGTGCCACAATGTTCTCCCCTCGTTAGAAATGATCCACCTCCATTTCCAGTTCTGCCAAAGAGTGACGTGGCAGAACGAGTGCTGCCTTCGGTGAGTCATAATCAATGCGTTGTACTTACGCCGGTTCGAGGACGTGGAAAAATATTCTTTACAACTAAGTAATCCAAATCCATCATGGGCTCTTGCTCTTCATATGATCTACAACCTCTGCCTCATAAATTTCCTTGATCGTCAGCGACTTCCCAATCATGATCGCGGACCTGCAAGCGCGACTGGCTAGAAGCTGCCAGACTTTTTTCGGTCTCGGAATATTACTCACAGCGCCCCAATAGGATCGGTGCGAATAGATGTTGAGGAGACCGCCAGGTCCTGGGTCCGTTATACCTCTGGAAGGATTTGACGAGCCTGAATTAGAGGTACCGAGGGCAACCCATCTTTCAGAACATCTTTTCGCTTGTAGTTCCCAGAACGTGTGTATTGAAAGATGGTGTATCTTACGAAATATAAATATGGTGTATTAAAACAATAACAAGATGGTCTGTATTATAAAAACTGTGATCTGAATTCTAAAAGATGGATTGACAGTACCCATAATGACAGTACCGAGCATAACTGAAGATGCTGCCACTAGGGCTGTTGCGGTAACCGACTCGAGCTCGTCAGTTCCAACATCTTCGCAGACGAAGGAGTCAACACCGCCGTTCCGCCTATCGTTTCTAGTCCGGTCGAGAAAAATGAAAGGACAAAAGGGAGAGTCTCTAGTCCTCAGAGTGCGTGGGGTCGGTCCCTAGTTGTACTCATGTTGAAAGGAGGAATAAAGTTGTTCTTTGGTAGTTTTACTCCTAAACAGAGAGTGACATGAATTGGATCGAGTACAAATCTGTATCCAGCAACTTGAATGGGATCCAGTGCCTTGCGCTACTAAAGCATCTTCATCTTGCTTTTTTGCTCTAGTTTCTGTTACTTAAATCCTTTCCGTCTACTACTAGTTGTAAATTAGTACCTACTTATTTCCCACATCTGAATACTTACCATAATGTCAGCACACATATTGTCCTCGTCAATGACGTTGATCAAATCCTCAATATCCTTTTCGCCGAAGAGCAGGCCCTTCGTGGATGGCAGCGCGAGAGCGCTACATCTTTCTCCTGGTGGTCTGTCCTCGTTGTACACTAGGTCAAACCCGTTCTGTCGGAAAACATGGATGTAGTTCGCTATGGTCTGCTCCTGCGCTGGGCTCAGCTGCAGCAACAAAGGATTGATCAGCATCTGCATCTCGAGGAGTATGAAAAAGGGAGATGCATTTAGTAAATGCATCTTGCTTGATGACTTGTGGATAAATTCAACATATCTTGCTTGATGTGGTTGGACCGACCGACACGACTTAGTGGTATGCACCACGAATTTAACATATCTTGCTTGATGTGGACCGACTGACACTTAGTGGTATGCACGTAACTTTAGAGCTCCGGTTAAGTAGTTCGAAGCGGCGTTTTTCGTCACAAGCGTGCTGATCGAAGATAAAGAGTTCGTCTCGAAAGGATCCTAGGATGAAACCAAGGTTGAACTGTCCATGAATATGAACGTGCGCGAAAGCCTTCTGGTCGAATGTGATTTCGTCCGTCTCGGAATTCAAGGCTGCGGTAAGCGCTAGCTGACGTGGTGGGGTTACTTCTTGTTAGAACTAAGAGATATCCATCTTGAAAAGCATCCTAGAACCTTCTACCCCTTGGAAACGGTCTCCGGATGCCTGTGAAGATGGATTTCTTCAAGTCTTAATCTTGACGTGTATCTTGGTTATCTTCTTGGCCCTTGTTGTTTGCCGTGGACGAGCTAGAAGAAGATGTCAAATTCGAAATAACCGGAGGACCTGCTTGTGCTAGCACACTCTCTGGCTCAGCAGGCGTCAGAGCTCCAGCAGCTAGCTGCAATTGGTCTGCTTCAAGTAGCGGGTTAAAGGACTTCAACCCCGCAGCCCAACAGGACGCCTGAGTCTGCATGAAGTACGATTCATCCATCCCAGGGGTGGCCGCGAAAGGAGTTAAGCTTCCTGCTGCAGCTATGTTATCAGCGTTGTCAAGCAGCAGTGCCGAGTCTTTGTTTGCTTGCGCTTGCTCTATCGCCATACTAGTGTCCCTCGGTTGCGCCAGCTCTCGAAGCAATCCTGCAAAGGGGCAGGAAGCGAGCACTTCCGCTGCAACTGAAGAAGATGTGGGGGGGAAGTAGGACTCAAGCCCGGTTTGTCCAGTTGTTTCGCCTTCCTCAAAGGCCGCCTGTTGCGACGATGACGACGATGCGAACATCGAAGCACCAAATGATGGCGGCTCAAATTCCAACGCCTGCTCAGAGGTCCCACATTTGCTTGCCAATTCAGCTAGTTCTGGCAAATGCACTGTCCGATGCGTTTCTGCGGCAGTGGAGGGTTCCTCATCGTGAACGGGGATTCCAGCAGGATCGGTGAGAAAATACATAGGTTCGACTTGCCGTGGTCGTCTTTGGCTACTTGGTGGTGCACTGCGCACTTTAGCTGGACGTGGCGGGGAGAGACCCATAGTAGTACCATGAGGATGAAAATTAGAGGTAGGCTTTTGGTGCTCGCTTACCCCGCTTGTTATGCCTTTCTCCCTTAGGAGAGGCATAAAAAGCGGTAAGAAAAGCACCTTTAACCTACTTTTAAGAAAAGTGGATGTTGAAGAAGAACAAGCCAGCACAGCATGATGTCCTACTGGCTTTCTCATGCTCGCAGACGCTGTTTGCTTCTTAAATTCAGTCACATTCTGGTTTTTGTCTACGATTTCCGAGCTACCTCCAAGAGGCTTTAGAACCAAAGCTGGCGCTTCAATGAGCGGCTTTAGAACAAAAGCTGGCGTCTCTTCGACTCCTACACCAGATTTATCTTCTCGATCCTCCTTTGGCTTTGTATCCGTTATTTGCACCGCCTCCGCATCACCCTCGGGCTTCATGTGGTTTCGCGCAGGTGTCGGTTTCGAATTGACTCGGGGCTCTTGCGGCTGTTGAGACGTAGGGCGGATCGAAGCTGATGTATTTCCACCAAACACGGTAAGTTTAAACTTCGGTTCTGGCGATTTGTCCTGTGGCTCGTCTACTTCATCCTCGAGGATGTCAAAAGCAGGATCTGCGCACATTGAAGTAGAGGTAATAGCAATGGCTTTTTCTTGTGGCGGTGCAGGTGCGAGAAACGTAGTAAGCTTGAATCCGCCGACGTTATCTTCAGCGACATCCTCTTCATTTACGTCGTCTAACGCCACGTCGTCTCCGCCGATCACTTGATGATCTTCCTGCGCACCACTAGTGGTCTTCTTCGGCACCCCGAAGATTGTTGTCAGCTTCACACCAGCTATCGCCTCTGTAGTTGTCGCGCACTCGACCGCTGTGTCGACATCATTACTCTCCTTTATTTCCTCTTCGGCGTTATGATGATCCTCAAGCCCTTCAACATAGTCCTTTTCAGCGCTGTCTAATTCAACCACCTTGTTCTTCGATTCTGGGCTGATCTCACCAAAAGCCGTCACCTCTTCCTTGACAAAAACTTCGTCATCGTCATCCCCCTCAGGTACCACATTACCAGCACTAGCCACCTGCTTCGAATCCGCATTACTAGGCACGCCTTCTGGTTTGTCTACAACGCCACCTCCGAGTTTACCAGGAAGAACGTCCCCTGGTGGCTTTTCTGCGTCTATGACTTCCCCTGGTTCGAACGTGGTTTCAGGGAGCTTTGGTTCCTCCTTGATCTGTACAGAGTCCTCTTCCGACTCTTCCTCCTCTTCATCGCTACCAGACTCGTCATCTTCTTCCTCATCCTCAGCATTATCTTCGTCATCAACGTTCTCGCCATTTGAAGAAGCTGCTTTTGAAGATGAGCTAGAAGACGAGGAAGATGAAGATTTCGCAGGTTTGTCTTTGTTTGTTGATGTCTTCTTCCCATTTCGTGCTTTGCTCGCCTGCTTCTTATTAAGCTTTCTGCTTTTCTTCCGTGAAGACTTGCTCCCCTTGTTCTTCATTTTGAGCTTCTTCGGTACCTTGGAAGGCTCTTGTTTATCATCGCTTTTGTCTTTCTTCGATTTAGTGGAAGTCTCGTCTGCTGCATTTGCACCCGTTCCATCTTCCGCAAGAACGACCTTGTTCTTTGCCGCTTTCTTAGCGTTCTTCGCTGCCTTGGCCGCCTCCTCTCTCGCTTTGCGTTCATCCGCCTCTTGTAAAATGAGGTCTATTGCACTACAGGACGGCTCTGCACTACTATCCTTCTTCGCTCTCTTCGCAGCCGGTGACATCAAGGAGAGACTATCTTCTGCTTGAGCTACATCTTCATCTTTTCCTGTTTCTGGATCCTCAGACTTGCCCTCCGCGACCTTGAAGAACTTGTCGAAAAAACTGTTTGAAGATTTTTGTGCAGGATCTCCTACTTCTCCGTTAGCTGAGGAAGTCGCCTGCTGCACTGGACCCGCCGCGCCACGTGCCGGTAGAGCCGGTCGCAGTTGAATGTAGTCGCTTAAGGGTTTCTGTCGCTCCGGAATCACTGGTTGTTGTGGCGGAGCTGCAGGTAAGCGCAGCTTGCTGTAAAAGCCGCTGCTGCTCCCAGCCGTGACACTATTGCTTCCCTTGAAAAAAGACCCAGCCGCAGAAAAATTCTCCTTCATCCAAGCGACCAACTCTTGCACAACTACTTCCTCATACTGCAGGAATATCGTCCGCTTATCAGGCGTAACATTCACGTCGATGTCGCACTGAGCTGCCTCGAAATTCAAAAACACTGCCGGATATTGCCGACTGTTGTGTGTGCGTTAGAGCGGCCCACGATAATTATATGCATATTTTGCTCAGAGTGCATATTTTTCTCAGAATTGATTCTTCTCTCAACTTAGAAACCCTTAACTTAGGAACCTATAAGGGAAGTAGCACTCTGTGGATATAAATGATCATTCTGTGTATATTAAAGGAAAAGGCACTCTGTAGAAGATATGAATTATCATGAACAGCCTTAAGTGCGGTATGTGTCGTTGATGGCGCGCGCTATCTTTTTCGGGAAAGCTGCAGGTCTACGGTTCACAAAAAAGTGCTGTAAGGCCTTATTACTCCTTCCGCCTGAAGCGGTGGAAATAATTCCGTGTAGACGCCACGAGCCAGGCGAATCTTTGGAATTAGGTGGCTCGGCGCCTGGTGTTCAAGAAACAGAAGATTGAGATGCCGTCACAGGTTCTGGTGAATAGTGTCACACTCAAATTGGATGGAACGAAAAAACAAGACAGGTCTAATAGTTGTGGCGGAGCCGACATAACTAGAAAAAAGAAAGACCAGAGGAAGATAGAAAAGAGAAAAGGGTAACTATCAACAAGTATAGTATTGGTCAAAAATAAACCGAGTCAACCTACTTAAGTAGATTCTAAAACGACATGCACGGCCCACTGATAGACCTTACCACCAGTCCTTCCTTCTTGTGTTGCATTTACGACTAATGCGTTCCCCGCATCATCATTGAAGTCGGACAATTGCAACGGCTGATGGCGCAGGTCCACCTCTAGCGAAGCGCGCACGCTCTCCCCGTGTACTGACAGCGCACACGCTTTCAGGCTCTTGTGGTTACCCGGTGTCTGCATTATGAAGGACGTCGAGATATAGTCTCTAATCTGTAATCTAGTATAATTATAGGTAGTAGAAGTTCTTCACTCATTAGTGAGTTCTTCTGTTTTTCCGATACTGTAGCCTCCTGCTGCTAGCTCCTCAAATTTGACAAATAGTTTCTACCTTTTCTAGTTGAACTACTAACATCTGCTTGATACAAATAGTTTCTACCTGACAAATAGTTTCTAGTCGTACTACTAAAAATCTGTTTGAATTTATACTAAACTCCACTCCATGCCATACTAAGAATATCCGTTAACTTCCACTCTCCTTTGCGATCCCTCTTGCGATTCCGCACTTGGAACCGCACGTCGTACCGACTCACAGCATACTGCTGTAGCAGTAGGGTTGTCTCGGCAAGTTGCTGCCGCGCGTGCTTGATGAAGTCTAGAATTAGAAGAGTAGAGGCCTCTGAGGACTTTTTTAAAAACACAGTTAGACACCAAGAACTCTTACCATCTAAAAACTCTAAATCGACCTACAAGCGAGCAAGAACGTCACACATGCAGCTGGCCCTGTTATCATCGTTCACGATGACCGTAGAGACGTGGTCTGACTCTGACCCTATTCGCTCCATCAGAAAACTCTAACTCGACCCACAGACAAGTGAGTAAGAACATCTATGGTCTGACAGACCGTAGAGAAGTGGTCTGACTCTTACGGTATTTCTAATAAAAAACTGTAAAAAAATGATTGAAAAACTTCTCTACAGGAATCGAGCCTTACCTGACGCCGAACGGCAGTCACGTTGAACAGCTTTTCCACGTAGATTACCGTTCCCGAAGTTCCACTAGACCCGCTGGAAGAGCCGCCGAATGACGCAGACGCTGCTGGCTCAATCGTTGCAGTGCCACTACGACTATACACCGCTTTCACTGTAGTTGCACTAGTTGTCGTAGAGGGAAGAGCATTAATGGTGGAGGTGGAACTAGAAGAACTCGTGCTGGAAGGAGCCGCATTAGTTGTGGAAGATGTTGATGTAGCAGCATGATTTTTACTGGAAGAGTCCGGATCTACAACCTTTTTTGCTCGAGTAGTCACCTCAAATTTATCTGATAGTGCGCAGACAGCGGCTAAGGCCTCTCCGCGAAAGCCAAAGGTGTCTAGACTCTTGTGGATCTCCTCGAACTGACGTAGTTTGCTCGTGTGATGCCTTCGGCAGAGGCCCTTTAGATCCTCCGTAGCTATGCCGCATCCATCGTCCATCACCTCAAGAGCCTCCACGCCGCCTTCCGTGAAAGTGATCGATATCGATGTGGCACCGGCATCCAGACTGTTCTCGACTAATTCCTTAACACACGTCTCGAGGGATACAATCACTTGGTTAGTACAGATCTGATGTACCACGGAACTGTCGAGAGCTCGAATCTGCCTCGTCGCGGAGGACTTTGATGCCGTTTCCTTTGGAGCACTGGCGGAGGCGTCAGCCCTTGCTGCGCTGTCGTTCTTTGGCGGGTCGACGTTGGCATCTGGAGGCTCTGTGCTTTCCTTTTGCGCGGGGTCTGCGCCATCATCCTGCGACTTTTCCTTTTTCGCAGTCGCCTTAGAAGATGTCGCCTTTACATCCTGTTTCTGCCCTCGCTTCGGTGCAGCCTTCTTGGCGCTTGCCGGTGCAGGTGCAGCCTTCTTCGCGCTCGCCGGTTGCTTAGCAACCTTGGTCTGCTTAGGCGCCATTTTTAGGATCTTCCTAGAATTCTCTTCTTGTGTGGTACTGAAATTACTGACATCTTCACGATCACTAACGACAATAAAGACGTGGTTGTTCTGACCCTCATCTGCTTAAAGTCTCTGTCGTCAAGGCCTGTTACGAAGAAAAGAAACCATTTTGGTTCTACCAAAGCTAGCAATTGTTTATGTTGTTTCGTCACTAACCATTTTCCACGTGCTAATACAGGTTGCTCAAGAAGAAGAATGATCCTGCTCTTCTTTTATAACAAGACAGGATTTATGACAAAACAGCAGGAGTTCCGATTTGCAGCAGAACTCTAACACAAGGCCCAAGCGGCCACCATCGGTCAAAGTACAGATACAAGACCTCGCTATGCCATGTTACCTCTTAGGACGTTATTCAAACGTGTTCGAGGCCGTTCAGCCCTCCTGTACCTTTCGTTTATAGAAAGCTATTGTGTATGCATCGCCTCACAGTAAGAGTCATCCAAAGATGTTTCAACAATAGGTTCAAGTTCCAACATCCCAAGATTCAAGAGGCCTTTTGCCTGCAAAAATCATTGTTACAAAAATCAACCATCGCGATTACACTTTATAATTCAGCCATTACATCAACATCAATCAGTAAGAACTCCAAAATTTCGCACCAGTGACTCCCGTATACTGTAACATCAGGCGCTATACTAATCACCAATTCCTTTGAATATCATTCTAGATTCAGTTCTCCCTTAAAAAACACTCGTGATTCACAAATAGTCTAACTGCAACAAGTTCAAATACTATGGAATAACAGATCGACAAACGCTTTCAATCGACGTAGACAATCATATGCACTTGCCAGTAGCCTCTGCGTACAAGGCAGTGCCTGCTTTGTTCAAGACATTTCCAATAAACACCTCAAAATACTTCATGGTCGGTAACTACAAAAAGATACAGTCTATCGAGGTGGAGTCTACCTCCCCAAGGAGAGACTATCCACCGAAAATCTACTATCCGGCCTCCTGAACCTCAACATTCACCCAGCAGTGATCTGCTTCAACCGCAGTTGATTCATCTCTTTTCACCCAGCAGTGATCTGCTTCAACCGCAATTGGTTCATCTCTTTGAGAATTACATCCATTTCATCACGCTGAGCCAGCAAGGCCATCTCCTTCTGGCGCAACAATTGCTGCACTTGCGTCAATTCGTGAGTCTTGATTCGCAATTCGGTTCCGAGTGAGATTTCTGGAGGTTAGAATGGGACAGATGAGAACGAGCAAAGGTTACAGCGAACATGAGTAATTACGATCTCAAATTGATGATGTTTCTAACTCTACTTCCATGATCAACTACAAACGCTACTAAGTAAGCTCAAAATATATATGCACGAACTTTGAGTAGGTTAAGGATAAGGTTAGCGATTTCGTCCCATAATTCTTTTCGAATTCTTCTCGAAGCTTCTCGGATCTAGCTAGTAGATTCTTCTCCAACAACGTGACGTTCGCTGCTATCTGCTGTAAATTCTGCGGCAGCGAGCGTTCTCCTTGCCGAACCAGAGTTAGACAGGTTGGTCCAATAGATAGAACTCTAAATGTATGTTAAGGAAGTTCTCCATGATAGATTGATCTTCATGATAGAAATTCCAAACCGGTCTAGAGGTAGGACTAGTATTTTGTAAGAATGAGAGACACCGCGAACATCTAGTAGTAGTTGCCGAAGATGCCGTTTCGTTTATTAGATAAGCTAAAGCTAGTAAGGACTTGTAAATAGACCTAGACGACACAGCCTTCAGTATAATGAGTTTCCCATTCTCAGATCAGGCCTATGATGATGCTAGTCGGTTCGGCGTGGGCCTACGACTTTCCTGCGCCTCTTGTGAGTTCTACGAATTTCGCTGATGTTTAAGCTGTGAGGGTGGTCCGAGATCTGGCCCATAAAGAATGTAAAAGCTGTTGCGACAGTGTGTCCGCACGACTGCGGCTCATATCCAGTTCGCGCTGAAGCGTTTCCTTCTGTCTCTGCAATTCACCACAAAGGAGGTTTAGTCTCGCCACTTCTGCCTTTCCACGCCCAGAAATGTTTTGTGGTCCAAAAGACAGAATCTCACTCGGCGATACCTGTGAGTCAGTGTGGCGTCACGAGTGGCCCGTCAGACATAATTATTTTGGAAGTCAGAAAGTCGATTGTAAGTCTAGAAGTGCACTCCTTCCCGTCAACGTCTGCCACCCAGGGAAGTCGAACAAGAAAGACATAATACATAATACATAACCCAGGGACAAGCGTGAGAACTATGCCACCGAAGAGCTTAGAAGCACGCGAACCGCTAAAAAACGAATGCTCGGGGCGAGACACAGTAAGGAAAACCCGCGGGCCCACTCGTGGTGAAGCCTGGGCCATATCGAAGCCGGAAAATTAATCTACACCGAAAACAGACGAGCGGGCAGCCATCTAAGGCGGCCCCCACATAACGCCAGGGAGCTTCTGGAAGATCTGCAGCCGCTTGCGAAGCCAAGCACCAGCGTCAGGCATCACGCCACTGGGCTACTGAATGCCGACCCCCCAAAATGGCCGCTCCAACTCCTCCGAGAAGCAAAGGAAAGCTCCGCCCCCAGCAGGCACTGGGTGGCCTGCGGCATACCAGTAGCCAAGCGAAACGCATGGCATCCAAATGCCCCACCTCGCCGCGAGAGAGCCCCGGACGCTCATTCCAGGCGCGTCACGCGCATGCCTTTGCTGCTCTTCTTCCTTCTGCTTTCGTAGTGTCTCAGCTCAGAGACGCCACCAAGTTGCGGCTAGGTCGTGAGAGGTAAGCAAGGGCTGTCGCTAGCTTCTGCAGCTGGACCAGCCCAGCGCAATCAAAACCAGAAGCCACCGCAGCCAAGAACTGCGCCCCACAAGTGACGCGGCGCGGGTTGTTCGCTGGCGCTGCCAACTCTGAGGCGGTCGCCACTTCTCCAGCGCGTGCCAAATGGTTCACCTGTAAGGCGGTGGCGCTTCAGTTTCAAAAGAGGGGCGCAAGACTGTGACGCGAAAGACAGCGCCACAGCGTGAACACGAAGCACAGCGCGGCGGCCCTTGTTTCCGCGGAGCTATTTCGTGCCGCTGTCTCTGATTTGTTTGCCCAATGAAGCAAGCCCGCCCTCCAATGTGTGCGCTTAGCACGCCCTGGGGAATTGCGTCGCGTATTCGCTGCCTTGATATGCTCCAGCGCCAGCAAAATCACGCACGCGGGTAGCCCTTTCGAGCGCGCTGCCAGCCTTTTCGCGGCTGCTTTGCATTGGTGGGAACAAGCCCGAAACTGGAAAACCTGAAGGCATGGAAAAACTGACCGAAACGCTACCAAATCACTACAATCAGCGCGCCCGGTTGGGCTACGTCTGGCCCCGCGACAGCTCTAGCGGCCTGCTGTTTACTTGTTGGGCCTGCCCAAAGTTGGCACCAGCCTACAGCCTGCCGCCCCCGGCAAGCAGTCGACGGCTGCGATTCCCTCAGCTGCTTCCCACAAGTCTACCGGCAGCGTGCCGCCCATGCGCTACCGGTCTACGCAACGCCTCCACTGCTTGCCTAAAGTCGACAACTGTGGCCGCCTCCTGTGAAGTGATGCGTTTGCGTCTCAGCACTTTCCGCGCGACGTGTCAACGCCAGATAAGACGCCTACGCTATCGCCCTCAACTACCAAACTTGCCAGAAACAAGCCGAGCAACCTCAGCAGACCGAGCCGAGCAAGCTCACCACGCCGAGCGGGCTCACCACGCAGCGCACGCCCAACGTGCCAGGGGTGAGCTGGCCGCCACCCGATTCCTCTCCCCCCGCCGGCTTAGCCTGCGACAGACTCTCAGGCCCCTCCGCTTTTTTCAGTAAATATTTTGGCGGAGAGTGAAGATCTGGAGAGAAAAAAACCCTGGCGGCGTGAGCGAACGGGCCGGGGGTTCGAGTCCCGGCGGCGTCATTTTTTGGCAAGGGTGGAGCGCCACGCTGTTACTCGCTTCAGCAAGGCAGGAACGTTTGGAGAAAGACCCAGCGCCAGCCTTTCCCTCTGTTACCACGCCGCTCCTGCTCCGAACGACCCGGCGACGACAGACATGGAAAAACCGACCCCGGAGCGCTTAGCCCCACAGAACTACCAGCAGCGTCGGCGCCGCCCGTCACCGTCAGACAACGTCGGCGCAGCATAGCCGGCTCGCCTGGTTTGCCGGAACTGACGGGGTAACGTCCGACCTCAAGCCCGTGCCTGGCGTTGGTCTGCTTTGCGTCTTTCGTAGCGTCTTCGGCGTCTATTTTGGGGCGCAGTCCCGAATGTGCATGTTTCTGCACAGCACCACGCGCATGGCTCCACGTAACAGCTGAGACCCGAGCGCGCCAACCCACAAAGAAAGCCGACCGCTGGCGCCGCTAGTGGGCACCCCGTTCACTCAGATAACAAGCCCAATCCAGTCACGCGCCCACGCGGATTCTCGAGGCCCGTCAGCGTAACACCCTCACCAATGCGCAGCGGCTGCATTTACATCGTGGCCGAGTCCCCGCCCTGCAAGAAGCAAGCGGCGCCAAGCCCTTGGGGATTCGAGGCGCCGCCGCCCGCCCTGAACCAAGTGCGACGCAAATCCTCAGCCACCTCTTGCGCGTGTGGATAGCTGGCCCCCCGTGGCTCACGCACAAGCTGCCCGCTTTCGAATCAGCGCGGTCTACTCCTGCGGAGGAACACGACCGCAACGCACTCGAACCGGCGAGCAAATCTGGATCGCAAAGAGGGCGCTACTGAACGGCAACAAGGAAGCGCGCCCGGCGAATAGGCGAGGCCCTTCACTCTGCAAGGAGGCAATGCCGATAACGAAGGGGCGCAGTTAGTGTTTCTGCCCAGGAAAGGCGGAATTGTAGTAAGTGCGAGGCATACCCACCGAGCCAACTGATCAGCAATCCAACCGAAAACCCGGCCGGCCATCTCTCTGGGCTAGCTATCAGCCCGACCCCCGCGCCTCTTTCTCATATCGGTACGCCTATGCCCCCGGGAGACAGCCGAGCTGCCGCCCCTCCTTATGCTCGTGACGAAGCTGGCCAAGAACAGGATGGGCGCGCCGGTGGGCCAAGGTTCCGCAATGGAAAACAGCAAGCAGCCGCGCGGCAGTCACAACGCCTCCCCACCCGCAGCGCGAGCGCCGCACCACCCTAGGGCACGCGCCCCATCGCCTAGCGCGAAGAATGGGGCCTCCACCTTTGCCTCAGCAGAAGCACTGGCAAAGAATGCCGCGCACAAAACTGGACAAAACTACCGAAATTCAGACAAAACCCGTACCGGATCTCCCTCAATCTCCATGCGCCTTTGCTCGGTTTTCTGCGCTGTGGCAACTGCGTCTTGCTCCTCAGCTGTCCCCAGTCTTAGAACAATGAATTTGGTCACCAAATCAAGCATACAAACCCTAAGGCGCAGCCTAAAAAATGAGTCGAATAGGACTCCAAATGTTGATTGATATAGCAAATTTTTCATCCTGTAATGCTTTTCTTTCATGCCGTTCTCAGCAGTTGCCAATCATCTTCTCACGTATCGTTGTCGTTCTAGCGACCTACCAATAAAGTTCACTTCTAAACACCAAGTCCAGTGCTCTGCTATGGCCGACCCGATCCATCTATCACAATATACATAGAGTCTCAAATTTCATAACAGCACTCCCTGGTCATCGTTGAAGAAGTTGCGCCAAACTTGTTGACCTCCCGAACCTTGCTGCACCAGGTCCTGCAACAGCAACATCCAATCTACGCCTTCTCCTGCGCGATCGAAAAACAGGGACAGCATCTGTAGATCAGCGTCGGAGAGTAAGTCGCCGCTGCTCTTGTTCTTCGACACGACAGCTTCTTGCTTTTAGTTTTAGAGCTTTTTATCGTAGTAAAAATCGTAATGCTTTTAGTAGAGCTATTATATATCATATAATTAATCGTATAATCCAATATTATCTTGAAATAGCTCTCCATCTTCGAAGTAGGTTGAAGCTCTACCGTCTACTTGAAACACACCATCAAGAGCCTGCACATCTTGTGGGAGGTACAGAGTATACTATAGGTACTTTATTTTTCTGATGTTGGAAGAGCTCTACCGCAAACGAGATGCAGAGACGTTCATCCGGATAGAAGATACTTGAATTTGCCTTAACTCTTCCCACCTTGTCCTTGTTCTGCTGAGTCAGCTCCTGGTGGCTCTTCTTGTACTAGATGGTCGTGTAAGACTTGCAAAAACAACGGCTTCGACACCACGCCTGAACAGCCAGCGTCCGCAGCTCGGAATGAATTCAAGAGCTTCTGCCAGATTGCTCGATTACGGAGGCGTCGCAGGGAGTGGAGCACTGAGCAGAAGGACGCCAGGCCTCTCGTTGGGAAGCCTGAGGGCTGCTCCTCTCCGCCTTGCGCGCCGTAGACAAGCAGCGTTTTCAGCTTCGGCCAGAAAATGCGCGTCGTCGAAGGACAGAGGAGCTCTTAGAGAGGAAGATAGAGATCATTACGACTAGTTCGGTAAAAAATGTACGCGTTTTTCTCGGTCTTCATAGACCAGGGAGCTGCAAGTACTCCTGTCAGTTATTCACGACTTCTATTTGTTCATCAATCGAAACACTAAAGATATTCTTGCAAACCTCAGTTCATAAGCCTGCGAGTCTGCCAATAGCAGTTTCAGTTCTGGCGACCAGGGGCCGCATCTTTGAACCGCGGCTAGCAAGTCCTGCCATTCCAGAGACAAGCCTTGGTGGCCGTGATGCACCTTCAAATCCTGCTCCAATATGCCCAACTCATCTGTCAGTACTTGTGCGCCCACACTTCCGACTTCGCGCCAGGGGTTAGACGTGGCTTAGGGTTACGGGTTAGGGTTTGGGTTTAAGGGAGCTCCTTAAGGAAGCTCCTTAAGAGATTTCCGCCAATTGCTAATACTATAAATACTAATACATGCCCAGCGCAGCGGGCCCTTGGGGTTTAGGGGTTAGGGTTAGGGTTTAGGGGAAGATCGTTCATCTCATCATGATCATCCATCCCTATGACAGGACAGACAGCCACTCTCATAATTTGGGACGAGGAGAGTTTGCTCTCACGCCAGCGAAGCGAGAAGAGGTACAGCGCCATGCTAAGCTCGCCTCCGTGTGGCGCCTGCTCGACGCCGTGTTGTCTTTAGAAGAAAGCATCATCAGAAAAAGCGAAGATCATTGGGTGAGAATTTCTAGATGCCCTAATCATTCCCCCTGGAGAGAGAGAGAGAGCGTTGTCGATTAGACTCCGGGATTGCTAGATGAGAACTCATAATGTAAAACATGCGCGTTAGTCAGTGTACGAAGACACGAGAGGACTACAGCTCGAACTACTTGATGTCTAAATGCCTTGCCCTTGATGCCTAAATGCCTACAGCTCGAACTACTCGAATGCTTGCCCTTGATGTCTAAATTTCCTAATCATTCCCCTTGGAAACAGCAAACTTCTGCAAGATCGCGTTGTCGATTAGACTCCGGAGAGCGCTGCCATCCGAGGCTTGCACTGCGGTGATCGCCCGATCTATTAGCGTTCGCCCTCATTTATCTCGGCCCCCTCATCTCGACCCCTTCTCTCGTTCCCATGGAAAGAATACAAGGAGAGCCAAATAAGGGTATCGAGATGCTGAGAAAGGTGGATGAAAGCTGACCTTAATGCTAGCATGTCTTGAGATGGATATACGAGATCAGCGAGTAAAGCCTGAGTTCCATTAGCATGCAGGTCAGCTTGACGACGAGCAATCATCCCCCGCAAAAACGCACACACGGACTTCTTTTGCAAGTTGGCGGATGCGCCTGATGATCGTGATTTTCTTAAATAAACACGTAAGAAATTTGACAGCATACAAGGTTGACAATTAGGATTAGGATAGGGTGCCTTTGCTAGGTCTACACGCAAGCTTGACAACCCATCCAATAATTTACGAGGAGATCTTGATCTTCTACGTACTAGCATAAACGAGATAAAATTATGACTAGCTACAGTAGCACAAGTACTATGATACTGTCAAAAATCATACCTGATCCAGCACTTGACAAGAGTCCAACCGTCGCGCGCTCCAGGACACCTACTACTAATCCGAAAGGCTGGGCAAATAACACACGCAGCAGAGACGGTGAAAACTGTATGAAGTCGCCTGATTCCATCGTAGTGCTACTGTTAGAGGTTGCGGCATGAGTGGACTGTTCAGGACGAGAGCGTTTTTCTCTGCCCTCTTTTCTACTGGAAAAAAAAAAACGAAGCATCAAGTAATATCTTTTGCCTGCATCATTTTTTTTACTATTCATCCAGTGGAATAATACATCATTTTACAACAGGAAAGTAGACGCAGCCCAAGGCGAATTGGTGACGAGAGCCTTAATCATGCTGGGTTGGGACGTGGTTTGCGCTATTTGCATCTTGTTTTCTCCTTTGTCTTTAACATATTCTGAAAAACGGACACTGCGATAAGGGTTGTAGTCCACGTCTGCGACGCCTGGCTGTCCAACGTCGTAACGGCTTTCCTTGTATCCACTTGACGACTCTGTCGTGCCAGAACCAGCAATGGGTGCTCTTTTATTCGTTGTACTACTAGAGGTTGTCCCTTCACTGGCATCTTTTAAACGCATCAGCAGTTGTCTATTGTGGATTTCCAGTTGTGCTTTCTCATGCTCGAGTGAGGAGATGCGTTCCTCTTGCTCTTGCACGCGCTTTGCACCTGGCGCTCCCGCTGTAGATGCGTTCGCTCTTGGTAGCGTGGAGGGAACAAGAGGGTCTTTGGAACGCAGTTTGCCTAGAGGGGATTAGAAGTGAGTGGATGAACATGAATGATTTGGACAAGCAACGGAGGATGCTGCGAAAGTGACCCCCAGATGCTGCAAAAGTGAACGTGAAAGGAGGAATAATTGAAAATAAAGACGGTGTACTCGTACTCAAATAATTGATTTAAAGCCACCAATTGTAGCCAATAGACCGACTTCTATCATTTCGTTTGCGTAATAGTAGGTTTTCTGGTGCTCCAACTGTCTCTCCAGGTCTCGGACCCTGGCCTTCAGCACTGCCTCTTGACGACCCTCCTGTTGGCCCTGTTGGTTCTGTTGTCCCTCACTGGTTCTTGTGGCTTCTCTTGAGAGAACTGCTGTGGCTCCCCCATTGCTATTTCCTGCTTTCCCCGAGCCTCCAGGTGAAAGTCCTGCTGATCCCCCTAGCAATCGTTCCCTCAGTTTCTCGCTTTCTTGCTCGTACACGAGTTTGTCGTATTGGGCGCGGAAAGCTCGCAACTGCCGATCAAAGTCCAACTCCTTATCGGCGACTTCCTTCCTCAGTCGCGCCACTTCTTCCTGCAACGAGCTGACTTCCTCATTGCGGGTTTCCGCTTTTTCGGTCTGCTCGAAATCCACTGCGCCAAAAAATGAAAAGGTGAAGAAGGAAGACAAAGATTTAAAGATCATTTCCATGTTGTTGGTGGAGCATATCTAACTAGAAAAAACAAAAACCGAAAAAAGAAAGGTCAGGCAAGAACTTATCTACTACTAATGTTGATAACTCTTCACCCCACATCAAATTGCACCTGCACTTTTGACAAGTGCAGTTGATGTAGTTGTGCAGTTGATGTAGCTACCAAAAGCAACTTTTTCTTAACAGCATATTCAGGATCGAATCTGGATGCTTTTTCTTGAGCAATGCCTGTAATTCCTCAATCTGCTTCAAGAGTTCCTTTTCGCGTACATCCGCCTTCTTTCCTGTTAAGAGACGCAGCCGCAGCGCCTTTAACTCTCGCCTGTGCGCGTCAAGCTGACCTTCCAGTTCGTTATTAGAAGCTGGACTGTCAAAATCGATCATCTCCGTTATGCCTTCGTTTCACACCAAATCGGTTTCGTTTCACACCAAAGGACTAAAATTGCGAAAATGCTCAGTACGTCAATCAAATGTTCATCATGTTGTTCATGCCGGTGTCCCGACTAGTACACCTAGTTTATCGGCAATGTAGTGTTCTATATCGATCATAACTTTCACTTTCGCTCGATCTTCATCCATCATTTGTTGGCTTTCGGCGTACCACTTTACCTTCGCCACTAGGTCCTCCCTCTCCCGCTTCCAATCGCCCTCTGCGCGTAGCGCTTTATCGAGACGCTCTTGTGCAGCCTGCTCAGCGACGTTCGGTTTCTTGAGAACTTCGTCCTCTAAAGCGCGCTTCGCATCACGAGCCGCTTTTAACTCGGTCTCTAGTTCAAGTGTTCGCTTGCGCAGTCGTTCCGCCTCTTCTGTCGCTTCATTCAGTCGTCTCGCAAGAGAAGCGGACTCCCCATTTTCTCGCTTGTTGGCCAGCGTGGCTTGCAGGTTTTCGCCGCCAAACGGATGCTGAGGAGGCGCGAACTCAGAACTGCTGCCAGTGATAATATTGGTGTCTCCGGTGTCGGGTTAGAGGGTGCAGAAATGGGTATGTGACACACGGTGGACATTTCTTAGACGCAAGTACTCAATCTCAGATATCAAGTGCGTCTTCCTGGCGTAGCCGTTCGTGGCTACTAGCGTAAATGCTGTATATAATTTGCGTTCAACAATTATCCTCCTAGGCTATCTGTTTCATAATCAAAAGAGCGTCTTTGCTGCTTATTCTTTTCGAGGACGAGGGCAGCGACTTGCTGCTGCGCCTGTTGCAACTGTTTGCGAAGGGACTCTGTTTGCGCATCAGCAGCTTCCACAATGCGCTTGGCGCCCTTTTCGCGCTCTTCGGCCAAGTCACTCTCGGCCCTGCCTAATCTGCGATGCGCATCAGCTAAAGCGGCCTCCTTATCCTTCACTCGACTTGTCAACAGGTCTAACTCGCGGCTCAATTCTTCACGCTCGGTCTCTAAGGAGCGGACACGTTCCTTCCACGTGTCAGAATCGTCTGTCCTTCTCGTAGCGGAGCCAGAGAATTTTAGAGATAGAGGTACTACTACAGACCTTCTCTTTTCTTCATTTAGAGGTAGTCATTTAATTGTTGACGTACTACAGACCTTCTCTATTCTCAGTCTCAGGTGGAGTCTAGATCCATCTTGAAATAATTTTTTTGGGGGAGAGCCTCCTATCGAAGATGGTCCATTTAATTCCAACTTCTCCTACTTTCATGTAGCCGAACAAGTGGTCGTCAAATCCCGATCTATCTTGGATTTGCTTCACCAAACTCTCATTTAGCAACTGCATAAGTAGTACTCTGCAAACCATAAGTCTTTGCTCTGCGAAGCAGCCTTGGTACTAGCCGTTCCTCCACCCTTGGATGCAAGTTTAGCCGTTGTTGCAGTACTGCCTGTCCTGCGATCCTTCGCTGCCTCATCGACAGTCCGGTGCGACCCCTCCGCGTGCTTGCGACGCCGTCCTGCACCCGCCAAACCCGTCTCTGCTGCGCCTTCAGCTCCCAGTGGACTCCGACCTGCGCTGCCTGCATCTACTACTGATTTGTTGTTCGGGTACTTTGTCTTAGAAGTGTAGAGTTGTTATTCAACGTAACTGGTTCCTAGAAAGGACCCTTTTGAGAAAACAAAAGCAAGTTGAAGTTATCCACCATAACACCACTTTCTGCCAGTCCCCCAGCAGAGTAGCCTGGCGAGGCTGGAGAGCCGAGAGGAGTAACAAAATTGCTTCTAAGAGGGCCTTTCTCCTGCAAAGCAGCATAGTTGAGCTCTGCAGCTACTTTGAGCTGTGCAATCTCATCCCGCTGCTTCTCTGCGTCAATAGGAAATTAGAGACAGGCATATATAATGGAAGATTTCAAGGCGCAACATCTACAATCAACTACATCATTGGACTCATCTAGGATCTTGAACATTCTGCAACTCTAGATTACGTCTGCCAGCTTTCACTCATCAAGAGCTACAATCTCGTCGAGAGCCTTAGAATTCAAGAAACGATCTTTCTAACAAAAAACAAAAAATATTTTGTATCTTGTGAGAGCCCACGCTACAATTAAAGTTACAAGCTCAAGTCTCTTCCCAACGGCCATGTCATGTATTTGCCCCTGATGACACTGTCCGTAGTGCCCGTAGAGACTAATGCTGATAACAATTCAGGGCCAGAGGCCAGGCGTTGTGGCCTTAATTCAATCTCTGATTCTCTCCTGTCAGCTCTTTCGCATTTTTCCTGAGTTCGCGGTTTTCGTTCACCAGTTTTTCGTTCTCCTTCTCGTATCCCCTGAGCAGAGTCTCCAGCATGCTTTCGTCACCCGAGCGTCGTGCAGCTTCGATGGGAGCATCCACTGTAGTATTAGCCGCTGTGCCAGCACTATTAGCGGCCGACCCTGCAATATTAGGGGTTGAAAGTTGGCATCTCTAGCCCGCATATCTATGGCTTTCCTACTTGGAGAAACCATAGAGATGCTCATAGAGATGCCAACTTTCAAGCCTTAACAATAGAAGATGCGCCGCGTCGCTCTGCTGAGGGCCTCATCTTCATGCCCTTCTGCCCTACACCTCCTATGGACCCACCCGCACCAACGTCGTCGGACATCAAGTTCGAATGATCCTTGTTTTGGCTCGACGTCGTCGAAACAGGCTGCCTCGACGTAGTCGTTGTTGGATCTTTCAACTTCTTGTCTGTCTGCCCAACACCAACGCCCATTCTGCTACTACTTTTAGAGCTACCGCGTTCGCATCCCTCCAAGCATCCTTGGCTTCCTTTCCAAGTAGAAAAAGAGCCAGGGAACGAAGATGGTGCTAGGGATGCTTCGTCGGTAGCCTTAATACTAGCACCACCTCCACTGACACTAGCATTTTGTGCTTTCCTTGCTTCATCTAGCTGTTTGCGCAAGGCTACTGTTTCATTCTCGCGTTTCTCCAACTCATCGCACAAGCGTGCGTTTTCGCGGTTGAGGCGGGATCGCATAAGTTCTGAGTCGGCAAATTTCTGCTCCACACGACGCATGCGTCCTTCCGCATCGGTCTTGGCTTCATCCTCCAGGTTTCTGCGGTCATCTGCGAGTCGCTCACTTTGCGCACGATCTGCTGACATTAGAGCTTCAGGTTGAGCTAGTGATGATTATAATAGGGGTGGAGCCAACCTAACTAGAAAAAGCAAAAAAAGGAAAGCATGTAGATATAAAACAGCGTTTAGATTCAGCCTTTGATGGTACGGATTTATTTATCCCTGGAGGAAAGTAGCGACCTCCCTCTCTCGATTTAAGGCAATGGTTGCTGAAGCGGAGAGATCTTCAGCACAGCAGAAAAGTGAACTGTGTACTAGAAGGAAGGCACAATAGCTAGCAGCTCCAGGTCTAGTACAGTGTTCCAGCAACCATAATTCTGCTCTATCCACACGCGCTCGCAAATCGGCGCACTCTGCACGAAGTCCCTTGCTTTGGGTCTGATGGCGCTGTTCCGCCTCTTCCAGTGCGTAACGGTGCTTTCGCGTCACTTCAGCTGCCTCGTCCTCCAAACGCTGTAGTTGCATCCTCATCTTTACATTCCTGGCATCCATTTGATTAGATTCGCCTCTTGCGTTCGCCTCTTCCCTGAGAGGGTGATCCTTGGCAGCTTCTTTTGCAGGTCGAAAAAGAAGATCCGAGGATCATGTTGAGAAGACGAGGAGGCAAGAAAAAAGATTGTCGATTCTTGTAGAAGAGCTTTGCTACAATCGACAATATTCTTTATCGACATCAGGTAGAAAAATGAGTGGATCAAGCTTGTTTATGGTAATGATTATTTCTCATCAAGGATGATGTTAAGGACATCATGCTTCACGGTAGTCTTAATTTGAGCGATTTCAGCATCTGCTTTTGCCTTCCCCTTTCGCAGGGAAGCTACGACTTCTTCCAGCTGGGCGACTTGGGCCTGCGATGCAGCTAGCTGCTCCCACGCCGACAAACCACCGTCGTCCACTGTGGTGTGATTGTACATGAAAGAATGAGGAAGGGAGATTTGATTCTTACTTGCTAAGGGAAAAGACACTACTTAGAAACAAAGATCAGAGTACTTAAACCACGACTTGAGATACCACGACTTGCTGTCTGGAGTCTAGCATCTACTTTCCATACTTATAATGCCTATCCCTATCCAGCAACATAACTGACGGATGAAGCCATGCGCTTCCGCGGATGAAGGAAGAAGGGGCGCTGTCCAAAGACTGCTCGATTAACGAACTGCGATGTGGCTCATTGGTAGCTGGCACAGGTGGCTGTTTTCCACGTAGATCCTGAATCAAGTGGTCGGTGCTAGGGTAAATGACATCCATAGACTGGCCTAACAGAAGCCGACTCCCTGGCCGAAAAGAGCCTTGCTCGGCCGCGCCCTGATACCGCGCCCTGATCATGGGAGTGGTTTGGCTCGTGCGTGCAGAAGCCGGCAACTTGTCAGTTTGCGTTGAGGCACGGTGAAGCGGCGCTCGCGTGGCGGAATTACCACGACTCAACGATGAGCCGCGACTGGTGTTGCCGCCTTTCCCGCCACGCGCTCCTGGCACAGCTCCTCCTGCTCGTGTAGATAAACTTGCTGCTGCTGTGCCACGACTGGCGTTTTGGTTAGCTCCTCTAGTTCCTCCACTGCCGCCTCGCGAACTACTGTTTTCTCCCGATCCAGCGCTCACTGTGCTGTTTTTCGAAACGCCAGCAACGGTCGGCGGCGAGAATATAACCTGTGGTGTGCCCACTGTGCCCGCATCTTCGTGCTGCGCCTCCAGTTCTAGCTGTGCCAATACGGCCGCGCGCTCTTTGATGCGTTCCTCCAGGAGGAACTCCTCTCGCTCTAGCATCCGTAACCGCTCCGCACCCTCAAGGCTCTTGTATTGGTATTGATACTCCTCATCCCCTGGGTTCATGTTCTTATTGTAGTTATCCTTCTGTTCATTCCCTCGCGACGACCAACCCTGTGGTTCCGAGGAGCGCAGACGGGAATGGTCAGCAATTATCGTTGCCTCATCTGCCAACCTTCGACCGTGGTCTCTGCTAGTCCTAGACTCCGTACTACAGTTGTAGTTACCAGATGCAGCTGCCAGACCTTTTTCAGCTGACTGTTGTACTTGTTGTACACCTGCTCCTCCTTCAAGGCTGTCATTTCGCTGATTCAGTCCGATATCAGTCGCCGCACTTGTGGCAGCTGTCAGAAGCTCGGTTGTGGAAAGGTTGTTCACGGATTCGTCCACGGCTGGTGCAGTGCGTTGCGAAATAGGACGATCCCTTGTAGTCGTGGGTAGGGCGTTGCTTTGCTCTTTTATATTAGAGATGCACTGTTTTTTTAGAAAACCTACTTACAACAGCATCCATCTATAGAGCTGCACAGCTTAATATCTCTACATAGAAAAAATGGCTAACCGTTGTCATGCTACAACCACAGGAGAGATATAAGAGGTAGCCTTTTGGTGTTCGTTTATCCCGCTTGTTAATATGGCTGCCCCCCCTAAGGCTTAGGAGAGCCATAACAAACGGTATAACAAAAGCACCTTTATAGCCTACCCTTGAAGATACGGAAACTGACGAACTACAGAAAATGACGTGCCTTAATCTGCAGTCTTTCATCTTGCTGTCTTTCTTGCTGCAGCCGTCGCTCTTCCTGCTCCCGCTCTTCTTGCTCTATCAGACGGCGCTCCCTTTCCTCGGCTTCCCGTAGACGCTGTTCCAGGTCTTCTTCATCGATGAAGTCATCTGCATATTCCTGTTCATCTCCTGTGTCAACAGAAGATGAACTATTATTTGCTCCTTGTGGGAGTTCTGGCGGTGGTCGTTGTGGTTGTCCTGGTCGTTCTGGTTGTTCTGGTTTCGCTGGACTAGGACTACTTTTGCTCATCATATTCGCTTCCGCACCTGCTTCGGCGTTATTCAGGAGTTCATCACCAGTCTTTTGTAGTCCTGCACCTGCGGCTGCGAGTTGCTTAATTTCTTCTGCTGCGCCGAGTTGCCTGGCCTCTTCCGCCGCTGCTTCTTGCCGCAGCTCGGCTTGTCGTTCTGATTCCTTTCGGGCCTCCTCTGCGGCTTCTCTTGCCTGTTTCTCAGCTTCCTCCTTAGCTTTTCTTTCGGCCTCTTCCTTCGCCTTTCGCTCTGACTCCTCCTTCGCTCGCCTTTCAGCTTCTTCTTTTGCCCTCCTTTCCGCTTGCTATTAGAGGAGGTTCACAAACTAGACAAGAGTCCATCACAAAGAACTACCGAATGATCTTCCACTACCTAGAACTGGTAGCTCATTTCAGATGATTTGCCACCCACTAGGTCACATATAAAACTACGATCATGTCAGATAATTCTCTGTTTCCACCACATCGAACATGATATAGAACAACAAACTACGTTACCCTCAAATACTCAACAATCATATTCGAACTCGATGACTCAACCCTTCTAAAAATACAACTTACTCTTACTCGCTGCTTAATCACTACATCGTCATAAGCCTCTCTCTCGATCCTACGCGCTTCAGCCTGTTTTGCACGCTCCTCTTCTTCTCGCTGGACACGTTCCATCTCCGCTTTGGAGTCGGCCAAAGACTGCAAAAGCTCCTTCTGGTAGGATGCGAACATAGAATTCTCGTTCGTAGGACTCTCTTTCGGACTATTAGGGCTTTTCAGGTAAGATTCCTCTGTAGAGAAGCATAGCAAAAAATCTGTTAGACATATGAAGATGAGTCCAACTACAAGGAACAACGAACCTCCTCAATGCTCTCACGAGGATAGCGCGAAGCCAGTCATAAAAATTCCACTCCCCGTTTCCGCATTGTCGACTTTTGAAGGGGCCTCGCTCACAGGACGTGACTGTTCAAAGTCGACGACTTAAAGGTAGTTTTTCCCTATGCCTGGTCGAGTGGGTTGCCCTTTTCCTCCCTTATTTTCTTTCCTCTCTAAGAAATCACGGGATGGACTTCCACCCAGCATAGTCTACAGCATAGTCTACATAAAATACTGAGCCTTAACTGACGTAGCTGTTATCCTCACTGTCAGACACCTGCACGCCTCCACGTGGCGGAGGCTTGGCCACTTTCTTCGCAAGCTTGTGCGTAAGCATGCTGAGAGCAGCCGACGGACTGTTCTCCACTGCATGCTTGTTTTGGTCGAATGAAAGGAGGAGAAGGAGCTAGACGAGGAGCTGAAAGAGATGAACGAGGAACTAGACGAGGAACTGAAGGAGATAATGATAATAGCGGGGGCGAGGTGAGCCCGGGGTTGTGCGGGCTGCTCACTAGTACTCCGCGCACCATCAGGCGCAAGTAAGATCCAAGTAGTAAATTCCAAGGAATATTAGCAGTGGTTGTAATAGAAGATTGATGTCTTTGCCGATACGAGAAAGAAACTTGCTCTCCTTCAAAAGATATTGATGTTAGCCTTGATTGTGGTTGTGGCCCAGCGACTTCATATTTATAAGCAACCTCGCTAACATCTTCTCGAGGAATAAAAAAGTAGACTGTATTAACAATCTCATCTCCACTGCCAGATACGGATCATCCTAACTAAGTAGACCCTAGATGAAAGAAGAGAAGAATATTTCTGTTACATCATAAATGCAATGCCATGAAGAGAAACTACTAGCCCTATTGTACATGAAGTAGGTGTATAAAGTAATGACCAAATATTGGTTAGTTATATGTCCTAGATCGTTGTGCCGTTGTGATCACACACTAAAATTCATCACAGGTGGACTTCATGTTCATCTTCAATCTCAGTGTCACATCATAAGAAGCTTGTCTGGCTTTGGCGTTGGCTCTGACGCGAGTCCTTGGCTGGTTTTGCTTTGGATTTCAACGTGATGGACGCATACGGATCCAACATGTCCCGCCCTGCAACACCAGCGGGTCCACCCAGTGTCTCCTCATCGTCACTGGAGGCATCTAAGAATGCCCCGAGACTGCTCATGTCGTTGATTCTACATAGGAATTTACACGTGAATTATGACATTCTTGATACTACACGTTGATTCTACACGTAGACTCTACACGTAGCATACGCACTAATTATCTGTTTGCTGCAAGCACTACACCAGATCACTCACGATTAACAGGTCGATTGTTCTCTCTTATCTGTACTGAACATTCAGTAGAAGATTGTAGCCATAATTGTCTAGGTTGACTTTCATTAGAAGATTGTAGCCATAATAAATTGCCACTTTTTTTACAAACCTTCAACTCTTCCACATTCTTTTCCTAGCTGACGCACCAGTTCTCTTTCCAGACGTGTTTGAATTCGTGCTTTTTGATTTTCTACTAGTGATTCTTCATCGATCGCTTTCCTGCAGGCAAGCCGGCAGTGGATCCCCGACCTAGACCACGCTACTGATGCCTGAGAAGTCATCAAGTACTCGCCTCCAAAATGGTCGCTGAAGAAGAGATGCGGCGAACACACACAGGTCACTGTGACTCTGGGCGTTTGCCTGCGCAGGGCTAGTACTTCGAATATATTAGTTTTTGCTGCTTCCCACTACGGGTACCAATCTGTCCAAATGAGTCAAGTGACTGCAAGCCATTTATGTAAACCAGTTCATTGTGAAGAGTGGGGATGCTGGACGTCAATTTCTCGCTTGGGGTTGGGTAGACGATTAAGTAAGAAGTAGATACTTCGAGGATGTGTCAGTTTTCGACTCCAGTAGTTCAGTCCTAGTCCAGATATGGCGACGCTAGTCGATTCGGATTGGACCTACGAGAGCTCCCTTAATCCAGATATGCACCTAATTGAAACATCGTTACGTTTCGGTATGCCATGATGATTGTATTCGTTATAAATTTCTCTTGCTCCAACCTACGTACTTCCGAATCTGCAAGTTGCCTCACCCAAGCAAAGTCTCAGCTCAAAAAGGGTTGATATTGATGAACTTCTTCGCGGCCGTTGTGAAAGTTTCCTTTAGCTGCGCTCAGCGTTGTTGCTACAGCCTCCTTATTTCCTGCTCCGCTTTCGTTAGCTCCGCGTTTTAGCTCCGCAGCTTTGACGGCGATGGTGAGATACAGGGGTCCAGCATACGTTTGAAGTCACATTTCGCATCGAACACGGCTTCGAGATCATTTCGATATTGTTTACTACAAGCCAGTCATGGTGTCTCGCATAGCAGTATTCCGATCTCATAAGGCTCTAGGTCGGCCTGCGCCTGTTCCGTCCATTTGAAGATTATATTTTCCCTCAAAAGAAGCATTTCCAAGTAGTCTTAGGCAGATCGATAAGACGGCGCATCTATCTCTCGATATCTTTGCAGCAGAAAAGGAGCCATTTTCACCACATCTTCTCGCTATCCCTCAGAGTCGCGAAAGATGTTGACTCTGACACATTCTTTCGTCTCTCAACTTCCCGTATCTATTGACATGGTAGAATGGGTATTCTCTCACTGCTTTTATTTCTATACTAACACGTTGCCGTACTAACATACTTCTGTAGACTTCACAGTGTCGCGGGCCACCACAGTGTCGCGGGCCACCGATTTCAACACTTTTAGAAACAAATGGGCAGCACCAGCAAACGCTGAGTGCGTCCGGCAAATGAACACTCGAGACCTGAAAAACCATTTTCGTCGGAGCCCACCCACCAGGAGCTCAAAGCGCTTTTTTTGAAGGAGTTTAGTAACTGGAGAAAATTGACCTATTGTTCTGAATGTGTATCCGATCCTCGTTTCAAAGGTTCATGTTCCAGCCCGTGTCTCCGAAAGGGCACAGCATCACCGCAATATTCCAATTTGTTCCCGCTAATAAATCGTCCAAATCTCATCCCCCACTCGACTTTAGATCTTGCATCCAGGCGTTTGCGGCATCAAAGCGTTTCGTCTTCCTCTGAAACGTTCCCACGTCGCATTTCTTACTGCGGCCCGAATACACAAGAAGCATTTTTCCGTAGCATCCAAAGTACCCCGCAAGAAGCATTTTTCTGCAACACCACTTAGAAGCGAAGCTTCTTCTTCAAGAAGAGCAATGCGGACTTGGCGGAAGCGGACTTGTCCACAACGCTGGTCGGGTTCAAGAATTTCTCCTTGAACAAACCGCAGAGAGACTGTTGAGAGTGTTTCGATTGGTTCAAAACGAGGGTCCTGAGGAAGATTACCGAGATATTATCGCTTGTGCATATGTTCTTTGATGAAAAAAAACAGCATGTGGATTTCAAAACATTGTTTTCGTTCTGCAGTGCAAATGATTTCTTAGGATCCTACGAGAAGCACAGAATTGAAGCATGATGATCACAGCATTTAGACGCATCTATAGAACTGTACCTTCTTAGCCTCCTTTCGGCCATCCGGGGTGTCCATCTGGGAGTCGGAAACGAGAGTCTTCGGCTCCATATCGGACGGGATAGAGTAACGCGTCGGCATGACGTGAGTGTAGTTCACGTACTTGACGAACGGCTTCACGCGAAGGCTGTATTTTTTGTTTAGACGGACGATTAGGTTAAGTGATGTAGTTTAGTGTAGGAAAATATTCGTTTTTAGGAAATTTTCATACTTTTTTCGGAGGATGCAAGAATCGGCGGCTCCAAATCCCAAGGAACCTTCAAGAACAAGTCTTTATTTAGATTGCAGGATTGAACTACTATCACAAAGTTTTAGACGCTGCATTCAGATTTAGAAAATATAATCAATACCGCTTGCTCTGCTTCTTCTTTCCCATGGCGGTAGTGACCTTCAGAGGTGCCTTCTGGACGCCGGCGACCAAGCAGTGGCCGAAAGCGCGGGACTTGGAGCCTTCGTCGAAGGTTTTGACGCAGACCGCCTTCTTACCGGCCATACGGCCGTTAAGGATGATAACGATACGTCCTGGCTTCAAAAACTTGCCCATTTTGTCGTGAGTGGTGAGGTACCTCCTTTTTAGAAAAGGGGGATTGAGATACCTTCTCCAATTGTTGTCCCTGTTTTTTGTTGATAAGAAAGTTGGTGAGATTAGCCGAAATACAACGCTTGTTGAGTCGATGTGGAAATTATGGCGCCACATGGATGATAACAGAGAAGAGAAGACGTATTAAAGACACATCGTTCGTTGTAAACTCAGGTATGGAATCAAGTCAACTCTTGATCGTTCTTGCAATTTAGATTTTAGATCTGATTTGCTCGAGGTATCATGACCGCATTTTCAGATTTAGATCTCTGTCACAAGGATCTTTTTGTTGCTGTTCGCAGCAGGAGGTGCTTCCATACTAGATTTTACGTTTTTTCTGATCTCGTGTAGATCTTACGCACAGCTTCCAAGGTTTTCCTGACCTCTCGGAGATCAAGCGTAGATGAGACCTTTTCGATCAAAACGAGAACATGATATTTCAGATCGCCCGGCGAATGAGGACAGTATTGGGTCAAGTGGCATGACGGGAGCACAGAAATGTCTTTTTCACAAGACCTTCCCGAACACACATTTGGCGATGACTTCAAATCTCCCAGAAAAGGGACACATGCGCCTCCAGCGCTTTCTTTTTGGTAGACAACTCCACACATGGTAAACTCCAAGAGAGACTGTTCGACGTTGTTTTCTCGCGAGCGTTCGCCTTCTTTTCATTCAAACATGTGATTTTCAGGAAGTGACGTTCTCCTCATACATTGCCAACTCCAGAAGAGACGATTCTCTCCGCCAATCATCTCCGCCAATCATCCCTTCCACAATGCAGTCAATCGAGCCTTTTCCTCCTTTAGACTTGCGCAGTCAATCTCCTCAGCAGTCAATCTCTTCAGAGATGAGCAGTTCCACTGAAGATGAGCCGATCTCCTTCTCAGCAGAACCCTTCAGTCCCCATCGCAACAGCACTTAAGCTGCCTCCTCAGCGGCGACACGAGAGAACTTGTTCGTGATATGGAGACCGAGTTGCTCGGCCTTCTCGACGATCTCACGACGCTTGCGGGAGGACAAGTTGTGGGCCAACTCCACAGCGAACTTGCCGTTGTGCATCAACAACATATCCAAATCGGAAACTTGCTGAACCTGTTTGGGGTTTTTTTTTGAGGTGAAGATTTGGATGATGTCATTTAGATGCGATTTTTAGATGCAACTCGGGATCGCAAATTTAGATAGCATCATGTTTTTCGTGAGAGGAATTCTAGGCACTGCATTTAACGCTGTATATTAAACATTTCCACATGAGGAGAAGGCTCACAGCAGTAGGTGAGTACCGTGAACTTGTAGAATCCGTTCGGGAGCATGTGCTTGGTCTTCTTGGCGGATCCGTAACCGATCTTGGGCATGATGGTTGTGCCGCGGAACTTTCGGCGGGCTCTGTTGTCGATACCCTTGGGCTTGCGCCATCCCGTGCGCATGCGGATGAAGTAGTTGCCCTTGGTCTTGTTCAGCGTAGACTGCTGGAAGCGACGAAACTTCTTCGTGCGCTTCTTGATGATCTTCTGCTTGATTCCGGAAGTCGCCATCTTGACTGTTTGTTTGGAGAGAAGTCTACGTCTACCCTACGGGACTGAGTGGTCCTCTTCTTATTTCCCTGAGAAGATTTTAGAAATAGGAGTTTGAAAGTTTAGAAATGAACGGAGTGTTTTCATGGTGTGGTCATCAGAATTGTTGATTCGAGCGAGCAAGTACGTAGAGGAGTTTGATAATGACATAATCGAGCACCGGGAACTTTTAATAAAATTTAGGAGCGCAAAGGAATTCATTGGAACTTGGAGTAAGTGACATGTGAAGCACCAGAGTGAATTTTGAGATCTCTATGCGGGTCCTTGTCCAAAATTTAGATCGCGTCTATTCTGATCTGTCATGAAAAATTGCTTTAGAAGCAACTACTTTTGCTTTCTGAGATCATGATCAAGAGTGAGCAGAGACTGACCTTTCATTTGCAGGATCAAGCGTGCCTTCCGTACCTTTCTTTTGACCTTTCCTAACTCCTCGTCTTCATGATCTCTTTAGATTCTTATATTCGTCTTTAGGCCTCGTGATGTCGCTCTCCAACACTAGCATAAAGGATCCTTTACGTGGTCTTCAGAATGGGAACTTTAGTGATCGTGACTAGCTTTCATTTACTGAGCGTTGTGACGGTCCCGATTAAATATATCACTAGTGGAGCTTCAGGCTCAGATTCAGAGATCTTGATCGAGTCGGGGTGCCACCTGCACTTTTAGAACGGAGAATAGGAATCGCAATTTAAATTTTTAGAGCATCTCATCGACGTGAATGGGAGCGTCGCTCTTGTGGTGGGTAAAAGAAGCTCGATGAACAAACATCAATCGTTAAATCGATATCATGTTTCTTCGTGTACCTATTTATTTTGTTTCTCACGTTCATTGTAGCACGCGCGTGGGCCTCTTTTCGGCTTGTAGTGGTAATTCACTTTCAGGTAAAAGTCGATGAAAATGGTTGCAGACTGACGACCCTCAGAGCTCAAAACAATCTTGGATTGCTTTCCTTCGGATCTGCGTCAGCGCCTACAATCTAAAATTACCTCGTGGTCACGTTGAGGCGCAATTCAGTGTGGCCCATAGTACTAGGTTAAGTATTGCTTAGTTGAAAAAATTCCACTAGGCATGCCTTCTCAGGACTATAGCTTTTCTAGGTGACAAGCCCAATCCTGTGGAAATACGCGAGACTAAGCAGAAGTCCTACTTACGTGGGCAATCTGGCCTCGATCGCCATAATTCTCTACTACATGGAGGAGGACAACATTCACAAAACATTACTACTGTGCGCTGTTCTCAATTTCGGGGGATATTTTTGTCTCCAAATGTCACACATGTGCATTTTGAAACACCATTGGGAAGGTACATGACTTCGACAGAGCTCCTTTCGAAGGGAAAATCTAAATGTTTTCTCATGCGATTTGGAATTCGTCGTGGTGTGAAAGCGGCCTCAAGTGTGGGGATAATACAGACACCATGAAGAAAGTGACCGCACCGCAGGCCTTTATCCGCGTAGTTTCTATCGTTCCTCGAGGTAGCCGCACAGAGTAGCAAGAAGGTGGTAAGAAGGACAGCCAATCATCTGCTGCTAAATTGCCTCAGTTCCTTTCTGTGCGTTTTGACACAGACCCACTACGAACTACTAGGTTGAAAAGAAATGCTAGTGCTTGGCTGGACCACGGCAAGACCCCGAGTTGTCGGGCAGAACCACTACTATGGTGCGTGTGATGAATCCGACATGCCAAAGTCAGTGCTCGACGTTCCACAAATTCCTTTGCTCTGTATCTCATTTGGCTTGCTAGTATTTTGGTCTCCTTTTGTTCCTGCATTACGTCCTCCCCCATTGTCTCCAGTTGGTCATCCATTCACCACACCTCCTCCATACTGACTGCGTATGATCTTCTCCAATGACGCAATTGTTTCCCGTTGCGCAGCTACTTGCTCTCGCACGACTCCCAGTTCCCGCATTAGGTTGCCTTGAAGGTACATCAACTCCAGAGACATTTCTGAGCTTTTACACCGAGTAACACCAGAAACAAACTCTTCGCAAGACAGCTCGCCAGAGACGTCGACGTCGCCGATTAGAAAGAGAAAGATTGATATGATAGCTTTTGATAGAATAATTTAGTGGAATAGCTTGACGCTGCAATCTTGATAGCTTTTAATAGACTAATTGTGTGGAATAGATTGACGTTGCAGAAACTTGGTCAAAACAGCAGTCAAATTCAGGCTCCTGCGATGCCGGTCATCCCACATACACAAACCCGCAAATCCTTAACGAACCATAAAAACCGAACTAAATATTGGAGGTAGTTGGGGAAAAACGAAGAAAACCGCACCATAACAGAATGCTCCACATGTACATTAATTCGTGTGGCTGGAGGTTGAGAGAGGCTAGTTTGTCTTGGACATCTGCATTGTTTTTTACCATATGGTTAAACTCCCGAAAGCTTATGGCTCCGCTACCGTCTTCGTCTACTAGGGCAAAGAGTTCAAAGAGGCCCTTCAAATTTCTCCTCTGTTCCTCTTTCACGTGCTGCATCAGATATTAGAAGACGGGGACGGTGATTGAGGTGCGTACTGCAGGCCTTGCAAGATGTGACTCTGAAATGTCTGTGCTATGCGTCTTACATGATTGAATACTGTTGTATCTAAATATCGGAGGAGATCTCGTTGTGTTTCAACAACGACATGATTCTTTTTGATCTAGTACATCTTCTGTTTAAGTTGTCTACGATGTTGATAAAGCACATCTTTTATTTACAGGTCGTCTACGATTAAGAGCTTCGTTTCGATCTAGCACATCTTCTATTTAAGTCGCCTACGATTAAGAGCAGATACAAAGAGCTGCCAAGTTCGCACAGAAGCATAAAATTCTAGGTCTGCCAAGTTCGCACTTCTCGTGATATGTTCGACTAGCACACCTACGAAGAGATTCATCACCGCAAAATGCGTGAGGATAATGAAGCCTACGAAGAAGAATGCGTAGCCTCCGTGCCATTCGCGCAGTGGATGGACGAGGTCAGCCCAGTTCTCCAGAGTGACCACTTGAAACAAGGTGTAGCAGCTCATTGTCACTGTACCAAAATTAGCGGGCTTACAATATCAACCGTTATTCATTACGTCAAACGTTCTTCACATCATTTCCTTTGCTTAAAACTATAAAGTTTTCCTTTCAAAGCTCGAGCTTTGTCCAAAGATGCTCCTTCGTCAGGTCCGAAGATGCTTCCTCCAACGATGCTCCTCCTGACTGCTTCACAGCTTCCCATCTTATTCATTACATCAAACGTTCTTCACATCCATTTTACTTTTATCTGTGATGCTTTTCGCTGAAGTAAGCCTTAATAAAATTCTCGTAGGCAGCCGCGTACAACGGATCTGGGTGCTCCGAACCATTAGGTCCTCGAAAGTGCTCTGCGTCACGAACTCTGCCCGTCATGAACAGAGCACAACAGTATATGAAGATGGAGATTAGAGCTGACCTGAGATTGAATTCATCTTGAAAGCCAACGTCTTTGACGTGTTTTCCGATTTCCCTCTGGTGATGAACGTGCCAAAGCTGACTCTGAAGAACATCTTTGGCGCGTTTTCCGATTTCCCTCTGGTGATGGACGTGCCAAGGCCAAAGATGACTCTGAAGATGACTCGCTGCGGGAAGCAGCCTTAAGGAGAGCAAGACCATGACCCAAGCGATACTGCGCATACTCTGCACTAACCCGTTCACCAAGAGCCACAGGTCTTTGAAGTATCGCACGAGTTTCACACTGCGCAACACACGAGTTAGAGCTTCTCATGTCATGTCAGGATGCCTCGTAATAATTGGTCGATATCCCCAGGGTGAGACCCTATCCGCCTTCTTGTACCTTCTACGAATGAAGTGCAAGAGAACCAATTGATAAACGATCAAGTCTCGACTAGAAACTGCCACAGATCTTGCCTGCTACCGTATGTTGGCAATGATGAAAAAAAACCACCTCTTTCAGCAGACTAAATTCTCGGATGAAGATGGATGATTTATTGGGCTTAGGGTTTAGAAGTCTTAACCGAAGCATTCGCAGCACTCGAAAGCCGGATAAATTTGCGCTACCATTAGAACGGACACTAATTCAGAGAGCTTTCCTTCCCTCAATCAAAAAGAGGAACAAAGATTACAGGCATAGTCCGGCTTTTTTCACGGAAACAAAGTGCTTTGTTCACGGACTTTGCGAATGAAGCAAAGAAGCGGCTCCTCCTCAACACGAAAGAATTACTACAGAAGTAAGCCTTAATACCACTTTCGTCGCTGGCTACAAGTTGCATAATCCAGGCATCTACCACTGACACGCTCACAATCAGGATGTCCAGCAGCAACCACGCGTGATGGGAGCAATGCTCGGTGGCGAAGTAGGAGGCGAGCCAACTGGGATGATACATTAGAGGCGATCGAAGACAGTGTGACTCACCTAAAAAGTTGTTTGTTTTAGACTAAAATCGGATGGGATAGGATAGGATGCCTTGTTTTCGTTCTCTGTATCCGGAAACGCGGGCCTTAGACTCATACAGATAGAACCTGGTCTCAGACTCATGCTGACAAGGAGGTGTGTGTGGATGAATCATTGCGAGCCTTACGTAGAGAGGCCCACTGGAGAACATGGGCTGAACCACCTCGATAAGCCGCTCATCGGAAGGCAACACATCCCATATTCCGTCGGTCGCGTCTTCCTCAGCTTATGAATTAGAGCGCATAGATAGCAAAAATAGATTCGTGAACAAAAGTAGCGAAGCGCCAAAGTGGTCAGCGGTCAAGTCATGGGCTATACCACACTACAGGCGACTACACTGTATACTACTTACTACTTTATTACTTAGTGCATACTACACGTAACACGAGTACGTCGAAACTACCAAATTACTACAGGTAAAACTAAGATACTACTTGCTTACTAAAGGTACAGGTAACACGACTGGGGAAATAAGCTTGTGAACCTTAAAAATAGTCGAAAAAAATACTTCACATCAACATGGGTAAATGAATGAAATAAAAATTGTCCTTGATCTTCTTGTGAAATTTGCAAAAGTGTGTGTGTGTTTCTCCATAATATCAATCTTCCCAGAATATTTCACGGATGGCAGCGAGCTCGTGGAGTGGGACGCCAGCGAGCTCGATGAGAGTCTCCGGCTCATCTCGCCGTCGTTCCCGTTCGATTTTCCGCGTTTTGGCTTGTTTTTCTTCATCGTCAGCTTCGCTTGCGTCGCCTTAGCGTGTTCGAGAACCCTCAGATCTTGGACATGCAGGGCCAGTCTCACTTCCTCCGCGTTCGCGTCAGTCTCCGTGATCAGCCTCGTGGTCTCCTCGTACATGATCCTGCAACCGATTTCCCCTATAAAAAACATCAAGAAGAAGCTCTCCAACCACCAGAATTAGAAGTATCCTGTAGCAGGAGGAGCATCCTGTAGCAGGCTTTCTCCTTGTGTTGATAATTGTAGTCTAAACCTCTCCATATGAGATTGATTGTAGTCTAAACCTCTAAGTACATAGTGGTAGCAGGTAATCAACCTCGTCATGCGATGCTAAGGATGATGAAGTATGAACGTTCCTAGAAGAAGCATTGCTTGTGATGATACGTTCCTAGAAGAAGCATTGCCTGTGATGATAAGAAGTCCCCTCCAGTGAAGCATTGCTTGTGATGATGATGATGATGATGATGATGATGATGTTAGTCGATTCGGATTGCTTGTGATGCTAAGATAAAAGATGGGAAGTCCCCTCCATTGCTTGTGATGCGAAGATAATAGATGGCTTCTTCCTTAGCATTGCTTGCGAACAAATAGATGATGTTACTCTTTAAGTTCGTTTCTTAACAATACGCACTGGATGGGCCGAGCTCCGTTGCATTATCTGTCTCCAAACCCAAAACTATCAGGTTCAAGAAAATGAGTAATCCGAAAGCCCGGTCGCCCTTAAAGCCATGCTTGTGCGCACTTGCGAGTAGTCGCATCTTACTCTCTGCCGTGCTACGATGCTTGGCATCCTCAAATTGATGCCGACCAATAGACGAGGCTGAGAACTTTAGAAGAGTAGACTCATTCAGAGGCGAATCACGCGACACCCTAAGCTGCCTGAAGAGAGCTACAGTACTGCCTTCACAACATCCTAGACGATCGCATCTTGTCATGTGAGTGCCCCTGATAAATATGACCCTTCGTGGTCACCGTAGAGACAAAATGACAGCCGACACAAAGGTCAACTCCCACAACAAATCCCCAGCCAGGACATAGATTTCTTTTAGGAAAATTATAACATTCATTTAAATTTTTGAGAGTACTAGCTACTAGCCATAAGAGCTGGTGCAAAATCGCACTGTCGAAGAGGCCTTGCGTCAAGAAATCTTTTTGAGACTGAGTCGGCAGCTGACCAGTGGTGGGACTGCCTTCACATAGGTGCTGGCCTCCAACAAGATTAGAAGCGCAACATGACTATAAATTTATAAACTTTTTTGATGGGAGCAGTGACTCTGGCAATGGGATGGACAGCATCCGGTAGCGCCTCCGAGGCTCTGGGAATGCAAATTTCCAAGAAGGCCTGGCTCGGTTCGCCTCGCTATGTTCTTGCAGGATTCTACACAGGTGGTATAATGTTAGGTTCTAGATAAGATGGTTAGCTGATAAAAACTACAACTTGAGCATTCCGATTCATAGACTTGATGCAAAGCTAACAGAGTTCTAGGATAGGAAAGGATCTGACTCGCCGTCCACAGGGCTAACCTGTACCGTTCTAGAACCAGATAATCATCTCAACATGCCATAATACTCGATTCTTCTTTAGTGCCAGGGCCTTCGCCAGAGGTGTCGATGCGCAGGACACGTAGCTCACTGTCTTGAGCCCTCTCTAGAAAAGCCGGACCAAGATCCTTCGGCACTTTGCTCATCTTGAAGATATTTGTGGTACTTAATGCTATTTGCGAAACGACTATGACGATGACGTCTTCCTTCGCGAGGATGGAGGTGCAGTACAACTAGGTGAATCGCAAGGTTAGATGTTCTGGGTTTACTACTAGGGGGCAACGACGTGATTTGACCTGTTTCCTCCACCAGACGTCTCAGGCGAACTGGCTTCACACAGGCTAAGCCGCTCCAACCACCTCTAATATCCAGTTTTCAACGTAGCGGAATTCCGACCCCCGGTTCGCGCAACCACCTCTAAAAAACGACGAGGAGTCTTCAATTCTGACTGACTCAAATTCTTACGAAGAATAGTAGTCGCGTTCCTTGAGTATGACATTTTTCTAATTGTCGTGTCGTACATCAACTTCAATGTCGACATAAACAGATGCTAAGTGGTTTGATACTAGTGTGTTCACTCAAATTATTTGAGTGTTTGGGTGGCTTAGGCTGGGCTTAGGGCTTAGGTGGTTTGACACTGTTATGTTGTTATGGTACTTAATTAGAGATACAGATACTTCTTACTCAGCTTGGCTGACGGTCATTAATATCGTGAAAGAAGAAGAAGTTCAATAGTTTGTTGCTGTTTCAATAGTCTTATAGGAAGCACTGTTCTAAGAGTTGCTAAGTGCTGTGAGTTGAAAATTGGGTAGTTGATGATGCTAGTCGGATCGGATTGGACCTACGACGTTCTTGACCAGCGATCTTCTCATGTTTGCGCATGAGGACCACATAGAATGAGGACATTTAACCACATATTTTTAGAGTGAAGCCATAGCTTTTTACACAAAGAACTACAAAATCGTCGTCATCATCATGTTGGTCGTGTCCAAAATGGTACCACAACTAATTTAACCTAAATTGTTGAACAAGAAACTACGTACAACAACTACTACATTTGAAGCCGCCCAAAATTCCCAAAATTTTCATACTCATAGCGACCGAAACAAAGAGACAGACTAGTCTATCTTGGTTTCTACAATCAGGATCCCTTAGTAGGGGACTTTGTAGAGATACGCAGCAATCCTTTTAGGAAATCCTGTTCGAATCGTGGAGCTGCAAATTGATGCTGGGGAATCATACCTCTTGCCTCAAAGGCGGGAAGGGGAACGGGAGGGAAAACTCTGACTCTCTTTCATGTTACCACCATTTGTAAGTATACACTCTCATTCGCAACAAGATCTTCGTTCCATGCTTGTCAGGAGACCTCTGCTCAACAGACAGGAATCCACACACCTCGCCACAGAACAGCACCACAAACTTAGTACCCTGGCGCAAACTAATAGACGTTTCGTCTTTATCGTGGTACAAATGAAAGTATTTGTGTTGACAATAAAGTAACTCGATCTGATGCCTCTTGGGCAACATCATGCACATAGCAATGACGTCTTCTTTTTGGGTTCATCAAATTATTGGCCTGTCGTCCTGCCCTTTGACGATTCTTTCTCATCTCTTGTTTTTACGGTGAAAGAGCATAAAAAGAGGTGCTTCCTCCTCGTTCTTCTTGCTCGTGAGTTCAATTTTCCCACTCTTGTTGTAAGTATAGTCAAAAAGGTAGGGGATCTGGGCATGGTATACAGTTCATCGACGGTTGCTACTCACATCACGTCATTTTCATCAAGGTGAAGATCCCCATGTTGTCGTCATCCTCAACATGGCGTCTACTTCAGGACCGCTGTCCACTACTCTACCGGCAAGACGAAGCATGAGTATAATTCACTACACCAATTTAGCTACAAGCGGCTTATCGGGACAATCGCAGCAGCACTGGAGCACAATTGTTCAATTTGTGAGTACTCGTTTTGACTCCCATATTCATCGTCGTGCTTCTGTGTTCTTGCATGCGAATCAAGTACAATCTTGATCTTTTGCGTCTCCTGGTGTTGCAATCATCTCGGATTGAAGATGTCAGAGACATGAGAAGATGTGAACCACACGAGAACAAGATATTTGTGGGCTGCAAATTTCTCAGTGACCGTAAAAGATATAGGCCAATAAAACGTCGTTGTTCGTTTCGTCCGTTGCGGTACGAGTAAGAGCTTCCTCATGCTCAACTACTACTTTTTCACCTTCACGACCTTCACTTCGCACAGAAGCTGAGCAACTACTAACCGGAGTTTTCATCCTGGTGTCACGCTTCTCCTCCCTCTCTGCGTAGTACCATTCGCGCCACCGAGTTGTATCTAGTGTGCGTAGGTCCCAATTTTTGAGCCAGAAACCTGCAATCGTGCCCCACTTCTCTAAACGAGCTAGAACTGCTCTCATTTTATGAATGGTGTCTTTTCTCCCCTCTCTAGGATGCTACACAGTTTTAGGCCCCCCTTGTTCATCAGCTATTTACAGTTATATAAGGGGACGCAAAGGGCCCCCTTGTTCATCAGCTATTTACAGTTCTAAGGGGACGAAAAGGGAAGCCTAGGAGATGGTCTGTTGCTAAAAAAGGGAGAAGAACATCCTCGTCCATACATTTCATCTCTGTCCGGATCTGCTGGTGAGGAAGATGATCTAGATCTTGTTGCTGCTCTACGTTCACAGGTATCTTCTGTACTAGAAGATTTGTTAGCTTGGTGTAGAGAGAACCAAGAAAAAGAATTGGTAGGACCGTCGCGTAGCTGCAGCCAGTCATAATGAGGGTCAGCGTGAATGAGTATGGATCCAGCTGGCAATCCCGTTTTTTCGAGAATACCCCTAAAACCCTGTGTGGTTAGAACTAGAAGTGCTTCTTGATTATACTATTATAGGTGAAGCAACAATTCATTCTCATCAACAAATTCTTCCGGAAATCAATGTACACTCATCCTCGGATGGCGCATCCACCAAGACTTCGCACGAGGTGGCGTCTATTCATCTTTGTAAAACTTTGACTTTCATCTATGTAAACATGAAGATGAACTGTCTGGAGACACTCTTGGGCCATAACGCACGTTCCGCAGTCGCGAAAAATGCTTGTACCTCTTCGAAACTGAAACGCGGCACGCCTTCAGGTTCCTCACGATATGGCCTTGTAACCAACACGTGCCTCAATATCTCCTGATGTATGCCATCCCTAATGCTGCAAGCGCGCAGTGCTGTCACCAACTCTTGTTCTACGACCTTGTCTTCTTCGTCTTTTCCGCCCTGCCCTTCTTCTTCGGTTACTTGCCCTTGTGCGTCTTCATCTTCTTCGTCTTTTCCGCCATGCCCTTCTTCTTCGCTTACTTGCCCTTGTGTGTCTTCGGCTTCTACGTCTTTTCCGCCCATACGAGCTTGAGCAGGAATCGTAGTGGCTTCACTAGTACTGCTTTTGTTCTTATTTTTTCGACGCTGTTCACTAGTACTGCCTTCGTTACTGTTTGGACTGCTTTCGTTACTGTTTGAAAAGTAATGTTCTCGAAGCAGGCAGGCACAAATTTTTCCGCCAGGTAGCTTCTGATCGATTTCTTGCTGCAAGGCCAGCAGTGCCGCTGCTGCAGTGTGGTTGTCAACATGCGAAACCGATCCTCCGCTAGCAGATGCTAGAATGTATTTGCGGTGTCTGTCGTCCGCCTCACTCTCCCCTGCTGCTGCTTCAGGACGATATTAGAGAGTGGAGTCAGAGAACCCACTACAACAACTGATGGAAATTGATTGATTGATTGATGTGCCTATGATGGAAATGGAAATGATCCACATCTATTAGTAATATCAAGAAGAGTAGTCGGAAGTAGTATCTTCAGGAAGATATTTTTAGAGAGAGCGAGAGAAGGACAACCCATCACCGATAGAATGGTGGAATACGCGACTTGAATGATTTGAACCTATTCGGCAGCTTCCCTATTAAGATAGAGAAGTGATGTAAACGATTTAGTTGGCTTTTAGGCCCATGGCCTGCTCACTTAAATCAAGAACATCTCCTAGCTGCTTTTAAGAGGAACCTGGTGAGTGGCTAGTGGTAATTGTAGTTCTGTACCCAATCATGGGGTAATATAAGTGCTAAACTAAAAAATTAATCGTTGTTAACCTGTTGATAGTTAGTCTAATAGATTCTCAAATTTGAGATGCCTTAATTCAAAAATGCTCTGAAACTACCAGCTAGAATCTCGCTTGGCTCTGCCCCGTCTAGATTCCAAAACGCAGAGGGAAGAAAAAAAGGCCTACTAGAAGTACTTCTTGAGTGATCTCTAGAAGTCGTCGCGACGCAGTCTGTGGCTGAACATCCGACTTCGTGATCATGAAGACGCCTTCCCGCTACATCGGAAGGTCGTCTGCGAGGTGGAAAAAGAGTGTGCGTAACGATTACAAACAGAACGAGTAAACGGTTTTCACTCAAACCTCTCCACACACGACCAATAATACCACGTGGCTGCTGTGCTTCTGTGGTGGATGATGCATTTTCAGGACTCTCTTGATTTGTTTCTTGTTGATCACTTGTTACACCTCCATTACCATTCTGGGGCAGCACAACATCCGCAGAAGTCGGTCTTCTCACATCTTCACTTTTACGTGTTCCTGTTCCACCTTTCCGTCTATAAAATAGCCCACCTGATTCCTTGATGAGGCCAGCAGAACCATCGCTGCTTGGTGTGATATTAGACCTTTCCGGAATCCATCTTGAGACTCATCTTGGGTCTGTTTTTCTTCTAGAGGGGTGCCCCGGTGCCCTCAGGTGCTTCTTATAATGATGACGTGAATCTACTCGGCAATCTGCCTAAGATGCTTCTTATGATAATCGGATCAAGCTTGTTGATGTTCCTTTTGCTTTCAAGCTCTCTTAATTTTGCTCTCACTTTTCCAGAAGATGGATTCCCGGAAGCCTTAAGTATACCACCACCACATGGCGTTGCTTCGGAAGATAGAGAAACCTTAGAAGAGGCAGTGCCCGGGCTACGACGATGACCAAAGCAACTGGTGCGTTCATCTTGGATGTGCAAATGAGATGAGGTTCCGCATTCGCCGACTTCAAGTTGTGGTGCAGAGCACGGAGATGGTGCACGACCCGAAGAAGCTGCGGTCGACGAGTGATGAGAAGAGGTTGCAGGCGACGGGTGATGAGAAGAGGTTGCAGGCGACGATGACGTCGGTCCACTGCAAGTTGTAGATGCTGGGCTCTCAGATGCTGTCCCAGTGGGTTCAGATGCTGTGCTAGTTGCTGTGGCTACGAGTTCCGGTGGGAGAAAGACCGGACGATCTGGAAGTTCAGGTGGGAGAAAGAGCGGACGATCTGGAACGTATATGAATGATGTTTTTTCTCACCTCTTGAATGGTTCTGGTATTTGGTAACCTGATTTCGATCACAAGGAAAACAGGAAGAGAATCCTTGTGATCAAATTCAGGCTACCAAACACCAGAACCGTACACCTCTAGAGGTAGACCATCGACAGCAGGCTTGTCCCCTTTAATATAAGAAGCTATACACTTTCAAGGGGACGAAAAGGCGCATCAGCCTGGATCATGGTCTGTTCAAGATGGGAGAAAAAACATCATCCATAACGTGAGGGGCTGAGCCCAAAAATTGGCCATCTTCAGACGAGCCGGAAGACAGCCTTGGAAACGAGCCTCGAGACACGGAGACACCTTGGGCCGATTGAACAATTCCGAGACTCAAAAAAAGAGCAACGGAAATGCCGAAGTGCGAGAGCAGCTTCATTTTGGCAGATGACATCTTGTTGTATAGGATTTGAGTTCTTGCGTGGGGATGCAGAGGTTTCATTTTTCTATCTTGGGTATCTATAAGAAACTTAGCCGTCCCGGTTAGTGAGTACGTAGCTTTTAGTGTCTATTCTCAACTCGACGTTTGCAAAGAAACCTGCACACGGCTTTGAAGATGCAAGGACCGAGAAGTAGGTACTACGCTTTCCCCTACAACCACCATGTAAGTATTAACTTTTACGTCGATAAAATATTAAGTACACCGATCAACGACCTTGTTAAGGATGGCGAAGGACATTTTTTAGGAGAAGAGGGAGAAGGACACTTATCTACCAGAAGAAAGCTATGAAGATGATCTTCTCGTCTGACACTTTGCTGTTCGCAACAAGACGATCAGTAGAGGAAAGCGCAGACACGAGAACATCTAAAGCATTCACATTTCAGGGAGTACACCAACATTGTCTGTTGACTATTGGCGTTTGATTTCAAGAGATGTCCTCCTAGGGGACGATCGTTTGCCTTTACATCTTCTTGCCCCTGAGATATAAGTCAGAAGTTGAAAAGAGGAAGTGTATCATGGGCGGCACAAGATGAACAAGTTAAGTAGTCTCTTCACGGAAAGTTAGTTATACTTTCTTCAAGAGCCTCGTCCAATCTTAGACCATAAGGTTGAATCATGAAAACACACACCTCAAGTTAAAGCCTCGTCACTCATTGCAAGTGCTGCGCGGGTGTCGCTATGCTTGCTACGAGGTGAGGTGACTGCTCCGCGTTCAGCGTGTGTAAATAGTGTACAACATCGACGCGGACATCAAAAGAGCGGATCCCTGGAAAGTTCATTTGTGTCGGTCCGCCTCCCGTCAGCCGTGGGTTTTTCCAGCTTAGAAGGGTGTGGTGAAGAGAGGATTGGTGTTAAGCCCGAAGCGAGCTCCTAAGGACGGTGACGGAAAAACTCATAATGATCCTGATGGGTTAGAGAAAAACCCCATCAGGATTATTTGCTAAAATTCTTCTTTGCTAAAACCTCCTAAAGATACTCCTTCACGCACTACCCGTTACAGGCATCAGTCTCTAGCATGCAGGGGAGTGTGCAATTACAATGCCTAGCACTAGATCAATGCTCGCCTTAACATGTAATTCATCAACGCCGAGTCGGTCCAGAGGATGTCCTTTGTTCTCATATTTTCGCCTAGTTTTTTGCCACCACCTTCCTCCATTCCGGAAGCTCGACCACAAACCTCAAACATAGTCGGACCTAGCAGAGCCATCCCATGCGCAGCTCGGTTATCACTGTAGATGGGTAATTAGATGAGTGGAGAATCATCATCGTACGTCTGTGGTGGTCATTCTCTACCACTGGCGAGTGGAAAGTGTTGGACTCTCTTCATTGATTGAAGGTACTTGCTAGTATGCTAGTAGTACTGTTCCTTCTATCCTGGTATTAAATATGCAGAAGGGAATGAACCACCTGTAAGATCCCTACTGCCAATCTCTTTGTAAACAATAAGTTATCTAATTTCCCTAAGAATGGCACTGTCTGCAGTATTTCTTGAAGTATTTCTGGCCACGCGCGATGCTTCCAGCTGGCAGTACGAAATCATCCGCTATATCTGACAGATCGTTCAGTTCGTTCTTGTGCTTCATTAAACTCGCGAAACTCTGTTCCTTTTAGAGCTCTCCCCTATTGATCCCTGTGGAAATCCCTCAAGCATATGCGTCAGTATCTCGTCCCCTGTTTTTTCAGGAAAGACGCATACTGTCTTTGAGGGATCCCTGTATAGAAAAGATGGATTAGGGGAAGCCTTAATCCTTCGTCCCCGTTGTACCTGAGGAGCTCCTGGTGCTACTTGAAGATGATGATGGTGAAGGAACCGCAGCAGGAAGAGCATCCTCAGACCAAAAGTCATATCGCTTGTCGACAACGGCAGAGAAATTGTCCCTTTCTTCATGCGCCAAAAACCCGCGTGGTGGATGCTCCAACCACTTGTTCCCGTCACTAGCAGTTCTTGTAGCGGTTAACATCTTGCTGATTTGATGGTTGTTTTGTTACTTTTATTACCTTTGGGTCGAGAATGGTCGTGATTCATCTGGAGTGTACGAGAAGTATGCTGGAGTTTACAAGTAGACTCAATAAGTTCCTGGCGATAGATCCTTTTGTTACTTTTATTACCTTTAAATCAAGAACGGTCACGCAAAAGAATCACCAAGCAACAAATGCAAACGTCTTTAATGTTGATGGTCCTAGCCTTTTTATCTTCCATGAAATAGAAATTACACAAGAAGAACGTTCATTTTGGGGTCGTCAAATCCAAGGGACAAGAAGGGCTGCAGGGGAACTAGACTTCGTTGCTGTTGTCGTAAAGTTTAGACACTGGACTGCTACAGATCGCTGACATCGTGCATGACGCTTGCTGTTTCTTGCCGGAACTGTTCAGATTTTTCAGATTTCAGGGAGCTTCGCTTTTTGGCCAGGACGCTATGTGCGACGGCCGGTAAGAAAGTACAGAGCTACTCGGCAGCGATCACCTGTAAGAAAAGAAAAGAGACTTTCAGTTTCACAGCAATAAGACACTCACTCACTCTCCTCTACTCGTCTCAAGTGCAGCCAGCGGGACGTTCTGAACACTGTCAAGAATAAAGATAGACCTTCTTAACGGATTTATCGAAACATGGTATTACGAGTGTAATTAGTTGTGATCATGATGTTGTTCAACTTTTGTGACTATTATGTTCCTTTCCAGACCGAGGAGAAAAGGGCTGGCTTGCACACAATTGGAGGGTTTTATGCGGGCTTTATGCAACTAAAATGCTAGCAGCAGCACGTACCTGTTGTTGCGTTTCTTGGAAAGGTTGGGGGTAGTACGGGTACGCTTACATTTTGATGTGGATCGATGTAGTTGTACAAATGGTTGTTCTACTAGATGGGTAGTGCGTGTATGGATGTTGTCATTGCTGCTTAATTAGTCGTCAGATTTTAGTTCAAGAAATTTGGAATATTGCGAATGAATTAATGATCAAGATGTAATCGGCAATTGAAATAATACTAAGTGTGATTGATGTTTCGTCAAGCAGAATGCGCGATAGAAGATCTAGTTTGTAGGTCGAAGAGTTTTGTAAGAACTGTGCAAATAGTAATATCGAACATAGGCGCTATGACATCGAATTGATCAATGAGGGTAATCAGGATATCGGATATGTTGATGAATTTTATGGGGTGTGCTCGTTGTATCTGTATGCATAAGGTTGTAATTCTTGTTACGAAATGTAGTTTGGATTTGTTGTGAAATAAATTTGTCGGTGGGAATCATGATAGTAAATAAATTTGTCGGTTGTGTGGTGTTTTCAGAATAGGTGTGCATATGCATGAAGACGACTCGAATTTTGGGAGTAAGAAGGTAACTTTGTACGCTAATCTTGTGGGCATATGATGACAATGTTCAACTACGTCAGTCTATTGATGAATTGCAAATCTCTTGTTTTACGACATGAATCTGTTGTTTTACGACATGAGGTATTTCTTTGCTACGGAACCGCGGGGATGCCACGGAAGGACATCATACGTGCGTGTTTTTCCTTAAGGCGGAAGTATGCATGGTGTTGGCCCCTTATGCTTCAATGCAGCTGACTTACGATCATGGGCATTTTGAATCCTTTAATACGTGATTGATGTTCATCTTATGGCATCATAATTCCTTGGTAATATGCTGTTTCATTATGAATGATACTATCTGGTATAATGCACTCTGTACATTCTTTGCATCCTCACGCCGAAAGATCTGTACAAGGCGTACATCCGTAATACTAAGCAAAACTATCAATTGCATATATCATTAGAGGCTGAAAGTTGGCGTCACTAGCTCGCATATCTATGGCTTTCCTCCTTGAAGAAGACATAGAGACGCGCATAGAGATGCCAACTTTCAAGCCTTAATATCAATCACGAACTCGAGCTTTGGAATTCTTTTCAGTGCTGACAACGATACTTAAAACTTTCTATCTTCTTTTTTTATAAATACTCAGTCTTCACCTCCACTTTACGCGACTGCGAATTTCGCCGTCGACGGTTTCGGGCCGGGTGTGACCCTGGTCGAGCGCCTCTTCTTGTTTCCAGTCGTAGCTGGCTGCAACGAAGCAACGTACTTCTCATCGGTAATGGTTTAGAAGAGGGATCCTACGTTATCAGACAACTTGCTACTTTGTTCAGACTTGCTACTTTCTCTGAGCTACAAAGGGCACGGCCGGTCAAGATTCTACGAAGTCGATGTCTTTTGCTATTGTTCTGATTCTACGAAGTCGTTGTCTTTTGCTGCTCTTTTTGAGCTTTTTAGCATTATCCTATGAGGTTTAGCATTATCGAACAATGTGCCGCATCATAAATGTAGTTCAAGTCCCACTTCTTGGGTGCATTCCAGTCCTCAGCGATGTCGACGAAGTTGGAAGCTGCTTTCACATACGCGTCGTTCATGAACTTATGGCGGCCACTAGCAAACAACTGCTCGACTGGGAAGGTGCGGGAAGGGCGAAAGCTTAGAGCTACAACCGCACTGGCATCCCTGGCAGTATCCTTGGTTGGTGTCTTTTCTCGACCTTTGGAAAATAGCCAAGGACAATGCTGAGGATGCTCTCTTGGTTGCCATAAAAAACGCATCTTCTTGAAAACGGAAGGGCCAACCCGCACTGGCTGTCCATTGACTTTGTAGCGAGAAAGCGGACGACGGTTTTGCTGTCATTAGACGATGTTGTATGAGCATCTTCTACATACTTACAGTTGCATGATTTCATTTTTACCAGGAATACGTGAAGACTTTAATGAGTGAAGACGTTAAGCCCTATATTATCATCATCATTTTTTGCACAAGTGAGTGATGAAATATTACATCCTCGCATCTTTTTCGTATCATTTTTTGGCCTTAATCATCAGTGTAACTGCGTGCTTCCTCCGCTTCGCGATCCGACTCTGGTTGGGTGATTTTCTGATCGAAAACAGCCTTCGTTTTGCCACTACCACGAGCAGCAGCCATTCTTAGAAGAGGGTCTTGATATGACATGTTAAATGATGTTGACGTGAGATGAATACTACGACTTCTCAGTCAACATAATTATCACTTCCCAAATAATCGCACTAAAACTGTAGAGTTATCAGAGAGAGGATAGGCATACGCTCCCCATGGTAGGTTGTCGAAAGATATTGATCTACGCAATTCAATATCATCGCCTCGAGAAAGTAAAGTTAGACTACCTGGTGGGAACGCAGACAAAACCCAAAAGCCAAGCATCAAAGTCAGACCCACGCAAAAAAAGACGGCCAAAAAACACCGAGCGGGCATGGGGGCCGGGATTGCGATCGAGGCGCCCCCCTGCGGGCAGTGTGAGAAACCGTGTCCCTGGTGCGACCGACAATGGACTCAAGGAGTGAGGTCGAAGCAGGGTCGTGTGCGGCGGTCCACCGCTGTTCATGATGGATGACTGGATGAACGCGACTTACTACTTACACGACTTACCAAGTATTTGCGCGATGTACTAAGTACTATACTATGCACTATACGACTACCTACTAGTTCTAAATGATACTTATATCAATGGTGCTACAACAGGATTCCCGAATACTTACTTTTGCTCCTGGTTTCCCTTATACGACCTACTTACAACACGACTCACTTCGTACTATACTTAAAGCGCCTTCACTGACTCTGAACGGAAGGGACCCCCTTCAAAGCTCTCCCCTTTCCCTTCTTTTTCCCCTGTTCTCTCAAGGGGTCGCCTCTTCGATCTCAGTGACCAACCCCAATGACCATTGAAAGCTGAGCCTTAATATACTCCGCACTAGTTCTATATGAATGGTATACCAAATGTCATCCCGAATACCTACTACTTAGTTCTATAAATAGTATGAGCCACATGTGAAGATTTCTTCGGGTATTATAATGAAGATCGCCGGGAACGCCTTACCTCATGCGTAGAAAAGGAGCATAAGCTCAAAAAATATGCACGAACTTATAAGTTCTAGCGGCCTTGAGCGCTAGCCTAAACCTGCAAAAGCAGACCTATCGATATGCGGCCGAATTACAACCCTCTATAAGTAAAGCCCACTAGTACACCACAGCAACGTCCTTCCACTACACCACATCAACAACGTCCTTCTCAGTCCATAAAGTCGTGTTTTTAGCTCCGCGAAGTGTTCCTCCAACCTGGATCGTATCCAAGGAGGAAGCGACATCAGGCGCTCGAAGGGGATGGCCCTCACGGGTCAAAATCGCTGTCTTCAGGAAGGCATCCAGCTGAGGCGGCGCGTGCGCAAAATAGGCAAAGCGGAGGAGCGGCGCCGACACTTCACCAGGTAAGTACTCCAGGACGTCGCGAACAAATCGTTGCTTTGTTTAGAGACACTTGTGAGCGTTTGTAAGTAACTCGTTGTTACTTCTTCTACCTGGGTCGTATAATGATTGAATTATTCCTACTTCACTGAATGCTATGAAGCTAATTAGGTAGAAACTAATTAGGTACTACAACTGAAGTCAAAAATCAAGCACAACTCCTTCATCAGAGTAGAATTCTTAACATTTCGGGTTGCCGGTGCTGCGCCACAGTTCGTAATAGGAGCCGGCAAGTAGGTAGGCGTTCTGTGCACCAAAGTTCGCGCAGGACGTTGAGTTCTTGTTGACCTTCTCATCAGGGTTGACGTCCACGTCTCTGGGAAGTCATTAGAGGGGGAACAACATCATTTTCAAGAGAACAACGAGTGTGCTGGGAGTAGCCGGAAGGCACTCTTACACCTTGATAGTTGTTACTGCTAAAGTAGTATTACCAACCTGAACCAAGGCTATCTGTTACAACCATGAAAGACATATTAACTTGTTACTGCTAAAGTAGTAAGTATTACCAACCTGAACCTCAGAGTCTGTTAGAAGGCTCTGTGTTACAACAATGAAAGACATATTTTTAACCCAGAGTAATACAACAAGAACATCTGGAGATTAAGACGGAACATCTACAGTAGATTAAGACGTCTTGTTACTGCTAAAGTAGTATTACCAAGTCCTGTATCATCCCGATAAAGACCTTGTTTGGTGCTATAATAAATTATTTATATGTCGAGAACCGCCGGGAAGAGCAATTACTACTACTACCCAGTCCTGTATCATCCTCCTCCTCTTTTTACATACTTATATAAGAATTCCTGACATTCATAATTCTTTTTCATCCCGAGTTTGGTGGCTCCTGTTTGCTTGGGCTTGGCGATGGTGACCTCCTTGGTTGCCGACAGTCTAGCGGTGTTGGCGCAACCTGCTTTGAGCATGCGGTGGCACGTTTCTCCGACGCCCGCTGCTGCCTCAAGCCAATGCGAATAATCTTCTGCTCCAGAAGATGCTCCAGAGGAGGCACCGAAGGATTAGAAGACCTTACAACGCTTGCATATATTCATGTTCGTCTTAGGCATCTTTGACCACTTTCCCCTTGCCAAAGATCACAGTGCCAATTTGGCAAAATGCCACTTAATAATGATTTTGAACCGAAGAAGACCAAGTCGCTACATCTTTTCAACAAAAAAGTATATTACTGAGCCAGAGCACTAATCTAAGTCGCAGTGTTTGGGCAGTACCAAGCCTTAAAAGGATCGCGACCCGAGGGCTAGCAAACCCGCAAACGGACAGCTTACCGCAGTCATAGTCTCACGCGCATTCACGAGCAGAGCAGCCTTGTCACTGCCAAAGCGGATGCGCTCGCGCATGATTTCTTCCCAGAATTAGAGCTACAATATCTACTTATGAGATGTTGAACTATACTATAATATCGATAGAAGTACTGCGGGGGATTCCCTAAACCCTAAACCGAGAAGATTTTTTTTTGGTAATTTGAGAACCCTAAACCCTAACCTAAACCCTAAACTTCATTATTGATCGATAGAGGGCTAGCGGATGCTTTCACCGTACTACTTCTCGGTCAGCCTTGCCTTAAATACTTTGCTGAAAGAGCTGACCCCATGTGTAGGGCAACGCGGAACCAGACCAGGCTTCGCGGAGCATCAAATGACCCTTCAGCAGGAACTCGTAGTAGCCGAACGAGTACACGTCCACGGTCTTCAGGTCATTGCGTGTCCACCGGATGACAGTGCGCGAACTTTCACCGAAGAAAGGAGAGATTAGATTGGTACTTTTTTTTCAAAAAAAACTAACCCATAACACAGGCTTTTTTAAGTGGGCAAAACACAGGCACAAAGAAAAAATCTCATAAATTCAAGTTCGTTCGCCATTTGAGACGCGAGTCGGGCGTCGGGACGTGGAACAAACTCGGCAAGAGGTGATGCTCTGCCTCATGGATATCGGTCAATCCAGCCAAAGGATACAGTACGCGTGCCCATTCTTCCGACGATTGAGCGGCAGAGCCGTGCAGGAGTAAACCAGCAGAGAGGAACCTGGAGAAATAGGTTAGGTTAGGTTGTGGATCCTTCACAGCGAGCCCCACGGGCACACGCTGCTCGCCTCCGAGGATGACACTTAATCAGTCCCATGTCATGGTCCCTTACTTAAACTTAAATGAATGCCCATATCATGTCATGGTACCTCTTCTGTAGACTTATGAGGCCCTGATCAAGTGCTGCTGGACAAATGTACTATTTACTTACTCTATCAGACCACGATTTATCGATAGGTTAGGAAGAGGCTGTAGTGGTAGTCTGGGTTGTTTGATCAAGTTCTTGGCGAGAAATAATCGCTCAAAGAAAAACTGGTGGAACTCGTCAAAACAACACTAGTACGGAAGGCCATGTTCCCCAATCTCCGTGATGGAGAAGGATTCTGAACGCGTTTCCGTCGTCGGTTTTCCATCCTGCATGGTGATCTCGACAGCTGGAAAACCTGTACTGGTTTGAAACAGTTTCACCGCTCTAGATGCGAAGTCCTTTGCCAGATGATACGCGAATTTGTGACCCGAGAGGCCGTAGGCAGCAACCAGACCACTCAGCGTGTCCGGAATGTCGGCGAGGGAATTAGAAGGGGTTCCAACGATCCCGGTTGCCGTCGTTCATGATGGCTCCCGTAGTAGTTGTAGTAGGAGTAGTAGTGCCGTACCTATTCATGGGGTAATATAATTGATGAGTGACTCATTCCTTTCCCTAGTAACTATAACAGAAGAACGTCGTCTGAAGATAGATGCGCATGAAGAGCTCGAGCTCAACTACTAAAAAAGAACAGTTTATAGGGGGTGTCGGATTCAGAATGGGATGGCCAAAAAAAAACTATTCAATGTTGAAGATGAGCCTTAAACGAGGTGCGCTGTTCGGATCCCCAGGTTGCAGGCACACGGTAATCATTACCAGCCATAGTCACGACAGAGTCCTCGCCACTAGCACTTACAGAGGCTCCGGCTTGTCTTAGAACTTGTATTGAATCTGAATGGCAATCTTCTCTCTGATGTAGAACACCCTTCTAAGGTGTGGAAGTATAGACTTGGATTTACCTCAAAAATTCTAGAGGTATAATGTCCTCTAAGTAACAAGAAATCTTCAAAGATAATTCTAATTATAAGATACCCTGTTCGCTGTAGTGGAAAGGCACGCCTGATTAGATTGGTACTGTGTTGTAGTGAAAAGTAAACTCTATCATGTTGCGGCTTAATCTCTTAATTAATCTCTGAAAAATGAGCTATATGATCCGCCTTAATTGTCCCTCTCCTATTTTGGCGATTTTACGCAGAATCTCGCGGCCATCGTCCCAGAGAACATTCAAATCCATCAACCACAGAGAGTCCAGCATTGCCGCGTGAGCCACTGGGTCGTTCCCCTTGGCAGAAACGCGCTCCCATAACGAACCTTTGCTTAGAGGTAAGTTGTTGCCACGATTCAGAAATTGTGCTTCTATTTCGTCGTCGTTTATGAACATTTAAACTAAGTACTAGTACACTCTCTCGAAGTAGATTTCGAGTAGGAACTACTGATTATATCCATTACGCAGTCCCGCAGACTAAGGAAATATTATGTCCATTGTAGCCTTAACATGCGAGAGCGCAGTTCTTGCAGGTAGGTCGCGTGCGTCCAAGTACTGGGAACAGAAACGCGCTCCAACCTCGCTGGCGGAGTCGCAAACAAAGGCGCGCCTTTGTCTTTCGGGATTTTCTTCGCAGCCATATTTTCGCTTGCATTAGAGCTACCGCGGTAATCGCACTCCTGCTGCAATCCCTGCCTTCTTTTCCAAGTTGAAAAATGGCCAGGGATGGCGCTGAGGATGCTTGTTCATTGGTAGGAGCCTTAATATTGATTGTACCACTTTCATCTTGTTCCTTTAGGTTGCGAGTCGTGGTTGTAGTTGTGTCTCCAGCACCAGCAGAGGTAGAGGTAGATGTAGCTGTACCAGAAACCGCAGATGAAGATCGTCCTGACGATCCTGACCCTTCTCCATTGGACAAGTAGTAGTTGTCGAGTGCCAGGTAAAAGCACATGACGACCCACAGGGCGAGGAACATGAGCAAAAAACAGCGGTAAGGCACTGGAGGTTTGGTGTCCCCGAAATCCGTACGTTAGAGCTCAAGACATTTCACTTCTTCCCTGAAGACATCTCTTCAGACGAATCCCGAACAGGAAATATTAACTGCGAGAAATGACTCCTCGGAGAAATGAAATGGAAATATTCATTCATTCATTCATTTGCCTAGCAAATACAAATATATGGAGTAGAAAAAGAAATGAAATAGAAATACAAATATATAGTTGAGGCTTAAGTACGAGCACCCGGCAACCCAGCCCCACAGAACGTGTTCGCCACTTGTCGTTGCTTCCCCATCTCACGGAACTTGGTGATGATCATGTCACGGAATTGGGTAGCCCAGTTTCCACGACCAAGCCCGGATCGCTTGTTGTTAGACCTTCCAAAACATATTCATCCTGAAGTTCAGCAGCATCTTTGACGCTAGTCCGTGGATTCATACTAGCATATGAAATCGATTTTTACTACATCGCACATTATGAATTTGTACTACATTGAGCCAAGCCAAAGATGCTTCCAAAGGTGAATTTGTGAGGAAACAAGTCTACTTAATGTTTGCAAACGACTGCATCTTGTTGCGACCATTTGTCAGTTCATCATCGAGATACGCAAGTTCCGGAGCCGTAGTAGCATTCATTAGTTCGTGATCGATGGACAAAGGATCTTCTAGCAAAACGCGTGCATCAGCGTTCGCCCACCCGTTGTTCACAGGGCTCCGCTGACCCGCACCAGACTTGAGACCCGCGCCTCCAAACATTTTCTTCAGTAGTTGTAGTGACGTCGTTGTAGTGCTGCTGGTCTCTTCCTCGTGTTGGTTGCGATTCCTGACGATTCAACCTTATGGTCCTCTAGGTGTGTAAGGCTTGAAGATAGTCCTGTGGTAACCGTGTTCTCAAGGTGTTTAAGGTAGGAGTGCTCTGCCAGTCTTAGTGGTCTCCGCCTCGATGTGCGTTGTGTTGAGGATGTTGTAGTTGTGTTGAGGATGTTGTAGTTGTGTTGAGGATCCTGTACTAGACGAGACTAGTAGAAGATGTTGTATTTGAGTAACTAGATCGGTCGTTTCTTGTGAATATCTACTTCTTGTGAAGAAGAAAGGAGTTCGTGAGCGTGTCTGCGACTGGAAAGATGGGATATCTTGTTTCGTTCGAGATCGTGGTGATATCTACTATGCAATTTTGCCTAGTAAAATGCTATCTTCTCTGATAGATAGTTGAGAGAATGTCTTTTGCTTCTTCCTCTTGAAGAAAACTTTTGCTTTTATCTATGGACGTTTTTGATGTCATGGTGGTGATGGGGAATATGACGAGGTGGGCACGACTTTCTACGACGACAGCATCACTCCACACGACAGCATCACTCCACACAGCTCACGCCGATAACGACCTTTGCCTTAGCTTTGCAAGGCGATTTTTGTGGTGAGGCACTCTACTATATACGTCGAATAAATGTTCTTTCCACTTCGAGGACGATTTTCGAGAAATTCCCAAGAATTTATATCTCGTCTCTCGTCTCGTTCTCTCTCGCGCATTTCCTTTCCATTCATCTTTCAACTTCGAGGACGATTTTCCAAGAATCGAGACATTCCCAAGAATTTTTTTCTCGTCTCTCGTCTCTTTCTCTCTCGTGCATTTCCTTTCCATTCATTCAAGTACCCCACCCAGGCCTTTTTTTTTGGTCTTTTTTTTGTCTCTATGTTTCTTGCGAAGTTTCCATTTTCTTACCCAGCGAGAATCCTGAAGCACGACGGCCAGGCACTACAACTACCAAACGACTAAGCACGACGGCAACCGCTGCGAAAGATCTACAGATGATATATAGCAAATATGGTGGATCCTATCTGATTTTTAGTTCGTTCCACTTCCTTTCGGTAGTTCCTGTCTCTCATTATCACGTTGATCCAAGTCATGGTAGTGACAGCACTCTCTCATTATAGTGATAGCGTCTCAGCACTCTCTCATTATAGTTGGGCACGGCACTCATCAATACTCATCAAGTTGTTCCTGGCACGACTCGAGACATGATCCAAGACGAAACAATCCCTGCGACGGTGACAATCATATCCACTCCAGTCAAGATCTGATTGATAATTGAGAACAGGAGGAGGGCCAGTAATCGTCCGCATATGATCATTTGTCTCAACGTCGCCCACGACAAATTGCGCTACTTACTTGCTCTAAGTGTCTGGCTTTGTGAGCCTTAAGAGACAAAGCATGACGACGGCCGTGGAAGTGTGAAGCCTATTGAGGGGGCACGAGGAACCTGTTCAAACCTGGATTCTCTTGCAAAGAGAGGTAAGAAGAGACCACGAATCCCTGATCCGCAAACTAGTTTACACCTAAGGCAACATCGGCGTGGTGAACCTCTGCAATATCATCTGTCTGGCTTTGTGAGCCTTAAGTAGAGAAAAATTACTTACAAGTATGAAGTACAAGCATGTCACCCTTAGCAGCAGTCAGGCTCAAGAAATTTTCAGAAAATGATATTATAACACTAGAGATGAAATTAGAAAGAGGCCTTTATTTCTTTAGAAAGGACACTGTTGCGCTCCTCCTTCGACTTTCTAAGAGAGCAACTGAGAAAACCAGTACAGGTGCGATCTGTTCAAAACACGGACAAAGTTGCAATCGTGTCTATGCATAGTGCGTTCCATCTAGCTTCTATGTCCGCGGACAAAGGTGCATTATTCCTGCGACCAGAGGTCGGTAAATGCCATTCTGTTTCCAAGATTTCCTTGCCTCTATCTAGCAGCTTGTGAATCAACTCGTCGAGTTGCTGATTCTTTGCCTGTTCTAGACCAAGCGCTTCGCGGTCCGCGACCAATGTTTCGATCGCGTCTAGTTCCGTATGTGAGATTTCCCCAGCGTCGCATACCCCTTTCGCTAAAGTGAGAAGCTTTGCTGGAGCCGGGAAGCAGTGAGTTGTTTGATCGAGGAAGACCGAAGATTCTTCAGCCTGTCCTCTAGTTGTTTGATCGAGGACCGCGACCGATTCTTCTCTATCATGGGAGTCATGGTCATCCTGGTGATGACCAAGTGCAGGTGCTTTGCGAGACGAGCTGCAGCACTTCGTTCTCCAGACAAGCGACAACAGCGGACGCAAAACATGGACGTATTTTTTTCGAATGGGTCGTTCTTTCCGCTTGATAAACTCGATGTTATTACTCTGGCCGTGCTTCCACCAGGAAAAGAGCAGGGTTCCTTCATTTACGGTGTCTAGAAGCAGCTCGCGAAAGCGAGACTCTGTTACTCTTAGCACGTTCACGGCAGCTTGCTGTAGCTCTGGTAGCTCCTTGGGACTCCTAGAAGGCAAAGGTGAACCCAAATGTAGTTCTGGTGTGTTCTTTGTTTCATGTTGTTGTACTACGCCCAAGCTAGAGGCTGACTCGACTGGTGCGTTCTTTGTTTCATGTTGTTGTACTACGCCCAAGCTAGAGGCTGACTCGACTTCTAGTTCGTCTCCGTTGTAGTTCTTTATTTCATCTAACTGAAATTCAGAAGCTTCCTCTTTCCCTTTTGAAGCGTTCTCCTGTCCTGTCAGCTTGATGGAGTTCTTTATTTCATCTCCTGTTTCAGCTTCCTCTTTCCCTTTTGAAGCGTTCTCCTGTCCTGTCAGCTTGATGGAGTTCTTTATTTCATCTCCTGTTTCAGCTTCCTCTTTCCCTTTTGAAGCGTTCTCCTGTCCTGTCAGCTTGATTGGAGAAAACAGGAGGTGAATCACTGACGGATTCGACTGCATCAGCATGGAACAGGCGTGCCGCACTTCCCAACCACTCACTTCAACAACCGTTGTTTCTCCAGTAGAACTGCTGCCGAGCGCAGTTTTAGCGCATAATGCTGCTGTATCCTATGATTCATGCATATTGCTGCTGTATCCTATGATTCATCTTTTTAGTCTACTTTGACTTACGGCCTCCTCCATAGTACTCTCAGGATGATCATTTAAGGCCTCCATAGTACTCTCAGGACGATCCCCAGGAAGGCAACTGAGACATCAGTGAGACAACTGAAGATCTTCTGTGAAGTACCTGAATCATAGGAATAAACTGAGGCAATTGACCTTTGGAGATGCAAAATTAGTGAATTGATGAGCTTTGGGGATGAAAAATTGGTGAATATGTATGATTTAATTGTTGGAACCGAGATGATTGACAACTCGTTCACTTTTTATAAAGCTCTGTCGTTGTTATGTATGATTTATTCAGAGCCTTAACAGTTGGGGCTGTATAGACGCGGCGCAATTTATGAGTAGGTTCCTGAATTCCGAAGTACGCTGATTGGGGAAGCACGAAGATGATGTGGATGTCGTGGTCCGAGTCCGGTCTCGCGGTGCCTAATGTGCGACTGCTAGGTGCATAACCTGCACAGAGGATGCGCACATTCTCCGACAGCTCAAACTCACGTAGAATATCTCGAATCACGTCCAAGTCGTCGCTTCCGCTAGTTGTACGCGCTTGTGTGTCCTGTTTGTGCTTTCCAGAGCAGTGGATGTCTTCATGCGATTTCAACGACAAATTCACCCGTAGTTCTGATCCACCATGCTGGCTCTTGTCGTTTCTAAAAGTACAACTACTGCCGGCGTGTAACAAAGCTTCATCGTCGACACTTCGGAATCGTTTTTCGAAGAGAGATAGCATCCTTGAACTTGTTTCTGCGTCCGTGAGGCGGCTTTTTGGATTGAATGGCAGTGAAGCTACAGAATCCAACGAGCCTGGTCCCAAAGCCGGTAGTCCAGGTGTAAATCCTCCTGGTAGGAGCAGTGCTGAGGCGGGAGACCTCCCAGGTGGTAGCAAAGAAGGTGGAGGCGTTGCAGCAAACGTGTTATTTTTCTCTTCTTTCCTTTCTAGCAAGGCTTCTTCACTTCGAACAGAAGACGGTCGCAATGCAAGATCCTCTAGACTTTTTGCGTCTGGAAAGGAGGCAAGCGGAAGATCCTCTAGAAGATGGCTTTTTGCGTCTGGAAAGGAAGCAAGCGGCGTTACACTCTCCGCAGCTGCCATTGCATGTATCACTTGACGTTCTCTGACCGAGTACAGCCAGTCGTTGAGGAACTCCGCATCCACCTCAGCTGGCAAAAGGTTTCCTGCACGAGCCTGGTCCATCTTTCCTTTTAGATCCTCATGTGCTTCGCGAAGATCCCTTATCAAGTTTTTCGCCTCCGTTAAATCCCGCGCAGGGTGCAAACGCAACCGCAGGACGAAGACATGCTCCTCCGGTGGTAGTAGAACCAGAGGAATCTGACGCGAGAGAATGCGTCGGAGTTCAAACACTTTGTGCCAAGCGTGATAGAGCAATTTCGACAGACGCCGTGCGCACCCATCAAAATGCAGGACCGCATCGTTTAGAGCTTGACAAGTTTGAGCACCGTCACGACCATCTAATACGTCTAGTCCTGCTTGTGCTGTCGCAGTTGTAGAAGATACTTTCTCCTGGTTGGAGGTTGTATCGGACGTCTCCGACATGGACTTCTCGGAGTTCTTGCCTTGTAGTTTCCTCTCTGCACCAGTTGAAGAAGTAGTAGTAGTTTCATTTCCTGTATTAATGTCTTTACCCGCGTCTCGTCCTCTAGGCTGATTCTCTGTAATGCCGTTACCCTCTCGCCCCGTCATTTCTGCCACTTCCGCGTCTGCTCTGTGTAGGCGATCGGCGATAAAACCTAAGTTTAGACCTGCCCGTCATTCATCTTTCAAGTGCATCCTTGAAAAGTATGGCATGGCATGGCATGAGTCTCACATAGTCTTACATGTACTATCTGGGAGACTAAACAATATCAAGAATAGAATACTCCTCCGTACGTTTCAAGGATCATGCGCCTGAAGATGTATGAGGTACAGCCTTAATAAGTATTGCCCTGCACACCGCAACGTGAGAAATTTCTCCCGTATTGCGAGCAACTCCTGCCACAATGCACTGGTTGCAAGCGGAACCTTCTGTGAGAACAACAGCTCCACGTTCCGGGCGTTCCCCTTGGAAAGCTCGACCAAAAAAGGGCCTAGTTCTCTGCCTGAGTACTCTACTTCACCACTCTTGTCAGCGCCAAACTCGGCATGCACATGACACTGGAACTCAGATGCAGGAGGAGTTCGTGATGCCAAGGACTCCACACTTGATTAGCAGTTGAAACTTAGCCCGATCTAGCTTTCGGACTGATCTATCACTTTCCTATGGTTGAAGAAGGCATAGAGAATGATCGAGAGGCCAACCCAACCTCAAAATACCCTTATCCTTAGAATTCAAGAAACGATTTTACTACCCCTTAACTTGAAATGAAAATAATGCAGAAGTCTTGGTCGCTCGTTGCCGTATGCAGATCGTACAGAAACGAGCCCGCTTGCACCAGAAACAACAGTTCCGCTGTAGCCGGCCACCGAGTCTGCAGTCGTGCGGTCCATTCAGTCGGCAGGTGAGGCGCGGACAGTGGTGAAATAAGTGCTTCTTGTGCAACTAATTGTGGTTCTTGTACAACAACTTCTAGTTGACTACGATTTGGTTGATGATGATTCGGATGCACCGCTAGTGTTTTTGCAAACTTCTGATACTCTGCCTCCCGAAAGGTGTCAACCCAACCGTCAAACGTCATAGCCAATTCTCGCAGCGCATTCCGGTCCTCTGCCGCGCTCTGTGCACGCCTGAAAACTTCGTTTGCGAGGTTAAACAATTCCTCGCATGACCCCTTTGTCAGAAAACCTGTGCCACTTGTTGCGGAGATAATTGTGGTGCTAGCATCTTTTTGTTCTTCACCTTGTTTTTGTTCGTCTAGTAAAGCCATCGCTGGAGATGATGATGAAAATGCAGTTTCTATTTGCGTCAAGAGCAAGGAGTCCCTCGGATTGTGATTCGAATGAGCGGCTCCATCCTCTTCACCGCAGTGCAATGCGCGTTTCGCTAAGCCGAGGAAAGCGTCACGTACGTTAATTGGTATGGGGATCAACGTCAAGTCCTGGGTCAGGGTGGAAGCCGTCGCGCCGCTGTTTTTGGTTTCACCGCTACTAGTATTCTTGGTACTTCCATCTTCACTGATAGGGACTTCTTCTTTCTGAGCACAATGATCCGTCTTTTTGCTTCCGTCTTTTTGCTCTTCTTTCTGAGAGATCTGAGACTTTTGAGCAGTGTTCGCACCAGTCTCCTTCTTCTCCTTCTTCTTATCCTTCTTAGAAGACGCATTTGTTCCTCCAACACAACCTCTGATCGCCGTCGCCAGAGCAACTAGAGGCCCTGCATTGCCCGATCTGTACCCCTTACCTGTCAGTATCGACTTCCCAACCTCCGCAGTAAGAATTAGCGCTCTCCGTAATTCATCTCTCAAGTCGTGCATCCCGCTTGAGAAATGTATGACAGAGCATCGCCCTGGAACGCTCTGCCATACGCTTCAACAAGGATGCAGTCAAAGATGCATTAGGAGCCCCAACCTTAAAAGAACATCACTCCAAAAAGGCGCAAAGTCTGCAGAGTGGTACAACAATGTTTCCAATTTACGGCTTAGTCCAGACGTTGAGATACAATTGTGCTTGTCCGAGGACCAAAGGCAAGAATGCAAACCAGAAGATGTTCTGCTTTTCTCAACAGCCTCAAGACAAGTGGGATTTCCCTTCACGCAGAGATTTGCGAAATCCAAGACGTCATGCCAGGAGACGGAGACTTTAACACTCGTATTTGACCGCTTCTCCCCTTCTACCACATCAAGTGCCAATTCAACGGTCCTCGCGACTGGCTGCGCGCGGTGCTTCGAGTCCGCCACGCGCAATAGCTTATCTTTAAACGAAACGCGTTCCGGTAAAGGCACTGAACAAACTGCCAAGACATGGATCACAGTGTCGTCCTCCGAGTCTGTGTTCCTCCTGCCAGTGTGGTTTATTGTGTTACTGCCAGTATTAACGGCGGCGGCGTCTATCTGACTGCTACTTGTTGCCTTCCCTCCATCGCCGCGGCAAACATTCACATTCCCTTTCAAGCTCCGCACCAACGGGCTCAAGCCGCCGTCAGCGAGTGGCGTCGTGTCTACGGCGGCAAACAGCAGTCTAGGAAGCGCCTCCTGTAACTTGGCGACCAACAGAATCGAGAATCGTTCTCCTTCATCGACAAACGGGGTTGTAGTGGACATTTTGGGAGTACGAACTTCAAAGTACTTGCAAACTTCAAAAGTACTTGCGCGCATACAACTTCAAAGTACTTGCGCTTCCTAGTTGGTAGGGTTCATCTCAGAAGAAAAAAGCGCTACTACTCAATCAATAATTGCGCTTAAAAAATTATAGAGAAACAAATGGTGTGCACGTACCAAAGGCGAAGGAGGTAACGAAAGAGAGAGAGACGGGATTGTGAAAGGGTACTAAAGGGGTTTTTTCAGGGATGACTATTACAATTACAAGTTTTTCGAAGAGTTCGACGCACCAGCAGTGGTGGGCGCAGAGAAAGCAAACATTTCACAGACACACAGAGACAGCTCAAGAATGAGATAGGAGGAGAAAACTCAAGTGAACTCTAGGATGCTAAAGCTAACAACTACTCAAGCAAGCCGTGACATATAATTAAAACGAACAGCAGGTAAAAAGCAAACAACCTACAGAAAGAAAAAAGAACGAAGTTGCGAAAACAAGATGCGGAATCAGTTAGCTACATAGTTGTAGAAAGTTACTTTTAAGTTGCGAGAACGAGATGCGAAATCAATTTTTAGAGACGACGAGAAGGACTACGAAAAGCCTACTCATGGTTGGTTGTTGCCTGTCTTTCAACGTTAAGTATCAGTTTCCATTAAAGCCAGCACGAAAGTATGTAGTCATGTAAACGAGTCGCGGGTCCTTAGCCTGATTCAAAGTCCTCGTAAGTAGAGATCTCCGATAAACTAACACTTTTCTTTTTTCGCTTGCAACGCACTTGACTGGTTCTACTTACACGCGCCTAATCAGCTAAAAGATCATCTTCTTCGTCGACCTTGGCCGGCCCTTCTTCAACACATGGAGCGCCAATCAGCCTGCTTTTCTTGCGTCGGTCCCTCGATTTTTCAGTTTGACGTCCCACCGTTTTGTCTAAACTATGTCACACATTCATGGACGATCGAAAATTCTCTGGTTTGGAACACGCGTGTGGTGCAGAATTGATCATATAAAGACGCTGTGCGTCATCTTTGATTTGAATTTCTTCTACGGCAGATCATTCTTCAGATTCCTAATCTCAGAGTTCACCTCTTGTCATTTAATGGGTCCTCTAGCTCTATAATATGTAATATGCAGTAGTCTAGTTCAACATGATAGAGTGGAGATGCTGATGTGACATCTCTACCCTTAGTGGATGAGAATGAATGATGAAGAGGTTCATTTAATTTCAGTACATTCTACTATGTGATAAGTAAGAAATTAACCCGGCTCAGCCAAACCCTTTGGCCTTGAAAGCGAAGCGATAGATAAGTAGATAAGAAGATTATAGAAGCACGTGCTTCTCGGATGCTTTTTGGTCTTTGTAGTTCTGTTTTTCAGAAGATGAAATCAGTGTAAATTGTTGAATATAGTTCTTGTGGAATAAAGTTGTGGAAATGTGTAAGAAGATCAATTCGATTTTTTGGAATCGGGAGTATAGGAGTATATGGAATAGTGCTTGTGGGTGGAAGGTTGGGGACCGGTCTTTATGGTAACTAAATAGCTGTATGCCCTTGCCGTTTGCGACATGCACATACTGTGAGATGTGTCACCTTACGAGTCGTAACATCTCTATCCCCACATAGTAATCCATACCGCAGTACTAGCCCTGCCTTTCGAAAAATTATCGTTACTCAGTTCATTCATATGCTTCCGCAACTATTGCATTGCTCTACGTATTCCAGAACTATTCAATGTCTGTGTATTGACTATTCAGATTCAGTTTAAGCGCTATTTGCTTCTGTCTTTGTGTGTCAGGTACTTAAGATAAGTTCTAGTTCCCCCGTGATTGGGATCAAGGAATTATAATCGCCCTGCTGTGGAGGTATGATCCATTCTTTTCGCGGGTATCCATTCGAATCCCTCGTCTACTTCTTTCTCCGGCTAAGCAATCCCCCAAACCTGGACTTTTTCGGTGGTACTAGGCCTGAAGCGCCGCCAACTCCTGGCCCCGGTGGGTCTTCCTGAACGCGGAGCGGAAGTTTCTGCCCGATCTGGCTAGGTTAGAGTAGTGTCATCCGTGCTCAAATCTACGTAAGTATCTTTTCAATACTACACCCTATTTTTAAGCCCCTTCGTAGTACTCCAGCAAGAACTGCCTGTCACCTACAGAGTTAGTCGTCTCGTGCTATCCACGAGACGACTAACGGTGTAGAATATCCCAACTGACGAGGGCACTACAGCATCTGTTGCCATAACTATACCGCGTCCAGAGGGTAGGAAGAACGCGCACCTCCGACAGGTCTGAGGCATCCGCAACACCTCTTCGCAACTGCAATGTTCCCGTTTCATCCTCCTCGTTGTTTACACTCTGAAGCTTCTGCTCTGCGCTGTTTACCTGTAGTTGTGCAGGAGCAGTAACTTGTCATTCGATGAACCATGGTGCTGTACTTATTAACATGAAAGTAGGTAGTTCATGTTCTATGTTAGGTTGTAACACCACGACACTGCTGGTAACGTACTTCGTTCTTGGTAAAAATATGAAGAACAAGTCATACGCTAATTTAGTACGTCCAGCGAGATGACTAGACTGTCTTCGGGATGTGATCCAGGTATCACGGCGTATCTGCAGAAGAGAGTGCGGCCGAAAGACCCAATCTCGTGATAGGTATGCTCAATAGGGCGTTTTTGGATATTGCCGTTCATGTTTATCGTTAACACCCCATGAATCGTCGTTCCTGCGGGACAGTGCAGGAACAGAGAGCAAAATCCCTTCACAGCTTGAGGATTCTCTGCGGGGTCTAGGTACCTGTGGGTGTGTAAACCACTTCAGAGGAGGTTCTTCTTCCAGGCAAATCGGAATTTCTTTAGATATCAGTACTCAGTGCTGCAAAAAAGTATTCGAAAAACTGAAATAACCGAGTAACTATTGAAAATAAGCGAGATACTGATGAGATGGAAGAGTAGCCTTGATGCTAAGCTACCTCTCTTATTTCGATCAGCAACTCGGTTATTTTCAGTTTTCGAATACTTGTTAAGAGGAAACTCAAACATTACCCGCTCGGGAAGAATTGGAATCGCATTTTGTCGATGCCTGCTATAGCGAAATATGGCGAGAGCATGGCATTACCAGCTGGAAATTGCTCAGGTAACGTCGACGCATTCTCTACTTTCCATTCTACTCGTTTTAGTAGCCTTGATCGGATTACTTCTACTTGCTGCTTCACCTGCGATTGAGTGGATTCTTTTATGAGATGGGGAAAAGGCTCGATGTCCTCTGTGTACTTTAAAGTCGAACAAGTTCATCTCGGTGGTGATTAACTGTAGGCATCAAAACAGTGTTGTACTTGAACATCCTGCTGAGCTGCATACCAAAAAAAAACAACTACTCGAAAAACTGAAATAAGCAAGTCACTGATCAGAATAACCGAGATACTCATGAGAAGGAAGTAGAGTAACCACTTGGCGTTAAGCTACCTCCCTTATTTCAGTGTCAGTAACTCGGTTATTTTGAGTTTTCGAATATTTAAGAACCACTTTTAGTACTAATTTTTACCTGATCAAGTAATCTGTTGTTTATGTGTCTCGAGAAGAAGAGATTTCCACTACACGAAATGCCGTCTTGAGCGTTGACGGCTACATAAGGCGCTATCTCGTGCTTTTGCACCACCTTGCTTTCCGCGATTTCTAGTGTGACGAGCATCTTGAACTCATCAAGGCCCTTCATCGGCACATCAATATCCCCAAAAAAGCCACCCACCGGTTGTCGCGACGGGTATGTTCCTGCGTTAATGCGAAATGGTTGAGTGTGGGAACAAAACGCGCTCGGTGTGCGAGAATCGACACAATATCCTACTAGGTGTTTAGCCTAGTGCTTTAGTATAGTCAAGGCACAGTGAAATTTATCACGACAATCAACGATGAAAAGAATCAAAATATATAATCTGTTACCTTCAAACGTCTACTTTACATTATCGTTGCAAAGGAAAACTACTACCTTCAAACGTCTTGACAGTGTCGTTCAAGTAGAGGCGGAACCAGATGTGCGTGCCCTTCGGAGCCCACAAGTAGATATGGCACTCGCCAATGTGGACATCGGCTGTCCCTGCCTTACTAGGTGCGGGTTTGAATTTGACAGCCAACTCTATCTGCAGATTGCGCACACCAGTAGCGCTAAACGGAGGGCTAAAAAAACTTTGTCTCGGGACGCCCTGTTGAAGGATAGAAATTGCACTTGTTGTGCTTCGATCCGAGAAATTGAAAAGAAACCACTACCCAAATCTAGTAAGGTCGTGTCACAAGCTAGTACTTGTGTATTTGTAGCAGCGAGAGCTATTCGCCTGCTTGCTAGGAGGAGCCGCTTGGCGTCTGCTATCTCCCACTCCACTCGACGAGCGGACACGTTCTCACACGCAAATAAGTCCTGCTCCAGCTGCCTCTGGTACATGATGAGACCTGGAGTTTGAAATTTTTTGATCACTAAAATACCATATATTAGAGGTTACGGAATTACTTTTCTCACCACGTCCCCGACTTCTTTCCAACTAGGAAAAGAGCCAGGGATGGTAGTGAGGAATGCAATTCGGAAACCTATGTAAAGAACAAAAGCAAAAGTACTATGGTAAAGAACAAAAGCAAAATGCGATAGCACTACGGAAACCCTTAACCATATTAGCACTATGGTAAGAACAAAAGCAAAAGTACAACTCCATAACCATATTAGCACTATGGTAAGTACACAAGCAAAAGTACGACTGCATAGTACCGTCCAGCCTTGTGTTGACAATTTCTTGATTCTTTCGCATGGTGGCCATCGTATCCTCCAGAATGCTGTTCACCTCATCTAACCTCTTAGCCGTCTCGAGCCCTTGTTTATTCGTCAGTTCTAGTGCCGCATCCACCGCAGCCTTGAACTCCTGCAAGCTGTCCTGCGTCTCATTCCGCAACTCCCCCATCATGTTCTTTAGATCGGTTACCTGGGTGGGTGTCGGCATGGGCAGTTGGTCCAAAACGACTCAACAGTTCTCATAGCAACAGTTGTCAGCATATCATGGTCATACATTGGCATTAGTATCGAGGCATCGCGATCGAGGTCGGAGGAGAGTTTTTTGACGAATACGTAGGCAGTAGGTCCAAAACGACTCAACAGTTCTCACAGCGACAGTTGTCAGCATATCAACATAGGAGTGGATCATTAGAGATAGCCTTAATAAAAAGTACATTTCTCGCCAAATCTTGCTTTGTTAAATTCAATTCGTGATTCGTATCGTCCAAGCGATCTCCCAGTTTGTCGTCGCCCTCTTTTATCTTTATACTTATCGCTTTTTCTACGGAGTTGAACTTGGCTTCAATCGTCTTCATCATCTTCTGCTGTTTCGCATCCACACTGGTCATCACATCAGCCATCAAGCTCGTCGCTTTGTCCGTAATCATCCCTCCCATCTTCTTGTCGACCTGATGTGAGGTGGTAGTCGTAGAATGGGTAGTGCGGATAGAAGATCTTCGTCGAGGTTAAAACGAGAGCAAGTACCTACTTGCAGTAGTAGTCAAATAAGTTTAGAGCTTCCTCGAATCCATCTTGAGTGGCATCCTGGGTTTGCTTTTCCCTTACAGGATGGTCCCAAGATGCTCCTGGAGATGGATTACCCGAAGCTTTAATAAGTGGAGTGAAGTGAGTGAGGGTAGTGGTAAAATGGAAGGACGACCGACGAGGTAGCTAATGGTAGTGCGGATTGAAACGTACATGTAACAACATTAATACCAATTTCAACGCCTTATCCTGGACCGCATTCATCTCCTGTCGGAGAAGGTCCATGGCGTTGGTCAGGTCATTCTCGTCTACTTGGCGCGCCATCTTGCCAAGAGTTGTTTTAAGGCTCCTTTGGAAGCCTTAAGGGCAAACAACTAGGAGGGGCAAGTAGGTGAAGAAGACGTCTCCTTGAAGTGTATGAAGGTAGTGAAGAAGGAAACTGTTCGTTGCAATCTCTACACTGCCTGCTACGTCGCTACCTCTGTCGCTTTTACTCCAACCCGCTAGGCTGCTTCGAATGTAGTTACTTCTTTCTCCTTTGTGCGTCACCACCACTCAAGCGTTCTGATTTAACAGCCGCTTAAGAAACAAAGCTGGTATGCTGCAATGATCCTCGATACCACTGACGCCTCGCGAGACCACAAAGGATAACTGCTCACAAGCGCCGGTTGCTTATCGTACTTGATATTGCGCCTTTAAAGAGGAGTGATTTGAATCGCGCCTCATCCTGGGCCCGGTGGTAAACCCCCGTCGCGGAGGAGCACCCCGTGGGGCAACGTCATTGATATCTTTCTTCCTTCTCTACTTGAAACGACCGACTTTTCAGATAACGTTATTTACAGGTCTCTCTGCACCCGTTCTTTTACTAAAATCTTATTTGCGAGAAGAGAAATTCAACACTTTTTATCTGTTTTCGATTTTTTGAATTTACGACAAAAATTTCGACTCGATGCGCATTCACCATTTACTAAACGGCGCCAAAACGAATTCTCTCTCTCTCCATGTCTTTCTCCCTCACCATGTCTTTCTCTCTCTCCATGTCTTTCTCTCTCACGAGAAGCACGACCGCCTACGTAAACGTATTGCGACAAAACTATTGACATATTCAGTCTGCCTTCAGCATGCCGAAGCAGTTTCTGCTTCCACATGAAGCTCTGTCTTTCAAGCAAAAAGTATTCATTGTGAAAAGTTTGCGAGTTTATATCTCTTATAGTTTGCGATTTAGACCTCCCAGTCGCGACATTTTTGACTGATGTCTTCAAGTAGTCGCCTTGGGCTTAGCCCAGTACGTTGAAGTGATTGGCTCCCCTAGAGTAGTGTCATAGATTCATCCTCCTGACTTCTATAATTAACAGCTAAAAAAAATGTTGACTCTATGAATGTGAAAAGAAAACCTTGCTACATTTAGATTCCTCTAGACAACATCTCCGTCACACGTCTATCCAGACACCTTCTAAGGTATCCCTCTGCACATCCGATGGATTCTTGAATGTCAGCTGCAGAACTCCCTCTACACATCCGATGGATTCTTGAAGGTCGGCTGCAGGACTTTCTGTTCGATATAGTGACGTCTCTCCGGTACCACATGCTCGAGGAAAAAATCTGCTGCGGTCCTCGCCACGGCCAGCAAAGCGATAGCCGATGAGACTTGCAACACAATCATCGAAAAACTCATCTTGGCACTTCTTATGAAAGATAGAAGGGGGGGAGACTTGCAACACAATCATCGAAAAACTCATCAAGGGGGGATTGGTTTTGATAGCGCTTCATCTTTGCGCTTACTATGAAAGAGGTTCATGGCGAAGCTGTAAAAAAACTACCTATGCGATAGAAGGTCTCTCAGTGGAGAAGTGTTCGAGAAAAGTTGTAAGTTTTATGCCTGGTTTTTATGGCCAGTTATAGAAGAAATACAATGTTGTACCCTAACATCACCAATTGCCTGGAGCACCACGCGGACGCCGAAAGTTCGCACTAGGTCGCGTCGCTCTACGCCATAGCATGAAAGTGTGTGACGAAGTAGATTCTCCACTTGTTGTTTGATAATGTCCCACCCGACTCTAGAATAGAAGAAGAGAACAGCTTCTATGCACGACCGGTAAATTTGAATGAAAAAAGAACGAAAGTACGTTCAAGTAATGTACATCAGACTGAGTTCAAGTCAATGGCATAAGCACGCGCAAATATACATCAGCCTTGGTTCAAGTCGATAGCAAATCATGTAGAACTAGTACTAAATGTAAGTGGTGTAAATCTTTCCCATAGTCCTTCACTGTAATACAGTGGCTTAGCGTAATTGAATCCGGTTTTGGTATCCACATTTACGCTTTCGAGACTGCTTACACAGGCTTCCTCATCCATTTCGCAGTTGAATACTAGGGATACCAGCACCACCGCACCATTCTTCTGGATGTCCTCGACTTTCAGGAAGATGAAAATGTAAAGGGGGGTTCTTGTCGACTAGAATGCTCGTGGATGCACAATCATGCTACTTCCTGCCTCGTCGTTTAAAGGAAAACTAGTACCTACAACTAGTTAGTAGTTATCTACGGTACGAACAGGTACATGCTTAGTGGATTGTCATGTCATGTCATGGTACCTCTTATGTAGCTTTTCAGCATCTTCTACAACAAATTTTTATACTGACTGCTTAGAAATCTACTGGTCTCTGTAATGCTGGCAACATCTCCATAGAGTTAGCCATGCGCAGCAAGTCGGAGAGCTTGTATGTATTCGCCTTCGCTTTCGGGTAGACAATCTGATCGTTCACCTCTGTAGTGCTGACATCCATCCCGAACTTGTGGAAATGTACACTCGTAGCAAATCGGATTTCGTAGGCGAGCGGATCCACTAGTATGAAGGAGAAAAATACTCTCACACTCGTCACATCACATATGCCTCTGATATGGCCGTTCGTGACCACCGAAGAGACAAAGAACTGCTCTTTTTCCACAGGAAAAAGAATCCCCTGTCTCTAAGGAGTCGTCCGATGAGTGTGTTCTATTTCTCTTCTTCGTAACTAGCGTCTCTGTCGTAGTCGCACACCCAGCGCCAGGATTACACTCCGCGGGACACCATTGCCGTCTCATGCATGTGCCGGCAGTGCAGACGTCACCTTTGTTTCGAAAAAGAAGTGCTGTCTCGTGAACAGCTACTAGTAGTAAAGGATCGAAGAAGAAGTGCTGTCTCGTGAACAGCTATGATCTACTATCACATGTTCATGTGATGTTGATGACATTCCCTGAATCTGAGACAACGCTACGAAGGTCGCATTTTCTACCTATAGGATAGGATAGGATAGGATAGGATAGGATAGGACGCCTCGACTTCGCTGCCACACAAGGTGACAAAACCACTCCGGCAGATCGCCCTTAGGAGGACGTTCCCTATATAACTACCTAAATACTACTTACGAAGGTCCTCCTCGTCTTTCTGATACCTTTTCTACCTAACGTTCCCTATACAACTACCTAAATACTACTTACGAAGGCCCTCCTCGTCGTTCTGATACCTTTTCTACCTAACGTTCCCTATACAGCTACCTAAATACTACTTACGAAGGCCCTCCTCGTCGTTCTGATACCTTTTCTACCTAACGTTCCCTATACAACTACCTCTACTACCTACGAAGGCCCTCGTCTTTCTGATACCTTTTCTACCTCTACTGCCTACGAAGGTCCCCCTCGTCTTTCTGATACCTTTTTGTTGCGCCGCATTCTCGATTTCGCAGTCCGCGGCTGTGGTGCACTTATGGAGTGGCGACGCGCAAAAGTCGGCGTCCGTTTTCGTGTTTTTGTTTTCTTGCCCAGTCGTCCTCAGTATTCGCGTTGGCAAAAATATCGCATCCTGTTCGCTTGCAAATGAAAAGAGCTACTTGCTAATCAAAATGATGAGGTGAATATTTGTGGTGGAGCAAAGCTACCTAGGGAAGTTAGAAAAAAGGAAGCGGTATAAATATTAGAACTAGCAAAAATAGGCCATCTAGGTGAATATTCCTAATTTTTTGCTTGAAGGTATACATCTACGAGATAGAGGTGAATATTCATAATGCGGAAATATCGAAGAGGTCGTGAGGCTCTTTGTCCGGTATCGGTGGGTTGGATGCCGTAGAGACGACCCAGCCGACAGCTTTTTCTCGGTCTTGGTATCTGCAGCAAGCATGATGTGGCATCACCACGTATGGAATCAACATTTTGTACTTCATCTATCTTCACACATGGGCTTTTATACTAGTTTTGCCGAGAGGACTTGTGGTGCTAGGTACAACTTGTGAAGAAGCATAAGTATACTAGAGTCGAAAACCAGTTTGCAAAAAACAGTAGTGAATACCGTTTCTCTATCGCGAAGACGTACACCAAGATGTAGAAGAGGACGAGGTTGAAGACCGAGTACTCGTTAGCGCTAGTTTCTCACTGTATCCCTAGTTTCTCACTATGAGATGCCCTGCTGCGTCCCCCTTAGCGCGTCTTTCCTCTTTAAGAATGTGTCAAAGGATGAGACTACACTCAGCAATACTCCATGTCCACCTGGGATAGCGATGCTGAGAAACTAGCCTTAAAATAGACCAGACCTAAGCGGCGATCCAGAACTCGTACTTCTTTTACCGTGTCGTAGGCGAAGAGATCATCTGCATCCGGCAAATTGTCCCATATTCTTTTGCTCAATGACGGAGGCATCTTTTTCTGTTGGGGTGCTGCTACACGACCGTAAACGTGGTTCTATTACACGAACCGCACGACCGTAAAAATAGTGGTTCTATTACACGACCGGGTCACCACTATCTCTACACGTCGGTCTCCTTCCGACAGAACCACAGCACGACTACTATCTCGGCCTCCTTCCAAACACGTGGCAATGCCACCGTTTAGGCTCGCGTCTTGACGTGGGGGTCCTCACCACGGGGAGGCCCCGTTGTGCTTGTGCCGGTGCTGAATAGTATCGGCATCGAGACTCTTTCGTCGATCAAACACGGTCGGTGAGGACATCTGTCTCTTTATCACGACATTTTTTTGGGTCATCTACATCCAAATGGAGTAAGACTTCATAGTGCTCTTTTCAGTCCTCAAAGATCACGTAGGCACACTCCTCTTTTCAGTAGTCACATTCATTATCATTCTTTTCAAACCACCTTTTTCTTGCTCACCCTCCTTTCGCTCATTTTGACCTCCTCGAAATGTATCATCAACTCAAAAATTCTGCTGGTTGGCAAAACTTGGTACAGAGGTAGAAGATGCTATACCAAACATTATTTTTCTTGCGCGCAGAGAAAGAACTTATATCAAGTCCGGTTCTGCTTGGAATCAATCGAGGGTCTTCCCTGATGAAAATATCAAACAGTCACACAATTGAAAGGCTACGCCCTTCAATGAACCCCACCACACTTAGAAGGTGTTGCGAACCATCAAAATGGAGTTGCGTGCTCCTAATCAAGATGCATGGCTTGTTGCGTTCGTCACATTGTTGCTTCAGAATTTACCTATCACGTTGCTTCAAAATTCAAAAGCAAAGGAGTCCACAAGCGTCAGTCTACGACAGTCTTCGGCTTTTTCAGTCTTCGCTCTCCAGTGTCTACTGGAGCGGCAGATGGATCTGAGAGCGCGGCAACAGGCGGCGCGGCCTCCTCTTTATCCCGTCGTTTAGCACGTATCTTGGCGTACAGCGCCTCAAGTTTCGATCCTTCTTTCTTGATGCCCCAGAATTAGAAAGTAGGAGGAAGGGGATCGAGTTGTACCATAGTCTTGATGAGAATCGTCATAGTTTTAGTTAAACCATCATTTTGAAGTCAAGCTCTAAAGGAGAATATGACAGAATATCTTCACTATTTCGGTACTATGAAGTATTCTTTCATAACTACTTGATGGCTCGGCTCCCGCTGATCCAGCTCGTGCTGCATCTTTCGAGATTTTCGATTTTGATGATTCCGTGATGTTGTTGGCGGATTCCACTTTCGAGCTAGACGAGCTAGAAACTGCTCCTCTACTTGTTGCATTGCTTGTGGTTCCTCTATTTTCGGCCGCTTGCTTCGTTGCAGTACTAGAATTCTTATCTCCACCAATCGACGACAGAGTACGATTTTTAGAGTCCGCTAGAAGAATGCATCTCGGATGAGCCCTCATCTTGACCCCTTGTACCTTGTATTTCATGAGAATACAAGGGAAAAGGGTACTTACCAAGATGCCGAGAAAGATGGACACTAAATGTTGACCTTAAAAATTATATGAGTAGAAGATGCTGGCTTTCTCTTACTAGCTGCTTTAGCAGCATCTGTGATATCGTCCTCGTCAAATAGGATGACGTCATCCTCTGCTATCCCCCTCCCCAGCAGAGGCACCGTTGAAGCTGAAGAAGCGGTGAGTGATCGCCCACTCAGTTTGGCATCGCGAAAAGCTTCATTCGCATGTTCGTTCGCATTGTTCCTTAGAGGAGCTGGGGTTTAGGGCTTAGGGCTAGGGTTAGTCAGTTCTTGCTTCGTATTCATTGTCTCAGACACAAACTTCTATTTAAGATGTTGAAGGACACAGAGACGAAAAACAAATTTCTAGGATGGAGGAAACAGAGAGGAAAAAGAACCTCTCCTGTCGTGGACATCATGTGAAATATCGTCCTATCATGCCGTAACTTCCGATTGAAAAACCAGAGATCACGTTCCTTCGTATTCTCCCGCTGAGCCTGCTTCCGTTTTTCTTGCACTTCTTTTTAGAGGTTGCGACATTGCATTGCTCAGAGCATCCCTGACTTCTTTCAATGCTTAGTGGGAAAAGTACAGTCAGGGAAGACGTTCGTGCAGGCTGCAATGTGAAGACCCTTAATCTTTGCTCGTTTTCACGGAATGTCCAATGGCTGCCCATTTTTTCGTCGTTTCTCGCGCCGCCTCACTCGTCAAGGTCACTGCCACTCCAGGCTCCGTCTTCTTGGCGCCAGACGTGGAGGACGCATACTGCTTTTCATTGTGGTAATAGCACAGTCCGCTAGGACAAGTTCGGACGTTGTTCTATGAAGAAGGAGTAGGAGGAGGAGGAGTGGAAAAGAAAAATTGAGAATCATACACTTAGGTGAGCTTCTACGCATATCTACTTTACTGTCGTCGAGGTGACCTCGCAGTGGTACAATAAAAGTGGGCTAAACAAATCAAAACCCATCTATCACACACTAAGCCAAGAACCCCGACAACTTACTTGATAGTACGGCTTGAATTCATAAAATCGGTTGCCCACACAGCTCTCCACGGCCATTGCTTCCACTTAGGGCTGCACAATATCCAACGTCTTCACACTCTCCTAGTTTTACTATTTGCGCAGCCTGCGTTACTCTCGCAAAATATCTGGCCGTACCCGGTTGAAGCGACACAGCTGGATTCAAGATCGCCTGAGTTAGAGGACAGAGGACCCGAAGATGATAGCGTGAATTGCGAAGCTGAGAAGAGGATCAAAGTATTTATTTTATTCTTGCATAAGTAGTTATTTTTACCACGCCTCATCAAAGAATCAAAGCTCAACTGCTTTGGGGTCACCTCCTGATTGTGTAAGCAACTGGTCAGTGGCTACTTCTAGTTCTAAACGAGGGCATTCACGAAGACTAGGTGTGTCCGCATAAAAAAACAGATCCCTTTTTCAGCTCATTTTTCGCCTCTTGACTCTTTGTCCAGGTAAGAAACGCTCCCGAAAAAAGCCGCAATGTTACCACCGTTGCTTGAGGGCATGCTACCTGGGAAATCAATATTGATCCTCACATCTTCAATGGTGGACTCTTAGTACCTACTAAGAGTCTATACTTATCATACGTAAATTTATTGCTCCACCACGATGCCACCTCCATAAAAAGAGTCTGCAGTGTGCATCTCTTCCGGCATGAGCCTTACGCAAATTTAATAGAGAGTACCGTAGGCAAGTCGCAGATCTTCCACTGAGCGCATACTTGGCCGTCACCTAGAGACTGCTGGTCCTGAAAGTGAATAGCTATCACGATGAGCACCACGTTTTTCCCCTTGTACGCAGGATCCTTGTAGTCAGCGGTCTTGTCATGGAAACCACCGGTCGAAACCAATCGTAGGTATGAAGCAAAGCATTGGTACACCTACACAAAGGTTTAGGTTATCTACTTCGTAAGTATTTTGTAGATGATCTACTTCGTAAGTATTTTGTAGATGATCTGCTACTTCCCATAAGGGTTGTGAATGTCAAAGACATCATACCAAAGCCTTAGCCTGATTAATAGATGAACTACAACAAGATATCATGTAATAAAAATTATACTAGATTGAATCAATCGCGGATACGCATTCCTACCAATCTTCACAAAGAAATCACATAGAATCGCGGATACGCATTCCTACCAATCTTCTTCACATAGAAATCACATAGAACTACCAAAAGCACTTCTTCTTTCACATAGAACTACCAAAGGCACTTCTTCTTCCTTAACCGTATATCCCTCAGTTCGACTTTAATCTTGTCTCGCATACAAGCATCAAACTTTTCTTGGGAGAGGCAACGCTCTGAGATGTGGAATCCAGAGTTCTTCTCATAGGCCTTCATCCTTTCTGCTGCTTGTTTTTGTCTTCGCTGATATGAAGAAGTATTTTCATACAAGATCCCTCGCAAGATGTATTTTCATACGCGGATGCTATAAGCAAGAAGAATCATCAACATGCTGATGTTGTCCTTTATGGTATGTACCATGTACGAGGCTATTGGCGGGCCAAAATAGTTGATCTCGTCATGTCATAATATGATTTTTTCTCATGAGGGTCTGGGACGTCCTACTCTACAACAAATCAACCTTTCTTAACTCGCGCTGCTGTTCGCGTATTCTTTCGAGCTGTGCCGCTGTGTCTGACAATGAAGGCTTTGCAAACTGGCTCTTCACTCCCCAATTGTAAGATTTGCTTGCCGGATCTGTAGTGGGAGTTGCTCCTTCAGTGGTACTCGAGGAGGTGGCATCCATTACAGTGGGATCTAGAGCTGCTTTAGACGTGGCAGTGGCATCATGATCTACAGGTGCTTTATACGTGGTGGCGGCATCTAGAGGCACTGCAGTCGTGGCGGCATCATCTACAGGTGCTCTAGACGCGGTGGCGTCTACGACCCCTTCCCTTGTGGGCAACTGCACATCATTCGTAGTGGCATCGTTCTTTGCCTCCTCACCGTTCTTGAGGCTAACGCCTGCAGCGGGAGTTAGGATTATACCGCTTGACCCGCCAGCCGTAGAAAAGCCTGGTGCGTCTGCAACTATGTTGACTGCGACCTCCTGCTCCACGACTTCATCTCCATCATTACCTCTCGGAGTTCCTGGCGTAGAGCTACTGCTCGAGGACTCTCCACCACGGTCACCTTTCCGTGCCAACGACTCACCACCTCCAGTTTGGACCACCTCTGTTGCTATGGATACGACGTGCTCTTGCACCCCAGCGCGCTCCTCTTGCACTCCAGCTATTACCTCGTTCGCACAGCTTATACCGTTCCCCAAACCCGATTCGTCAAGCAGATCGTCAAACGTGTCAAGCAGATCGCTCATTTTTCTTTCGTGGTGAGTGGAAACAGTAGTAAGTCTGTTTCTTGATGTTCGAAGTGATTATTCTTGTTTCTCGTGATGACGAGTGGATGAAATTATCATACAGCAATCTAGTATAATAGTGAGCTTTTGCTCGCGCTTCTATATCCCGACGGCATGAACTTCCGATCTTCACCTTTCTTATGAGCTTTCAACAGCCAGTGATGCTAGTATCATTTTTCGTACGCCTTGCTTTGAACAGAACGTCAAAAAAAATTAGGCCACCATTTTTCATCTGTTCAACAGCTGTCGAGTATTACACTTTAGCAAATTACATCCAGACTTTCAACTGGATCGTAACAAGTCTCAGATTTTCTTTCTGCAGAGAGCTATAGCAGAACACCTAAGCATCCGATTGCGAAGCAAGTTGGTTGCAGGCAACGAGATGTGCGCAACTTCTCCACGTCGTGCTGTCTTTTCATGATGATGTAGTACTCACCTCTATACTCCTGATCAAAGTATTTCCATCATTTGGCGTATCCACAACATGTTGTCTGCACATCTTCCATGCTCTACTTTTACTCGCTTTCATATTGAACAATGTACTGACACTAACTTCTGTGAAAAATCCACTTCATCTGGTAGCGAGCTTTATCCGCGCGTGTCGTATAATCCGTCCCTCTCCATATAATCGCTAACAATATGGCTAAAAAAACGAGAGCCATACGCTCAGTGCCCGCCTTCCAGAGTGGTATAGAGTAAATTACTACCTGGTTGTTTTTTTTGATTTAGGCGTGGGTCCACTAGCAAGCAGACATACCTGATTGTCCCTTAGCTTAGGCGTCCGTCCACTAGCAAAACTAGCAGACATTAGTGGCTGCTGAAGAGCCAAAAACACGACTACGACCTAGAGCACGTGGTGCTAATATAGCACTATGCTACAAGTATAGTGCTACGCTAGATTCTACGTATACTTCTGTGAAGAACTTATATTACTATTTTTTACTGAGTGCCGCGCTGGAACTAATCTAGCACTATGCTACAAGTATACTTCTGTGAAGAACTTATTACTGTTGAGTGCGATGGAACGAATGTTTGATCCGTTGATGTATTATGTTAATTCATCAAGAAACGGTCGATGATACCACACAAAAGCAAGCGAACAACGGGGGGCTTTAGAGTGTAACTGTGTCTATTCATATCAAACGACCACATTTTCTAAAAGCTCTTGGAGCTCATGTTGATCGTTAATTTTGCCCGTGTAAAAATAATCTGCGTGTAAAAATGATGATGTCCTCTGTGTCTGTGTAGACAATTGCGTATCCATAGATATGATCTGATTGTAAAACTAATCTGCGACTTTGTACAGCTAACATAGGTGCCTGCGTATAGATAACAACATTCTCCACTTCTGCCAAAACTACTAAAAAATCGGATTCTTCATTTTGAGATAATGCTCCAACCAACTGGTCGTGTATTTCACGTTCTTTTCCCTGACGACGTTAAATTCTTGCTCACCAACTATGGAGAAACGTTTGGCACATCGACTCCACTTCATATCATGGTGCATCTTGTGTAGCTATACGTGTCTCCCAGTGTTGTATGGGCTCATCACGATGTTGCATGACGATATTCCTGCACTTCTAGATTCATTTCGTCATCGTCTCAGGATACTCCTGATCCTAGTTTAGACCTAGAAGAAAGCCACTCGGAGCATCTCGGTGACCATTTCCCCTTAGAAAACGACCACCATCAGATGCTCTGTACAAAATGGATGTCTTCTGGCCCTAATCAGTCCCTCATCTACTTGTCCATCTTCCTACTTCGTCCAGACTAGACACCTCCTCCTCTACTTGTCCATCTTCACGTAAGCTCCCGTGTATTTCCAAACCCGCAGGTTTGTCTTTGTGTTTGTTGTTTGCATAATTATGTCCATCACATGTCCACCTACTTGTCCATCTTCCCGTGATCAAGCACACTCGATGCTGCTTCTGATAACCTCGAAGATGCTCCGTTTGCTACTCTTTTCGTGGCAGCGCCAAAGCGTCCCAGGCCATTCAACATCACTGCGGCACCACGTTTTAGCTTCTGCCTAGAACTCTCGTCCAAAATGTCCTTGGACAGAGTGTCCCTAATCGGCACTCCCGTACTCTCCTCGAGTTGTGTCACGACGGGCTATTGATTAGAAGAAGAGGCAAGGATTTCTACTCTGTGCATCCCTGATAAGCTTATAGCACCTACCTCCGGCAAGGATATTTTATTAATATCCTACCGGAGGTAAGGATATTAATATATTTATATTTTATAATCGGATGAAAAGAAGGTATTGAGGAACTTAACAGCGCTCTACCACGTGAATGAATGTCGAACAATGTTGAGGATCGATGCCTTAACTAATTTGGCCGCCGCCTTGCTGCGAAGCCACTTTGCGCCTGCTCGCGTCACCCCTCTATCATAGTTCAGGACGTCGTTCTTTAGAAGTCAAGCAAAAGTAATTCATCCTGCGTCATAAATCAGGATGGCTTTTCTTCGATCAGCTTCATTTGTGTCCAGAATTTTACCGATTGAGCAAGGCATACCAGAACTATCAATTAATTTTGAGTTCTATCTTAGACAAATTTACTGAAACAAACACATCTGCTTCATTGCACTTTGCGATCACCATTCTTCAAGAGATCAAGAACGGAAGATTTAACCTATATAAGATCTACTAAAGCCGCCCCCCATAAGTTTTGCACTGCTGCAGCTTTGCAGTCTGCGCGCTCGTTTCTCTCTACTTGCCTCTTGATGAAATCGCGCTGCCTCTCTCGTTGGTCCTGATAGGTAAACATGTGTTGCACGACTCCCATGTTTTCGTCTGCGAGAACCTGAGGACGGTACCAACGTGGAGACAATGCTACAAACAGTAATCTACCACTGTAACTAGAGTGTAAATACTCAATGGAAGTAGAGAGGAACAGCCGATTAGTATTGCGAGCTAGAGGACTAATGCAAACCTGCTCTACCACTATAGCTAGTGTAAGTACTCAATTGAAGTACTAGATTGACAAATATTATTTTAGACCTTTTCAGGTATCTTGTCAGCGTCGCAGTCCACGAGGGCGACATCTTGAAGTCCGTCTGCGCCTGTGACCACTTCTTCCCTGCAATGGATTGGCGACGCCTGTTCCCATCCAGCATCGATTGGCGACGCTTTCGGAGGCAAGAAGGCCCTTCTGGCATTTTTCTCTGCTCCGACATATTTCGTATTGGCAAACGCAAATTCTGGGGATGTGCGCACCAGCACCTTTCCTTCTGCTGCTCTCCCACGCTTCTCACCCCGCGCCATGATAACCTCATTGCCCGTTTCCGTTTGGGTCTCTTTCCCCTTATTTGCGATTCGTTCTTGCGCCAATTGCCTTTGTTGATCTCGGGACGATGCAGAACTTTGTGCGAGCAGCTTCTCCGAATGCTCAGATCTTCCCCCAACCTGTTTTATTTGTGCCTCTCGCTGAAGCTTCTCAACCTTCCTCGACGCTACTGTGGGAACGAAGATTAGAAAACGAGTAGTTGTGTTCGTTATTTCGACTCACTCTTCAACCCAAGAGAGTCGAAGAGAGCTACTGTACTTATAGATACCCACTCAAGACCAAGAGCTACTGTACTTATAGAAGATCATACCCGCATTATAAAATACTGATAATAGACCCCCAAGAGCTACAACTGTACTTATAGATATAGATACCCATTATAAATAAATACTTCTAAGGATCATACCCAGCAGCTACTACTCATAGATATAGATACCCAATATAAATAAATACTTTATACTTAGATATAGATACCCACTATAGATAAATACTTCTAAGGATTATACCCAGCTACTACTTATAGATATAGATACCCATTGTAAATAAATACTTTATACTTAGATATAGATACCCATTTGAATATAGAATACTTCTCAATGCCTTTTGAATAATTCTAGTGCCGTAAGACGGATGCTGTTGCAGCTTCAGCATACTTATAGATACCCATTTGAATATAGAATACTTCTTAATGCCTTTTGAATAATTCTAGCACCTCCATCCGCAGAAGATACAACGACCACGATGAATCTTCATATTTTATAGTTTGCGATGAATAAATACTTCTTAATGCCTTTTGAATAAGTAATTCTAGTGCCGTATTAAAATACTTCTTATATTGCCGTAAGACGGATGCTGTTGCAGCTTCAGCACCGGATGTGAGGGTTGTTCCGAGCTTGATTTTCTTAAAGGCCGCACTGTCCTGCATAGTTGGGTCGCACCCGGCTGTGCGGAGCATTTGTGCTCGTGCTGCTGCTTCAGTCTTCATAGCCTGATGAAATTTCGTGGCCTGCTCGCTTTCTTTGGCGGTGTCCCCAACGAGTATTCTCTCCATGCAGGTTCGCATTTCCATTTGTTTTTCCCGTGGAATGCCGGTCAAACTACTGGCTAACCGCTGCAACGCAACTGGTGCTGGAACATTACTACTGCTGCTGCTGGCTTCGTTGTTGCGAGTCGCTATCTCTCCTGATCCACCACGGAATGCTGCTGCGACGCCACTTCCTTGAGCAGGATCATTACCTGCTTTCCCGCCTTCTTCATGCTGTGGAAGTACGCACTCGTTGAATATCTTGTCAAAGGTTTTATCGACCACCTCACGTTCAGCAGTACACCATAGATCTGCTGCTCTAGTCGCATTCACATCCTGAGTGTCCACGAAAAAGGAGTCTTCCTGAGAGGGTTGCTGACATCCGTCCGAAGCCTGTCCTGTGGTTCCGAATATGTCAAATCGCATGGTAGAATGAAAGGAAGATGGAAGTAGTACTAATAATTGGAAGTAGTAGTTTCTCATTTATTGAAAGGAAGATGGAAGTAGTTTCTCATTTTTTATTACTTAGGTTAGGTTAGGTTATGGATCCTTCACAACGAGCCCCGCAGGCACCCGTATTAAACTGTTGTCTCTTTTCTCATTTATTAAACTCAGAAACTGTACTAAAGATATTAAACATCATGATTAATCGTACTGTCAAGTAGAAGACAACAAAAGCTCTAATTCCGTGAGTTTTCCTTAGATCATCTGAGTACTTACTCAGCAACCTCCCAGGCGGTCTTGAAAGTAGAGTGGATAGCATTTATTCCCCGTTGATATGTATATTCAATTAAGCCCAAGTACTTACTTACAATGATATTCTCTTCCTAACTTGCTGTGGCTTTGCACACACCGGCGTGAGCGAAGGCGTCGATGGTGCACTTAGGTTCTTCTCCTTTGTGCTGGAACTGAGACAAAAAATCTCCAGTCAATTCGCACGCTGCACGATCTACTCCCAGACCTCCCGCGTCCCATGCATTAGGGCCCGCATTTGCCTGCGCATTTGGGCCGTCTAGAAGGTCAGCGGCGAGAAACTCACTGATCTGCCAAACCGCTATCACCAAAGCAAACGCAGCAACCGGCTGGCTTCCATTCAAGCTACCCAAGGCCCCCCCTGCCACGTTCGCTGCCTTACCATGGAGAAGAGGCAACAACAACTGCGCGACGACATACAAAGCAGCTTGTCCATGCTCTGTTTCCGCTAACTCCTGCAAGCGGGGACGCACGCTTCCAAGTGAGGGAATGTTGATGTCAGGTGAAAAAGTACAATTAAAGCTCAGCATTCAATGGTCACTGACTCTGAAAGAAATGGGCCCCATGCCTCTCCCTTTGCTTTTCCTTCATTTTCCCCCCATCTTTCCTCAAGAGGGATCTCAGTGACTCCAATCTAAACTATGACCTCCATTGAAAGCTGAGCCTTAATACAAGGGATTCCTGCTCCAATTCCTGTAGATCCTGCGCTCTTGAACAATGTGCTACTTTCAGAGAGAACCTGATCTCTGATCCGTCTAAGCTCTCCCGCGATGGTGTCAGCGTCGGCGTCTTTCATGTTCTGAGCCCAGTCTGCCCAGCTCTGAAACGACACTAGCCCAGTGCCGGCGAGCTCCCAGAAGCCAGCGAGACCAAATTAGCGCCCCAAGCAATTCACTTCTTATTTAGCCCATTTCTTACGACATTCTTAATGAGAAGGAAACAAAAAGAAAAATGACACTACAACAGGGAAGTGAGAGTCACTGTGAGTTCTCCTCTTTTTTCCCTTTGATTTCCCTTATAAGTGGAGGGGAGCAAAAATCCATTCAGATTGAGGATTATCCTAATACACCAGAGACAGATAGTAAGTGTCTAGCCTTAACCGAACTTCTCGTGCGCGATGCGTAGTACTGGCGCAAAGATGATGGCCCACTTGCAGATGTTATCGGCCCACAGCAGGCCCCGTCCTGACAGAAATACGTCGGCATAAGACGCCGCACTCATGGCTAGATTGGAGAACCGTCCTCCTGCGCCAACGATCTCGTCAATGCTCAACACCTTCTGGTTTGGATATGGTGCAACTCGCTGTCTACTCGTCCGACTAGTACGTCCTCCAGGGTTCTTGTAGGCTCCTGTTGACGTCGGAGGTGTTGAAGAAGAGGACGCTGCCGAAGAAACTGATCCGCCGTGACCGTGCAGATTGAGGTCACGCTCTAGTACGTCTGCGTAGGGAATGGCGCACTGCTTGCATGCGTCTACGAACTTTTCTGATACGAGTTTTCGCAAACCAGCTGTCTCATTCGTTTCCCCGTTAGCTATGCGGCATGCTAAGTCATTTACTGGACCTTCGGCAGATACTAATAATTCTTCTTCGACGTCGCTAGCGCGACGGCTTCTAGGGCTGCTTGAGCTGCTGCTTTCCGCACCACTACTTGAACTAGAAGTACCAGCAAGACGATTCATGTTTTGTCCCTTTCGTACGTAGTTTCGCCATTGCTGAAGACAGTGCAGCCGGGCGCAGCGAGGCGCCAGGACGCTGCGGGCGAGACGTAGGGCCCTTGGTAGGGTCCGCAACGCGTACCCCGCGGTCGAGAGGCTGAGCCCCAGACCCGCAGAACCGTTCATTGCGTCGCTGAAAGAGTACCCGTAGAAAGCCAAAGTGCTGAAAAATGCCAGATCCCTGAGGAACGCTAGGCCCTGGGATGGATACGAATCCGCAACGCACTTAGGCAGCAACTTTCCCATCTTTTCCAAACAGGCAGTGGCGCCAGATGCAGAGATTAGGAGGACATACTTCACACCTACATTTGTATGCCGGATGAATACATTTGTATTTACTCGAGCTACCTCGTTGTGTCTCTAGTAATCTTATGTGACTGTCCGAGAGACGAAGTTTATTGACCCTGGTACGAAGCAACGGCGAAGAAGTTTTCATTTTCTAGGTAGCCTTAACAAAATAGGTGCAGCGCAAATGGAAACTGCCTGGGCGCCGGTCATCATAACCGCGCTCCCACCTGTGCCATTCATGTGTCGGAGCGCATGGACGGTTAGCTTGCTGGAGGCCATGGTGCTCCACAAGAAGAGGGTGAAGGAGACCGACTCCCGCACAAGGAAAAAGTAGGTATCCGTGATAAGCGAGGATCCGAGGGGACCGAAGCGTGCATTTCCAGGCTGTACGGACTCGAAGACATCCTTCTCGGCAATGTAGAGCACGTAATCCACAACGGCTAATTCGAAGAGCTTTCGGACCACTTGCCGCTTTCCTTCCATTGCCTGCTCCTCGGTTATTAGAAGCACTACCGCGCTATAGCATCTTCTCTGCTAGGCGTATCCTTGGCGGGGGATCCTTTTTCACGAAGAAATAAAAGGGCCAAGAATATTACGGAGCAGGATGCTTCAGGTTATTACTTAGCCTTAAGGTTACACAAGTTGGGAGAGCCAGTGCAGTACTAGTGCTACTCGAAGAGCCCGGACCGTTCCTGTTGCTGCTCGTCCCAGCAGAACTACTACTGCTAGTGCTGCCACGGGAGTTAGAGAAGAATTTCATCCTCCTGAGAAATTCATTTTTAGGTTGAGAGAAACACTCGTCGTTGTGGGTTTCCTAATAAAGAAACGCAAATCCGAACTGCCGTCGAACATGCTACCGAAAAACGACAAATAACTTGTCAGGGTGCTTATTCACCAGGGATATTCTACTATTCACCAGGGATGATCAACTTCCTCCATCTATAATTTCCTTTCAAATTCTTAATGGACGATGCCTGACCAATTTCCCCCAACTATAATTTCCTTTCAAATTCTTAATGGACGATGCCTGATCTGATGTTCGTGAAGCTCCTCCTGATGTCCGTGAAGCTCCATTGTCCTCTATGGACAAAAGCGGGCGCGCAACAGTAGATGAAGCGCTGTGGAAGATTGCTCCCACTGAGTCAGTTGCGGCTACTCGCTTGGCTTGGAGCAGCTTCAGCACGTCAATCAGGCCTCTCGCGGCCTCACCCAAGTAGGCTTCCAGCAATGGCTGGTTCTTTTTCAGTGCTTCGTATTCCGAATTTCCTACCAGTGTGACCACACTCTGAAGATCGAGTTGCGCACCGTGCTTTTCAAAAACGTGAAAAAACACGGGGTAGCCGCTGCGTTGATCATTCGCGATAGCGAGCTTCATTTTGTCCATGCATCGATTCTGCTTTTCTTCTAGCGTCATTTTCGAAGAAAATACCAGTCCTTGCTCTCGTTGGGGCAATAGCACGTCGATGCCCTTGCCCATGAACAGAGTCTCACAGAAGCGCTTCGTGTAGTCTTTGAGCTCCCCTGGGAGTTTTGGAGAAAGCAAAGGCCATGGAAAAAGCAAAGGCCCACTTTTCTCAGCAGAGGACGGCTCATCCGGTTGTGCCTCTAAATCTTCTCCACTCATCCTCTGTACCTCTAAATCTTCTCCTTCAGTCCCCGAGAGATGAGAAGTCGCAGGCACGACAGCTGGTGAGGCGGCATCCGGTTGTGCGGCTGCAACCGCTGGTGCGGCTGCAACCGCTGGTGAGGCTGCAGCCGCTGGCGAGACGGCAACCGGTTGTGCGGCCGCGACCGCTGACGGAGTGACTGACGAAGGAACAGCAGCACCTTCTGGCGCAAATGACACAGGATGTCCTGATGACAGAGGTGGATGCTCCGATGACGGAGGATGGCCTTGTCCTGAAGGTAGTAATCCAAGCTCTGGGTCTTCTACCGCAGAAGGAACTGCGTTCCTCAGGGTGGCGCCAGCATGCGCATTTGATGATGATGCCTCGTGACCACGCGCAACAGAGGCGTCAAGACGTTCTTCCTGAGAGGCACGCGCCAGTGGAGGAGGTTGCGCAAAAACGCGGCTAGTAGATTCTGCAAGCTGTGGCTCTTGGGTATCTGGCTCTTGGGTATCTTCCATTTCCACATCTTCAGGTCCTCCTGTCGAAATAATCGGTTCATGAAGCGTCGGCACTGGTCGCAAGCTTGTTGGAGAGGGTGTAGCAGCCGGTTGCAAAGCTGTTCCTTCACTGGAAGCTGCTGGCTGTGCAACCCCTCTTCCTCCTGGCGCTCCAAATACAAAAGTGCCATTAGGACCTGGCATCTGAAGGGGCAAGCCTCCTTCGCTTTCCGGCCGATCTTCCCCATTCGTCCACCAGTAAGGTTAGCAGAAGGGATAGCTTCTGATTCCTAGCATATCGAGATCTCGCATATCTACATTGCACATCTATGTATCTCGCACGGCTGATGATGATGCTAGCCGATTCGGGTTGGACCGACGACTTCCCTGAGTCTTCTCTGTGATGGAAATATGTATGGAGTGAATTAAATCGGTAGTAATCTCCTCGAATTGTCGTGTATCTCTACCCCTCCTTGCATTTGTTCTTCAATATTTGTATAATTTAAAATTGACACTTCTTTCTTCAGCTTATCTATAATTTGACACTGTGTAAATGACTATCCTTAACGTCCTCGAATAGGCGCTGCGCCTGCACGGTCAACTCCCCTCGGAGCACTGCGCTCTCTGGGATACGTGAAAAACGGGACTGGAGTCGGCGTAGGACCAGCCTCATCGCTAAGACCAGCTTCAATTCCACTAAGAACTGCTGCTTCAGCATCGTCTTCAATGAGACTAGGACTACCTCCGAACGCACCAGGGGTCGCAGCGCTGACATCCTGCGCAGGACTAGATCCACCTGCTGACGCAAGACTCGCAGCGATGACGTCCTGAACAACTCCGAGAAGGAGGAGGAAGGCGACTTTCTTCAATCGCAACATTTTGTATGTCCTATGCTACACCAGCAGTAAAACTTCTGTAAAATCGGAATTTCCTTTTGATTTTGAAATCAACAGTAACACAACTTATGTCTTCTACTCTCAATATTTTAGGATAGGATAGGATAGGATAGGATAGCTGCTGACTAAAATCAAAATATCCTGTAATTATATTGGAATCTCACGTTTTCGCTGTTGACTAAAATCAATATCTCCTGTAACTATATTGGAATCTCACGTTTTCGCTGCTGACTAAAATCAAAATCTCCTGTAATTATATTGGAATCTTCAAGATGCTGCTGGTGCTGCTGCTGTGAATGACAAAGTCCCATGTTGAGTAGGATGAGAGAAGAAAAATCAACAAGATTGATTGATTGATTGATTGATTGATTGATGTGCCTGGCATGAGGTCGAAAGTTTTCGTTTAGCAGCACAACGTGTGAGAGAGTTAGTGGCACTGAAAAAGAGTAGTGCTACTTCCAGAATACACATCAAAAGCATTTGTCAGGTTCACGTGCACGCTTTCACCGAGTCGCTTATAATTCTTCCAAAGACGTAAAAAAAAATTCGTTCAACGACGCAGACGCTTGTAGCTTATGGAGCACGATAAATACGTTTCTGAATGCCTCCGACAAAACTCGTGCAAAACTCACTGACGTGCGCAAAACTCTTTCATGATGTGGAGAGCCTAGACTTGTATTGCATTTTCATGTAGACAGTGTGATTAGTTGAGTACCAACGTCATTGTAGAGGAATTGCGAGAATCAACAATAGGATTTTCATCACGCAGCAATTGACCGAACCGATGTCGAGATGGCTTCGTGCAAGATTTTTTGTTGAACAATGTGTGCAGCCATCTTGTTGGTACGAGACGAGTCCTGCTGCACCGGAGGCAGAGGTATTCACCATTCGTTGTGGATACATAGGTACTTACTTGCGTTCTCACCTATTTCGTGATGCTGCTGTGCCATAAAAAAAGGTCTATGCCAAAAGGCAAGGTCTATGCATGATCTCACTAAAAGAAGTTCACTTGATCCAAAGTACTTACTAGAAAGCTGACGGGGACCTTTGGTTGCCTCTTCGATATTTGCCGTCGCCTCCTACTAGTGGACCGACTAGTGCTCCTGGACCCCAAAGCTTAAATACGCGCTTCTCAATCGACCCGTGTCGCAATCAACCTTCCATATCGCAATAGTTGTACACAAGAATGTCAGCATAGAGATATCGCAAGAATCCACTACGAAGGTGGGTAGGCAATCGTCCACTACCTCTGAGGCTGAATATCCACGACGAAGCTGAATATCCACGACCTAGGGATATTTCAGCACCATGGAAATAAATGGGCAAAACAACGCCTGCTGCAGTCCTCATGTTTGGTTTCTCAAAACGTGTTCGTGTGCATGCCTAGCCCACCCCTATTTGCTCAACATGATTCATCCCATTCTGAGTCTCCAGCATGTTCGTCCTCATAGAACCATTACGCAGAACCGGAAAAGCTTCGGCGAAACGAGGTTCCCAGATTAAAGCTTGCCCGAAAAGAAGGCGCACCCCACTGAGACAGAGACCGCGACGTGCGAAGGCGACGCTGCCTAGCCAAACGCAAGTCTGTGCTATTCAACACACCATTGCCATCCAAATCAAACTCCTCGAACCGTTCCCGAATCGCATCGAACTCTTCTTGCGTCGTTTTTCCGCAGGCTAGCAACACCCCAACTGCGAACTCGAATTTGTCCACTTGCTTATCGCCATCGCGATCGAATTTTAGAGCGTCTTCCAAAGTCATTTTGGCTAAGAATTCTCCGTCCGGACCTACGAGCTGCTGCGTGAGAATTATATTCGAGAACTTGCTTACGCCGACACCAAACATTGCTACTGCGATAATCAAAAAGAAACAGGAGAAAAGGCGTAGCCATCGGTCTCCAATATTCGCGTCGCCAAAGCCGATAGAGCTAGAGGCGACCATCGCCCAATGCATGCTTTTCATGGGGGACCAGTTGAGGCAATAGCCATAGACAGCACCGCCAAATACAACTGGAAAGGCGATGAGCCCTGTGGCGTGCAAAAGTTCTTGTTGGTTTCGGTGTTCCATCTCACTCGCTGTTGCTGTTTTTGTGTTCTGTCTTCTCCCATTCTTGCCATTACTTCTGTCATTAGAGCTTCCTGGAATCCATCTTGAGTGTCATCCTCCGCTTGCGTTTCCCTTAGAGGAAGGTCCCGAGATGGATTAGCTGAAGATGGATTACCTGAAGCCCCCTTAATGTCACTGCCCGAAGGACGAGTATGGTCACGTTGTCCTCCTTCTGCGTGGTCCACTTCTTTGTACTCACTTCCGCCGCCAACTTTTGCCAAAGTCGTTTTAAAACGTATTTGCGAATCCCTTTCTAACGTGCTGTGCAAATTGCTTTGGATGAATCGGACCACTAAGTTCGCCGTCACTCCCACACCGGCTAACACGTAGAAGGTGTTTAGCGTTCTAAGCCAGTCCGTCTTAGGAGTGACATCTCCAAATCCTATTGTCGTGACCACTTGCGTCGCGAAATAGGCTCCCTGGATGATGCAGTCCAGGAGCTCGGGTTTCCCACCTTCCTCCGGGAAATAGTTATCCGCCCAATCCTCAGCCGCGGTGAAGGTGTACATTGCGATGCCGCAGATGTAGAACGCGACTACGAACAAAAAAACGGGAGAACAAACAAAATCGGAAATCATCGTACTAGTAGCCTCTTCCCACTCATTTTCGAGCTCCTCCTCGCGTCCCAACTCCTCTTCGGACGACGAGGACGACACGTCAACCACTCGAGAAACCTTAATATTGCTAGCACCTCTGGTGGGAGATCCGCTAGCACCTAGAGAAGATCCGCTAGCACCTAGAGAAGATCCGCTAGCCCCTAGAAAAGATCCGTTAGCACCTAGAAAAGATCCGTTAGCACCTAGAAAAGATCCGTTAGCAGTTGTAGGAGATCCGTCACCCTCCCTCGAGCCCGACTGTGCTTTTATAGGTGTAGTTGACACTGCTGAAAGTGTGACAGCATCTTGTCCATCCGAAATGTTTTCTGTTGCGGGACTCGTCTCCTCTGTTGCGATAGTCATACGCATATTTTGTTCATTTGACTCAGCTCTCGGAGCTGCTAGGCCGTCTACTTCATCTCCAATTCTTAGAGCGACGTCGCCAATTCTCTGAGCGGCGTCGCCAATTGTACTCGCTGTTTCAGACAGCTCTGCTTTTGATGATGAACTAGGGTGTTCGCTCACTCCTATTGCGGTGAAAGAAGCCGGACTACTTTGGCAGCCCCCGTGGTCTTCTCTACTCCGCCCATTGGCACCCGCCCTACTCCCAATGGCACCTGCCCTACTCCCAATGGCACCTGCCCTACTCCCAATGGCACCCGCCCTACTCCCAATGGCTTCTCCACTCTCTCCTGTGAAAGTCCTGTCACCACCTTCTCCAGCTGTACTCTCCGACAGCAGTGGCACCGCAAGTCCGAAGAGGGGAGACGCGCTGCTGTTCAGCACTGGTTTGCTCTTGCTTTTGGGGGAAGCCATGTCGTCGGAACTTAGCGGTTATAATATTGAAGTAGTCCAGTGCTCTGTTCGAGATCAAAGTCTGTGCTTCTCCAGCGTCTTCTCCGATGCGCGTCGACGTCCAGCTCTCTATTATGTTTGTGTGCATAGCAACGCACCTCGCCTCCAGGAGTGAGCTACTCTAGTTGCTATCCACGAAATGAAATCAACGGCTAAATGATATCATAATCAACCTGTAAGACACTCGAAATCAATATCGATGGAAAAAAATGATAATCATCACAATGAAGATGAATATTAGAAAAATAGAAGTGGCGATGAACAGAATGGCTTTCAATAAATTGCGACTACTTATACCAAGAACTGTTAGACGGGGTGAAAAATGGCGTAGAGTGGGTACTTACACAAACTGGAAAGTGAGAAAACACAATTAGGAACATGATGTTATAGATAATGACATGATGCGTAAAAATCTTCTTGGGCATGCACTCTCTTGGGGATCCTTGAAGCAAGGCGCCACGATCCCATATCAATCTTTTCTCTATAATCAATCTACACAGCAACGCCAAGCAACTCCAAGAACAGAAGTCTCAACTTCAAGCACAGAAGTTCGCAACCCCCGTTCTCAGGCTTCGTCGGCTACACTCTACGAACAGAGAGCTCAACTCCAAGAACCGAGGTTTTCTCGGAAGAACAGAAATCTCAACTTCAAGAATTCATCGCCGAAGCTGTTTCACTCAGAAAGAGAAGGATCACTGAGAGAGAGAAGGATCAGTGAGGAACAGAAAGATCCATCAGAAAGAGATAGATGACTGAAAAATAGAACGACCACTGAAAACGACAAGACCTTCTTTCAACCTCAACACTGAAACTGCTCTCACCCTGCAGTGTAAACGTAGTGGACCATAATTGTTCCAGTGGAGGAGCCTTACCTATTTTTTATAGAAGTAGGTATCGTGTTGAACTATAATTGCGGCTAGGGAATACGAACGACCTCCGAACCACCGAAGACCGGGCGTTGAACTGTAATAAAAATAATAACTATAACAATAGCGATCGCGGTAACCTTAACGAAAATAACCATAAATATCACTGTTGCGTTAGGAGGTCGCTTCACTTGAGAGTTATTCCGGGATCTGATTTCAGGGAGTTGATTGACACTTTCCGCAAAGCTGTATCTCTATGAACCACCAATGCGAACAAAACAAATGCGACGTAGCTGGCAGCTGCAGGTACAGACTGACTAGACTTCTGCGCCCTCTCTCTCATTTGCAGGCAGTATGAGTTTCTTCATGTCGTGCCCTTCATCTTGTTCTCGTCTACATTTCCTAATGATCGGCCTCTCTTCATCTGCTACAGACTCAATCGCCCGCAGTCTGGTCGGGTTGGCTTAGTTGGGTCAGCTTCGCGGGGTTAGCAAAGTGGGGCTAGTTTAGTTAGGTCAACTTACTTAGTCAGTTTAGTTGGGTTAGGTAGCCCGGCTGGGTTAGTTTAGTCGGCTTGAGTTTCGCCAGGTTAGTTTAGTTCGGTCAGTATAGTTTGTCCGGCTTAGTTCGGCTAGCTTTGCTCGGTTACTTTTGTTCGGTCCGTTTAGTTAGAGTAGTCTGGCTCGGTCGGTTTGGTCTGGTTAGTCTAGTTGGGTTGGCTTGGCTCGGTTAGTTTGTTTCGGTTGGCTCGGTTATGTTGGCTCAGTTGGCCCTTGGCAAATGGCTTAGGCTGACACAGCGCCGACGCCTCCGTACCCCATAAGAAAGCGCCAAGAAGCCTCACCAAAAGCCGCAAAATTCTCAAGCTTTTCCCGCCTTTTTGGCAAGGGATTTTCGGTCGGCCTTGCTTGCGCCCTATCCGCCTCAGCTAGGTGCCTCAGCCTGTACTAAGCGCGTAGTCTTGTGGGCTTCCTTAAAGTATGCCACTTCGCGAGGAAATGCGGAACACAGTAGCGGGGTCGATTCAATTTGGTGAGCGATTCCAGGGAGAACCTGGCGGGCCCGCGCCCGCTCGCTCCTTGAACCTCCGGCTTCGGCTAAAGGCAGGGCACCGCCTGCCGCAGTGGCCGCGCGCCGGCCCGCTTGTCAGTGGGATTTCGCTGGTGAGGGAAAAGGGCGGCCTCCTGGCCGTGCCAGGTGGCGCGCCCCCGCGTCCTTCGTCGTCATTGGGTCCCCGCACCCCCCCAGAATCCCCAAGCGCGTTTGCCGCTCGTGTGTGCTGTGCTGGATTCTGGAGAGGCGCGGCGGCGCGTATGCCTGGGCGGCTTGGTCGAAACGTGCGCGCAGGCGCGTCCTGGGTTTTTGGCTTGGGAGCGGGTTCCGCTTTGGTGCGCGTCGCGCCCGATTAACCCACAAGGGGAGGGGCCAGCCTAATCAGGCCAGGGCCGTTCAGTTTGGTCCGTTTAGTTAGGTTGGCCTGCGGCGGTTAGGTTATTCCAATCACTTCAGTGGGGGCAGTTTCGTTAGGTTAGTTTATTGCGGTTAGCCTAGTCGGGTTGAGTTAGTTTGGACAGATTGGCTAGGCTGGGCGAGTTCGGCTCGTTTACTTAGGTCCGTAGAGTTCGGCCGCCTTGGCTAGGTTAGTTTAACTCGCTCAGTTTCACTGGTTGAGTTTGGTGGGGTTAGTTTGGTTAGGTTCGTCGGATTTGGTTAGTCTAGGTGGGTGAGGTTAAGCGCGTCGGCTCAGTTTGGTTAGCTTGGTTCGGTTAGCTGAGTTCGATTAGTGTCGCAGGGCCTGCTTGGCGGGGCTGGTTTAGCTGGGTTAGCTTAGTTGGGTCCGCTCCGTTTGGTTCGTTTCGTTAAGTTGGTTGCGCTCCGTTGCGTTGTTTTAATTACGCCACTTCGATGAAGTTAACCCCATGAGGCCTATACAGTTAGCCCCGTTAGGCTCAGTGGAGTTGTGTTAGTTTGGTTGAGTTAGCTTGGCTGCCTTAGTGTAGTGGGGTCAGTCTAGTAGGGTCAGCCGCGTCTAATTAGTTTAGCTAAGTGCGCCGACCCTATTTAGTTTCGCTAGGTTAGTTGCGTCGCGTTAGTCTCGTGGAGTTGGTTTAGCTAGCGCCAGCTCAGTGCAGTTAGCCGGCCCAGGTTAGCTCGGTCACATTAAATGAACCCAGCTAGTTCGGCTAAGCTACTTGGGCTGAATTAGTTTAGTTGGGTTAGCTCATTCAAGTTAGCCCAGTGAAGATAGCTGGGCCCAGTTAGCTTAGCGCAGTTAGTCGGGCTAAGTTAGTGGGCTTCAGTTGGATGGGTTGGGTTGCTTCGTTGGGTGGCGTTAGTTGGGTCGGGTTGGGTTAGCTGAGTGACATTGGTGGGGTTACTTAAGTTAGCCGGGTGCATTTAGTGGGGCTAATTCAGTGGAGCTAAGTGAGCCGAGTCAAGTTAGTCGAGTGAAGTTAGCTAGGCTACGTTAAGTTAGTTGGCTGGGGTTAGCTGGGCCAAGGCAGTTGAGTGAAGTTAGTGGCGTCACGTTAGTCGAGTTAATTCACTCGAGTTAAGTGAGTTGGGCTAGGTTAATTTGGCTGAGCTTGTTGAGCGAAGTCATTTGGGGCAAGTTGGCCGGGCTGGGTCGGTTGAGTTGAGTTAGTTGGGCCGAGTCAGTTAAGTGAGGCCAAGTGAGTTGGGCTGGAAGCTCGCTGAGCTCGGCTCGCTGGGTTAAGTTAGTTCGGCGACGTTAGCTCAGTTGGGTTGGTGGAGTTCAGTTGGCTGGGCCATGCTCGTTTTCTCGCTAAGTCAGTTGGGCTAAGCTAGTTGGGTTAAGTCAGTTGCGTCCAGTTGGCTGAGCTGGGTTAGCTGAGTTGCGAGCCGCCTGAGCTAAGTTCGCTTGGCTGTGCTAGTTGAGTTAAGTTAGTGGCGCTAATTTAGTTGCGTTACGTTCGTCGCGTTAAGTTAGTTGAGCCGAATTAGTTGGGTTAACTTAGTGGAGCAAAGTTAGCTGGGCTAGGTCAGTTGAGTCAATTTAGTTGAGTTGAGTAAGTTGGTCTAAGTTAGTTGAGCTAAGTTGGTGGAATTAAGTCAGTCGGGCTAAGTTCGTCGAGCTAAGTTAGTTGAGTTAAGTCAGCCGAGTGAAGTCAGTGGAGTTAAGTTAGGTTTTGGGGTTGAGATAGTTGGGCTAAGTTAGTTTGGTTAAGCTAGCTGGGTTAAGCTAGTTGGGTTAGGCTAGTTGGGTCAGGTTAGTCGAGTCAAGTTAGTTGATTTAAATTAGTTGCGTTGGGTTAGTTGCGTTGAGGTAGTTGAGCTGAGTCGGCTGCGCTACGGTTGTTGGGCTAAGTTAGTTGGGTCCGGCTCGTTGAGTTAAGTCAGCTGAGTGAGGTCAGCTGGGTGAAGTTATAGGTGAGTGAAGTTAGTTGGGTTAAGCTAGTTGGGTTAAGCTAGTTGCGTTAAGCTAGTTGGGTTAAGCTAGTTGGGCTAAGCTAGTTGGGCGAAGTTAGTGGAGTTAAGTTGGTGGGGTTAAGTTAGTGGCGTCAAGCTAGTGGAGTTAAGTCAGTTGAATTAAGTTACTTGAGTTAGGTTAGTGGAGTTAAGTTAGTGGGGTTAAGTTAGTGGGGTTAAGCTGGTGGAGTTAAGTTAGTTGAGTCAAGTTAGTCGAGTTGAGTTAGTTGGGTTAAGTTAGTTGAGCTAAGTTCCTTGAGTTAGGTCAGTGGGGTTAAGTTAGTTGAGTCAAGTTGGTTGAGTTAAGGTAGTTGGGTTAAGTTAGTCGGGTTTAGTTAGTTGAGTTAAGTCAGTTGAGTGCAGTTAGTTGAGTCGGGTTCCTTGGGTGAAGTTCGTTGAGTTATGTTAGTCGAGTTAGGTTAGTCGAGTTAAGTTAGTCGAGTTAAGTGAGTTGAGTCAGGTGAGTTGAGTTAAGTGAGCTAAGTTAAGTGAGTTGAGTTAAGTGAGCTGAGTTGGGTTAAGTGAGTTGAGTTACGTTAGTTGGGTCAAGTTCGCTGAGTTAAGTTAGCTGGGTCGGGTCAGTTGAGTCAAGTTGGTTGAGTTAAGTTAGTCGAGTTAAGTTAGTCGAGTTAAGTGAGTTGAGTCAAGTGAGTTGAGTTAAGTGAGCTAAGTTAAGTGAGTTGAGTTAAGTGAGCTGAGTTAAGTGAGTTGAGTTGAGTTGAGTTAAGTGAGTTGAGTTAAGTTAGTTGGGTCAAGTTCGCTGAGTTAAGTTAGCTGGGTCGAGTCAGTTGAGCCAAGTTGGTTGAGTTAAGTTCGCTGAGTTAAGTTAGCTGATCTAAGTTAGCTGGGTTAAGTGAGTTGGGTTAGGTTAGTTGAGTCGCGTTAGTTGTGTTAGGTTGGTTGTGTTAGGTTAGTTGTGTTAAGTTAGTTGGGCTAAGTTAGTTGGGTTAAGTTAGTTGCGTTAAGTTAGTTGAGTTAAGTTAGTTGGGCTAAGCTAGTTGGGCTAAGTTAGTTGAGTTAGGTTAGTTGAGTTAAGTTAGTTGGGTGAAGTTAGTC